GGACAGATTAAGAGGGTGCAAGGATTTTCCTTTTTTTCTGATTCTCTCGTTGTCTTTTAAAAGTGATAAACGGATTAAATATCTCGACTGTAAATACACAGAATAGACAAAAAAATATTGCTCTGCTTTAGAAATTAATGCTGAATCAATATAATATTTTTTAAATTAATACTTCTTCACTAATGAACAATATTATCGAGACGAATGAAATGATCAACTAGATAATATTGATTTGTTAATTTGAATTTGTTTATAAAAAATAATGAAATAGGATTGGATGTTTATTTAGTGGAGTTATATTATGGTTACTGTTGGTCATTCGAAATTGTTATCACAGACCGACATTTAACCGAAAAAAAAATAGATTCGATTGATGGGTGCAACCAAAAAGAGGAGAGTCTTCGAGAGGGTTGTCACCCCTGGACCAAATTCAGAAAAGCAAAAGAGGGAATAAGAGAGGACACAAAGCTATTTTAAATAAAGGAACGTTCCATCCATTGAACCTATTGTTGATCTCTGACGTTGACTGAACGAACTGGCAACTCCGAATCCATCATCGTCCATAGAAAACCTTAATTATTTTCTGATGAAAGAAACCTCTTCTCCATCCACTCGCTTCTCTATCAGTATCCGTAAAATTGCTTTTCTTCCATCTCTACTTCTTTTCCTCATTTTCGTCCAGCTTTTAAATCGTGTAAATTCTACCAAACTATCTCCAATTGTTTTCATAATCATTTGTGCTTGGTGATTTTATCTCTATTCAAACTACCTGAGGTTAAAAATTCACATCTAGCACCCTTTTCTCTATCTGCCTGACAAAAATAAGATCATGACCATTTGTTGGAGTGTTTTTAGATAGATTCTATCAATGATCGTCAGTCACTAAGAAAATGGTGAAAAATTTCAACTCTTCTCCCAAGCCATTAAACAGAAGTTTGGCTAACCGAGACGAAAAATCCAAACGACGAAATTTTTTCACATCAGTACGACAAAAATTCCAGACATGCCTATGTTATTTTTTGTCTCACTCACTCTCTTGGGAATTTTTTTCTTCAATGAGATGAAAGAGATACAGTACCTTTCGTTTGTTTCAAGCGTCATTTGTTTAGCGAATATAGAATGGGTATTTTTTAAGCTCAAGAATAAAAAGAACAATCTAAGAGAGTTTGAAAAAAAAAATAGAAAAAGAATCAGATTTAGGAATGTGTATGATTAGAGAATGCTACATTTGAATCCAACTTCTATCATTTAAGAAAACTATATCTTTTCGATTCTTACAAAATTATGAATTTACACAAACCACTTGAGAAAAGAATAAAATAACAACTCTTTTCCCTCTTTGATTGTAGTATGAACAATATTTTTTATTTTACAAGATTTTGGGAGAATATCATTTAAGACTCTTTTCCTTTCAATACTTTAATGTCACATGGGGTTACGAGTCTTTGTCCTCTTTCCCCTTTTCTTCAATGCAAAAACCCTCGCTATGACGATGAAGCTTTATTTAGCAGATGATATTTATGACTTTCAATCCAAGAAATGTCTTCGCGTTACAAACGTTTTATTGTCTTTCCAAAAGTAACGCCTCTGGCGACATTAAATTGTCTCGTTCTGATATTTTACTTTTCATTTGTCAATTCGAGGTGAGTTTTAACAAAAAATTTAATTTTATTTAACAAACTGTCGAAACTAAATTTTAAAATTTTCATAGTTATATAAAATATTTAAGTTTAAATAAATATCCAACAGTTCAAGTCATACTTAAGAGTTATAAAAATATCTCTTTAATATTTTGAGTTAAAAAAAAATTCATCTCTTTTTTTTTTATTAAAAAAAAAAAAACAATGAAAAAAATCTATGCTCTACTAGACAAATTCCAGTGTCTTAGAACACATCCTGAGGACAGAATAGAAGTAGGAAGTACAAGATTACCACGACGAGAAGCATAGCAATTGTAAACAAGCAGAGCAAACATAATATGACTGATGCCTGGAGCAATGCGAGTGCACCCTCTTTAGGTAGGCTTTGTCTCTCACCCCTTCATATATTCATCTCAATCTCCATCTACCCTTATTCCTATCTGTGTATACTAACATTAGAATGCACCTAAGATCACATCTAGCAAGAATTCAAAGCTCTCTAAACTCATCTACCAACCCAAAGTCTAGTCGCTTCATTTTTCACCACCCCCTGAATGGCTAACCGAATTTGTCGAAGCCTTCTCGGACCTTCCAAGGGTGAGATCTAATTTCAGAGCCATTCCAATGGATACGTGGTGTGTTACCCTACTCTACTCGATCGGCCACGCTATCATTTATACGAATTACGACGTCTTTCAACTTCCCAAAACCCCCAGACTTTCTTACAAGAATGGAAAAGGGGCTCGTTTGTTATTATTAGTTCCTAGGGTTGGCTTTAATGGTCTTGTAATACCACGCTCAGGTCGACAGTTATTTCTCATTCTACTTCTTCAACTTCTCATCATTCTTCACTTGATGGTCAACCTAAAACTCACTCTTACTACTTGATCATTTCATCTAGGATTGGATCATCACTTGGATTATATTTATGATTTACTCCAGAGCAAAATATTATTTTAATAATTTAAAACAATTATTAATATTATTATAAAGTCTTGAATTGGTTAAATTATCAAATAAAAGTATTGTTAAGATACTGAAGGACCCATAAGTAACGCAAATGGGGAGAACGGCGTTAAAGAAATTAGAGAGATAATTCCTCGGACGAATACCCAATTTACCCTTTCGTCCCGGCACCCTGGCCTTATTATCTAAAGTGCTCTAGCTCTGGTGAGTCGGAGGGATGTAACAGAAAAAAAGTTAAAAAATAAAATAAAAAAATTGAAAAGAAGAGAAAAAGGTAAGGGAGTTGGAGGTAGACAAGCCTTCTGGTAAAGGACGACGAAGATCCACAAAAAAAAAACGGGGTGAGATACACCAGCTCTTTTCTACAGCACGTCCTACTGGCCGGAAGGATGTCGAGATGCTCGCGAGACTTTTTTCGGACCATAATTTATTTACGCGCGAGATATTTTCTCGGAGCTTCCTTTTCTCTTTTGCAACCCTTTTTCAGTGGAACCCAAGACCGGTAATCCGATTAGTCTGATCGTCGGGTCCTTGGATTCTAGACCTAGACTTCCTTTATTCTCATGACACTAAACTCGTTATTTCTTCACATTTTTTATGTGTAATAATTTGATATCAAAGTTTTAATCTTTATAAACAATATTCCATAAAGATATAAATTCCTTAAAATTTCATCAAATAAAAAAACATTAACAGTATCAAATTTTTCTAAAAATGACATTCTAAAAAAAAAATTGCAATTAAAAATATGGTATACAAATACATATGCATTTGGAATGATATTAATTACTGTTTGTATAAAGCAATATTAATTTCAAAATAAAATGAAATACTTCTGACGAATAATATATAAACCAACAATTGTGCTTTTGACATAGCTATATAATTCTCAATCAGTCTCTGGGAATCCGCAAATTTTCCTGAAAAGGGGTAAAATGTTCTCTCAATAGACGCCACAATTAAAAGAACAGTCTATCAAGCCTATACTAAAATGCATTTCTGGTCTCGACGCCCGCAAAACATGAGCAAGATATAGATGTAGGAGTAGACGAATAGATCGAGTCTTTGTCGGCATTTTCGGCGACATTGCGATGGATGTGCGATCGATGAATCAATCCGTTCGCCGTGACGTTGTTGCAAAAGAGGATAGAACAGAGTAGTGAGGGTGATACTAACCAGTTTGTGTCGGGATGCACCCTCGCTGCTACTGCTGCTGCATGGCACATAGTAAGGGCGTGCAGTAGGTGCGGGTGTATTAAAAAGCGGGGGTGGCTGCGGTCGCGTACCAATCACCCACCGTGGGTTGGATGAAACGACGAGAGGTAGAGAACAACCAAAACGCTTCGGGGCCATGGAGCACACACTATCCTATAGCTAGATATCCTACAGACAGGTTTGTTCAGCCAGCATCGCTCTTTCTCTATCTCCTACTCTCTTGTGTCCATCCTCATCCCCCTGTGAAATTTTAATCGTGTCGTCATTGGGGTAGTTTGTTGCGATAACCCGACCAGCAGCGTGTACCCGCGGATTTAAAAAAAAAAAGACAAATAAAAGAGATAAAAAAGAGTACTCTATATCCGATCGATTTGACGACATAATGTCACTTTTTGACTTTTCATTCACATACTAAATAAAAATTTCGCACTCTTTTATTTTCTTTAATTGAATTTTTCTTTCTATAATTTATCCAATCAATCAAGTCTAATCAATAATCTGAGCTAGTTTTATCATACATCTTAAACATTTATAAATAAGTAAAATAAAAGAGAAAGTAAAATACAAAAATATAGTTACCAAAATGCAGTGGACCTTACAGTTATTGCTCATTGATATATAACCAATCGGAAAATAATGTAGAAACTGGTTTTTGTGGGCTTTTTATCTCTCGATTTTCCGACGTGTGCGGCCAGTTCGCTTTGTGTTTTCCATCAATCACGCCGCGGCCTTTTCACTGAACGGATATATACATATGTATTTCTATATCTGTATATAGATTTATATTGGAGGAGGAGTGAGGTCAGCTTTTTGCCACGCGCTATACACATACTCCCCATGAGCCTCTGTTCAATTGCAATTCAGTTGAATTATTGAATTCAAATAGAGATTGTCACTTTACATGTTAGGATTCAATGATGATAAAAATGAAAAGAAATGAAATGAAAGAAAAAAAAAACTTACCTATTTTAAGAATACAGTCAATTAAATTCTATTTCAACAGGATTAAAATAATCAGCAGGATAACACACAAGGATATAAATAGTGGAACAAATAATATTTATTTGATGGCGTACCTAAAACATCATTAAAACTTAATGTAAAGTCAAAAGAATAATTTTTAGTTGTTTTTATCTTTCATCAAACATTAAGATAATTACACTAGACGTTTAGATCCATTTCTCCATTTTAACTCATTTACTTTTTCAATTTTTAATACTTATCATCATTTATTATTTACAACAAGAAGATATTGCACTATATAAAGGTCGAATCGATTCAAGAACGACCCTGTACGTAATATTCTTGTAATTTAACAGCTACTGACAATACAATAAATTTTTATTTACAATTCAATTGATTAAAAAGTAATCAAATTGATAAATCAGATCGATTATGAACGTAAACCCTGGTTAGTCCTTAAAGTCCTCAAGATTGTGAAATTAATTCACACTTTGAAGGATCAATATGGTCTCCAAACATGCCTAGGTTTTGGACTTCTTACTTTTCTCGGCCTAACCGTCTCTCTTTCATCAATATCATCCTCCTTTTTTCGAGTTGTTAAATCTTGGCCCATATTTTCTTTATCTTGACTACGTTTCGTGCTCAAATCGACTGTACCTTCTAATCGTATTTTTACAGTTAAATCTCCTCTTCGTAATTGATCATCACTTAAAACATCTACAAAATCATTCAAGTTTTCCACACTCGGTCTCAATCGATTTTCTGTTTCTTTCAAGTCTTCGTTAATGTTATCATCCAAATCATTTCTCGATGAACCTCTTGGTGAATCTGTTTGTAACGAATCTTCACTTCGAAGTTCAACTTTTGGATCTTGTTCATTTCTATCATCAACCTCAATGCTACCATCAGGGCTTTCAGTCTCTCTTAAAGCATCCACATCGCTTTCCTTACGTTTATCATCTTTAGAACTATCTCCAGGACTAGTACTAGTGCCTCTTAGCTTTCTTAGATCCTCAAGGCTTGCTTGGTCTGGTCTTTGAAGTCGTTGCTGTGCCATTCTCAATGCTAGTGTGTGCCAGTCTGGTTCGATAATATATTGCTGTGCAGGGTAAGAAAGTGGATTATAGAGCCAAGAAGATTGGGGTAAAAATGGAGCAAATAACGATCCAAAGATAGAATTGGCTCTCAGCAAATGAAGACCTGTAAAAAAATAATTATTTAGATATGTCTAAAAATAAATCTTTATTTTCATTTGTAATCAATATTTTACCTTGAAAGTGGGAATGATGTCCTGAGGGACTTGAAGTATTTGTATTTGCCGTTGGCTCTGCTGGAGGAGTTGGAGCTGTCACTGAAGCTGTCGTCAGCAGTCCTGGACCAGAATTACTCGGAGATTCAGCAGCTACTTCTCTCACCGACACACTGATTGGTCCCAAATCATTTCGTGATTCTAAAGGAAATTTATTTTATTATAAAAGAATTTTTTATCTCTTTATTAAAAATTATTAGCCTACCAGGAGTTGGTCCAGGCATTCTTGGAGATCTTTGCTCCATAGCATGGTGAAAAGGATTAAATGCCGATGTAGTTCCCGATGGTGGATGAGTCTGTGACAGATGCCCTGGGGGCGGTGGTAAACAATGAGAAGCTAAAGAACCTCTAGGAAGTCCTCCCCATCCTTGACCTCCGTTTTGTTCAAGTCCCAAATGTTGTAAACCTTTAAGTAAAAAAATTAAAATAAATATAGAAGAAAAAAAATGCCTTATTTCTTTCTTATTATAAAATTAAGTTAAGTAAAAATTAAATTAGATTGACATTTTTATTTTCCAACAATCTGAGAAAGAATAAAGTTGATAATAAATAATAAATAATGAATGTAATTAAATAGAAAATATCAATAAATAAATTAAATCGTAATGAGTGAACAAAATAATATATTTTAACAGGTAATTCAGGTTTTGGAAATTTAGTATTAGATAATGATTGAGAATGCAAAGCGTGTGGGGTATCGCATGAATTTTGTGGGCGAAAGAGCGACTGATAAAGAGTGGAAGAGAGAGAACTGCCTGATCAATAGCAGATTATATCGTCATCTGTGCGGAACAGTTCAAAAATTCCGTAAAAGCTCCGATGCCAGTAGTGTCCGCGACCAAAGCAGGGTGACTGTGGGGTGGACGCTAGTGGAATGGGATATGCAGTCACCCCGCAGAATAGCAATGTAGGGGTAGTAAACGAGAAAGAGAGAAGACGAAAGAAAAAAGGAGAAAGAGAATGCAAAGAAAGAAAATGTGAGTGGGAGCTTTTGCCACGAAATAGTAGGGGTAAAAGGGGAAAAAGAAGGGGTGGTAAAGCTTGAAGTGGGGTAGGAAACCGAGTCACTGGCGCGTGGGCGTAGCTCGCGGAGATTGCGGCAGGCCGGATTGGCTGGCCACAAACCCCTGCAACGAGCTTTTACTCCACGACCATGAGGGGAAAAGCGACGACTTGTTGGGGAAAAAAGCTCGCTTGGGGATATGCAGTTTATACTCTTTGGCACTAGTGGCGCACAACTAGCGCCGTTTACTCACTGAGTGGGGACAATTTTTAAGCTCTCGTTAAGCCGCGTGTGATGCCAGACTCAAAACTACCACGCATCCGGTCACTGCAAGCTCTATTTTCCGCGATTCTACGGCTATTCGTGCCATTCTATGAAAGGATTAATACTGTAAACGGCATTCTTATCTAAGAAAACAGACCGAGTGATACAAAAAAAATCATTTTTTCCAGTTTACTAATTTTTAAAACACGTTTAATCAAATATTTTTAATTAATTTCATGAATACAGAAGATTGACCACAGCATCCTTGATTTAATAAACCCTAAAATACCCCTTTTTCACACAGAATTCGCGGCTCCTTTAAGTTAGTCGCTAAGGAAAAGGATAAGGGGTGATAATTCCGAAAACAAATGAAGACTAATGAGAAGAGGGTTACGATGGAATGGAACGAGGTCTATATAGGGGTTGCCAAAGGGTTCAAGAAGCTCGAACTACATCCCTTTAAGGGGTGAGAAATGTTGAGCTTGAATGTTACGGCTTCTAGGGTTACTGTTACCCCCATTACATATCCCCATACCAAAACAAGGACTGTGGGATGATGTATTGTCTTCCAGCATGTTCAGAATGTGCCCTAGGGGTTGGCATAACGTTCTCCCAAGGTCGTAGTATAAAGTACCTTGTAATGTTTCTGCTAATCGTCAATTTTAAATTCCCGATTTATCAGATTTGTTCAACAAAAAACAAAATCAACCCTGTAAATATAAGATAAACATTTTCAAAGTAACTCAAAGGTTATTTAATGTTTTTTTCTTTGTAACTGTAATAAATTAATTTACGGATTTTCCTGGTCCCTATCTATTCAAATCTATGCAAAACGGTAGGTTAAAAGGCCCTCTTTATTTTGCAACGCGTTAAGCCTTGTCGAAGTTTCAACCCTTTCTACCTTCACCACTCTGTCCTACTCTATTGTCTTTCTCTTGTTTCTTCTCTAACAGAGCTCATTCCATGCTCAGACTATTGTTGTCTCTCTTACTCTTTTCTACGTAAAGCTCTACTTCTACTGTTAGTAGTTACAGAAGCTCGTTCGGGTGTCTTTGCACACCCACTCTTTACGCCCGTTCTCATTATCGCATCGCAACAACCCCTAAAATACCATTTTCGAAAGGTCTTTTGCACAACAAAATAGAAAGAAAATTTTTTTTTTTATAATCAACAAAATATTGAATTAATTATTCTCTACTTAATTCAATTTTTCATGAACTCAAGAATTAAAAAAAAAAATTTTTATCTTCATAAAAGAGAAATATTTTTCTGAAAAAATTATATAAATTTACTGTAATGTGATCGGAAGCGAAAATAAAAAGAAATGAAGGGCGCGACAGTTTTAAACTGAAGGTTCCTAACAATCTCCCCTAAATGAGGTAAAGGCCACCTTATTGAAACAGGGGTTGCGATTTTTCCGGCTCTAACCACCCCACAGAGGCGGTTAATTGACACGAGGAGGGTTGGAGAGCGTCAGAGAAACGAAAGTAAGAAAGAAAAAGACAACAAGGGGTAGACGGACGAAAGAAGTGGCGTACGCGGTGTTCTTGTTAACTCGAATCCTGAGCTCTCGCGATTTTTCATCCCCTCTGTGAATGAAACTGACGAGATAGAAGAGAGAAAAATGTAAAGAAAGTCTACATCAAAACTAAAAGGCAAGGAGGATTCCTTTATCAGGATTTTCGATATAATAATGATTTTAATTTATATATTGTATTAATAGAAATTTCTCTAACTACATAAAATTTGAAGAGGTCTTTATATTGAGTACAGAGGTAATCTGATGACCAATTATTTATCAATACTGGAAACAAGACATGGACAGGAGTATCTTTGACAACTAATTTGTCCCCAAAGTAAGAGGAGTCCAAAAATAAGAGGGTGTCGTAGAATCGTTCAAATGTGCCGGACCTTAAGGCACTTGAATCCTCTTGAGGAAACCCCATAAAATACGTCCCCAAGCTGCTGAGGTAGGCCGAACGAAATTTAATAACATCACCCTAGTTACACCTCAATGAGCACCTTAACAACCCCTATAGAGGTCTTTCTTCATCTCGCACTTGCTTCGTGCCAATCCCCACACTCACTTCTCATCGTCCTCATGTTCCTTATCAACCCTCTGGCGCGGATATCTAATAAACCACCCTCTAAAACGCACCCTTGGCGTGCCAATGATACACCCTCTCGACTATTTGCACGTGCAATACTTCCACATGGATATTCCAGGATGTGGAAGGAGAACTGGACTTTTAACTGACCAGTGGCGCAACCTCTGTGTTAACATATGAACCTGATGAGCGAAAGAGTTAAAGTCGCGGGTGAATTTAAATGAAATTCAATCACTTCAAATGTATCGAATGATTTTGTTTTAGCTTCTTGAACCATAAAGTAATATAATTTAGATATTTATAGAGAATTTATTGATGAGAAAAAAATTATCTGAAAGAATTTATGCAATTTTTGATGGAATGAAAAATTAAAAGAGGGAAATGATGGGCGTTGGTTAAAAATCGAAGAATTCGAAGCCATCGACTGGGAATTGGACAACTCTCATCCTCTGCTCCAAGGTGGGTGGCTTTGAAGAGTAGTATAGAAGAGTCGATAGGAAGCTGAGGGGTAAGTGGGGGTCGCAGAAGCTCCGTTAAGCCGCTTATCATGCCGAAACAATACACTGTTGGTGCACCAGAGTATCAGTTACTCGCAACCTCCATCCCCGAGGTTCCACTAGTCGCATCAAAATTTCGAGCTCTAATAGAATTTTTGTTTTGTCCAATTCAAGTTTTTTTTTAATTCACTGCATTTGATGGTTAAAAAAAAATTTTTCCAACCAGAAAAATCAGTAAAAAAGGCATACGACATTTAGATACGTTTAATCAGAGTCTCCACTTACGAGGGAAAACTCAATTTTGAGTGCAAGCACCCCAACGCCTGTTCAATTTTGACACCCTTCGTGTTACTGCTCCTTAGAATCATCCAGCATGTCGTACAACAAAGACAAAATCAATGGAACTCTGTTGAGATGATGAAGGAGCGAAAATACAAAGTCACCCTCGTTCCCTAAACTACCTGAAGCGAACGAGAGAAGTAGAGAGATGGTTAGGTTGCAAACTTCGTTACCTATCGACAAGGAGAGACATTGGTGCCTTGGTGAGAAGTGAATCAAGGGTGGAATGTAGTATATAGTTGAAGGAGCAAGAGAAGATAGAAATTTCTACTGATGGACCCCGAAGCTTTAGATCTAAGGCAATGCCTGAGAACTTACCGGACAGTTTGAATCCCAACGGATCTTGCGGATGTCCAAAGGGAAATGGCCGTGGTCCAAAGTGGTAGGGATGAAAAGCCTGGTGTCCTGAAACGTGAGTTGAATGCTTTACTCAACTACAGATTGGGATAGTTTCAAGTCGTTCCATTACAAGAAATAAAAATAAATTTTCTCTTGACAATTTTGCTCTTGATTTTTTCTATTGTACAGAAATTCTTTTCACTTACTAGTTTTTGATCGTGGCTCTCTTGGTCCATCCACTGTTACTTTAATAGCTTTACTGAGCGTTGCTACTTGAGGTGGTGTTGTTTGTAGCATTATTGTCAAAGTAAAACTTTTTCCTGCAACAAAAGAAAACTTAAATAAGTTGATATTTTTGCGGATAAACATAAAAAAATGATTAAATTATTGTGTTGATAAAGGTGAGAGGAAGGTAAATGAAGAAGGAATGGAACAAGAAACTAGCTTTTCCCAGTGGTACGATAGCTCAACCACGGAACGAATGAAAAACCATAAAGGTGCGGGTAAAGCTTTGGTTTCTCGGTTTGCCTACTTTCATTATTCAAATCCAATTCTACCTACCACGAGTCTCGCATTATTTTTCATTCTCACCAGCTTCTATACACGTGGCATGATATTTGTTTTCATTTCACACAGCTTTAAAATCACTTCTGATTTAAAATAAAAATGGGTAACCTACTGTTTGAAGACTATTTATTGCTCTTATTACTTTTATCATGACTATCATAATTATATTTTTCCCCTCGGAATAAAAGACAAAAAAAAACAAGCAATAAGTGACAAGCGAGGAAATTCAGTGGCCAATGTTGCGTGACATACAACTGATGGAAACAAAACACAAATGTGTCGGAAGTAAGGGAGTAAAAGTGGCGCCAGTAGGTCGATGTTTACACTCTTCTTTTTGCAAATTTACTCTTTTACGTTATAAAAAATAATATAGGTAATAGTTATTTTTGTTAATAATAAACAATATAACTTGTAATTTTTGATAAATTATTTCAAAGAATCTTATTTGGTTTTTCAATAAAATATTAACTTTTTTAACCCAGCAAGTACGAACTTGATGGAATATTTGATTAAAAATGAACCAAAAATATTGAAATAACTATTTAAAATTGAAGATTATTTTTAAAATAAAAATGGAATAATTAAAGTCCCGTTGATGCTTGCTTATATTAAATAAAATACTAATATCGAATAGAGAATAAACTAGGATTGACAAACAATGAAATAAATTCAACACAAGTTGCTGATGATATTTTAATAAATTAGCAATAAAATCAATGAATCAACAAGCTTAAAATTCAACATCATTTGATGCGATGTCACTGGACAAGAGAAATCCCACGAGAACCGGGGATAGAGAGGTATTTTAGGGAGTGTTTATGAGGCATTATGTGTAACTCGGTGGAAGAACGATTTCTCACCCTACTACTATTTCACTTGTCTGGCAATGATGCCAAGTTACCTACCTCTACAATATAGCCCATAGAGTATGGTTGTTAGGTACGTAAAACAGTTGATGTTAAATCAACAGGATTTAAAGAAGAAATTTAAATGTATGATGATATCTTGAAAAGAAACTTTCTTCTTTACATATATTTACAAATGTGTACAATATAAGTAAATATAACCCATATAGGGAGCATATAGAAAGATAATATGAAAACTCACTCCGTCGGAGTTTACCCAAGGATCATACAGCGTTAAAAACTCCCCTGTTTGCTGGCAAAACGAGCCAGAGCCGACGGAGGGTGACTTTAGGATCGTTATTCCACGAGTGTTTGTAGTGTTTTAAGATTCTGACGTTTTGACTGCCAGAATCGCTCACTCATGTGTAGAAAAGAGTTGGAGATAAATGAAAGTGAGACGTGTATGTGTGTTTGGATAAACTAAATCGCGTGATAAGTGTCTCGATTATTTTTTTGCGATTCAGTCAATCAAAAATTCAGTAAATATCTGTCACCTCATTCTATCTCCCCTGATTTAAAAAACATACACCAACAGTCAACAAATGATTACAAAAAAATGTTATCTAATTACAGTTTCCTAATTGACCGTCTAAGTGGAAATGTCGTGCAATGATCAGACACATGCAATCGGTGTCTAAGGTAATCTTTATTTACATTATTATGAATCTGAAACATGTATGAAAAAAAAGTGTGATCAAAATGTTATATTTGATGGTTGAGTGAATTAATCAGAACAAATATAAAAGAATAACGTGAAAAGAATGATATCAAGTTATTTAAAATGAAAAAGAGATGGCTCAGAACGATTCACTGTAGTGTAATAAAAATTTACATGAATTAAAAAATGATGATAAAATAAATAAATATACAAATAAACGTACAAAAGAACTTGGCAATATTTTACGACATTGAACGGACAAGGTTAGCAAGAGCTAGAGTGCAAGGAAGAGTAAAAATGATGCTTAATCGGTAGAAAAACTCTGGGGATGCAGTCATCCGGAGGAGTAACCGTCCAACGATCCCTTCGCTCTTTCCACCCTTAGCTCGCGCCACTTATAAGGGTGAATTTGCACATTTTTAATTGGAGAAAAAAAAATTATTAGGACTCGATCAACCTATGTGGTAAGCTACTAGACGTAATAAGGAGATTTCCAATCTCATCAACATACCAAAGTTATTCTTTTCAATTAACTGAATTTATTTTGTAATTTAATTATCACTTCTTATGACTAGCTTTTTTTTTAAATTACAACATCATTGCTAATAGCAGAAATAATTGCTAAATCATCAGGGTAAATTAAAATTTAATATTTTAAAATTATTTTCTCAAACACAAAAAAAATTTGACAAGATATGTAATTTGGAGATAATTAAATGGACATGACCCAGTATTAAGGAAAAATTCCATGAAAAGGCTTTGGTACGGTGTTGGGTAAGGACGAAATGAGAAAGAGACGAAGAGTAGGTTGTGAAAGTAAGCAGTAACAACAGCGAATGAGCTACTAAAACTTGGAATATTATCATAGCAGTGCAGAAGTGCTATATCACCCTTCACCCCTTTTCAGCAACATCCCCGACGGGGGATTAGCGTCAACCTCCGACGCTAGGAATCCTCGACCAGTGGATGGTGGTAGAACAGGGATAAAGATAAAGAGGATGAGTCCAGGCAGTAGCCATACTACTGATACGTATAACGATTGGTCCGGATGTAAAACGACATTCACAACGCATAAATACTGGCGTTACCTGTGTTTTATCGTGACGATTCCAAAGAGAAAAGTTTGTCTCTACCTTTATCTGATAGGAAACTAGAATGAGAATCCAGATATATCGACTGATAGATCCTGAACTATGTGTTTCTGATCGGATTGAAGAAACATGTAGCTATGAATTCTCGACAAAGATGCTAACAAATTTATCAAATTTATTTCTTTGTAATAATTCATTGTCTATTTTTAATTATTTATCTTTCAAAAGTATTTCCTTTCAAGATTTATTGGATCCTTAATTAAATAAATTACTATTGAAACAATTTTTCAATTGAATAAATAAAACTTTTAATTCATTTTCATAGAAGAAACAGATAAAAAAAAAATTTAGATAATAATTTTAATCACACTAATAAAATCTCTGCGCATAAAATTAATTTTTCTTCCTCTCTCTTTTACTCTCTTCATTACATTCATTTTGACAACAACCAAAAAAGCCACTAACTCACCCCTAAATTGTGGTTTTAAACCGTGGTCAACTAGACCCTCAAAAAATCCATCGTGACCATGAACAAACAGCACAAATAGACATTTTGCTATTCATTTATTCTTAACGAAGATTTTTTTTAAATTAATTTTTCATTACATACTCATTCTCTATAGAATTCATATATGAATTATCTATGAATTTCGTATATACATTGATATCTAATAAAAACTAATAATATACAAGTATTTTTGTTTAAATAATTTGATTTTTTATTTTAAATATGTTTGAATAAAATAAATATCTAAAAAAAGGTATGAAGAGTTGATAAAAAATTTGATAATCATTTTAATGATCAACCAAATAAATAAAATTCATCAACAAATAAAGGTAAAAAATTTCAAAGCGAACCATTACCTATATATAAATGATAGTTAGAGGCTGGCCGTAATGCAGTAATGAGGGCTTACTGCCATGGAAACCAAAGCCGCTTACAGTCAACCACTCTCCACCTCTTGCATCTCCACTTTAACTCCCGTAGAAGCCTAACATTTTACTATATATCCGCGATATCCTCATCCGCGAATTTACAGAAAAAATTTCATGAGTACCCAGATTTCTCTCTGATACCTTTTGGTACTTTTTCAAATGCTAGAGATTTTATACGCTTCATTTTTTTGAGCTTTAATTGAGCTCTCACGATTTCACTAATTTTTCTTTTTATAATTTACAAAGATATTTTTTATATCAACTAAGTATTCGATTTCATTGATGATGAAATAGTCAGATGGAAAGAAAAATTCTTTTTAAGAATTCTCTTTTCCAATTTACCATAAACAAGTCGAACGTCCCCTTCGTTAAATGTGTACGTTAGTGACTCCTTGAAGCTTGCTACCACTCCTACTCTTAACTTAAATAATCCTCCAAGTTGAGAATAAGTTGGTATAAATGTATTTGTCAGTTGGTATAGAATTAAAGGAATTAAATTTCTTGTTTTTATTCGCTTGAATCATTGTCTATCAAAGAATTTTCAAGGTGCTCCAAAAAATAAAACCTTCCATAACTGAAGTTAAACTTAAAATACTACCGTTCTCATTAATAAAACAAAAAAACAATATTCAAATAATATTTCTTAAAAAAAATATTATTTCAAGAATCAGTCTGAAGCGTAACTTTTGTCTGTCAAAATGAAAGATCAATTTTTTTTTAAATTCTTATATACCATTACTTTCCGGACGTATTTTTAGCATTATATCACGGTAATGGAAACGATTATTAGGTGGCATTATTTAAAAGTCCAGACTCCCTAAATTTTTCTTTCCGCTTGTACAGGAGGCAAAAGAAAAGAACCTCAAGGTTTGCTCACCCTCTTGAGGCCTACCAAAGGCAGGCAGGCAAAAAGAGTCTACAGTCTACGCTGAATAATTGACTAGCACGAGGATGAGAATTAAAAATCCCTGTGTCCAACAAACGTCTACTCTGAGCACAAGTATATATAAAGCTAAATCTGAAGGAAAACCTTCGATTTGACTAAGGGAAAAGATATTTACGTAGTGAATTAAAAATGAGATTAAATGAGTATACGTTCAAACTTTATTTTCTAAGATGTGGATGAATAATGGGACCATGTACTGATGGAAAACATTATGCAGAGTGAAATTTCTACGGAATTAATGAATAATGATATAGATCATCTTTCACAGAGGATAGTTTGGAAAAGAAAATATCAATCAATAAAAAAAAATTGTGAACATACCTCTGCCACTTCGGCCAACAAACCTCAGGTCATTGAATTTCGCAACCTGATTCTTCATCAAAGCCGTTGAATTCCTTAACTCTGCACAGCAATTTTCATCATTTCCTGCTCGGACAGTCACTAAAGTTCCATCTCCAACTTCTCCTAGAGCGACAACCTTGAAGGCTACCGGAAGTGTCTTGTTAGATCTCCAATGACTTGGTAAAACTGTACAAACTACATGAGGACTACCTAAATCATATCAATTCATTTTAAAATTATTTTCTATTTTCTACAAACAATTTGTATTTTAATATAATAATTCTCTAAGCTCATACAGTTTTATAACTGCAAATCAGTGAATATACACTGTTTTGCAATGATTTTCACTGATTTATTTCTAAAGAGCAGCTTTTAATTAATCACCATTATACGTTATGAACTTGCAACTCTTGTTTAAAAATGAATTAAAAGAATATCATTTCGATGAGTAATGATGATTAATAATTATTTTATTATTTAAAAAATTTAAGATTAAACTATGCAAAAGTTATTCAATAAACTTAGCACCTGTTTGAACTAGTTCTCCAGGGTGTTCAGCAAGAAGTCCATCGAGAGCTCTTTTAGCCAACAAATCTGCGGTGAGAGCATAATCAGGTACTTGATTGTTAGTCGAAGTATTCTGATTGGGTTCACCAGCCAGATGCATTCTTCTTCTTGATGAAGAACCCCGTGTTTTTCTCAACCTTGGACTGGTTATCTGAGCAGGATTATTCACCTGATTTCTCACTAACCGCGGATCCAAATAATCTAAGCCGAGAGGACGATCCTCGGGGCGAACATCTCTCAAGGGATTCGTCATGGAATATTTTACTAAACTACCATCGACTTTATTTGTAACTCATTATTGGTAAATCTGTTGAAGATTATCCGTTTAAACTTTGTAGATCCGTCTTGCAGGATCACTATCACCGCAAATACACAATACCCTGGTTTGGAATTGGATTTGTTTTTGCGATTCTTCTTTTCCTTCGTTGTTGTCAGAATCACCCTAGCTCGATTTCTTAGGATCGTTTCCTTTGATCCTTATTTCATTATCCCGCGACGGAAAACTCGAATGAACACAGCATCCGTTTAGGAATTCTTTTTCGATGTCTTTTCACTGCCAAGTCGCAGAGAAAATTCTTTTTATTGAAATCCTTTCATTTATATTGTTTCTGTTTGATTAAAAAGAATAATTGTAGCCGAATAATGTTGATGACTCAAATCACTAATTCATATCACAGATGTTTTCACTCAACAGTCACTTAATTCACTTAGTAGTCGGCACACTTATGGCTCAATCAATCAAATATTCCATAACAATAATATTTGTTTCAAATCTTGATGGCATGAAAAGTGATCTTGGTGGCTCAGTGAAGTTGGTTTTCTCACTTGTGTTCTCTCTTGGGGTAGTCAGGGTGTTTAACTCGCGCGGTCTCGTTTCGGGTTCGGTGGAAGGTGGTGGCGGCTTCTGCGGTGGAGCCGCGCGGTGTGGTTGCGGTATATTTTTGAGGCCGCCGCCCCCAAACCCCCAGCTACCCCCCGCTCACGAGTCGTTTCCGCAATGGTAGGGGTAGTTTTTCCAAGCAGTGGGGAAAAATATTCACCCTCTTCCTTCCACTCGTTTCTCCCCACTCTTATTCGTTCATAGTTTCTCACTCTTACTCATAAGTTTAAGTTCAAACTAGCACGGCCCTCTGCCGATTAACCGTGGATCTCCTTCTTCTTCTTCATCCGACAGCTCCTTCTTCGCCACCTCCTCCTTTTCACTTGCCACTTTCTTCTTCTTCTCCTCTTGGTGACGATAACGAGCCTCGTTACTTGCTCCTGAAAAAAAAACATTTTTAAGAAATTGAAAAAAATCGAAATAACTACGATGGAAAACAATTTTTTTGAAATTTTATTTTATAGATTTTTTTTTAAAAAAACTGACCATATTCATTATTGCAATTCATTATTTTACACATTTTATGTTATTATTAAGAGTATTGTAGAATTTTATTTGAATGTTAAAAAAAAAATTTCAAAAATGTTCAGACACTTTTTATCAATAGTTTATTATTTTTTCTTATTTTGTCTTTAAGAAAGAAGACTAGAGAACGTCTCGCCAGTAACAGTGAAACGAAACTGCCAGCAGGAAGAAGGGAAAACAAAGACAAGGGACCCCCATTTTACGAGTGAATAGGGGTTGAAGTGATAGTGAAGACAGACAAAAGAAGAGGGTGAGAAAACATGAGGAAAGATAATCATAAAGACTCGGCTACATTTATAACATTCTAGAAGATCGAGAAATTAAAAAGAAATTTTTACCAAAAAAAAAAAAGTTTCTTTTTAATAACTTTTTTTTCACCAAAAAATTTTTTAATCAATTAGCTGTACTCACATAACAAAACAGCAAATGCTTTTTCGAGAGTTGGCACGATACTATTGATCATGACGTATCTGTAGCAAGCAGAGAGAACCCCCAAACGAATACAGCCCCCCTATAATCCTAAGCCCCTATGGCTAACAATGGCGAGGTCGCGAATCTCGACCCCTCTTCAATCCCACACTCTCTTCAATCTCTATTTCGTCATCAATTGAGTCTATATATCGGTACAAAATCTCTCCTGGACTATCCATTTTTTTTGCTCTTTTTCACCCTCAAAACACCTTATCTTTGATTAACTAAAAAAAATTTTCATATAAAAAAACTTTTTTCAATTACAAATACAAACAATTAATAAAACCTTTTTGAATAATAAGTTTTTTTTAGCTAAATAGTGCAAAATACCGATGAGACTATCGTGTGGAAATTTCGATTGCAGTTGATAAGATAATGAACGAAATGCATTTGCAACGCACGAGAGTGCGATCCGTTCGATTACATTTAATCCGTAAAAAGTGATGCAAGTATCGTGCTACTTTTTACCGCGATTTTTTACTAATTCTCTTGTTTTATTTTATCCTTTTTTTTTTGTTTTAATATATTTTTTATTTTTATCACAGAAAAAAAAATAAAATAAAATATCAATATATACATGAATAAGAGAACCTCTGCATGATTCTGGTGTTGAGTGGAACACAACAATAATCATTGGATTTTTACATTTAAATTAATTGGACCAATTATCGAGGTCGAACAATTACCTGGTGGCGAACCAATTAGATTGGTATAGATTTGGAGCTTGACGGATGGTTTCACGAGCCCGGAAGGTCCTCTCACCTATACACACAACAAGTAATGAGCAATGATTTAAAACTTTTATTTCATATTTTCACTAATTTTCACATTTTTAAAAATCACTAATTTTTATTTCATGTTCACATTTCATTTTTTTGTTCAATCTGCTAATTTATCAGTTGATCTGGTAAATATCACAGCTGTAGAAGCAAATATATTTAAATTACTAATTGTAATTTTTTTGCAATTAAATATTTATCATAAACCGGAAAAAGATGAAAAACAAGCAACGAGATGTCATAGCACACACGTCCGTGGTAGCACGAGACATATTCTTGGAAAAAGGTGGCTGGAAGTTTCGTCGCGGCATCTTGGGGGGTCCTACGGGGTGTTGAGAGGGTAAGAAGAATACGCCGGCAATAGAGAAGGGTAAAGAAAAGAGTATGACATGGAAGTAAGTGAAGAAGAGAGCAAAGAGAAAGAGAGAAAGCAGAGGGGTCACGCAAGGGGGTTAAAGCTGCGACAGGGGGCGGCAACTTGTAGGCGGGCAGTTTTTAAAGGGAAAAGTGCGCATGCGAATACTTTTATAACCCCACCAAAAGCATGGTAACTTCAGGTTCTTAAAGGCTTCTTAGGGTAACTTTTGTCCTGGAATGTGTCGACAGTACATGGTTTAGAATGTCTAGAGTCCTGAGAGGGGGATGAATTTCTTATCGCGCTGAAGCATGAAAGGATTGCAAGACGAATTCTCTTCACTTTCTAGACACCTAGGTGGAATTTAAAATTTCTCCAATTGCCCACTCAAACCTCTAATGCATCTACAATTATTTGTAAATAAAAGTGTAAATATTTATTATACTATTTTACGATATTTTTTCTTACACTCATAATGATGGTTAATAAGATTCAAAGGGAAACCAAAAAAATTTTCATAAGACTTACTCTGGTTTTAAAATGCTTGAAATCAAATTAGAGACAACAGTTTATCTCTTTCTTGAGGTTTCTCTGATGAAAAAAAATAATCTATAGATTACTAATGATGAAAACAAATCTACCTTCATTTTTCCATTGAAATAAAATTTTTCATTTTCTTTGAATGATGATCTTTCAAGACAAATTAATGATCTATATTAGAAATGACTAAAATAATCTTAAATCAGAGTATGAATTGTTTTGTAAGTACACAAATAAAAGTAGAGGATAAGAAATCTTACGAGGAAGAAAATGGAAAAGCAAATTACCTAACACCCACCCTTAGAGAGATGTAGGTTGAGGGTGGTAGTGGCATGAAGCAAGTGAGGTGTCGATATGACATGTAGGGAAGCAGAGTATAGCGTCGAGGCAACCCCTGGGGTTTATTACAAGGGAGGAATCAAATACACCGGGTGTCAAAAAATAAAACTCACCCTCATCCCACTCTATGTACTATTACCTTCAATGGAAAACAAGGGAGGAATGAAATTTATGCCAGAAAAGATACTCTCACTGATCACGAATTCGAAAAATTCCAAAACTCTTTCTATCATCTTGGTATTGCAAATAAACTAAATTCAAATACCTCAAATAACTTTCAATTTTCTGCTAATAATTACCAAACGAAATTTCTATTCATGAAATAGCAGCATTGGTTTTTTTTATTCTACAACATGATGTTATCAACAAAATTATCTATGGCATTATATAATAGTCCAAAGTGTAAAATGACAACAGCAAAATCTTTAAGATCGAAAGGGTTGAAAGCAAGCTGAGGGTTAGACTAAGCTGAACATTTATTGTCAACATCTCTCCATCTCTAACTTTCTAAATCTAAAATAAAGAGGAATTTTTTGTAACACTTTCTTTTACAAAAAAGTAAACTTCAAGTTGTAGCATTTGAAATAAAAAATTAATATTTTAATGGATTGAGAAAGATAAAAAGTATAAAGAAAAGGTTAAGATAAAGACAATAATTTAGCAAACGACGGCGTTGATGTAGAGTTTTAGAAGGGCGGCTTTTCAAGGGAGAATAAACGAGTAGTGATTAAATATTATGACCGTTGCAGTAGTGCGCGACGCTTTACGTAGCAAAGACGTTACTTAGCATAATTAAAGATTCCCTGGGTGCCGAAAATCCTGTGGGCTAAAGACCCAGAAGCTTACAGAAGAGTCTTAGATTCAATTTTCAAGGTTCTCTCACTCTTTCTCTGTGTTATACACTATCAAGATTTACTTCAACCCTGTTAGGAAAGATGTAATAACAAAATTCTCTTTCTACGTCTCTGATTGAAAGCTAAAAACACTTTTACTGAGAGAGAATGATGGTAAGGTAGACCAAAGGGGATAGGAACTGTAGATGTGACCATTCCTGGGTCATTTCCATTCGGTCCTCGCAAAGTGAAATCATTTCCCAAAGGACCTGGACCTGGACACCAGCTGGCCAATGGCGAGATTCTGCAGTTGGTGATCGAAATGCCCCTTCACTTAGCTGCTAGATCATCAATACCCTCTGGAGACATTTCCAAGTTAGATCTTCAGCTTTTTTTATTTTATTATTCAACTTGGCCTCATTATTATGATTATTTTGGTCATTATTACTATGACAATTGATATGAAATTGTTATTTTCTTATATCGAAGCTGTCAGTAATGAGAAAATATTGAATAAATACAATAAAAATATGATGAGTTACCCTTGACAACGACTTAACATTCTAGAGTATCTGTCGACTATTTGCTACTCCCAGAGGACGTGTACCTATACCACGTGCTATAGAGGGCTTTGCGACTATAGTATTTCGTGTGAGACATATATTCACAAGTCTCTAGAGAGTAGTTTTAAAATTCAACCCCCATATAAAGACCACGGAGACCAATGCTACATGTTAGTCATATCAATCTGTCGATTGAAAATTTGATGTGGATTTTTTAATACACCCTATAGTTCTGTATTTAAACTTTAATGATAAGAAGATGGGTTTTTATATAATACAGAAAGATTTTGTGAACAATTCATCGAAATAACTGTCATCTGATAATCTGATAATTGATCAATAGTTTTCAGAAACTAAGTATATTTTTTTGTAAAACTATCAAGTTTAATGAAATTTCTAATTAAATAGGATATATGAAGTGTCAAGCAGCTGTTCAATTCCTACATAAGGGCACCAAGAAGAAAGGGTTGAGAAATAAGGTAGGTTAAGCTTTTGGTTAGAAGTTAGAAGTTACTCCAGAGGTTGGGGTTGTAGTTCTAATAAGCTATCCAAAGGTGTTCTAAGTTGCGTCTCTTACATCACTTTAGAGTCAGAACACTATTTGATAAACCGTCACGACCTTATACCACCAATGCACACCCTTAATTGTCACAAGACGTGCTACTAGTATGAATAATTCTCTAGTGAGTAGACGAAACGTAAGTTTGTCACTGTATAATAACAATATATTATTATCCTGAGTTAACATGGATCCATTTGATGAGAAAAGATGGTATAAAATGACAAGAATAAAGTCTACGCTCGTTAAAATGCTAATCTAGATAAAACTTAACAACAAATCTGAGGGAAAAAGATATAGAATTAGTCGTTAGTTCCGCCCTGGAGATCAAGATGATGAAGTCACCATTCTGTTCAAAATGGAAATCACTTTTTGGAATTTTTATCATGAAAACAAAAATCATTTCACGAAAATATTCTCATGGGGTATTTCATTCTATTAAGCTATCATGTTTGAAACTAATTGGAATCAAAGTTTATAAGTAAACTTTTATTCTTTTTGCCAAATTTTATGAATCAAATTGATTCAATTTATCTTTGATTGAATTTGATGTCGAAATAATACAGTTAGAAACACCAGAGAATGACAGTATAGAATATTTGTTTTAAAGCATGATGTATTTGAAAATCGTAAAAGCTACCATCACATGAGTTAAGGGCTTAATCGTATCGATCTCACTCTTAATCCATTAATGAACTCACTCGGCCTGTTTTATCCCAGTTCGGGCTTTTCGCAGCCAGACAACATACCCCACTTCTCCCACATACACACCACGTTCATGTCGCTCCACGTTTGGGGATTCATTTTATGGCAGTCTAAAATGAATTAAATTTCAAGCTTTGTTGTATACCTAAGGATTCCCCTATTTTACTTACATCAATCTTTATTTGTATTTTAGACTCTGAATTAGACGATTTAAAGACAAATAATAGTTTGGTCGACCCCCAAACTGAAATACAGGCGTGATCATTTGGCAAAAAAAAAATAAAAATAAAGGTTGAATCAAAAAAAAAAAGGAAGGAAAAATCGAGGGATGCAAATTGACTGAATCCCTTTATCGTCCTACCAAACAAGATAGCTCGACGACAAATTCCTCAAATATTTATCTCCGCGCCTCCGCGACGCCCTTATTTCTTCAACCACCATGTCACTACGCTCCATCCTCTCTCATGTCTCTTTTCACTTCCTTTTGTCGTGCAGCCAGCCAACACTGACGTCTATCGACGTATGACAAATACTCGTTGTCATCCGTCATAACCTTTTGAGACTTTATCGAGTCATGAAAAATCAGATGAAATCAAAAAAAAAAGAGTGTGAAGAATTAAATATAGAAAAATTGATGTTTATATTATATTTAAAAATATAAATAATCAGATGGATACGTTTCTTTCAAATATTTTGCTTAATTATTACATTAATGTTTTTAAGAAAATTAAATTTTATAAATAATTTTTTTAAATAGGTTTTGTCTGTTGAAAACGTGATAATTATTTTCTTTAAGTCATGTTTTAAAAAAATAGAGAGATTGACAGCAGAAGTGCTGTAGTTTTTATTTGAAATAATAAAAAAAAACAGTCAAAATATTACAGTAGATTAGAACCTTTTATTTTTATTACACTGATATATATAACTATCTCATCAATCAATTCGTGTACAACAGATGGTTAGACTACACTATCAAAAGCACATTTTTTTAAAAATTATTTACTCAATAAAGAAAATATCTCTTTCGTTTCAATTGATACTACAAGTCAAAATGTATGGATAATTTTTAAAAAAAATCCTTTTTAATATATAATTAACTATAAACTCACTATACATAAGTTCTTACATACTTGATTTCATAAATATAGACTTTTTATTATTTATCCTATTCAAACAAAACATGTCTTCAACCTTAAATTGATTAATATCAAAATCATTAAACAATCAAATTGTAATGAAGAAATATTATAAGTAAGAATTAAATGCAAAAAATTTTGCACAAAAATCAAATTACATTTTTCATTAAATAGAAAATATTCTTCCGTGATTATCTAAAGCAGATGCTGAAGACCGAAGAAGCAGAAAGAGAGAGAGAGAGAGAGAGAAAGGGGTCGTTAGCAATTAATTTATTTTTCCCTAGACGGCGTTAATTGTTAAACTTAGATGGGTGGTCGTAGCGGGGAAGCCCTGAGCAGTAGCAAAGCTAGACTGTTGCACATACACTCACACATTTAGAGAGGTAGTTTGGGTAGGAAACGAGATAGAAAGAGCAAGCTACAAGATCAAGACTTTGAGGTGACGCTAGTGAGTGAGAAAACACGTTGACGGTACAAAGGAGGGTGTACAAGACGAATGAGGAGAAAGAGGAAAGCGAGAGGATGGTAACTCACAACGACTTAGACCTTAAGGAGGATAGCAAGAACTTGAAGAGGGTGCTGAGCTGGGAAGCCAAGGCGCAAGTTTCTTCCCTTGGGGATTGGGTTACCGAAATAATTAGAATGATGATTAGGCGAAATGGGGATGACACGCCTCGTTGACCAGACAACGAGTCTTTTTCACCCCAGTGTGGCTGGTTTTGGAATCCCCGCGAAAACCTAATAATTGACCCATCAAACGTCTCTTGTTTCTCATTTTCCCACATTTGAATCGAACATCACTTTGATCGACTGAAATAAAAAAAACCTATTAATATTCAGTCAGAAATAGAAAATAATTCAATTACAATGTCAAAGATTGATAACAAACATTGATAATATTGTTTTATAGTATTCAAAAGAATAGCAGATAAAATAACTATTAAAATGATATTATTTTCCTAGGTCAGTAATTAACTGTACAATCACATGCCTATGGGCTATTGTTCAATGTACTTTTACTCATCATATGTTATCATTATGATGACACTTTTACTTGAAGCTACATTATTAATACATTTTCCAATCAAATGTATTTATCTGAAATTGATAATTTTTATTTGATTTGATAATATTAAATTTACTTTTACTTCGTGACTTTGAACCATATTGTAATTTATATTGTGTTCAGTATCAAAATTCTTCATCTACAAAGCAATCAATAACGGAAAATTAAACAAAAATTTAAACTACTCAAATATAAAATGTCTTTTAAAAATTTAACACTCCTATTTTTAACTGTATTACTTGTGAATGTACTGCCTACGCTAGCAGCTACAAATAAAGATTTTACAATTATTGAAACTCCATGGCTGGTCCTTATTTCTAAAGACACTAATAATCAGAAGAACAACATGATATCAAAGAAAACATGTCCAGGAGCTTTAATTAATCCTCAAGCAGTTTTAACTACGGTTACGTGTCTTGATTTGTAAGAATAATAATTTTTTAATAATAATAATGTAATTAAAATTGTTTTCATAATGAAAGTCAAAATACATCATTAAATTATTTCACTTCAGAAACTTAGAGGAAACTAAAAATTTAATTGTCGAAGCTTATAATCAATCTCGTCAAGTTTCACAAGTTAATCTCAGGGAGTTTAATCCTCAATATTTCTTACACAATAATTATGCTTTATTAAAACTTTCTGAGCCATTTTTATTAAGTTCCAACTTGAATACTATCATTTTGGCATCGGTTAATGAGTATCTAGATATTTTAAAATGTCAACAGCTGACCCACTACGATACATCATCAGGTAAACAACAATTTCATGAAGTTATAATTAAAAGTTGATTAAACTTTTCAAAATCTATACAATTTTGTTCATATTTCCTTTTTTTGCAGATAATACGAGTATTTCTAGAGTAATGGGAAAAATTTCATTTTCAAATAATAGTTACTGTTATCGAGACATGTCCCAACTACATATCAGTTACCAAAAACCTAGCATTTCCTGGCATCCTAGTATCTTGTGCAGCACTCATTTTAATATATTGCCATGTATAAAGGTAAATTGAATAAAATTTTATATTGATGTAGATTATTACACTAATTCAAATAAAACAATAATTTAATTCTCAAGTTGCAAGATTGGTCAGCAATGGTAATCTGTCCCCGTAGTAATGACCCCAACATCTTTGTATTAGTGGGATTTCAACTGACATTCTTAGTATTTGATTCAAAACCTGCAGAGAACAAGCTTACAAGTACATATTTTGACAATAAAACATTTAAACTTATGTTGATCTTATGTAACACATTAAAACTTTTCAGTTGGAGATGATGATTGTATTATCGTATATTCCAACATGTTTCAAGCATCGCCTTGGATAAAAGAGCAAATTGATGATTTCAATGATGATGAGGTTTCAATTGAAAATGAAAATATATACTAGATAGATAATTGATATTAGACAATTATATTCACTTTGAGGTGTTCTACTCTGAAGACAATGGAAATACTAGTATTCACTGTCATAAATTATTGTCCCATGAGTTATTTTTTAAAAATAAAACAACTTAACTACGTGGACAAATTTAATAAGTTATAAATATATAATGGAGAGTATAACTGCTTCAATTTCTATCAATCTATAGAAGAATAATTTGTATGATCTGGTGTTTTAGATTATAATAATCAAATAATTTATACCAATGATGAAGAAAACATAATTACATACGTTATAAATATATCATTTAAAATAAAAATAAAAAATATGAAATTTCTGAAATGTAATTAATGTAATATTATAATGCATGAAATATATTTAGTTCATCATGGATTAAGCAAATTCCTTTATTCTCTGATTGAATTCAATATTGAAGAAATCAATAAAAAGTCTGTGTTTACGTGAACAGAGATGATGCAACAATAGTGATTTTCAATCAGTTAATTCAATTAAAATCTACATTTAAATCAACTTTGTAATTTCAAGGTTTGTAAACGACACTGGCTTATTTCAATGATTTGTTATCTAATCTAATTCTAATGAAATTTATATCTGCTTTCGTTGAAGTAAAATCAGATAAAAAATTGCAAATCAAACGTTGTACACAGCTCATTTTTAAAAAATGATTGTTACAAGTCTTTTTATTAACAAAAGGGCATAATTTTGTTTATCCTTAATCTGCCCTTTTATATATTCGATAGAAATAATAATACGCTAGTAGCATATTTCCAAAGTCCTACGATTGATATGACAATCCCTATGGAGACATTTAACCGGAAATAGCCGAGTTATAAAAAAGACTTATGCTTAGACACGATTATCTGTTGAGTCTTTTTCGTTATTTTTATGTCGAAAGTAGAATGAAACCTACATATAATCCTCAGAATAGATATAGGAAATAATATTTTGTTGATGTCTCCTGGTGTATACTTGAAGCAAAGGTTGAGCTTTGGCCTGTGTTAAGGAACATGTGAATATTTGATCAGTCCTTCAACGTCACCCCTGTCGTCTCTCAACTCACCTCTCCACCAACCTGGTACTCCAGATGTGGTGAATTATTTAACGGCCCTCCAGGGACACAGAGAATACGTGTATATATGTACATACCAATGTGTTCACTTCGAGATTTTTGCTTTTTCTCGTGTATATATAGCTCTTCGAGTACTTCTTGTACTTTACAAATGAAAAATTGAATTTTAATAATATCTTATATACTTTCCATGCAAAAAAGTCTAGTTATATTTCTCATTTATTACTTACACTTTTCATCATTCATTCATTCTCATTATGGATCAATTGTAAATATGTGACAGTAATTAAGTTTCCATGTCTTTATTTTCCATAGAACAAAACGGTCAACGTAAAACAAAAAATGAAGTCAACATAGGAAAACTCTTGCAAGTGTTTTCAATTGACAAATAACACGTAAGTAAGAAAATAGTGGAAACAAAAAACAAACTTGTTCCACAAACACTCATTGTAAACACACTGTAAATATGTACAATAAACGCTGCGTTTCATTTTCCACTAATAATAAAATTTAATTAAATAAAAAAATTGTTAATATATTTAAATAAAATAAGTTTACTAATTAAAAAAAATTTGGACATCTTTTACGAAATAACAGTTGAAGAAATTTAAATACCAAGAATGATTAGTGCTGCCACTATCGGATAATCCACGAACTTTTTAAAACTTCTGAGTTTATCGGTCTCATTACCTACTGAGCATGTCTTGACTGTTGATACAAATGAAAACAATTTTATCAACAGTCGAGCACAAAGAAATTTGAAATGTCATTTGTAACTTTTACAAACCAAATATATTCCATAAAATTAATTTTTCTATTATCATAAATCATTTCTTTCTCCAATAAATTTTTATTCCTTTTCAAATTAATATTTTTAAAGTCTTAAAAAATGCAATATAATATAAATTACTGACAATAAAATAAAAATTAACCGACAATGTAGTCGATTCATTTACAAAACTTTGCAATAACAAAAAACCAACATACGGGGTGGAAAATAGGCAGATGTTGAACTTAATGCCTGCTGAGGCTATACGTGCAACAGGTGTAAAGCGTTACAGCAGGTGGATCGTCTTCAATTCTCCCTTCATTAAAATTTTCCACAAGTTTTAAAAAGACACAAGAATCTTTTACATTCCGCTGCGAAATGATCTTAAGATCCTAATCATGTCTCCATAAAACTTGAAACAAAAAAAAATTTTCTTTCACATGCTTCGGTGCGATTTTCAATTCGATATCACGCTTGTATATTACTGACGACTCCTCATCAACTGGTAGTCCAGTGACGGCTGGGAATAATTCTATCCAATGAATACCAACAAGTCTTTCATACCAACAGAATACTTTTAATGCTAATAAGAATATAACGATTAATCGTTAAAAAAATTCTCAAAGCTATTTTTTACGGTTAGAGACTGAAAAAATTTTTTTTTTTCTTCATTAATACTGTAGGATAAAGTGATTAAAAATAATAAATTAACCGAGCTTAAAGGTAGATTTGAAGAAGAATTTCGAAGGAAATGATGTCTAAAAGACCTGTATAGAGAACGAGAATGAAACGAACAATGGGCGGAGGATGTCGATTGTGAACAGCTGGTCCGTTGCGTATATACGTCCTTGCCGCAAAAAGGACTTCACTACTCTACAGGTTACATACATAAGAGACAAGCGTTACATCCCACAGTAAAGAAATCCAAAAAGAAAACTAAAAATTCTTCGAATGAGTAGCTTTGATTTTCTCCGATATTTACTTGACTTTCTTTTATTTAGAATGACATTATCCAACAGCGATTGATGTCGTCCGTTTTTTTATTTTTTTGTAATTCCAAGATATTTTATTTATTTTAAAGAGTGTTGATAAAGATTAATTCCAACCTTAAGGCGACGGAAGAGTCTCAACAGAATTTTACGGGGCCAAAACTCGCGGTTGAATTTCTTTCCTTTCCTTCTTCTCTTATTCCCAAACTGGTTTTCGCGCGGCCAATTAATTCGATCGAGACGCACGAGCTGGCGAACAAGCCCCAAAGCGACTCGTTGCGAGCACACACTCAATCCCCTGGAGAAACCCATTTGTATTTCATTAAGCAGCCAATATCGATATGGCCTAATAATCGAATATAACGTCCACATAAATCTTTTACATGGTCTGCTTGTCAAATTTACGCTCTTATATTTTTCAGGTTTTCATTCTTTCTTGTGTTGTCATATCATGTATACTTTTTCTTTTCATCACTTTTATGATACAAACCTAACATAAATCCAACTCAAAAAGGCCATTCTGATTATTAATTATTATATATAATTTTATCTAAATAAGTTAATCATTTTTAAACTCATTCCAATCATAAATTTTACTCCAAAAAGTTAATTATTCAATTTATCACCAGTTTAATTATTGAACTAAATTCAGTTTTGATGTAAATTTTGTAAGATTAATAATAGCTAATTTTCTTATGTCTAGATGATTCACTAGTCGTATCAAGATACACAAAAAAGATCGATAAAGTCATGCATGACATGAGGGTATTCCATGTCAGTCATTGCACAGTTAGTAATCTGATACACTTGCCTTAGGCTTCAACACACGCGTACAGAAGCGATAAAACTACTTCGGCTACCGGATGATATTTCTACAGTATTGGCCAAAAATATTAAAAACTCTTGTGTTTATTTGAGCTTATCACAAGTGACTACATTAATTATCATGTAGCTTTTTACTGAATGCTCTGATGTTGCCGCAGCTATCTTTCTTATCATTGCAATGATAGATACCTCAGTACCTATTTCCTGTACTCATTTTCGTCGAGCTACAGAATTTATATTTAATGAAGCTATTTTCATTTGGAAATTTTTAATCAACTTGTTTCAAAGGCATCAACTCTTCCAATAAATAGTTTTAGCTTTGGTTGTATGAACATGAATGAGAACCATATATGTAAGAAGCCCTAAACTTGACCTTTGATCTATATCGGTCTTTGACCGGTGTTTATTTGCATATTTTCTGTCAAGTTTGAGTCGTAGAAATTTAAAGAGGATTTAAGAGAGATTCAAAATCCTTTCGGGAAATCTAAATAATAATAAAGATGAATGAAAAATGTTTTTTTGATGAAAAAGCCTACGACTGAAACCCTATAAATAATACTCACAGCCGTTTATTGAATTAAAGCGTAAATTTATTCAAGTCAACTGAAATTTCTAGAGGGTTCTTTAGATGAGAACCTCTAGTAAAAGTGAGGGGCGCGTGCCAAAAGTTCACATCTGCCGCAGTTAGTTTTACACCCCTCTTCTTTCATGCACCTTGATCCACCACCACCATTACCATCGTCTATAAGATCGCCTTCCATTTTTGGATCCTATTACAAAAACACTTCCGCAGGAAGTCTAGATCTTTCCATCACTTTTTAATCCTCATGCATACATGATGATGTACACAACTGTGTAAGGAACTTTTACATCCTTCCGTTAAACCAAATGGCCACTTATTATTTTATTACTATCATTATTCTATTAGACCAAATAAAAATACTATGAAAAAAAACGTGTTTAAAATACTTGGAATAATTTTTAAAGAACTTCAAAAAATTTACTTTGAATTCTGGGAAACTGTGCAATTTCTTTAGGTAGTCCTATTATTGTAAGGAAAAGGAATCCTGAAGGTGGTCTAAGATAGGAGCAGCCACTGAATGTATACCTGCTATATAATCCTGATGATTTTCATTCAAGACCTCGACCCAATTGTCAGATTTACCGCTTTTTTTTCAATATTGCGTTCAGATCAAGAATTTTAATACTCATATATTTGAAAGGAAATATTTCGAGTATAAAATAATCATCATTATATACACTGACAAAGCTAAATTGGCAGATTTCAGCAGAAGCAACAAATGATCAGGAAATTTTTTTCCCATTAATAACCAGAGGAAATTTAATTTGATTTTTGAATTAATTACAAATTGGAACCAGTTCCAATAAAATCACGAAGCGAATTCGTATGTTTATGACAAAGAATTACAGAAAAAAAATCAACGGTAGCTTTTATCCCCCTCCGATGGTTTGGCCCTGGGCATTCGTACGTGCATCACGCAGAAGTAGCTGAGCAGAAGCAAAGAAAAGGAACGAAAGAGACCCATCGATGTTGGTCGGATACGAGCCGAATGAAACCGAACAGACTGAGTTGAGAGCAGGTAAGCAGCTGCGACTATATCCGCAGGGACCGTGAGTGGAATAGATGAAGAAAGACAGGCGAACAAATAAGAAAGACAGGGAAAAAGCACATACGGTCGACAGGACAGGAGCAGACGCGTGTTTGAATTAGTCCCGGCACAACTGTCGTACGAGCAACATGCAGTCCTGTGCACAAGTTACTGCCAAAGTTTGGCTCGGAGTTTAACATATACCTTTCTATCCGTCTAACATTTAACTTTTAAGGAAAAGTGATTTTGCTTCTGATGAAGTAGGCTTAAGTGAACAATGATCCATTAGTAGTGATTGGAAATTAAAAAATTCAATTGGATGTTGACAGAAAAAATTCTTTAAAAATGAAACTTTGGATCCTACTCTCAATTTTCATGTTGGTCCAGGCAGACCTTCTGGACCTTTATGTACAACACATGGACGAAACCATGGGAACAAATTCTGTACAAAAGAATTACCGGAAAAGAATGCCCTTGAGATTTCGAAATAAGAGAAGTCCTAAAGTTAATACTCCAATTGAACATTCGAAGAAGCAACAAATTAACGTTGATGATGGTTGGTGGGATAATAAAACACCAAAGAAACAAAGTAAAAAGCCGATTCTTACCTCAGATGGTTTAAACTTTCCAAATATGAATGAACAAAATTATAATCCTCTGCATCATGAATATATTAAGGATAATAAAGCCTTAGAATTTGTTGAAGGATTTGATATTTCATATAAAAATAGAAATGAAGAGGTAAGAGCTGAAAGATTGATTGAAAATGAGTCGGAGGAAGTGGTCACAAAAGAACCACTGAAATTAAAAGCCAAAAAATACTATGATAATATGAAAGCAACCAGGAAGTCAATGAAACAAGGTGAAAGTGAAACAGATCATTTCAAGTTTAAGAGAAGTGTGAAAGAAGTTAATTTTACTCGACATGAAATGCTTGATGACAATGGACTAGTTTTTTTCGAATGGGATCCATCAGATGATGACATTGTTACGTTTAGAGTAACAGCAAGGACATTAGGATACATTGGAATTGGTTTTAATGACAAAGTCCACATGAGAGGAGCAGATATTCTTCTTGGTTGGGTTGATGATCATTCTGGTACAGTAAATCTATTGGTAAGTGTATTTTTTTTCCAATTTTTACTCAATTATTCATGAAATTACTGAAACATATGCATTATTTTAATTCCCAATCAAAATTTTAAGCAATAATTTGGCTAATCATATTTTTTCTCTTTTTCGGAGCTTGTTTTTCATGTCTTTTTTTACCACACGAAAAATTTATCCGCGCGAATCTTTCGAGAGAGGTAGAATCTTTGGAACCTGTCTCCACAAAAAGACATGGAAGAGTAAAAGAAATACAGCTCAAAGAAGATGGAAAAGAAAAGAGAAAAAGAGTATAAAAAAAAGAATTTAAAAAAATACTAGGGAATTAAAGGAAGATTAAGAAGGCGGTCGATGTGAAAAGGGAGGCTGTTTGAAAGGGTTTTAAGGGCTATATCATGACCACATACCCCAAGGGAAAAAATAACAAAAATATTCTAGCGATAAAAATCTGTTGCAATTAAATAATTCATGAAATCAATAATACAACTGAATCGTGAAATAATGTTCCAGCATGAAGAAGAAAAACAAGACGAATTATTTAAAAAACAACATATAATACTTTATTGCAAAACTTGGAATATTGTTGAAGTTGAAATTGTTTTATTAAATTCTATCATGCTGCATCATTATCGTCATCATCATCATCATTAGAAAATGAAAAATAAGCTTATATAATTAAGAATGATGATTTTCTGGCAGGTGTTTTGAATTTAAATATTAGATAAGACAATGGAATAATAAAAATGTAGGGCTAGAGAATAGTTGAAGAGAAAATAAAAGTTAATTAGTATGTGTGAGACGAAAGAAATGACCAGGTGGAAGGTCAAACCGCAAAAGTTGGAACCTGTCTTCTTCTTATTCTCCACCCAAAAGTTCCAAGAATACCTAATCTTAATTAAATTTATTTCCATCTCACTAGCGACTGTCCATGTAGATACTTTGCGATGTTGTTTCTCTTATTGGAGAAGAAAAAAAAATAATATGTATCTATACATATAAATACATACATACAACTAACAAAATGAAAACAGAAAAAAAAATCCAAGATAAAATAATGGTCCTGACTTTTGAAAGAAAAATCTATAGAAAAGGGTTTCTCTATACGCGATAATGATCTTTAATGCCAAGCATTTTGTTTTTTTATTTTTTCTTATTCGCATTCGAAATGTCTTGGGATTGATGGATGTTTTACAGATGGATCTTGATTCAAGTTCATTGATGTGGAATTTTTGGAGATCGATTTGGCGGATATTTTTGCTACAGGGGGTATCCCCAACGTTCACCGAAATTGCATTGATGGACATTTTGGACCTCTTTAGTGGACACATCGTGAAGAAAAAATAAAATTAAAAGAGAGAAAGAAGTATATAAGACTATAAGCATAAAATTAACGAACACAATTCCAAAGAAACAACGAGATAAAATTGTGATAAATTTACATTGGTCAGCGTCTTAATCTTTTTTTCACGTCTGTCATAATTAAAGTGAGCCTTTTGGGTCTTACTTTATGATGATAGGACTTTCGAAATTAAATGGAAAAAAAATTTAACAAATGCGTAATTTTACACTAAACATATAAGTATAGATGCTGCGAATCTTTGAGTCCACTCAAGGACTCCAGACACATCGGAAGGGCCCCCTGTTGAGGTCCTTTCGCTCGTTCTTCACATCCAATGAAGTAGAGTAGAGAAACCTCTGACCAATCCATAAGACAAGGAAGAGAAGATCAAAAGAATAAATGTAAAAACTCACGAATGCAACAGCGCATGCACAAACGAGTCTTGGCACCCCCTATCTTTCCCTTTATTTCTGTTGGTATTTTGTTTCCATATATTTCACACTAGATTTAAGATACGAATAACATTTTTTTCTATCGCCTACATTTTTTATAGCTTCATTTGAAATTTGAATGAGATTGTGATCAACGTTAAAATACATTCTGTTACAATTTTATTCTCCAATTTCATCAACCGTGATCAGCTAATCATCATTAAAGCTCTTTATCCCCTATATCAAATAAATTAAAGTTTGCTAAAATCTATCACAAACCTTTCGTTACAAATTAATACTCCAACTCCACTTCTTCATCAGGAAACTGAGAGAAAAATGATAGAATTAAAATATGAAAAAGTCAATTTCTATTTAATTAATTATTTTTTATCTTAATGAAGCCTTTTGCACGTAAACTAAATTTTTTCTATCGAAAAAGACACACATATCAGAAGCTATGTAGTGTATAGAATGGCTTATGCGAAGTTAAAGAAATAAAATAAAGACGAAAAAGAGGAAGGGTTTACTCATTAGCATACCTGAAACGACATCGTCCTGACATAATCCAGCCATATGATTTACGATTGTTAAGACCCCAAGGAAACCGGTCGACCAATCGACGAATAAACACACATGATCCTCCTGTATATGCCATTTGTCTGCACACCGCGAACCATGTGATGTTATACCTGTCATCGTTTTTCTAGAGTTCTGAATCTGATCTCCAAGTAGTAGACTTTTCACAATCAAGCTGTTGCTTTGTAACTCTCTTCTCAAGTTTTTTGATATACCTGTAACAAGCAAAAAATCTATATAATAATGCTAGTTGACAGATTAAAAATCCGAAAGAGTGGTGAGAAATGTGTAAATTCTGATTAAAGATAGCTATCTCTTCTCGCTAAAACAATAAAATTTTTAGTCAATAAATTATTTATTGAATAAATTAATTTTATTACATACATAATGATGTATTAAATGACAAATCAAATGCCGATAAAATTCTGTTTATTCTCACAATAATTTACTTTAAACGAAATAGCTGAAAAATGTTTTAAATGAAGATAAAAGTTATTCTCAGAATGGAAGAAAAAAAAAATACGAAGGAAATGACGTCACAGATTGGTAGAGATTCTGAAACTGTTTCACATACGCCAGCTCATTGTGTATTCTGATCAGGTTAAATGCGAAATACTTTGAGAACTTACGTTTCAATTTATTGGGAAGTAAATTGACTCAATAAAAGAGAGACGACGAGTGGGCGCAATTGAATGGGAATTCGTATTTTGAATGACTCGTTGACATGTTTATTCTGTAGTTTTGATGAGGATTCATCGATAAAATATACGTGGGAAAATAATATAACAACAGCAACACAATATGACATTTTTAATGAACTGTTAAATAATTTAAACATGGTACTGAATTTAAAATAAACCAAAGAAACGAGAATATAATATAACTAGACTGGAATGAATAATTATGTGAGTTTCGTTAGTGAGAAATATACATGTTGTACCTTTAACAAGAGGCTGAACCTTAGAAAAGATACAAATCCATAGCTTGAGCCGTGACGCCGGAACCCGCCCCATGAGCCGTTGAGCATGACGACGCCTGGCAATTATTTGGATTCATTACTCGCAGGAAAAGAACTTCCCTTCGGAAGAGAGAGAATAAACTGCTAACCTGAACTACTTCGTCCTTCCTGAATAATCTCAACGTTTCACAATAATTTACTGAACCTGAACAAGCCCCCTTTTAACGGTTCCCTCCTGACGGTTAAACTCTGATCAGCAATCCCAGGGGTTAACTACTTGGCCAACTCTTTGTCCCGTCAAAAATCTCACCCTTCGCACAAACATCTTGAAAAAATTCCCACCATGCCATTTAAAATGGTACTTTATAAAAATGTGCTTTTTCATTTTTTTCAGGATTCACACGGTGATGAAGAAACGAACGCATCACCAATCACAGATTTATCTCAAGATGTGGATATACTAGAGGGCTTTCAGAATAACACCCACACATCCATAACGTTCTCGCGGAGATGGCAGACCTGCGACCCAGACGATCGTCATTTAACCGTAAGTCCCAAAAAATGTCACCACAACATGGCTCTTTGATAGTAACCGCCTTTTATCCACGAGAATTTCTATTTCAACTCACAAGTGGGACCTCGAAAATTCGCAGGAACCCACCTGGATGCTCGAGATACCTGGTGGCATTTGCCGCCAAGACATCACATGAGGTCCAAAGAGGCCCATTAAAATGTTTCTAATCGAAGAATCGTAGCTTTAATTTTTTTTTTGTTCTTCTTTTACTACTGCTTCTCAATGCTTTTGTTCGGTTTAAACATAAACTTTTGAATGTTACAGGAAGACAATGTGAGGGTCCTTTGGGCCATGCACGAGGCAGACCCCGAACTAAATACACCGATTTGGCATGGAGAAAAAAGAGGAGGCAGAGCATTAAGACTGCGAGCTCCTGCTCCCGTTCCTTCACCACCACGATCACCTGACATTCGACATTGGGATGTAAAACTCAATCAGTTTACAGTTGATGATAAACAGGAAACTATCTATTGGTGCAAAATATTTACTGCTCCAGCTTTAGAAAAAAAACATCACATGATTGGAGTAAGTAGCATTTAATTTAATTGATTAAACATTTACTAGATACCTAAACATATAGATTATATATAAATATATAGATATTATACATTTTAACTGTAGATATTGAAAAAAAAACTTCTCATTAAAAAATATTATCTAAACTCTCACTGTCATTTAAATGATCAAATAAATTTCACGTTGACTGAACTCTGTCTTTTTGACTTCTGGAAATAAAGATGAGAGAATCTAGACAATTCTCATTAGTATTCAACTGAGAGATTGTTCAAGCAGTCATATCCCTTCCATCTTTCCTCAAGAAACATGATGAGATTACTAACCAATGTATTTCTGTAATTTTTTTTGTTTTTAATTCAGTATGAACCGCTGGTAGAAAAAGGTAATGAAGGTCTCGTACATCATATGATCCTGTACGAGTGTACATCAACATCACAACAACTTGGACAATATTCCAGGGTAGTTGGAGGTCCATGCCACAGTAGTACAACTCCTCCAGAATGGGACTCATGTATTCAACCTGTTGTCGCTTGGGCGCGAGGCAGTAAAGGTATTTTCATTTTTATTTTCTTACCAATAATCTTATAAAGTTAATATTGAAAATAAAGTATGCATTTCCAACTGATAAGATTTCATTACCACATTATTAAATCTTTACAGGCGAATGGCTACCAGATCACGTGGGTATTCCCGTAGCTGAACATAAGGAAGGATCTTATTACATGCTAGAGGTTCACTACAATAATCCTAGTAAGAGAACAGCTATTGATAGTAGTGGAGTAAGACTTCATTTAACTCCTATTTTGAGACCCCAAGAAGCTGGTATTTTTGTCACTGGAGTCGCCGTCAGTCCTCTACACTTTATTCCACCAGAACAGAAACAATATGCTACTGCTGGTTATTGTAATACTCAGTGTACTGAGAAAGTAAGTCTATTATTAAAATTATTTATCACAAACAAATTTAAATAAATAATGGTATTAATTTATTTAAAATTGAAAATTGATTAATTGACGATTTTAAACCATGATAAACCATCTTATTAAAAAAAATAATTAATTATAAGTTGAATTTAACTTAATTGATTTTTTTAATTATCTCCTTTTAGCTGTTTCCTGAAGACGGAGTCAATGTCGTTTCCGTTGTCCTCCACTCACACATGGCAGGTCGAAGAATGAGTTTGAAACATATACGTGAGGGTAATGAACTGCCTCACATTGTCAAGGAGAATCACTTTGACTTCAATTACCAGCAATCTCACAGTGTAAAAGAGGAAGTAAAAATCCTACCAGGAGATGAATTAATTACTGAATGCGTTTATGGAACTCAAGATCGTAAAAAACCTACTCTAGGGGGATACTCTGCCATGCAAGAAATGTGTCTTGCATTTGTCGTCTACTATCCTCGAACTGAATTAGCCTCCTGCTATAGTATAACTCCAGCTAAAGATCTATTTAAAACATTAGGGGTTCATAATTTCAAGGGAGTTACTCTAGATAACTTGGAGAGAATGTTTTCATCAACTGGGTAAATAAAATAACTTTTTGATAATTATTTAACTCTTGTTAATATATTTTTTTTCGATTCATTACCAACTAATTAGTATTTAAATTAATTAAAAATTTTTTCTCTAGAACCGATGCTGTTTCTTCACCTACAACAGCTACCAGATCAAATGAAGGCATTTACAAAGAAGTGATCAAAGGAGCCGAGACGGCTGTGAAAGCAATGAAAGAATACTCTGATGAACGGAATGAAGACAACGTGTTTACAAGATTAGTAATAGAAAATCCACCAGAGTTTAGAGGAAGAACACTAGCTGATCATTTGTTAGCATTACCTTGGGCAGAAGATCTTTTAACAAGACAAATAGAAAATAGTCTTTATCATGGAAAACACACATTATTTTGTATAAAGAGAAACGATCAACTAGCATTACCTATAGATACTAAATTACTCCCAAATTTTACTAAGTTACCGGAAAAAAATGAAACAGTTTGTCGCGAACGAATGATAAGGTCTTCATCAGTAATGTTAATACCTAATTTATTCATTTTGTGTTTTATCATTGCTATTAATTTACTTAATTGCTGATAAAATAATATTTATTATTAATAATATCTGTAGATATTCAAAGAAAAACTTTCAGAGCAAATTTCGCTCTTTTGTATATTTTTTTAAAAATTTTATTTCAATTGGCCAAGTTTATTTATTAAAATACTTTGTACTATTTTTTTACTGTTTATAATTTCTATTTTACTTTAGGATTATAATTATTGATGTTATCGACCATTAATTTTAAAGAATGTAAAAATTGAAAAACCCATTACCCATTAAACAACGTTCATGAACTGTAAATAATATTTAATAAGTATTTTATGATAATCTATAAAAATATTTAAGAACTTTTTGTGTTGAATGAATGAGAAAACGATACATGAAAAATATTTTAATTGTAAATCATTCTATCTTAATAAACAAGTTTTTATAAATAAAACTTTTATTGTATTTTTATTTGAAAATAATTGATAGAATTTATTAGTCTTTGATAGTCTTATAAATAAAATTAATGACACTTTCAAAAGAATTCGAGTTGATGGAAATATTGTGGTTTCAAAACCTCTTATTTTTTCTATTCTTTCTCTCGGCAAAAGAAAATAATAGATAGCCTACCTTATTGATATCAGTTACCAGCCAGGTGCTCCAGTTAATTTTCCATTTGATTAAACCACCGCGTAGGACGATTTACAATCTTTTCAACAAGGGTATGCGATTTTCATTTAATTTTCGCCCCAATAAGCAAAAGGTCCCATGTGGTGGTTGCTGATAACTGTGAATTGCATTTTTATCCAATTATTTGACTCTCGAAGAGTATAAAACTGAAACGTCTGGAGTTCTCCAGTATCACAATCATCGAAGACTTCGAAGAATCTACACCAAGCTCCGATTCTAGCAGCCAACGATTCTCAAGTTTCTCAACCTGTTAAAAAGGTATAAAAATATTGTTTAATTATTTATACTACTACCTACTTATTAAAATGAAACTATTTAGTTTGTTGCTTAGAAAATATGAGACGAACACGTCACGTAGTTTTGCCAGTGAAATCCTGGCAATACATAGGATTGATGGTGGTTTCATTAGCATGCTTAACACTTGGACTTGTGTCACGAGACCGTGAAGGAAAATCTGGAAGTCTTACTGGTCCTGAATTAAAGCATAATGCACCACATGAGTAAGTGCAATTTCTATTAAATACGGAATGGAGAGAATTTTTGCACTAACCGTAAGTAAAAAATGACAAGTGCACTTTTTGAATAATAGTAATTAAGTAATAAGTAATTCTTTTACTAAGACACCTCGTAAGTATCAAGTTCACTTATAAAAACTTAAATTTTACTGTTGAATAAAAATATTTCTACCTCTGAACTTCAAAACATGCACTTGTCATTTAGTGAAAAAATTATTGTCGTGTAACAATATATTTTAATAAAAATTTCTAACGTATTTTAGAGTTGATGCTTGCCCAAATATACCTCCATTTGTTCTTGAGCCGGCTTTCACTTCTATGTTAAATGAAAAAACAAGTGAAATTAACAACAACCTACCAACAGACCAATTGAAAGAAAATACTCAAGAAAATTTAGCATCCACCACTCGGGAAATAATCGCAAATGATCGAAGATTGATGAACTATCGATCTAGAGATGCAAGAAAGGTACGAACAACACTAGAGAATAGAAGACTGGCCCGATCTAGAGACAGATCTACACGAAGTTCAAGATCAGTATCAGTTGATCGACGTATCTCTAACACTATCCGAACACGAGAATTATCAACTCGGCGTGAAAGTGAAGCTGCACGTCTCCAAGAACGACGAGTTCGTGATATGAGAAGTTCTGAACGACAAAATAGAGAAAACCGACTGATTGATACTCGAAGATTGAATTCTCGATCACTAGATCGTGTTTCTGAAAGAGTAACAGCTGATCGTTTAACAAAATCTATTCGAGAATCTCAAGACCGACGATCTACTGAGCGTCGAGAAAATAGAATAAATATTTCTGAACGACGAGAACAAACTCGAAGTCGAACAGTACCTTCACTAGAATCTCGGTTATTGTCTCGATCTCGATTGGAAAGGACTACTGATAATACTCGTGAACGACGATCTGTAGAAAGACGTGAAACTCGAAATGTAGATCATCGTCAACGACAAGTAGAATCTCGATTGTTAGCTCGATCTCGATTGGAAAGGACTACTGATAATACTCGTGAACGACGATCTGTGGAAAGACGTGAAACTCGAAATTTAGATCGTCGTCAACGACAAGTAGACCGAGTTTCAAGGTTAAATCATCAAGAACGGAGATCTATTGAACATCCCAATGAACGATCTCGTATTTCTGATGCTAATGCAAGAACCTGGGTTGAATCTTTACGTCGTAATACTCGCAGTGTTTCTTTAGATATCAATGAAAATCGTTATCAACGAACAGCTCGGGATACTTCTCGAGACCGAAGAAGGGTAATTCAAGATGAGCGACAGTCCAGATTAGAAAATCGAATTGATGAACGTACAAACCGTATTAATAAACGAAAAACAAACTACCTCACACCTATGCCTAATCAACTAATTGCTAAACAAACTTTTAATGTTGGAAAATATGAATTCTTACGTCAAACATTCGTACTAGCTCTTTGTGCTATTTACACAGCTTCACTAGTTCAAGGAAAAAATGGATTTCTAAGGTAAATATCTTGATAGTTAGATCAATTAAAATATCTAGTGAACAAAAAATAATATATCTAAGAAATAATTTATAAAATGAAATATGTTATAGGAACATGTTAAATCAAGCTAATCGACTTACTGTATGGTAAAGCACGAATATCCTCTATCTATCTGATTATTATAATTAGACATAATCGACGTTGGCACCTCTAAAAACCTTGAATAATCATCTTGAGCTAACTCTTCTTTTATCTTAAAGTATAATGGTATATTAATTTATCAGTAGTCGTAGCTAATGAGTCTTTAGAAACTTGTAGTTTATGTATTCCTCTTTACAACCAAAAGATCAATGTGATAATTATAACAACAAATAGTTGATATGCTAATGTATCCTATTTATGCTAAATGTAATAATAAAAATATTTTTTTGTGTGATTAAAAAATTGTATCAATTTATTTCCTCAAAAATTATATTTAATTTGATGCTATTTTGCTTTTTACTTATTTTTAATAATAAAATATTTATTTTCACTAAATTAATTTATTTAAAATTCATGGTTAGAGATGAGAAAAAAATTATATTTATTTCAGATGAATTTGTACATTTGTTTAAAGCTAAAAAGTGTCATGTAAAAAGAGATTATGTTTTTTGTATACAATACTGTTATGATTTAAATCAAACAAGAACTTTTTCGTCATTATAAATTGATAATGATTATGCTCAATTGTGTGCGAAGTATATCCCAGGAATGAAATTTATAATAATACTTTAATGTTCACTTTAATTAAGATGACAATGAAATAACTGAATTTTCATATTTCTATTAATATATCTATATATTAGAATCCTTAAAATATAAAATTCGTTGATTTCCATGTACTTATTCAACTTATTAAAACTTATTTTCTCATTTAAGAGTAAAAAATATTTAAAAAGTATGGATTTCTGGTTGAATAATAAAAAAAAATTCACATACAATATTTACAATAAAAATTATCAACAAATTCCTATGAAAAATATTAAAAATTAAAAAATTGTTATCTAGAAGAATTAAATTATGATGATCCTCTATATTACTTTTTGTAAGATAGAATGGCAAGATTACAACATACATCGACTGTATTAGAGATAATATTAAAATAAATGCCAAAGTTTTTATCAACTCCAGCAGTATATTCTTTGGCAGTGATTCCAATCGACCATACATAATCAGACTAAAAGATTTATACAAAATATCATTTTGATAGAATCATTGAAAAGTTCCCCTAACATTATAAAATAATTATCATTAAGAATACAAATAAATATAAATAAAAGATCGATTGGAAATCGGAAATATTTGGCTATCATCATTATTCTGGTATGAATATTTGAAAACGAGTAAGTTATTTTAGTTAAAAAATGCATTTATCACCTATTAAACATTAGCAATCTCTTGTAACATTCCTAAGATATGATCTAACTCTTGCCTAAAGTAACAAAGTTGTCGATTTTTTCCCCTTCCATCACTTTTACAATCTCTACACTGATTTCTATTTCTCAAAAGTTCTCGCACCAAAGTTTGTAAAGTCATTTCACGACTCTCATGCCTTTGCTGAAGAATTGTAATTTTTTCTTGCAACAATTGTAATTGCTCAGTACCTGGAGTAGAAAGATATCTAACTTTTTCATTTAATATCTTGACTTTATTTTCTAAATGCTCCCGCTCAACCTTTAAAACCAAAACTTGCTCTTTGTAATCCTTCAAACTTTCAATTTGTTGCTTCAAATGAGAAATCAAAGCCATTTGAGTGTTAATCTGTCCTTGGAGTTTAACAACTTTTGAATCCCCGAATTTAACACTATATTCTTTGACAAGACTTGCAACTTCTCTTTCATGTTCTTCTTGAAGTAAGTTCAAATCATGGAGTCTTTTATTTTTTAGACTCATGAAATCCTTATTTATTTTATTTATTTCTTCTTTTAAAAATTCATTCTCTTCATTCAACCTTTTTACTGTTGAGTTTTCACCATTTTCAGAATACTGTAAGGGATCGTAAAGTTTTTGAGAAGATCCGGAAAGTTTAGAAAGACTGTTAGAAATATGTCCATTTTGATAGACATTAGAATTTTGATCATTATCATTTTGGTGATTAGGAATTTTTCCTCTATCATTATCAAATACTTTCGAATTCTTCTTTTCATTGACGAGTTTTTCTTTCTCTTTTACAAGCTTTCTGTTAGTTTTCTGCAATTCCTGAAGTTCCTTATTAAGTTTAGCAAACGCTTTATCTTTGTTAGCCAACTCAAATTTCAATCCTCTAATCGTGGCAATCAAATGTGCATCTTCTTTGCAATTTTGAGATTTAGGACCAGGTTTATTATCACGTTTTCCATTCCGATCATCTCTGTCAACAGGAGAATGTTTTTCTTCTCTTTTCATCTCATTACATTTATTTTCTACACATTGGTTATCAGTTTGTACCGAAGAGTCTTGAAGAATCTTATTTTCTCGTTGCAAAGCTTCAGAAAGTTTCTCTTCCAATTCAGAAATTTGATTAATATATTTTTCTTGCATATCTTTATATTTTTTTTGTAATTCATTCAATTTTTCATTACCAATTTCTTCTTTCGCTGCTAACTCACCTTCTAATGAAGCTATTCTATCTTCCAGAAGTTTGATCTTCTCCAAATTAATTTTTTCACCATTCGTTTTAGCAGAAAGAATCAAAGCTGAAACAGAATCTGGATTCTTCCTTTTTACAATTCTCTCCATTTCTCTCACTTGTCGATTTAAATCTAAAATCTTTTTGTTATCTAGAATAACTTGATCTTTCAATTTCTGAGTCAAAACTTTTTCTCTTTCTACATGGCTTTTTGATACTTGAAGCTTCTCTTGTAAAGCTTTTTCTTTCACTCTAAGTTCTAAAAGCTCTTTTTCTAATGGAACAACGGCCTGTTGAAATTTATCAAACTCTTCTACTGTATTTTTTAATTTTTCTGTTTTTGATTTCAGCTCTGCTTTCATTTCGTCCATTTTCTTACGAGTTTCCATTTCTTCGAGACTCAAAGATTGAAGTTTATCCGTAATAAATTTATCTTTAGTTTTTAATTGTTCTTTGAACATGAATAGTTCATCTTGAAGAAGACCATTTTGCTGTGTCATATCATCATTTTTAATAACAATATCATTATTTTTCTGTTTTAAATCTGTAACTTCGTAATTCAACTTTAAAATTTGTTCTTTCAAGTCTTTTATAACATCATTTAGTTTTTGAACTTCATTAGCATTAACAGTAGGCTCTTTCACCTTCACTTTAGACTGCTCTTTTTTCAACTCTTCTTGTAATTTTTTAGTTTCTTCCATAAGCCTTTTGTTTTCTGTTTCATAAGTTCTTATGAGACTTTCTTGCCTCTCCAGTTCTTTTTCTAATAGCATTACTCTGGTACTAGCTTGTGAATTGACTACTTCCATTCTTTTCTCTTTTCTCTCACTCATTGAAAGTTCATCAATTTTCGCCTTTAAAATGATATTTTGTTTTTTCAGAGCAAAGAGTTCTTCTTCAAAACTTATTCTCATGCTATCCATCTGTTGCTTATACATTTTTGCTTCAGCTTCAATTTGATTTTTTAATAAAACATTTTTATGTCTTTCTTCATGGCATAAAATTTCCCATTCATCCTTACTTAAATGTTTTCTTGAATCTCCAGAATGTAAAAATTGCTTAACAATTGTTTCACTACTCTTTCCTTTTGAAGTTGAAGACTTTGAAGTTGGATTAAATTGTTTTGGACTAGTTGGTTTTATAGAAAATTTAACTTTTGATGCTAAAACATTAGAAATGGGATGTTTTTGTTCACAAATTTTTGGTCTAGTAGCTGGGAGTTTGGAAGAAGTTGATTTCTTGAGTGTTTCAGCAGATTTAGTATTTCTTACATCATCTAAAGACGATCGAAAATTTGTCATGGGTTTAGGAAGCTGATCATAACTTCTGGACGGCCCTAACTTTGATGTAGTTTTTTTTACAGAGAGTTTTGAATTTTTTGGTTTCTTGGGAACCACAGCGTTATCATTTGAACCTTTTGAATGAATAGTTTCTGAACTTATTTTGTTTGAATTTGCATTGTTATTACTATTAAAGACCTCTTTGTCTTCTTTAGTTACTTCTTTTTCTTTTTTGGATAAACTTTCGGAAGATTTTTCTGCTATGAGTTTGGGAATAGCATCAGCAAATAATTCAAGTCGTGGTGTAAGTTCAACAGTATACAGTTCATTAGAAGCACCGATAACCTTTTTAACTTCCTGCTGTAAATAATTTTTTTGTGTTTTTTCTATTTTTTCCGATCGATCTATGCTAGACTGCCTAGATTTAGATTTATTATCATTTTTATTCATAGTCTTATCATCATTACCATTTGCATTCGAATTGATTCTATCCGTACTGAAACCCTGAACTTTAACTAATTCCTTCTCAAGAATTTCTGTAATTTCTTTCTCTGGAAATACTGCATTCTTTGGATCATTTGGTAAACCATCCATCAAATCGAGACCACAATTCCTTCCTGAAGATGAACCCGGCATTTCAGCGTTATTTTGTTTATCAGATTTATTCTGGAGAATTTTTAAAAAATGCGAAAAATCTTCCTGACCGAACGAAGAACTACCAGAAATTTTTCCTTCCGCTTTATCCCTGGATTTGCGAAGTAAGTTATCAAAAAAATCCTTTTCGATATCAGTAATTTCTTTACGAAGATTTTCTTCATCAACAGATTTTTTTCGTTTTAAATCTTCAGACTTGGAATGTTTTTCGATAGGATCATCTAAATCTGAACTGCTAGAAATCTCAACTTTCTGTTCCTCGAATCTTTTTTTCTGTAATTCTAAACTCTTAAGTGGTTTCAAAAAATGAGTATCCTCATAAACTAGTACACAGTCGGGGCTTGGAGAATAATTTTTTTCAATTTTGGGGCTGTTTTTTATTTTTTCAGTCTCTTTATGAACTTCTTGTTCGAGTAAATGAAAAATATCATCTTCTAACTTACTTGTAGATTCTTTCTCATCATCATCATGAGCTCCAGAATTATCAGGAACCAGTGTATCGGACTTGGATGCACTCTTGGATAGGCCAACTTTCTTAACAAGTTTTTCTGCTTCCTCGAGCAACTCCTCCACAGATTTTTCTTCTTCTGTCACTACTTTACTTATTTCACCTGATTTACTAGGTGTTAAATTAGGACTATAAGCTCCTGCTCTTTTACTCATTTCCTCTAATAGACTTCCAATCTCTTCATCAGTTGCATTTTCCAAGTCCGCTAAAATATCATTCAAGGTATCATCTTTATCTTTTCCCGCAGATTCACCTTTCTGACTCTATTTAAAAGAAAATAAAAAATTACTGAAATTTTTACTCAACTTACTTGTTAATAATTCAATAATAGTAGTTTGAACAACCAACCCTGCACATTCTTTCTTTTTCCAGAAACTCTCTCATAGATGAGGTAGTAATTTCCATGGAAGCACTGGTTTTAATTTCAGATCTTTTAGAACTCGATACTTTTAACTTAGTATCAGGTCTTTTCAACCACCATCTTTCCTCCTTGCCTTCTTGATCTTGAGTTGGTGTGTTTTTTGTATTGGACGCTAACTTGGGTTTTTCTTTTAAATTTAACAAACATTCTTCCAAACTTAAACTATTTAATGTATCTACTATTTCAGACTCTTCAGAAGTTAACTAAAAAAATAACAATTGTTTCATAAAAATAATAATAATGAATATTAGAGTATAATTAAGCTAGGTTATAAAAAATACTTATAATGATATGAAAATAGAAAAATTGAAGTTTTACTTACAACTTCGCTCCTACTGGCTTCTTTTGTCTTTAAAATAGACATTATACATGAATTTTATTTTTGCCAGTAGGAAAATTCAGCAAATATCAATAAACTCATTTCTACAGCGTCATTTGACATCACTTAGGTTTGTTTGTTGTTTTCGATCCTTTCTACTTCAAGTAAAAAATAGTTTATGCCCGATAGAGGCCACTGAATTATAGTTCAGCGCAGAAACAGCTGCGTGTAATATTTTAAATTTAAATTATCCATAAAAAAATGCCAACTTCGACCGAAAATATTTATAAAATAATAAAAAATAATAAATACCATTTGAATTTAAATTATATTATATTATAACTGATTTAATATAATAATAGACTTGAGAAATATTTATAAAAAATTACTTAAGAAAATTTTATAAAGATTTTGTAAACAATTAGAAATTTAACCATAGTATCAATTTTTTCGAAAATGTAAGGTAAACATAACAATTTAGAAGTTATTCGAATGGTTTACCTTTCTAATCATAAATTTAAATGTCCATTCTTACCTGCATTGAGAAAAGGTTCAAGAAGAATTATTTACATGTAAGATAGAGAAGCCAAATCACAATAATGAAAAAAGATTCCCAATTTCTGGCGAAAATGATCTAAGTTAAGGTAACAATCATTTGTACAAAAAAAATAAAATTTGATGAAATGAATATAAATTTAATTCTTTGTAGAAATCATATTTGCCTAGAATTAAATGATTTTTATCATAAATTGAGTATTTCTCTCAATACTTCTATTTTGTCTTGGTTTATTTTAAATATAAGAGTAATTTTCACCCAACATGAAATCCAAAGTATTGAACGTTCATACACTAAAATCTGATTTTCAATCATTACATCTAGATTAAATAGAAACTTATGAAAACAGATTCTCACTAATCTTGCAAGGGCTACAAGTATTTATTCTGATAGTAGAATACTTAGCAAAGATTCAACACAGGTTATGATTATAATTTTATAATTATGAATAATTATAATATTGAAAAAAAGAGATGACTTAAAATAGTTTCATAGCATGCATTAAAACTTGTAGCATAAATAAACATCAATAAATTTCAGGAAAATCGTCTTTTGGAAGAATTTTGATTAATATTGGAAATGTTGAAAAATCTTGAAAAGATTGAGAAAAAATAAATAATAATAATAATCATATTATATGAATATAATATTTAATATATAATATTATATTATATATATATATATATATATATATATATGTATGTATTTATATATAATATTTTATATTTTACTTCATCTTATTATTTTAACACACTTGTAGCGTATATGCGTATATTAAAAATGTTGAAAAGTCTTGCAAAGATTGAGGAAAAATAAATAATAATAATCATATTATATGAATATAATATTTAATATATAATATTATATTATATATACATATTTATGTATTTATATATAATATTCTATATTTTATTTTATCTTATTATTTTAACACACTTGTAGCATACACTTGTAGCGTATACTGCGGTATTTATGACATGTTTCCTGTTGGATTTATTGCAGTATTTACCGAGTTTCAAATCTGGAATATTTTAAAAATTTTCTCTGATAAAGATCGCTGAAGATGTTCAATAAATGCGCTCAGGTGTCAAAACCCTTCATTGTTTCCGTCAGGTTTTCTAGAGTAACAGATGGTGCATTGCTTGTCGTGCGTGCTGAAATGAATGTACCTTGTGGAAAAATTACCCCAATAATCCTATTGTAATATTGGCCTCAGAAATAGAATTGAGTTTGGTCAACTACCTCGGCGTCATTGACCTTCCCCTTGTCAAGCTTCTAAAATTCAGGTACTTGACTCATTTAAGATTTTATTATTTGAGGTTTAAATGTTTATTGTACTTATGATGGTACGTCAGTTGACGACGTTTGTAAAATGTCAGTCTAAAATTTTGTCTATTTAATACTTATTTCACTTTGTCTAGACTTAGAGTCGCGACTGCAATATTTTATGGTAGAAAATCCATATTTTTACTGTAATTTATTAAAAAATGTCATGAAAATTAGATGAACGAACTTCAAAACATACGTTGTAAGTTGTCAATAGTAATTATCCAATTAAATTGTTGAAATTAAACGATATTCATTATTTTTCAAATCATTATTGTTTTTTATATATATTTTTTCTATCTATTTATATATTTAAATGGCAAATATTTATTTTCTTATTAATATGATCTTATTTTAACACTTAAATAGCGAAGTTATTTTCGTAATATTATTTGTTGGCTTAACAAGATTTATCGCCACCAAATATGTGTAGAAACACATAAACTGGATAAGCCTGTCTGTAAGTAAATTTCGTTTGACGCCGGGTTTTTCCCTAAATTCATAAAGCACTTGGCTTATTACCTTAAGATCCTTTCTACTAACAATAGAAATTTGTGCAAAGATTCCAAGATTTTGGGTATTCTTAATATTTATAGTTATTTATGGTCGTTTACACCTCAAGTATCTGCAATGGAGCAAAATTTGAGTTTAATGATACTACCTGCATCCCCCAGTAGCACCGCACGAGTGGGAACAACATCCGTTCCCCCCTCTCTCATTCATCCCCTCTTGAAAGAGTGTTTTGATTTTTTTAATAAGAAATTAATAATTTTTGTTTAATTTTCTACGATATTTGTAACAAATACATTGTAACTATTCTGTACAACTTTGAACGAAATTTAAATTCAAATTCTAACAGAATTAAACACTAAGGCCGCCCCTTAACGATAGGCGGTAACTTATCCCCGCTTCTTGCCACATATAGTTCGGCGGAGATGGAGCTGTCTATTCCCGACGGACCTTGCTACGAGTAAGTTGTGTGAAGGAGCTCAGAAAGTGTTTAGTTAGTGGCCGAGTGTATGTGCTAGTGAAAAAGTATTTGTGTATATATAAATGGCGACTGACGAAAAATGGTACTTCACAAAAGAACAATTAGCGAATACTCCAAGTCGAAAATGTGGAATAGATGCAGATAAGGAATTAAGTTACAGGCAACAAGCTGCCAATTTCATCCAGGACATGGGCCAACGACTTGTCGTGTATCCTTTTTAACTTACAAATTTTCAAGCTTCATCACCTCACTTTACCCTTCATTCCCCTTGTCTGTGTTTTCTTAATTCTAAAACCATTATTTTCATTGTATTTTTCTGAATATTTATTAACAAAATTATTTTTTAGTGTGTTAACCTTATTTTTTGACAGTTAACAGTTTGAAAAAGTGATAAAATTGTGTTCTAAATGATGAGTAAACAGTATTGCGACACATAACTGAGGTCACGCGTAGCATCCGCATGCCCATATTGTAGTTTTCAATGTTTACGAGTTTTTTTTGGTGAGAAAATTATTTATAATAATGTATTTTGTTTATAGAATTCATAATTCAATAGTTTTTGATTATTTTTGTATCTTATAATACCTTTTTTATCACTTTTTCATGAGTAATCAGGTCATGAGCATTCCGTATTGTTTGCGATGGCTTTGACAGGTGTACCAACTATTAATATATACAAATTTTCTACTTTATTTCATTATTTTTCAAAAATTTTCCTTAACTCAAGTTATTATATGCAGTACGCAATTATGTATAAACACAGCTATAGTTTATATGCACCGATTTTACGTGTTCCACTCGCTGTCACAATTTCATAGGAATTCAATTGCTGCAGCAGCCCTTTTTTTAGCAGCTAAAGTTGAGGAACAGCCGAGAAAGCTCGAACATGTAATTAAAGTAGCTCATATGTGTCTACATCGTGGCGACACAAATCCTCCCGACGTTAAATCTGAGGTAAATATCTTGAAAAGATTTGTTTAATCATAAATTTCAAGATCATTGCCCAATTCTAATGGTCAATGAATTTCCACAGGCATATCTCGAACAAGCACAGGACTTAGTGTTTAATGAGAATGTCTTACTTCAAACGTTGGGATTTGACGTAGCCATTGATCATCCTCATACTCATGTTGTACGATGTTGTCATTTGGTTAAAGGTAATTATTATTTTTTTTTTCAATTAATTAAATATTTAAGAAAAAAATTATTGTTAAATCATGTAATAATTATGAAATGAAATACTTGAAAACTTAATTGTTTTTAAATCTATTGTACATACTTTTATGAAAGTTATTTTGATATAACCATTTTTATAATAGTTAATCGATTAATAATCAGTGCCAAATGAATAATATAATCATTTTTAATTTCAGCGAGCAAGGATTTAGCACAGACGTCGTACTTCATGGCATCAAACAGGTGGATAAAAATACACAAATATTTCTTACTCTTGAACTCTTAGCAGACTTTAACCGATTGATTAGTAATGACGCATGATTGGATGTCATTAATTTATTTCAAAACTCCAATAAGCGTCGTAATTATAATCATCGATGCAACATTCTTTCTCTTCTTTGATATTTTCGATTTTTATCGTAGAGCGTTATCTTAAATTTGTCATTCTTTGGGAGATAATTATCTGCGTTAAATAAAACCACTAAATTCAATCAAAATAGAATGTTGTATTGTTAAAGTCGCATTGATAGTCTGATAATAAAGATAAATAAGAGTTAATTACTGGAGCGAAAAAGATCAATGCAATAAACAAAAAAAATGAATGAAATAAAATCATGTTAAACCTGAATTAAAAATATAAAGAATTATTTCACAATGAGGATTTGACGCGAAAGGTAAATTTAAATAATTTTTAGCTTCAAAAACGAAGTGACTTAATTAGAACACATCACATTATTATTTAATCATCTATTTATTCATTTATTTTTTTCCAAACCAAATTTTATAACCCATCATTTGACTTCAATCATGTTGTGTAGTTACTCAAACTTGTAATTTTCCTCTACTATAAATTTTTTCATGTACTTATTCATGATTACAAGTTCAATAATTAAATATAATTTTTTTTTTATTCCTCAGCTTACATTTAACCACCATGTGTCTCCAATACAAGCCAACAGTTGTCGCGTGTTTCTGCATCCACTTAGCTTGCAAATGGTCCAATTGGGAAGTAAGTACATGAATGAATTTATTTATTTATTTATTTATTTATTGAGAAAATAAAAAAATAGTACATGGATACTAAAATGTCTTTTTTCGTTACAGATTCCTCAAAGCAATGAAGGTAAAAGTTGGTTCTGGTATGTTGATCATACAGTAACAGCTGAGTTGCTTCAACAATTGACTGCAGAATTTCTCCATATCTTCGATAAGTGCCCATCACGGTTGAAGAAGAAGATAATGAGTATTTCTGAAAAACAAAGTCCCAATATGCATCATCCAAGTTTGCCCAATTCTCCATTCGATGCAGAACCAAGAAAGGTACAATCACCTGCAGCAGATAGTGGTCCAACTTTCCAGTCAGCTCGACCATTTCCTACTGAAGAAGATAAAAAGAAATCTTCTAATTTACCACCAACTCGTCCACCAGTTGATTACCGAGAATATCGGGAGAAAAAAGAACGAGAACGTTTGGAAAGAGAGAAAATAGCTTTAGCAAGTGGATCTTCATCTTCGCAGCCTCATTCACAAGATATAAAGCATCATTCTTCTCATCACCACAAGCAACCGTCCTCATCAGCACCTTCTACAGTAGTTCCTACGTCATCAGCATCAAATAAAAACTTACCATTACCAAGCCAAAAGACTAATATTCATCACAATCATCATCATAGACCAGATATGAAACTTCAGCCGTCATCACAAAGGCATTCCACCAGTTCACAAGCGCGAGATCCAGCTCGCGATGCATCTCGACAACGAGTTCCTAGAGATTATAAATCAGGACAAGCTCCTACTGCTGTTCCTTATTCACACAATCATCCAGGAAGCCATTCGAAGGATGGGAACGTTATTAGTGAAAATTCTTCAAATGAAATGCTCCCAGTTTTACCCGAAAGTAGTCAACCTCATCAGAATCCTGCCGAAAAAGTTAATAATAATCACAACGTTCATAGGCTTGTGCAACATGATAAACGATTTTATGATTCGCGACATAAACTTATTGATCATCGAAAAGATGAACGGAAAAATTATCCCAAGTATGGCGAACAAGTGCGTAATGATAAACCCAAAAAGCCACCAGATTCATTAGAACAACGTAGTGAAGAAGTAAGAAAGCTTATAGAAAAGCCATTGCCACTTCCCAAACCTCGCGCTGAAATTCAAAAAGAAGAGTATATTGCCAGTATGCTTAAACAATCACATCATCCAGCACCAAATAAGTACAATCTCGAAATACCAGTGTCGTCAAGTAATTCTAACCGGAATACATTTCCACCAAAGGGTATGATGAAACTACAGCCAGTGTTTCCAGGAACAGTTAGTCAACAGCATCCCCACAATGTCACACAGATTTTGAAGGACACAAAAAATGGAACTTCAAATATAAATATGAATTCCAATGTTGGTAATGTTGATGAAAAAGTGGATAAACGTGTAAAGCCCGAAGAAACAGTGACTCAAGTACCTCCAGTTAGACATAAATCAATTTTTAGTCCAGTAAAAATGCCGAATAGTAGTGAATCAACGCCATCAAATCGTAGTAAAGTAGGAAGACAAAAAACTCCACCGATTTCAACGAAATCAATCAAACCTGAGCGTTCGTCTGAAATACCACAAGGTTTAAATATGATTTGTTCACCACCATTCAGTTCACCGAGTTTATCTCAATTGCAATTATCATCAAATTTAGCTCAACATACGCCAATAAATAGTAAACGTAATCATATGCCGCATTTAGGTGATCCAGAACCACCAGCAAAAGTAAAACTTGATGAGCTAGATTGTTTAAGTATGAAATCATTATCTGATTTTTCAGAACCACCAATAGACTTAAAATTCGATCCATTAGAGTCGTTTGACTCAGAATTAAGTAGTTCGAAAAGTATTTTAACCAATGGATTAGATGCTATAAACTTGAATTCACAAAAAAGTGATAGTGAAAAATTAGATAATTCATCAATAAATATGAAAGTTGAATATCTAAGTCCTATGAAATCAGCACAGAGTATAAGTGCATTACTTGCAGAGCCTTTAGCACCAATGCCTTCATTGCTTCAAAACTTATCTGATGATTCTGGTAATTTTTCTCAATGTACTGATAATTATTCTGTACCGAGTCAGAATTTAACTCAACCATCAGAACCTCGTGCTCAAGTGATGACAAACAGTGTAAATGCCGAGCCACATATTGACGAATCTTTCGTTCTCTCAACCGTTGACATTAGTGCACTTTCTGCTCCTGTCCAGACTGTTCCTGAAGTGCCAATAGTTGTTAATTCACAATCAGATATTAAGTTAAAAGTTGAGCATCATAAAAGTGAAAAGAAAAAGAAAAAGGATAAACATAAGCATAAGGATAAGGATAAGAGCAAAGAGAAGCACAAACACAAGCATAAGGATAAGGATCGAGAAAAGCATCGTGATAAAGAAAAGGATAAGGACCGCAGTAAAGATAAGGAGAAGGAAAAAGAAAGTAATAAAGAACGTGAAAAATTTGATGATAATGCTACTGCACCAATTAAAATCACTATTCCAAAGGATAAATTAAATCTCTCGTCGGACTCAAGTATTTCTCAAGATAAAAAAAGTCCTCAAAATACAGGGTTGAAAATAAAAATCCCTAAAGAAAGACTCAAAGGATCTGAATCATCAGTCACTCCAGTTCTTCGTGATGCTCAAGCTCCACTGAAGATTAAGATCCGTACTAATGCGGCTCTTTCGCAAGATTACAATACAGATAATCGTAAACGTGAACGAGATACGAGTTTAGACACTAGTGTATCAGCACCTCCAGCTAAAAAGTTGCAATTATCAAGTGTTAATCAAACCCCAAACCAATTAAGTCAGCAGCTATTGCAGCAAATGCAACAACATCAACAACATGCGAGACCGAATGAGAGGCAAAATGGACGTCATTATAATTCAAGCAGTAACAACAAGGTACGTGGAGGCGGCAGAGGACCTCTTCCTAGACAATTTAATCCCCGAATCCCGCCTTCTAGTCTTTTTAATACAAACTTACGTGATAATTATTATGTTAATAATAATAAACAGAGTAATGAGCATGATATTTACAATAGAAACATGAGAATTCCTGATTTTAATCGACAGATTAATCAAAATAATCACAATAATACTCAGCAGCAGGATCCATCATTTTTTTTTGCTAATTATCCACCCCCTCAACTATTCAATACTACGGGTTATTATTGCGATCCTAATTTATATTATCAACAGTATCAACAATTTACTATGTATCCACAATCCAATGTTATTCTTACGGCTGATGGTGCCATTGACACTTCTATTCCACCACCAAATCTTGCTATCTCTTCAGCTAATTCTTCATCGACAACTACATTCAATCCTATGCAAAGTCAAACTTTTAATCATTCGCAAAACTCACAAACACTCCCACCGCTTCCTAATGAACCACCACCCATTTCTGAACCACCTCCACCACCACCACCAGAGTAATTCATACAATCAGAAATATTTTTCATCATTTTTTCCACCCTTTTCCTATTTTTATTCCTTTTTGTCGCCCATATTTACTTAAAATAATGAATTTGTGAATGGTAGATTGAAAAAAATCATGATTATTATGATAAAAAATATTTATATATTTAAGTAGAAAGCATGGCATTGTATAATTAGTTAGATCTTTAGTTGATATTCTAATTATTTCATTTTTAAAAATTTTTTCTGTTTTCTTTTTGTCTCTATTTTTTCATTTGGTATGTTCTAATGTGCAATTGCTCTGTTTGCAATCACTTTTCTTTTTTAAATTATGAATCGTCATATTTACTCCATTACATTCAATAAATTTAATTAAATTATAACCTTCGCTTTCCTTTTTATTACGAACGACAATAGTAATGGAGGTAATATTTATAAAAAAGAAAAAAAAATAACGAACAAATGAAACACATTGAAAAATCCATTCAACAAAAAAGATAGTGAAATTTAGTTAAAATATTTTTTTACATAGCTTCTTTTTATTTATAAAGTATATTTTAAATACCGAATGTAATGATGAAATAGTGCATAGGAAATTTGAGTAGAATGATTTTTGCATGGAACGTTACCTTTGCTGGCAAAGGATGGAAAAAATGCAATGATAGAAAAAATGTAGGTAGGACTGATATAAATTAATTTTATAATAAAATTCAATTGCTTTTTATTGAAGACAACAAATAATTAAATAATGAATTGCTATAAATATTATGAGAAAACTGCACATAAAAATGTGTTTTTGTATATATTAATGTTTATATTGAGAAATTTTATTGTTAGACTTGCTTCATTGTTTAAATAAAAAATTCAATTATGTATAATTTAATGTAATTTAACAAATAATAATCAACTTAAAAAACGAAAATATACACTTTAAATGTTCACTAATTCATTTGGAATTAAAATTGAAGTTAGGTTGAAATATTTAAAAATATGCAGTAAGAATGAGATATTTTATTTTTTGTAAATATTAAATAATATTTCATACTGCGTTTACACGGAATAGACTATAATAGAAATTTATAGTTAATTTTTTTTTGTTATTAATATTCATATTTGCCATTAAATACATACATTTCACGATGTTAATTATTGATAAAGTGATAGGAAATAATGAATCATTGAATAGTTTTGAAACGTATATTAATTATTGTTAATTTTTTAATTGAAATCACTACTTCTTGCCGATTGTTGTGCATGATCATTTCATTCGTCTATATTGACTTCTATTTACGTGTCTATAGTAAAAAGTTAGTAATTATTATTATTTGTCATTTTTGATAAACGGCTCAAGTACTTTTGTAAAAATGAATTACATCGTTAAGACAATAGCAAATGGATAAAAAAAACGAAAATCATAAAAAAATTTTATGTAAATGTCATTGATGTAATTTAAAGTTAACGACATTTAATAAATATTTTAAATAGAAAGACAAAATAATTGCTAAGGTTAATAATTTAAGAGAGATAATTTTTTAAATATATTACTGATTATAAATAAATAAAAAACGAAAAAAAAAACAATAATTTTTGTACTCAACTATTTTATGTTGATAGTAAATATTTACAAAAAAAAGAAAGACAAAAGTCGCAATTATTGATAATAATTTCTATTAATTTAAGTGTGTGAGAGGGCAAGAGAGAGGACGAGCGAGAAAGCATGAACGATCGACAATTTTAAAAATAAGTCTATATAAACATTTTTATTAACATTTATTTAAAAGTACGTATCGCTGCGTTGGACGTAACTATTGCATTCAATTTGTATGTTCTATGTATTTGCTTGAATTTTTTAATTCGAGAATAATTGATTAATAAATAAAAAAAGAATTTAAATATTAAAGTTCAGGCGATGTACGTGGCACACTTTAACAATAATTAATTTAATAACAATAATTATTATTATTATAAGGATATAATTAATCATTGAATAAAAAGTATTCAAGAAAAAACAATAATAAAAATATAAATTTAAATGAAATACCTTAGTATTTATTTTGTCTTTTTTTAATTAATTTTATTTTTAATCATCATCATCAACTATTTTTCATTTATTGTATACTAACCAATTGACATTTATCTAATTAATTAATTTTGCGTAATTAATATATGTAACTAAGAATATTTGCTCATTTTTAATATTTAATTCACACAATGTCGTTTCATTTGTTCGCTTGGTGAAGGGATAAGGACTATTTTTCATATTTGATAAATATATTTCAATGCATGTTGTGACTTTCATATGTGTTTTAGAATTGAAATTTTTTCGTCTCAGTAATTAATCTTTGCATGAAATATCAATAATATAATAAAATCTGATGGAAATAGTTTTTTCTTTCTAGAAAATAGTATTGTAACAATCTATATTTTTACTTATTTTTATTTTAGTATCATTTGTACTTTTATTCATGGCATGTTCATTACATCGAAAAATCAAAAATCCCATCCAAACAAAGAATTTCTCTCTTCTGTTGCAGGATAAACATTCATCACGAGAATACAAGAGTTCCAGTAAATTCTCACAATCTCAGCAATCGCACCCAACGTAGTATCAAGACGTAAAATAAATAAATAATTGCATTAATCGAACAAGTTAATAATAAATGACTGTGCGTTTAGGAATTTCGAAATTCAATTATATTTTATAATGTGTTCTGAACAATAAGTAAGCAAACGTTACTATGAGAGAATGCATGACTGAACGATGAAGTGGCTGCAGAGAAAAAAATATTACCAAGAAATACAACACAAATAAAAATGAATTCAAAATTTTAAAAATATTTCTAACTCTATAATTATCATTGTAATTATACTCGTGATAATTATTACTATTATTTTTATTAGATTTCTCAAATTGAGAAATGCAAAAAATTATAATAGTAATAGCTAGAATGACATGTAAACAGGCTATGAATTTAGAAAAAAATTTTTTTTTGTTCTAGTTAGATAATTAATTTTGTAAACTATTATAAATTACGTTAATGAGGGAATTAACGTGAATGATGACAAATACATTGAATACGTTATTTAGAGTAGTAAAAAATTAAATAAAAAATGTTAAAAAAAATCATAAGTATAAAATTAAAAAAAATTACTATTACTCAGGTGAAAAAATTTGAGGCTTTTGCTCTAAGGTTTTGACTTTTAAACTAAAGAATACTTATGGCAATTTTGTTTCTCATATTATTATTAATACTAATAAATAATCGAACATGCAAAAGCGAACATTAAAGTAAAGAAAAGCAAATATAAGTGTAAGTGACGGGAGTAGGAAAAGAAGAAATATCGATTAATAATCATCGTAAATATTTTCTCTGTTTTTTTATTATACTTTTTTTTGATTTTGTAAATAATGAAGAAAATAATAATCTTACAATTATTGAAAAAAAACTGAACAAAAGATCGTTATTTCAATTTTTTATTAACCATATTCAAGAAGTCCTTTTCATCTTGTGTAATAATTAATATTACTAAATAAGTAATTGATTAATCAATTAATGAGGATAAACTTATAATAATACGTCACTCACAATTAGTATAAATGCAATCAGTAATAATAATAGTTGACTTATTATTATTCTTTTTATTTCGATTATTATTTTATTATCATCAATATTACCATCATTACTATTATTGTAAGAGTGTAAATAAAATTATTTTGTATGTCAAAATAAACCAAATGAATGATAATTCTGATTAAAATCTAAGGAAAGATAATCATAACGAGTTAAAAATATAAGAAAAAATATTGTTGAATGCAAAAAAATATTTAAAATGCAAGGCTGACACAAATCTTTGCAAATACTATTTGTTTATCCAATATTTTTACGTCTTTTTTGCAACTTTAATTATTAAATAACAACAAGTGTGTTTGCAAATAGATAATTAGAAAATTTTTTCAACGTAATTTTTTTCATGCATTTATTAATCGAAAATAAACTGATGAAAGAAACAAAAACATTTACAGTAATAAAATATTCGTTTTCTTAATAACTATGTTTAATCAAGAAATGAACAAATTTTTATTCATTTTCTCTCAATGAATTTTTTAGTTGTTTATATTAATAATTTAGTCTTAATTATTTAATTTATTCATTCTTTAGTCATAAATACTTTCTATTAAACAATTAATAAATAAAAAAATGTAATAAGTAAACGAAATAAATCATTGAGAAGGAAATGTTTAATAGAAACTCGTTGAAATTTAGATACTTCATTTGAAATTTAATGAAATTGCGAACAATATACGGAAATGTAAATAAATTAAAATGTTTTAATTACTTAATAAATTAAGAATAATAAAAAATAATTTACCCATAGTTTGTGATTTTGTTTTTTTTATTGAGGACAATATTTTTATACAAATACAGAATAATTAAGCAATACTACTGGCATTGGATGCAATCCTCGGCCATAAGTCTGCACATTCTTTTGCAACTGGTCCAGTAATAGCTGATCCTTTCATTTCACCTTTGTTGTTAACAATAACACCTGCATTGTCCTCGAAATAAATAAATACTCCATCCTTCCTGCGGAAAGGTTTTCGTTGTCGAATAACAACTGCTGGCATAACTGAAAATTTAATAATTGTTATGAATATGTGTATAACAATATAAAACAAGATTATGGACTTAATGAAATGAATGATACCTTTTTTACGGAGTTCAGGTTTACCCTTTTTAACAGTAGCAACAATCATATCTCCTGAACCAGCAGCTGGGAGACGATTTAAACGTCCTTTGATACCTTGGACAGCGATAACATAAAGATTTTTGGCTCCTAAAAAGATATAAAAATAATATCGTCATAAATTAAGTTTGAGGTTATAAAAATTGTTTGGAGGTTATTCTGTCATCCGAAGAGTGTCAAAAACAACTAAACTCACCAGTATTATCTGCACAGTTAATTACTGCACCTACTGGAAGACCCAATGATATCCTAAACTTCGCTCCTGCGGAACCTCCTCGTCCTAAAAAACAATTAAACAAATTTACAAATGCACTTATGAGTAGCTGATGATCGTGCTCTTCACACTGATAAATATTGTCTTGATATTAATATATAGCCGAAACTTTTTATACAAACACATAATTAAACATTTGCTAAAATTAATTTTAAATAATTTTTATCCATATTTTATCAAAAAACACTCGATTTTAACGGATTTTTATTCCCTTAGCATCAACTCACCTCTCTTCGACATGTTTACGTGTTTAGAAAGGCCTACGATTTATTCACAATTGATAAAGCGATCACAACTTGCCGCCATATTGAATCTGTTTGATCGACTTATGGTATTGATTTTTTGAATAAAACTTATTTGAAAATTTTTAACTAAAAAAAAGATAAAATAATTTTTCAAGTAATAAATAATGACTTTTGTAGATAAATAAAAAAATTTGATACTGCTCGTGTCAGACGTAAGTTTTTTAACCATGAATATAATTAAAAATATATGTTTGAAATATTCTTTGTTGTTTAAATAATTAGAAGAGAATGTTTAATGTTTATTTACTCATTTTCACGTACAAATCCATTTTAACTACTGAAAAAATACACTGATTTTTAATTACTTTTTTTTTTATTATTTATAATATTTAATACTCACAAAACTAAATAATTTCGGAAAATATCTAAAACTATTTAGTAGAACATAAACGCTATGTAGTACACATTCAATTATTGTTACTTCTTCATTAGGTGCTGAAATTATTAATTGATGAATATCTATTGACGTGTAATTATTAATCGTTTACAATTATTCTACAATGCCACATGCAATTTTACAAGATGCTTATGAGTTGGAGCTAGAAGGTAAATAAAGAAAATACAGTATACCAATAACATCACTATCAATTTCGACATAACCTCATATAAATTATATTCAATATTATTTTGAATTTTCAGCTCAAGAACCATGGCCTCAGCTAATAAAATTATATCAACCACATGAAGTAGAACAAATCTTACTTCCTGATAATGCCAACTGTTTGGCAGTTCAAGCATTTCTTCATATGTGTAATTTAGAATATCAAATAATACCACGAAAAAATGCTGAATACATGTCTCCATCTGGAAGAGTCCCATTTATACAATGTGGAGCATTTCTCATTTCAGATTTTGATAATATCGTTAATTTTATAAACAATAAAGGTACATCATTATCAAATGAATTATCGTCAGAAGAAAAATATGATATGAGAGCTTACATGTCTTTAATCAATAATGGCCTCGCGAATGCCGAGCAATATATATGTTGGGTAGATCCAGCAACTCTAGAAATAACGAAACGGAGACATGGCAGTGTTTATCCTTGGCCGTTAAACCATATTTTAAACTGGCAAAAACAAAGACAAGTTATTAAAAAACTAAAAGTTCTTAGTTTATATAATAAAACTCTGGATGAAATTTATCAAGATGTTAAAATCTGTTGCACTGCACTATCCAAAAGATTGGAGAACAAACCATACTTTTATGGTGATAAGTAAGAGTTATTTACATACTAACAATTTATATTTTTTAATTATTTATATTTTTCATACAACGCACCCTTTTTATAGACCTTCTGAACTGGATTCCTTATTTTTTGGCCATTTCAAAGCACTTCGTACTTTTCCCTGCCCTTCTCCATGTATCCAACAATTGGCTTCAATTATCCAATCATTTAACAACTTAACTCAACTTTACAAAACTTTTGAGTCTATTTTGTTTCCTTCTCGTCACTGTTTTGATTATTATTTCCAACAATATGCCTCAATTGTATTTAATAGAAATTGGAGTTTTTCTGATGACTCTTCATCAACTTCTGATGACTCCTTCGATTTCAAAACATTTTATTACGTTAGAATTGATTATTTAACTCAAAAATCAAACTTTTAATAATTGCCATAAAATTATTTTTTAGGGGACCAACTGAACTTGATGCTCTGGTATTTGGCCATCTCTTTACGATAATAACTACACCAATTCCTGGCTGTAAATTAGGAGAGATAGTAAAAAATTTTCCGGACCTCGTTGATCTCTGTAAACGCATCGAGACGAGGTATTTCGGACGTTCAGAAGGATAGGAGCAATTTAATTGTTCGAGTTTTAAATTTGTCGAAGTGATTTATACCGACTGCACAACAACAAAATTCCTTTGTTTAGCATCAAAAAAAGAAGAATACGAAGGTGGAAAATTGTTGTGTAGTATCATGTAACAATCAGTTTATTAGACTCCAAAGAAATCTTGATAAATTTAAAACTCGAACAATTTTGGAAGATACTGTTTGTAGTACTTGATGGAATAATTTAAATAAAAAGAGATATAGCATTATACAGTAAAAACGAATAGAGCCTTATATAAAATTAAGAGTAAATAAAGGAATTGTAAATATATAATTATGTTATATAAATAGAATAATTATATGAAATGACGTGTTTCAGCTTTTTTTCATCCCTCCGAACATTTGGAAGCATCAATTACGATAAATTATTTACAACAAAGAACAATCAAGACTGTTTGAAGGATCATGATGTAAATAATGATCTCGAAGCATCATTAGACACTACGGATAGCTTGACAAATCATAAAAAATCGAGTTTTTTTTTCTTTCCTATGTTGTAAAATATTTATCTGGATCTCTTCATACTTTTCTATACTTTTTAACACATTTTATGTCATATTATACTAACTACTAAATAATCAAACATTTTTATCTATTTTTCTATTTATTTATTTATTATTTATTAGGAAAAAAATTTCCTTTACAACTATTTATTTATTATTACAATTATTTCACTTTTTGTGTGATGTTTTTAATAATGTAAATTGTAAACTTTTTTAATATTTTTGTTTTCATGTATTTGTTTTATCAGCCGTATTCAAAAGTGTAACAAAACGATAATACTATTTTTGATGTTACAATATATTTATAAGAAACGATAATTACAATTTTTTAAAAATTATAATTCATCGGCGTGATTAAAATTGCACTGACTTGAAAACTATGATCTAATAATTATTTTTGAACTATTTATATAACTTTTCCTATCAATTCTTAGTTTTTAACTAATTAATCAACTAATGTTACAGTTACAATAGGAATATGTGTATAACTCTATTTTCATAAAGAAAAGAATTCATCATAAGGTCTGTAATAGTAAGAAGGCATATACTTAGAAACTACAGGAAAACAGTTCAAAAAAATATTTATTAATTGTAAGTAAAATAATTAAAATAACAACTAAAAAATCTTATATTTTTCGACTGTTCATCTAAAAATAAAGATGTACTCTTACAATTACATTTCTCTTATACCATGTTTTATAATGACTTTAAAATAATACTATTATTTAATATTGTTTAAAAGACAATTAAAAAAAGAAATTCATTTTAAAGCTAATTTTATCTCAAAAATTACGCATAAAATATTTTGTTCGTTCACGAATCAACACCATTAATTTTTTGTCATCTTTGCGCTAATTCTTGCAGTATAAGTAATGATTCAAAAAATCATTTGATATATTAATTATTTTTTGTATAGATTAAATTTGATGTCAAATAAATAAGTATCTATATATCAATTTAAAAATTTATTTTATACCGAAAATTTTAAATTTGAATCGGTCGATATGTTTAAAAACTGTTGATAATTACTTACCTATAATAATAATAATAATAATAATAATAATAATAATAATAAATGAATCATTCAATTTTTTAATCTTATAAATTTTTTTTGTCAATTTTTTTTTAATTAAAAAAATATTAAAGCAAAATATTTAATATAAATCTCATTAATCAGGGGGTAGAAAACTAAATAATCGAAATTGTTCTCTTATATGTGGTCTAACATCACCACCCCAATGTACTAAATTTTCCAAAAATGGCAATAATTTCATTAGCTCGTTATCAGCTCTATCATCAAACCAGCTTTCAATTGGTATTCCATTTTCTAATTGATAACCGAATGCTTGTGGACTATTATCAATAATAACGGTTTTTGATAAATCACGTCCTAGAATTGACAAATCTTTAATGTAATTACCATTTACACAAACACAATGTTCACGAAACAGCCTATATTTGATTAATTTTCTTGTAGGATCTAATAAATTCATCAATTTATTTGCGTATACTCTCTTGCTAGCAGTAAATAATATAACTTCATACATGTTAGAAACGTGTTCCAAAAATTCACGAAAAAATGGACGAGTTCTTACAAAAACCGTATACGTTACATCCTGAAATACTACAGGAAATCGAAAAGCCGCATCGGATAATTCTTGAAGACTACAATGAACAAGAGTTTCATCTAAATCAAGAACAAGTGAAAATTCTGGACTACTTCGTGTTTTTAACGGAAGTGCTGGACATCGAGCACGCATTGCCGGTGTTAATGGTGGTAAATGTTTAATAAAAACGTAAGGATCAAATGGCAACCAATCATCTTGCGCTTGAGTTACAATATTATCCATATCACAACTATCAACAATTTCTTCATTACCAACATCCATATATTTAACATCCTGATTGTACTGATCATATTTGGAAATTTCTAAATTACCATTATTATCAGAATTTCTCGTATCAACATTTGAATAAACATTAGAATTATATTTTACGTTAGAATAATCATAATCTTCAACATTTTGTTTATTATAATCATCATAAGAATACTTTTGATTAGAATTTTGATAGTACTTATCCGTTTGATAATTAGTACGATTATTTAAATTTGACGTAGTTTGCATGATTGTATCGTAATAATCATTTGAATGTTCAGTATTTGAACAAATTGCTGAATAATGTAATGAAAGAATATCGACGACTGATAAAACTGACCCTGACGAAACGTCTTCTGCGTTATTTTCACTTACATTCGTTTCTTCTCGCAATAAACATGATAAATCTGGTGATTCATCAATAGCTGCTGGTAGTAAATCACTCAAAAGTCGAATATTTGGTAATGAATTTGGATCTTCCTCCTTTTTTGGAGACGAATCAACTTGGACATTAGATGAATATGATGGTAAATTCCAATTCTCTTTAGTTTCATTAATTTTTGGAGGTTTAACACTGTTGTCTCCATTCGAAACACATCGTCGTATTGGAGTAGATGTAACCATTGACCTCTTAATACATTTCCTACGTCTTGGAAGTCTTTCTCGTCTTATTCCGGGTGTTTTTTTATAATTTAAGACGTTTTCTTTGCAGGCCTAAATGATGATAACTTTTAATAATTATATTACAATAAAATAAAATTGAGAAGGTGGATTATTACCTCTTTCAATAGACTAGGAGATCTACGACGCCAACGCTTTAGATTTCCACATCTGGTTGAAGTATTAACCCTTTGGCTACCATTATTTATTGTTGATACTTTTCGTACTCCACCTTGAACTCGCCCTGATACTTTTCCAGCTGTTGCTGAAGAATTTAAACGGCCACGAAGCCGTCTCCCCACATGCTCACTTCTTAACCACATCTCAAGACTGTTAATCAATCTAAAAAAAAAATTGTTAGTAAATAAAAAATTTTTAATTAATATTTTTTTATAAATATAAATTTTCATAATCTTCCGGTTGCTTTATCTTCATAATTCTGGTGCTCTTCGGTGATAGGTAATAAACTCATCAAGATTGGAGTATTTTTATAAATAGGTTAATATAGGACAACGTAAGGGCGTGTTTCTCAAAAAGGATTTGCCTCTCTTACGTCATCTTCGTCTTTTGCCTTATCGATTTGCGGGGGTGGTCAACCCATTCCAGAGTGTTCTCTGTAACCAGTTGGATCGATATGTTTTTACCGACTAAAAAATGCACATTTGTAATTAAAAAAAGTACAAAAAAATTCACACAAAATTTTCATATTACACAATGTCTACTAGTTGAAAATTGTAACTTATTAGATATATTTTAAAAATTTGTTTATTTATTTTTTTTTTAATGAAGATAATTTTTTGACAATAATCGATCAACTCCAAAATCACAAGTTTAAAAGTAGCGTCACGACAATACGACCGAGTGAGAGGCAAATGGCGAAAGAACAAAAAAAGAGACGCAAATAGACGATTGGAAACACGAAAAATTCCCGCGTAAATTAATGGGTTACACTGTTAATATATGCCAAGATAGTACGATTAAATTAGCACTCACCATTTCGTCTTTTCTTTCAGAATATATTTCTAACAATTCAATTGTTACTACCCACGATTATTATCAATTTGTTGACATGAATACGAGATGAACGCTTACACTTTTCATCCCCTCCGTAAACTAAACAAATATGGCCGTTAAGACGCTGAAAAAAATTATTACTCAAAGCAAACGCTATGACAATCAACAATAGCATACCCTTTTGAATCAATAATTATAACGATGTAAGAAAATATTGTTAGAATATAATGAATCATAAATCAACGACAATTTTATAGTCTGCTATAAAATTTCATTTGACTCCGTCATTAACAGCGGCCATGTTTCTAACAAATTGGCGGTAAGAATTTGAATTCTATCTTCAAACTATTTTTCTTTCGTACTTGATTTGCTTAATTGTTATCGATGAATATGTAATATCCAGTATTATAATTCTCATTAAAAAAACATAAACGAATAACATAATTGTTAATATTATACTTGGATAATGTTTTACGATACAATCTAAATTATTGTACATAAATAATGATAAGATAAATGTTGTTTCGAGTTAACAATGCAGTATGTTAAATGGTTATCAATAGATTACACTTAGTAACAAAATTTTTATATAATAATAATGTCTGGTAATTATATAAGTAATGTAATTTCCTTATGAATTCGATAATATAACCCTTAGCATTTTAGAACATTTTACTATAGTAAAAATTGTTCAGTCTGTGCTACATTTTTACAATAACTATGAAGTCTTTCTTATTATTTGGTCTCATTCTATCATACATAAATTTTTTAAATGCGATTAAATTATCACCGATATACGAATGGAAGTCCATAGAATTTGATTGGGATTCAGAAGAAGATCAACAAGCTGCTTTAGAGTCTGGAAATTACATTAAAGATGCAGCACTTCCTGTTGATGTCGATATATTTAGTAATTTTTTAAATAGTTATTCTTCTTCAAAAATTAATTGTAAGAACGTCAATTACATAATTGAATATGAATACAGTGAAAGCAGGCAATGGTCAAGTTCAAAGTAGAACAACATTTGTAACACTATTACGCAAATCTGGAGTTCCAGCCTCTTTGACCACTATAACTGAGAAACAGGGAGAGAATGGACCACTTTTAAGACCATTTCCAGATTGGTCTTCAACACAAGGTTGTTCTGGATTGACAAATGTTCACCGAATTTCCGTAAATGATATTTAATTTTTGCATTTGATTAATAAATTCATTAAATAAATTAAAGATATAATTTTTCTTAATAAATAGATAACAAAATGTGGTCATTTGTGGGCTTTGGATTCAGGCGTTGTAGATGGGCAACAAGTATGTCCTCCAAAAATTACAATTTTCGATTTGAATTCATCTACAGTCTTGAAAGAAATTCAAATACCTAAAGAAGTAGTTGAGGGAAAATTAGTGAATATTGTCGTTCAACCATTAGACGAAGAGTGCTCATCTTCAGCAGCATATTTAGCTGATGCATTTGGAAATGCTCTTATCATCTATGACGGGAAAAAGTTCTGTCGTCTTACGGGTCCAGAATTCGAACCAGAACCAGAAGCAGAAACTTTCAAAATTGGAAATGATAGTGCCCAGGGAGCGATCGGTCTTGTAGGACTTTCAATATCAGTTGAATATGATAATGAAATAACTGAACAAAATTTATTCTTTAACGCCCTTTCATCATACTCAATGTATTATGCCAACACGGGAGAGTTAATTAATTATTGTACCTCTGGTACTAAACCAAACATACAAAAAGTGGGGAGTCCCCTTTCAAGTCAATCTGTAGCACAAGTAATTGATGGTAACGATGCTCTTTACTATTCCAGTGTATCAGAAATGAGTTTGAAATGTTTTAATGTTTGGGAAAGTTATACCGAAGAGAATAGGGTACATTTTGTTTTTTAATCATTTTTTTATGATATTGAAGTATTTTATCTTAAAAACATGCTTATCATTTTTTTTAGGTCACTTTAGATCAAGACCCGGAAACTCTTCAATGGGTCAGCGGCTTAAAAATATCTCCTCCACAATCAGGATTTGGAAATTTACTTGTACTTTCAAATCGATATCCAAAATTTGATCTTGGAACACTAGATCCAAATGACGTTAATTACCGTATCCTTCAAGTTAGCAACTATGTAGCAACTTATGATACTAAGTGCATGTAAATATAATGATTTATTGTGAAATATTGTAGCATTAGATCGATTTATAAAAAATAAATAAATGAATAAGTAAATTGTATAAATGACTGTTCTCATGTTTTATTAAAAGTTGATTTAACTAAATTAAACTCAGGTATGATAAAAAAGTTATACTGAATTTTGAAATTAATAATTTTTAAATATATTTAACACATTCATTAAATAATATTAAAAACTTTGGTTAATTTTGCAGTAATTTTACCAATTACATATACATATGGCTTGTTAGCATTCATATTGGTATTTATATCATTAAAACACAATTTACAGGTATCAATTATAAATTGATAGAAAATAATTGTTTTATTTATACTTTTTTTTTAATCATATATGTGTCTTTTGTTTGAATACTGATAATCATTCGTAATTTCGCAGTGTCACACACATTTTTATTTACGAGCATTTCGTTTACTTTTAATGATAGTCAATAATAAACTATTAAAAATTGACACAATTACTATACATATAAAAGTTTTTTTGCAAATAATGATAACGGTATCTATTCAATAAGTAAAAAAAAATAGTAAAAATATTTAAAATTTCGTTGTTTCATTGAACTCATCATCAACATATCCCAAATTTTCTACTCCTACAGATACTTCTTTTTTATTTTCTTCACAATTATTAATTGTGTCACTAGTTTTCAGAATATTTTCAATACTCGGGGTAATCGGAAGAATTGGTAATTCATTGTTTACTTTTGGCCATTCTGGTTCATTTTTTAATCCTTCCTGGACAACAAGATAATTTTTCTTTGATTTTTCAGGCTGATATAATCTTGGTTTAATCACCTTCTCAATTAAATACTCAATAATAACCATTTCTACAAATAATGATACAAAGAAATTAATTAAAGCAAGAACTAAAATAATACTTGGCCATTCATAATCCGGTGGCACTTCCAATTGTAGAATATGTATAATCCAACTGGCCGGATAAATTGTTATGTAAATGCATACTCCCGTTAATAACAATATCGAAGTAATAAATAAACTATTTGTATAAACCGCTTGTCTGTAAGGTTTACCTCGCGAAAAAACTATAGCCATTGCAATGTACTGAAACAAAGAGAGAGTAAAGACTGAATAATTTTGATGACAGCTCCAATACATTGGACCTCGTTCAACAAACGGTTGGAACCAAGAAAACTTTTCAACTCCATAAAATGCAATTGTTTGAAAGACCGCTACATTTATCATTTGCAGAATGAAAGAAAAAAGTGATGTAAAGCTTAGTAAACTTGATATTGGTGGTTGTCGTGCCAATTTTCCTTCGTAAGCTTGTGTTTTGCCAAAGAAAAATGCAAAATTAATCACAAGAAAAATATCTATGAAAAGAAATTGTAAATCCGCCAAGTTGGTGTTTATTGAATAAAGAATAACTGCTGATGTAAATTCTGTCAATGAATTAGTCACCATGAACTTAAAAATTCCGAATGATGTTACAAGAGCTGCTCGCCCTTGACGGATCACCTTGGGTACGCATGTAATGTCTGGTATTCGAGAAGTGAATGGACTCGCAACACTAAAAAATTATAATATTTTTCATGGTTACTGAATTTATGCATAGTTATGTAGAATTAGAATTTTTTTAGAGGAAAGTTTTTGTTACCTAGATTCAGCTTCTGAAAGTGAAATTCCAACATGAGCTGCTCTGAGTGCACCACAGTCATTTGCACCATCTCCACACATAGCTAAAAACATTTTGTTTTATAAATGAAACTATAAATAATTTCTTGATACTTCATTGATGGAATTATAGAAATAAATTTTGCTTACCGACATAATAACCTAACTGCATTAACTCTACAACTAACTGCTGCTTTTGTTCACTCGTCATTCTGGCAAAAACTGCTCCACGAACGCAAATCTTCGGAATTAATTCTGGGTAAAATTCTCTCAACAATTGCCAAGTCTGGCCAGTTAAAGCAAACCGGTAATTGATTGTCTCCATTCCTTTTTCTATCATATTTAAAGACGTCATTAATTTTCCTTTTTCTGGGGAATATTTTACAGGCATCCCTTGAATATTAAAATAAATTTTCTGTTCATGTTTTTTATCTCCTGGAACAACAGTTACTCCAATCACAGTTTCTTCTCTTGAAAGTATTTTACATTCTTTAGCTACACTAACAGCAGTTTGAATATTATCACCAGTAATCATTAAAACATGAATATTAGCTTCTCTTAACTCATCGATGACTCGAATTGTTGGTTCTTTTAATCTATTTTCTAAAATAACTAATCCTAAAAATTCAAGATCTTTCTCCACTTGATCTCGATGCATTTTTTGGACGTTACTATAACTGTTTGTTATAACATTTCGTCCAATAGCAATAACTCGGTATCCTTTTTCAGTATATTGCTGCATTACCATCATAATATTTGGTGGTATTGTTTCGGGCTTACTGAGACTTAAAATAACTTCCGGTGAACCTTTGGTATAAGCTTGAAAATGATCAGATCCGAGCACACGTACAACTACAGACATCCGTTGTAATGAGGAAGAAAATTGATATTGTTGAATAATACCTATTTCAGGTATCTCGTTCATATTTTCAGTTAACATTGATCCTTCTCGTGGTGGCTTCACTATTGTTGGTGGCATAAAGTCGTACTTATTAGCATCTGTTACTTCTGGCTCTTCTAAAATCCATCCAGTGCTTTCGAACATCTATAAAAAAATTACACATTTATTATGATATTTTTCCCATCAATGATTACTTATTATTTTTTTACTGACCTTAACATCAAGAGGGTCACCGCATAATTCATTTTCAATGAGCGTCAAGCTATGACAGACTAACATTCCCTGAAATATCAAATGATTATTCAATTTTTTTACATCTTTTTCAGGTTCTTTAAATACTCCATTTGTGCATGGTACAGCTCCCCACATATCTAAGCCATCTTCAGTAAGTGTCCCAGTCTGTATAAAAATAATGAGAGATTTTTAAAAGTTCATATATTTAATTTATCTATAATTTTTAAGTAATCATTATTTATAAATTACTTTGTCAAAACAAATGCAGTTGATACTTCCAGACACATTAATAACTCGGCTGTTGATGCAATAAATTTGTGCATTCTTTAAACGTGTTTGAGCGTAAAGTTTACCAACTGTCATTGCGGCTGGTAAAGCCGGACAGATAACAATTGTAAACATATCAAGTGATCTTATAATGATATCACTGATATCTAATCCTTTTGTAGTCTAAAGAAAATAAATTTTCGTTAGTTTAATCATAAGCTGAAAATTTTTTTCCAAGTTTTTATTTCTTTTATAACTTACTTTAGTAATAACAGAATATAGAGAACCTAAAAGAGCTATGCATGCTAAAATGCCAATAAATTTATATGTATCTTGATCAAATTTAAAATCTGCTGGTGGGGGGTATAAAATAGCAGCTACTAAGGCACCACGATTTGTTTGAAGACCTGTTCGAATTACTCTTGCTAATACTGGACTATTTTCATAATGTCTATTAAAAATATTTTCGTCAAAAAATTTGATAATAATTCATTTAATAGATCATTTTTAAAAGTAACTACTTATTACCTTGTTTGAATGATCGTTGTTCCACTATAGAGAGTGTGTTGTGAGCATTCTTTTGGATCATAGAGCAGTGGTCTTGAAGTGAGTGGTGTTTTTGTAACAGGAACTGATTCTCCTGAATAATAAATAGGTGGTGAAATTCATCATTTCTAATATTTGATTATTCAACTGAACAAAAAGACTACGAGTAGAAATCTAATTTACCCGTAAGCATGGATTCATTGACGATACAGTATCCTGTTAATAAAACGGCATCACAAACTACCATTCCTTGATACTTGGGCAGCTCTATTATGTCGCCAGGTACTAACTCTGTACTGGAAATATTTTCGAACTCACCAGAAGCTCTTCTCACACGTACCACTTCTATTGTTTTTACTGTTCCATGTAAATTTTTTTGATTCTAAAATATAAATCACATTTTTTGAAATATCATTTTTATTTTTATTAATATAAGAACATCTTTTTAATATCAAAAAACTTACTCGACGGGTCTGGAGGATTGAACTTGTAATACTGAAAATTGACATCAAAATGATTGCTCCTGTGTAATAATAATATGAATCTGCGAGCCACACACATATTGTAAAGACTTGGAAAATATAAAAAGGGTTGAAAAACTCCAATAGGAATAGAACAAAAATACTTTGAACAGGAACAACAATTTCATTATTTCCATATACTATTCTCCTAGAGTAGACACAAAAAAAAACTGATAAGCATAATATAAAATTCAGAAATAAATATAATTAATGATAATAAAAAACATTATGATAATAGATTCATAGAAATATATTTAACGAAAAAATAAATCATGATTTATTTATTTAGACTAATTAGTAGATCAATTCATTCAATTGATGATGTAAATTTACCTTAATAATTGCTCTTCCTTGGAAAGACCTGCACTATGTCCTAAATGAAGCTCTGTACATGCTACATATTTGTCCAATCCAATCAAACGTGAAAATTCTTCTCGTGTATCATCCCAAACATAGCATTGTTTCTTGAACCAAAATGCTCGGTATTCAGGCACTTGTTTTTTAGTTCCATTTGCTAAGTTTATATCTAAATTTTTTCCTTCAATACTTGTTCGTGTCTCTTCATTAACATTGCTGAATAAAGTCTTGTTATATGTGTGAGATCTGAAACATTTAAGTTGTTTAAGCCAATTAACGACAGTGGAAAATTTATCTTGATTAGAAATTAATATTCAGAATAAAAATACTTCACTTTAGATTTTTTGTTCCAATCACTTTGATATCCTTCACAAAGTATGACTTGTATTTTCCCTGATAATCATCCTACAAGGTCAAGTTGAAATTCGTTAATTAGATGAACAAAAGTATAATATATTTAAGTAAATACAGTTTGTTTTAACAGGTGAAATGACATTTATTATTATTTCTTACAATTATCAGCAGTTTCGTCGCTCGATTCAATGGACATCTTCGGTGAGTTGCGTACAAAAGAAAATGTGGATACCAATGAAAAAATAAGCGAATCCATCCAACAGTTAAGATATATGATAAATATGTTAAACTCGTGTTAAAGTAACTTCTTCCGTATCCATAAACGTGCTGTAATAAATTAGAGATAAAAATATTTTGACACCTTTGTTAAAATTGAAAGTAAACTTCAAGTAAAGCTTCAAATATAGACGTAATTTATATAAAGTGAATTGAATTTTTATTTATGATAAATCATATTTTAGAATAATTTAAATAACGAGTTAAACGCAATAATTATTACTTTGAATAAGATTAACTTACTAATTCTTCTGTATCATGATCCGTATCAATTTTTTGCCACTCCGCATCTGATTGCTTGTCGTTTTTCACCCCTGAAATAGAAGTTTCTGATAAAAAATCATTTTTCAATCAAGTATATCCTTTAACCAATCAAAAACCTTGACACAAATTTTATTTATGACATTCAATATCTCAATATCTCTGGATAAAACTGATTTCAACTAAGCAAGAGTGTCTTTCACTATAATATGAGAAATAAGAATGTAAATAAACGCAAGTGATTATCAGGCATGCCAAGAAAATGATAATTGATATCATGGTCAAACAATTTTAAAAGAGACTTTCTTAATTAAAAAAAAAAAAAGGTGTTTCAATAAAATTGTTATCATGTACTCACCATTGAAATTGGTCATAACGTTGGTGTCTTTCCACGGTAAAAAAAAATTTTTAATTTTAAAATATATTTACCGAGTCAAAATAGAATATCTGCAAATAAAAAATGTCAATGACTGAATAAATAAATAAATTAACAGCAAAATGTCATTATTAATTTATAGTTAACGCTTGAGAAATAAGAAGGTAAATTAAATCATAATTAAATACAAATAATGATAGTAATTAAATAAAAATTACAACACATTATTAATATGATCAAGACATTGATGGATAATATTTATTTATTTTTATATTAAGTATATGTCAATTCAGCTTTCGCTTATGCATGTTAGTATGAGCAAACGTATATTTGTTAGTATTCATAACCGATTCGATTTTGCAATCAAGAATTTTATTGGTCAATGTGCCGATAATCGGCATGAAGCAAATAATATTTTACGAATGTTTAGTTGTAAAAAAGAAGTAAGATATTCAAACTAGTTGAATAGTTTTTTATAGTTTTTATTTTAAAATAAGTAATAAAAAATATAACTAGAAGAGTTTATTATTTTTTATCAGGTATAATTAACAAGTAGTTTTTAATGATTGAGTTTTTTCAACTTAGAAATCATGATAATAATTTAAAGAGCCTTGAGTGATTTTGCAATAATAATAAAATATAGAAAAATATTTTTTTTGCAACTAAAAGAGTATGTATTTAAAAATAAATAATAATTACCATAAATTAAAAACTTACCTTAGTTAAGAAAAATAAATATTCAAATCCTTATGATCCAATTTGCTACAATTTAAAATTGTTATTGATTATTTTTAAAAATTTATACATTCTACTTCCACTATTTAAATCCTCGTTTTCGTTTTCTCCTCATTCAATTAACTGGTCCAGCAATAAATAACAAATCTTGTTGGATATAATTTTAAACTCTAGTTATATTAATGTTTTATATATAAAATGTAATATATTGAATTGAATAATCGTTGTAAAATAAAATAGTTGTCGAAATAAGTGTGACTGTCAAGTTCCAACCTCCAGAAAAGCCCGCGCGAAACTGACAGATCTACTGACGATTCATTCGTGCTTCCTCACTGAAATTTCTTCCACCTCCACTTGTGTATAACCAATCAATTGTCCCCCACACATTTACCTGCGATTTTATTTGATCTCGTCTACTTCGTCATTTGCTAATAATTCCTATGCTAATTTAGCTTATATTTAATTTACTTATTTTTTATGATAAAATATCGATAATACGTCAATTAAGTAGAATTTGAATTCAGTTCTATTCGGTTATCATCGCGCCTTTCAGCAACACGCGACCAATGAAATGGCACGTGCCAAAGTACAAACTTCAAATTTAAATGACTATTATATATCACCCTGAGATAAAATTCCAATTATGTCTGCAATTCTTTCAAGAAAAATAAAAAAACATATCGATGATAAGCTTTTGAAATTGAAAATAACTTTACAAATTATAGAATAACACCTTTTTTCATTTATTTATCAATTGTTTTTTTTTTGTTTTTATTTAAATAAGTATTCGTAATTATTGTTTACTCATGTCTTTAGAGATAATATTGATTGAAGGTTATAAATGTATGCATTTTCTTATCGATATATGAGAATTTTCCTTATTATATGAAAGAAAGTATAATTATTTAAAGTGTGAACGACCTAAGAACAATGTCAGATGTTCATTTTCTTTGATTATTATTTTATTATCTATCCCTGACCTCATTTTTTCGATGAATTCTATTGAAATAAGTGCCCAGAGTCTCATCTAATGGAAGACCAATATAAGAAGATGATTGCTACAATGGAATAATTTAATTTTTTTTTTTATAAAAGCATGGCAGAAAAATTCATCAGATTAGTTTGAGAAATCAGCTCACCTTGAATTTTATTTTATTGTATCTAAATACATTGTTACTATAATCATAAATAACTGCATTAGAAGATTGCAAAAAAAAGTAATATAGGTGTAATAAAAATGCAATTACATCAAGTTAGGCATCATAAACATGAAATAAATTGGCATGAGTATTTGTAGATGTTTGCAGATATGAATAAAATGATAACGTTTACAAGGAATTCAATGTAAAGAATATAATAATAAGACATTGAAGATAAGTTTGTTGATCTTTAATTCTTTTTTTATTCAATCTCGAGACTTTATGGAGACTTTATTCAACTCTAATCCATTTTTACCCTCAACATTCTTTCGATTTTATATTTTCATTAATCATAAAATTCTACAAAAAAATATCTTAAAATCAGTTTACAAGACAATGTTAATTATAATGATTAAATTGTATTTAATTTTTTTTATTGAAATGTAATTATAACGATTAAGTCTATTGATAAAAAATAACATTGTTATTTCATTTCAATGCTATAAAGTAAGTTTTTATGAAAAATTATATAAGATAGTAAGTTACAATTTTCCAGAAAACAAAAATAAAACGGATCTATGGATGTAAAAAAATAATTGACCGTCCATTAAGGTAAGCAATTATCTCAAGAAGTAGTTGATTAATAACGTAATAGAGTAAACTATCAAGAGTCAATTGCATATGGGGTAAAAACTAGGAACTTGATAAATTATTATTATACCTCTTTTCTTCATGAAACATATGAATATTCTATATAATGTAATACATGTGATCATACGTACTTGACATTATTGTCTATGTAATTGTACTGTTAATAATATAGTATATATAATATAATATGCTGAAACAATAATGGAAACGTCTAGAATTTGATTTGCATCTTATCTTCACAACTATTAGAAATTATTTTTACTAATTTATTGTTTTAATATTTTTATCAACGTTATTTTTATGCAAAATGCCAAAAAGATAACAAATCACGTCTACTTGAACAGATAAGCTTAATTACTCGAGATAAAATTTAAGCAATCTCGAAGGAAGTTTGTGATTTTTCAATTAATTGTTTTTAAAAAAATTATTTTTCTGTTGAAGTGGAAAGTGAAATGAACTATTAGAACTCCTTGGTAAATGAAGGATTAAAAGTAAGATCTACTTAAAACCAAGGTCTATCATGTCACTTTGATTTTATCTTAACATGCACAACGGAATTATTTTATGTTATATTACTAAAGGGTGTGACGAGTTTAAAAAAAAAATACTTAAAAAAATTAGAATTAAATTTGCTACATTATTGCATAATTTTCTGTAGTCAATGCTGCTTAAAAAATGCGCAATTTACAAACAGTTGTCAATATTTTTTTATCTACTTAATATTATCAGCTTCTTAAAAATTCACTCTCTAACAAATATTTATTTATTCTTGCAAAAAAATTGCAATAATCTCAGGTCTTAAAGGTTATTCTAATATATTAAATACAAATTAGTTATTTTTAAATAATATCTTTAAATTTTATTATCATTAAAAGAATTTTTCAATTAAGAGTGTGTTAATAAACATTAAATAAATGAGTAAAAGTTTAACAGTATGAAATCTTTTTTTCCCGTCAAGTCAACACTACAAGTGATAATAAAAAAGTCACGGCCAAGGTCTAGGTAATTTTAATAATGAGCCACATAAGAAATACTGTGATATTTGATGCAGAATAATGAGACTACTACCAATGAACATTGTGGTAATTGTCGTCTAATTCAATTGACGTAGTTATCATACTATTGACTGAGGTTACAGTCACATTTCATTGTTGGACGCCTTCTCGTCTACTCTACCATTCACAGACAGACTCATTGTCTGTTGCATATCATTTCCTATAAGCCTCTGTTAACCTTGACAATCGACAAAAACAATTTTAAATAATTTTAAAAATAATTTTAACAAAAGAATTAACAAAAAGAAACACTTTATAGCATGCAGAAAAGAAACATTTATACTGATTGAATTTTTTTTTTAAGGCTAAACCGCATCATCCACGTGTGGAGGAACAAAAAGTTACGTTAATGTATATCTACATTGGATCAACCTTGGATCAACCCTATGATAGCCTAGGGAGTCGCTCCCAGTTATTCCGGAACTATAATCACAGGCAGTTGCAATTTTATCGATCCATCGATTGATGACATAAGCCAGTGACCGATAAACCGGATTTTTACTTATTTATTCAAATAATTTATTTATATGAATAATTTCCTAGCTCACATTTATTTTAAAACTTATTGTTCTCAAATGTGAATCATTATTAATACGAAAAAAGTACCAGAACAAATTGAAAATATGGAACACTCTTTATTGTTTCCGTCAATTATTCTGTAATCAAATTATAACACGGAAGTACTGTTGCAACATCAACAATTATTACTTAATCCAAAAAATGCTAACTAAATGACATATTTTTCATGTATTGATGAAATTATTTTTTCTATCTATAAAATATTTTGACCTTTACCAAAACGTTTAAGATGAAATAGGTAAAAATTTAGGACAGTTAATTACCACAATGATAATTGATTTTTTGATATTTTTATGTAATATCTTGTATAAGTCTCTCACATCTTCATGAAGCACAGAGCCATTAAAATCGCATTTCTTAAGTATGAATTTATCACTTCTAGTTACATCATTTCCGTGCAACATCAAATCTGACCAGCAAATCACTTTTTGAATTGGTATTAGTTATTAACATATGGCTACATTAAATATTATTTTTATGTTTACTTCAAAATGTAATTATTAATCAATTATATTTTAATAGACCATCTTAATTAATCTCATGTTGCAGACTAACTTTCTACTCTCATTAAATTTCAGGTTTTATTATTATTGAACTTGATGTTTATGATAGAAAGTAACTTAAATAATATCAAATGTGACAATAGTAATAGAAGAGTTAGATAATTTTGATAAACTAATAATTTAATTCAATTTTACAAAAACGAATAAAATACTTTTATCACACTTTTATTTTCTGAGAAAATTTTTATTTGTTTGCAATAGAAATTCGCACCAGTTTGAGCTAGAATTGCTAGTTAGTGTGTACACTGAAAAAAAAATTATAAGAAAAATAATAAATCACAGAAAAGGGGAATTATTTATCTCAACAATTACCATGTGATTGAACTGATTATTCATGTGTCATTGCACAAATGATTGTAAAGCTTGTACTAACTCAAACGTAAATTATTGTCAATGAGGAAATTATCATGGTAATGTACTTAAAGTCAATTACAATTGTTTGATAATGATAAAAATCTTATCAATCGTAAAATTATGCAAAATTAGATTTAAAAAATTAAAGCCAAATTTAACTTGTTCACAATAGTTCTATTTCTTAATGATACATTTTGGCTTTTATTTAACATAATATATAATACATAATTATATATTTTTTGTCTTGCTGACTAAACAACTAATCATATCACTTATAAATCTAAATAAAAAAAATAAATTATTAAAGAAAATAATTTTTGATAATGAGAAGTATTTGAATAGATAACCTATATATTATCATATTTACACAGCGCTCGCACAGGACTTTAAACTATATAAAACAATGTCACGTTCTTGGATAGTTACTTTCAAACGCTTCAACATCTATTTGTGATATGATTTCATCTGTATCATCCATATCATTAGAATCATCATCAAAAAGATGGTCTGCAAATCCAGCAGACACATTCCCGGTCGAATCACCCAGCTGATCACTTTTTTCTTCACTTGAATTATTTATGCTATTATTTTTATCCTCAGAGTGTAACTCTGCCACAAAATCGTCTTCTTTTGATTCTATCAATGAAATTTCACTGTTAATAGTATTATCAATATTAAAAGAATTGAAAGCGTCATCTGCATTTAAAATTCTGATGTCTTGTGAATAATCTACTCTTTCAGTCGGATCAATATTTTCAATTTCTTGATAATCTTCATGAATTTGTTGAATATCCGACTGTGAGCTTGATAGATCGATACCAAGCGATTGTAATAGTTGAGCTCGAGATCCACTTAAAGCTGGAGATTTTGTTGATTTTTTTTGATTATCAGAATTAACTCTTGAAATCTTTTCATGAGAAGAAGTAATAATCATCTTATTATCAGATTGCGATTGAGTTTGTGATTTTGATCGAGTGGTATCAAGCGACTCTAATATTGCAGTTCTAGATTCATTTGAGATATAAGAATTATTCGATCTTTCTCTGTAATTAGGATTAGATCTTAAAATTTCTTCTAAAGCAGGTGTTGTAATGAGTCTTGATGTATCTGAATAAATACCCATTATACTCACAGGTCTAATCATGACTAATGATTCTTTTGACGATGTTTGGGTTCCTTTATAATTTAATAATCCTACATTCTGTAATAAAACAACAACTCCTGTTTTCAAAACATCTTCATAAGTTATAAAAATATCTTTGTGCATCATTCCCTCAATTGAATCAGAAATGTCTTTAAGCATAACTCTTGGATGCTCTGCATTTAGATCAATTTTATGAATTATTGCAGCAAGTAATGAGATTTTTTTTGGACGTTTCATACGTTTTATTGATGAAATATTATAACCTTTTAAGAAATTTTTAGGTAAATCGTTCAGCATTAATTGCCAAGCACCATCACAAAATACTTTTTTTGTGTCCTGTGAACAGAGATTCGTTGGTGAAGTTTTATGTTTAGAAGTATTGCTTTCATTATAATTAGAGATTTCTTCAAAGATTTGCTCATTATCAATTTCATCTGCGTCCTCTATATTATCGGGAAGAAGACCTGCTGGTCCTGGAAATTTTCTCACAACTGTTTTAGGTAGCTTTGGTGTAGAAAATATTTGAGTTTGAGGTTGTGAGCTCACAGGATGTTTAAAATTAGATCGTTGTGGACTTTTAAAGTCAAAGTTTGATTTGTTTAAATGGTTTTTTTTATTTTTTGTACTATGATTATTTATAGAAATAGATTTTAAAGGTCTTTGTAGTTGTCGAGACTCTTCATACCTTTGTTCATTAATATCTGATAATTCCTCAGATATCAGATCCAGTAACATTTTTTTTTTCGACGATAATGCAGTATTAGATTGATTGGATTTTGCTTGATAAATTGAAGTTGTTTCAACGTCTGAAGTAGATGGTTTTGATGATACTAATGTTTGTTCAATGATAATTGATGTGTCCGATTCCAAAATATCGAACAATAAATTCTTTTTCGATAATTTTCCTTCAATAGATTTTGTTTCATTACCTTGGTTAATAGATCGAAATTTCTTTGATGTGGGATCATCTTCACAAACAGATTCATTAGTGACTTTTGGTGAAGTTGATCTTGGACGCTTATTTGCTTGAGTGCATTGAGTGAAATATAATTCTTCCTTTTCTTCTATATCTCGTAAAAAATCCTAGAAATTTAAATTAGAATACGTTATCAAAATTTGTGTCATTCATTCCGTACAACATTTGAGGTTATAAAAAAATTTCTATCATAATTAACAAATTAGTTGAAATATTATACCAATCTGAAACAGTTTTCTTAGTATATTATCTAAACCAAATATTTTATTGTGAGTTACGAAAAAATAATATATCAACAAACCTCATCAATATCAAAATCATCAATTCCAGACATATCATTTCCTTGATCGTTTTTCTTAAAAATTTACACTTTCAACAATTATTATTTAATAGATGGAAAACAATGCATGAAAACTCACTCATATAAATTAATAATTGAATATGAAATTTACAAAAAAGAAAGAAAGAACAAAAATAACTCCAACACAAACTTGCACCGGCTTGTTGTTTTTGAGTTATAAGATAATTGTAGGGAACTTTTTTTAAAAATGATACTACTATATGATAAAGTAGATTATGATATAACGATATATGGTAATTAACAATTTTTTGTCCATTGATGTCGCTCTATTAAATTAGAAAATTACATCGTATAAATTTGAAGTTTTCATTGTCAGTTATATTTATTACCAAAAGAATTCAAAGATTAAAAGAAAATTTGATAATCATACAGTATTATCATTTTTAGTTATCTGATAACTCCTTAAGTTTGTCCTAAAAATTCTTAGACATATCGCAGTGAAATATAGTTCAAAATGACCGCCATCCTAAAAAGAAATGGCGGACCAATAAATGATGACTATTCCAAGACAAGATTGTGATGAAAGGAACTTATTTTCTCAGTATTAAACGCCAAAAAAAAGGAATAATATATATGAATTTATTCAAGACACAATGAAATTTGTTCAATAATGTGTGAGTGTTGTGTAATAAATATTTAATATCAACTGGTAAGTGTTTTTTTTTTATTAAAAAAATTAATGTCACTTGTCTAAAAATTTTTTAAACTGAAACAATAAATTGAAATGCTTTCTTTTTAATATTGTACTTCACTCTAACCTTTTGTCAAGTTTATTGTTCTGTCATTATTCATCTATTTCAATTAAACTAATTCTAAAATTCAAGTATAAATTCATTACTCTCATGTATTAAATGTTTTTCTTTGTTTCAACAAAGAAATTTTAAGCAAACGACAAACGATTCAAAAGCTACCGTTGTTTTAACACCGATCGATAGTACAAACTCGAACATAACCTCTCTCTTATCTATTACTATTATTATTATTATTTTTTCTTCTTATCAACCAATTCAATTATAAAAATTTTATTGACATTTTAATGTCAATAAAAAATGTTATCTTTACTGTCAAGACAGTAGTTAATATTTTCATTTGAATTCTTTTTTTATCCTTAAATAATATAAATAAAACAATCCAATGAATATATGACATGTAAAAAAATGTCAACAGCATTAAAAAATCCTAATCAATAGTCATGTTTTATTACTGACATTGATTTCTTTCCAAAGCCAATAGTTACCGAAAATTTTTCTACAATTCATCCAGATCCCCACCATATCTGCAGCCTCTATTGATTGCTCCACCGCACTACTGCCCTACTTTTATTATTCAACCCGTTTTTCTACCCCTTTCTATATCATCATTCTAATACTTTTCTTTTTTACCAATCTTTTTCAATCTCTAAATGCCAATCACGTTCTTCATACGTTCAAATCACACTTCAGTTCATAAAAACATTATTATTTCAAAGAAATTGATTTGCAAATTGTTTATTAATTTTCCTAATATTTATTCATCGAATTCCGGAGTTTATTAACTAAAAGAATAGCTTTAGATACGCAGTGTAAATGCAATAGACTACTGCAGTAGTGTAGCTCAATAAATAGTGAACCATAAACAAAAATTCTTCATTAGATTGAATTTGAATACTACATACTTTGTTTACGTTCCGGGAATGTTAAAAGCTGTTATCAAGGTCTTCAAGGTCATAATTGATTAAAGTAGCGTGCTTCTGTTACATTATTTCCTTTCTGTGATTCTCCTTTCCTCATCTGCATCATCAAACCAAACAAACAAGCAACTAAGACGTGCAAAATATCGCACGTCCATCAACTTATGTTAAACGCTCATCAAATAGTTTGGAAACTGAAATTAATGTTAAGGCATACAGTAGAGCTTTAAGAAAATATTTTAGGGTAACACGCAACCATTCTCGATTGCTTGTCGTGGGTAGTCACGTTAGCAATAGCAATATCTTTATTGCAAGTTGGCTACTTTGTAGAATTGTAGATAATCCTCTTTTCGAGGAAATCCCCTACCATCACAAGGTTAAATGGCTATTTCATTTGACAAGGTGAAGGTCATTTACTTTGAGATTTCGCTATTTAATATTCAATCTCTATTTACTGTTATCCTATCATCAATCAAACCTGTCACACCAAAAAGTTTAAATGATCTATTTATAATTGAACTTATTTGTTTACTTATACCTGAAATTCACTTATTTGACGCATGCTCTCCTTATCATGATTATTTTCAATCTACATCGAAGTTGAATGTTCAGTTTTGACTTCCAATATTAGTAATAAAATAAACCAATGATGATCATTTTTATGTCACCATTTTTTCCATCAATTTAATAAAGCAAGAAAAATGTTTTTGATATCGCTATTGATTAATAAAAGTGATGAACATGTTAAAAGGTAGTTAATATACTGACACATGTAATTTGTTTAGGGGAATTAAATGAATTTATTGGAATATTTATGATAAGATCGATTTAATAATCTTAAAATAATAAAATTTTATATCAAATGATATTTTTCTTATAAATAAATATAAGCCAATTACAAATAAATTGTTATCTTAGTATATGTGATCGTAAAGATAAGATTTAAATAGATAATTTTATTACGAACTTTTATTACTATTGGCTAAAGAAAACTCTGAAAAATTTATTGGATATTGAAACTTTCGAATCACCCGTTACTTTATTGTGACCTAGAGAGTAAAGCTGGGAAGGGTGGCGCGTGTATGTCCCACTCAACCCTCTGGGTATGAACTCTGAGTCATCTCACAAGTGTTTGAAGGGTGCATTACATCATTCCCACATGCTATACACTTCTTTGAGCGCAACACCTGCTTACACGAGTACTTTGACTATAGTAAACCTCAATAATTGAGAAATAATATAAAGAGTACAAGTAACTGTTATAAATATTTATTTGTTGGATTTATTAAAATGACAATTTTGATTTTGAAATGAAATTTTACCGGGTCACTTGAGATTTCTTGATGTAATGGTACCATCAACTCGTTCTAAAGTTCCTTCGGGACTTATTTTTAACTCCGGATAGAGGAGATCTGACCGCTCCCGCCAACTTGCTTCTTTCATTGATGCTGGCGTCAGAATTTCGTCTTGACGTAGGTCTGGATGCTCGCCAAATTCACAGCAAGAACACGACACGAAGAATTTTCTCTTCATTCTGCTGCTTACATATGCAAACATCTGATGAAATAATTTTCGTAATTTAAAAAAAGTGCATTTATAACTGCATACATTTTCTTTCATAAAAAAAACTCTCCTATTCAGCCGAATGACTTAATAACAAGCTTTTTCCCACTTGATCAGAGAAATAAATTCAAACATTTAGCAACTGTTCCGAAATATTATAACTAAAAATATCCAGGGGCTTAGTTTATTTTTACGGGGACTTATATCGCCAATCTGCGAGTCACGAAACTCTTCCGCATCCCACAGATGATCAAACTAATCCTAGAATCTGTAAACTAACTGAAAGCTAGCAGTAATTTAATCTGAGATAGTCAAAACAATTTTTATTTTATTTCATCAAGTTTGCGTGAATTTCTTCCTCTGCTCTAATATAAATTTTATTTATTAAATTGAACACTACAAAATAAGTCAGAGATCCTATTCATATTAGTTAGTGGTTACGTAGAAAATGTTTGATGACGTGTTGCAGAGCAAGTGACAAAAATTTCCTGTCAACTTATATCTTTGTTTGGCAAGTTGACTAAAGAGTCTGCTACACTACACAAACTACAGTTTGCGTTAAATTTCTACTCAATTTCCTTCAGTAACCAGCCATTCATCATGAAGGACGTCTAAATTAAGCATTAACTGAATCTTCAAATTAGTTAATTTCGTTATATTAATTCTTTGCATTTATTTTAACTTTTTTTGCATTGCTTTTAGTTTTAAAACTCTTAGATATTCCAAATGATCATTAAACTAATTTACTGTTAATAATGAATATAACAGGAATGTAATTAATTTTTTCTTTCATGCAACGAAGACAAAATATGGTGATAAATTAAAATTTACTCATAGTTATTTATCAGTGTAGAGAAGCATTAGATGGCAAAATGTTTTTTAACCACATAATTAATAGTACTCTTCAATTATAAAAGGTGAAATGATTTTCAATAAGACAAATGTCTTTGAAATTATGCTTCTAGTCTGCACCAACGGGAGAGTAGGTCGTTTCCATAGCAACCCGAGTGCATCGGACCCCCTGGAAAATCGGCCAGGATCCACATAAATCAGATTCTCTCTGTTCATCCGCCCTTTTTAACCTATTTTAATATTTAATCGAAACTAATTACAGAATATTCCAAATCGTTTCTCTTGTTAAATTAAATTTTTATTCATTAAATTAAAATCCACTTGACCTTTTACATATTTTTTCGATGCTCGTCAAGGAATTATTTTATTTAAATACAGATGAATTTTTTCAACCAGTTTTCATTTTTAAAAATTTTCAATTTAAATTTTAATTACTGAACAAATTGATAAAAAGTTTTTACTTGAATGTATTTGGTTTCAAGTTTTTTTTTTTTTTTCTAATATATGAAAGGTCGTAAATTGTATATTCACTACATGATATTTGCAATCCATATTTTTATTTCCGTCTAGCGATTCACGTTTGATAACATAAATTCTTTTAGCTTGTTGAGATTTACTGCATTGCTAGTTTACGGTTTGAGTCACGCAAAACCTTGAGTCCTGACTGAGCCATTGATTAGAAATTTTCGAGTATTTTTTTTTTTTTTTATTCTCAAATTTACAACCTAACACATATTACTTCTTATGTTCATCAACTCTATAATCTTTATTCATCGACTGTTATAACTTCCTTTACAAAAACTTGGTATGATAACCAATAACAATAAAAACAATCATTAGCAACAGATAAATTAACATTTTCACTTAGATTCATAGAATGTAAAATAATTATTGGATAATCTATTCATAATAATAGTTAAATATAGAATAAAATTATTTTTACTCTATAAAATTTTACTCTTTCAATGCTCTAAAATAACTCAGATAATTTTATTTAATTCTTGTTCTGACAAATAAAAGGAATTATAAAATTTTTTTGTTATTAACAGAAATTATTATTGTGTTCAATTTCTATGATGTTGTTAATAATACTCAGTTAACAAAGCATTCAGCATTGTTTTAAATACTATAAGAACAGAATAATGATACCAATTATTTTCAAAAATACATTATCAAAAAAGATAGTCAAAACAATCGCATTCAAGTTTGAAATGACGGTATTTCAAACGATATTTGTTTGAACTTTGTTAATAAATAAAATCTCAAAGTAAAGGAGCAGTTAAAGCTGATTCTTAGTTTTTTCCATGAACATTATAGTGGTGTGCAGTATTGTTGAATATAAATGCACACAGTCTGCATGAGATGTTAATAAACTTGTGATAAACAAGATCCTAAGTTTTCGCAACATGGGTTGCACACACTATTGGATCAATAAGATTAAAACGTGCGCAACAAACATCGGGTCACCCTGTATTATTCCAGGGATAGGGAGGTACATGACCTAGTTACAGTCAAGCGAGTTATATAGGTCATAGACACCATTCCTGTCAGGTCAAACGAACCCACTCGTTTGCAAATCCATTTGTCATTCTTGCAAGAGGTACAAAAAATTCAAACATATTCAAATAAAACCACATTATAATCATTATTATTATTAATTCTACAATTAATTCATTACTTCTGCAAAATTTATGTTGTTATGCTTACTATTTTTATGTTTATTATTATGTGTTGGCACGTGTCTGACCCCGGGCAACTATTCCAACAGTTTATTTCCAACCAATTCATAGAATTCCATTTCCTTACTCATCAGTTCCCGGAAAATTCTTTTCACGTGAATATTTTCACGAAAATTTCATGCAATCATCACCTTGCAGAATGTTAAATCGACCCAAATTCGGATGTGTGCAGTTATTACAGAATTTTATGAGGAATTCAAGAGATTTTGTTTGAAATTAAGAGACCTAAATCTGCATAACTATCAACATTTAATTTTACAACACATTATCCGTTGATGTATTTTATTATTGCAGCATTGTTTAATGTCTCTTTTCAAATTAAAGATAATCAAGAATCTAAGAAGAATTATTGATTATTAAAAATGACATTTATGATTGGAATATCAATGGTTTGCTTCAAGCTTGATCTAAATATTTACATCTAGTAATGATTAAATTTTTCAGGTTTATTGCAATTTGCATTAAAATCTTCTCCAATGTAAAATGTTAAAAAGGGATCAAATATATTACACAAAATTATCTGAAAGCCTCTTTAAACCTTGAATAATTGAAAGTCAGGGATTTTAGAGCAATTAAAGTTCACTGATCAGCTATAAGAATATCTAAAACTTCTTTTATTACAAATCTAGTATTGATTAAAATAGACCACACCAATGTGTGATGATGGTAAAAGTAATTCTGTTATTTATATATAAGATAGTTGAAATATTTTCGTTGATTTTAGTGATATTAATCAGATGTGATGATATTATTTCATCGTGACTGTTCTATTTTCTCATCTCAATCGAAAAAAGTCTCTGGTTTCTGTCATCATCGATCACTCTGCAATTTTCTTGGACACCCGTTGGACGTTTTCCTATCCGTCCGACAGGTTTAGTTCTGTATACAATAGTTTGATGCGCAAGCGTATTCCCTACAACTATTATCTACATTCACCTCTCACATAGCACACGGTCACCACCTCCAATCAGAGATTCAGCCACCGAGAGAAGTCTAAAGACAGCAGCGGGCTGCCTCTAGTCTTTTCAGCGTCTCAACACTGTTCGTATGTGCAACTCTGTATTACTTTTCTAATACATTTTTCAAACATGGGGACATAAATTAATAAAGACTTTTTCAATAATAAATAAGATAAAATACGAATTAAATGATTTTTTACTCAATTTCGTTAATTTGGAAAAATACTTGTGATATCTTTTTTATTAAAATTAAATAAGTAAAATACAAAGTGATTAGTGATTAAACAAAGGGTGTTTAAAATTTAATCGATCATAAAGTGTACTGATTTGCTGCCGTTGACCATCAACTTATCAATAATTCACTCATCAATCTCTAGTGTGTTTGTCAATAGTAGAATTGATTTCTTTGTGTATGAAGTAAGATGAAGTAAACTTGAATAATAATATGGTCATAATTACTTAAATCCCAGTGAATAAGTTTGATAAAAAATGAATACAATTTGACAAAAGCATTTTGACAATCGGAATTGAGCAATAAAGAGCATAATGAGCCTATTATTATTGGATAACAGAAAAATGTTAGAAATCTGGAATTTAGGGAAAAAAGATTCCCAACTTACTAGTATGCTTCTGCAAAGAACATTGTATTAATCCTTCATCCCTTTCTATACGCCAATCAAGAAAGAGCTTCGGAAATTTCGTAATCCCATGGTATCCTAATTCATGGCACGGCTGGAAAGTAAGTCTAAATATCTTATTTAGACATGTAATTGACTTTCATTTGTTGTCGCGTTATTTCAAGTTAAAATTTGATTTTCTTTGTTTCAAAAATTCCATTTTCCTTTTAGGATAAATTTGGCGCATTTAAATGGCAATTTTCTGGTAATTAACTTTATAAACAATTGCAAATGCTTATTTGTGATGATTTTCAGACTTTCACGCAGTCACGCTCAAGAATTGTATCACAAATCACATTGACTCTTTTTTTTTTGTTCGACTAATCGAAAATATCATAGAGTGTTAAAAATATCAGGAAAAAATAAAAGTTGAAATTCTAGATGAAAGAACAAGATGTTGATGTTTCAGTACCAAGTATTGTCGTGCACAAAGGAAGCAGGTCGCAAAGTCGACCAAGCAGTCCCATCGGGCCGTCGTCAACTGGGATGCCGGCTCTTCCATCGGCTAAGAATGCACTTGTGACTGGTGCAATAAACGAAGCTTATTCAGGTTCGGTAGATGATGAGGAGATGTTAGATGGGGATGTCAATATTGCTGTTGAAAATCTATCATCAGGGAATACAATTAATCGGCCCACTTCACTTCCTGTGCCATCTTGTCAACCATCTCCACCGGATAAAGATCCAGAGTCCAACAATTTTCGCAATAGGGTGCGCAAATTTCCCCTTCCTCTAATAGCTCAAATCCCATTAGATAATTATGACAATATCTATTATAGAATTAATTAATAATAATTTAGATGTTTTAGATATTCAATCACTTTTTTAAGCAGGTTTCACTAATGTAATATTTTTTTTTTGCAGGCAAATACGAAGGTAAAACTTTTAGTAAGGAGTCATGCGATGAGGGAATCAACATCACCACCTCGAGAACCACACAACGGCGCTGCGTCGCCTCGAAGTCCTCAAAGTGATGGAGGCTCGGAGAAAAAACTTGGAAATGGTGGATTATCACCAAATAATTCAACTTTGAAATTAAATAACAACGAGTCTATTTACAATAGTAACCTCGGTGCCGCCCAGTCACCAAAACAAACACGTAATACTGCAACATCACCAACGTGTCGTACTCCATCGAGAAATGGCAATTCTAGTCCCCTACAGACACCAAAGAGTGCTAGCACATCTCCAACAAATAATGGTCGTGATAAAAATGACAGCCAACGATCGAAAGCTACCAGTCCTCTTGCTCCAAAGTGCAATAATTGCGTGAAAAGTAATCAAATAGAAAAACCAGGACTGTTACAAACACCTCAATCACCGTCCAAATCAACTGGAATTCAGTGTTCACCGAAAAATTCCAATTTATCTGGGCAAAATAATCACAATGGACATAATTGTCAATCTAGATCTGAAAATAATCGTAGATCACTTAGTGTGTGCAATAATCAGTGCTCTAATCAGTGTTCCGGCAATACCTTATCAGTTGGCAACCGTACAAGACACAAACTGCGTCATCAAAATTCCTCTCAAGGTAGCGGAAGTCTAGACAGTATGTCACCATGTTTATCACGCGATAGTAGCACAGAATTGTATACTGATAGTACTGGCATTGATCTTGAACAATTTATCGCAGTGACAATTAACAGAAATCAAAAGGATCGATCAATTTTATTAAAAATTGAGCGAGAGTTAATCGAGTTTGCTAAAGATCGTCAGAAAGTTTGCCATAAATTTCCTAATATGTCGTCGTACAATCGGATGCTGGTTCATCGGGTTGCCGCATACTTTGGTATGGAACATAATGTTGATCAATCTGGACTTAGTGTTATTGTCACTCGTACGAAAAATATGAGAATACCAGACACAAGATTCAAAGAACACATTAGAGATGATTTAATATTAGCTGAAGAACCAAGAAGAAGTATCTTAAAAAGAGATTCGAGTTCGTTCGAAGATGGATACAATTTTAAATCGCCCGATAGACTCTCAGGGGACTATGGACGACGTAGTAAAAGCTTTGAGGAACGAGAAGAAGAGTATGAGAAAGCTCGGCGTAGGATATTTAAAGATAGTAGTGGAGAAAGCAGTGAAGTAACTTCATGGCCTTATTGGTCATCTTCAGAGAGTTCTGATGCATCAGCAAGATATCGACTGCTTCATTCTTCAGATCATCCATCAATTCGGCAAACTCGATTATCGAAAGGTGAATCTTGTGATGGACGAGAGTCATTTCGTGGTGTTTTACGTCCTTCAGTGTCTAAATCCTTCAGCTTTGGTGGCTATACGCGTGGAATGTTGTCTCGAGGTGATAGCGTGACGTCTACAAGAAGCGCAAGCGCAAGATTGACTAAGCAAGACTCAGGAGCAAGTATGTGTAGCCGATTAAGTCCTTCAAGTAGTGGGTACAAGTCTCAAAGCCAACGTAGTGATGCTACTATTTCTCCTTCTCCATCTCCATCACCTATTCCCACAATTCCTTGTAATCATGGTCAGTCTAGTCAGAACTCTACTCTGGACGTTCCACAATCAAACGATACAGTCATTTGGGCAGTTAGCAACATCTCCAGTGTCCCTCCAGGGAGTATTATCATGAATCCTCGTACGAATCAACCTTACATTAATCCTGATGGTTCAATTTATCGCTTTGACCCAGAAAATCCACCAAAAATCTTCAACGATATTGAAGAAATCCGGGAAAGCCCTTCTGAAGGGTTATCGGATAAATTTTCTGATGTTCCGGAGTCTCCAAGACATTCAGGAAACAATAAAACTAACATAAAGAAGCAAAAAAATCCATCTAAACTATCAGGAACTAATCATAATAATAATAGTAATAATAACAATAATAACTCAAATAATACAAATCACAGAGTCACCAATACTGCTACGTCACCAACTTTACCATATTCTGCAAGTTCACCACCTCTTCAAGTTCAAGAATGTACTCAATCGGTTGTGAAAAGCCCCAATGAATCACAGTCATGCCCACATGGAACTTTGAACCAATCTTTTGGAAATTATTCTCAAAATAGCAGCTCCGAAATACCCTACAATCATCCTCCAGTATTTCCAGGCTCTCAACCTCAAGGAATGGTGCTTCAAAGACCCCCAGATATGCCTGGCACTCAACAGCCACCACCAACAGACATTGTTTTTGGCCAAAACTATGGTAACTATTCTATGATGATGCAAACTGCCATTCATCCTCAATCAACAGATGTTGCTGATTTATCAGGATATTTTATGGGTATGAATGTTTACGAGCAATCACGCGCTGGCGCCGAATCTGCTCAAACACCACAAACATTCTCAGGACCTCCTCCGCCACCTCCTCCTCCGCCTAATAGTCATCACAATAGCCAGAATACTTCAGGAATACAATCAGGATACTGGCAACCACCACCTCCTCCTCCACCTCCGTCTCAAACTCAGGGACATCCACATAATCATCCACCAAACCAAATACCTCCTCAACATATGTACTTTGTTCCTCCTTCAGGATCTGCTTTACCAGTCGGCCAAGCATCTAATGATCGACCTGGAATTCAACACCAAAGATTTACCTCCAGTTACACATATAATCCTCAAACCATGACACCTCCTAATCAAACAACACCAAACTATGTCAGTGGGTATCCAATTTCATATAATTCAATGCCAGTTGCCCCTAATCCCAACGAATATCCCTATCAAAATCCTCTACCTATGGTTCCAACTTATTATCCTGGTCAACCGGGTATTCAACCTCCTGTAATGTGGCGAGTTCCTACCCCTCCCAATACTCCAACATCTAATCAAATGCCGGGCATACCCGTCATGTATGTCAATTCTGGAACTTATCCCCCACCAATGGTTACTACTGGATCATTTAGTCATCAGTTGTCCAGTGCAACGCCAGCACCTCCACCAGGAACAGTTTATATGACACCATCGTTATTGCCAAACCTTGTATTCAGGCAAAATGTTCCTATGGTACCGACTGGAATTCGAACTTCTACACCCTCTGGTTCTCAAAGAACAAGCAGATCTCCAACACCAGCCCACGATTTTTGTAATAATCCTGCCAATGGTGGGAATAACAATGGGGCTAGTGGTGATAATAGAAACGCACAATCACAATCGCGTTATCCACTGCCAATGTATCAGGGTCTTCATATCGTGCAAGGTAAAATTTAATTATATCATACTTTTTTTCTGCTTATTGATTACTCTTTATTACTATTCAATTTTATTGATAATTAGCTTTTAATGAACAGTTTTTCTGAGTGTTTAAGAGCTTTGAATCGCTTTAATAAACGTTTTTCCTAATAATGAAATGAATTTTTCTCTACTTTAATATTTTGTATAATTGATATAGTAATGAAGCGATAATAATTCAATAGTTTCTGTAATTAGCTTAAATAAACCGGTAGATAGATATGCTTCGTATATGTAAACATGTTGATGCTTTTGATGACTCAGGGGATATTAGACTGATGCATCCAGGCATGGCAAATAATTCTCGATTACAATATGCCCCTGTATCATCTCCACCAGTCGTTCAAGGTTGTCCACGTCCATTTCGACCACCATCGTACTCGTCTAATAATTCAGGCTGCCCTACTCCAAATTCATTTGATGGACGAAACCAAAAAGTTCGTAAACAAAGGTAAATAAAAAATTATTATTTAATGCTATATTCAATTGATTGAACGATTGAAATCTTTTTCTTATTATTAATTACAGTTTAGTTAATCATTTAATTTTCTCTTTTTTTTTTTGACTCCATTTATTTATTTATTTGTGTCCTTGTTCAATACTCGTAAAATGTTGTCAGGTCCAAAGTTACAACTCTGCCAACAACCGGCGTTCGGTCCAATGTCTATCAAGTTCCTTCTATGCCCTCTATTGAATCCAACCCGCCCAAAGACATGCGAGAAGGTAAAATAATCCCCCCTTTTCAATAAATCATGTCATCAAAACAAATTATTACAATTATTTTATCCTGTTAATCAAAATTTATCATTTTTTTATTCCTGAATGATACCAATTCTACTAATATCTATGATATTTATAATCCTTTTTCTTCATCTATTTTTAATTTCTTTTATTCATATATTTCCTAGACATTTGATTACTTTCACTACAGTTAATAAATCTAATATTACACCTTTTCTGATAAATTTCTCTATCTCCCTTAAAGCAAAGCCGGTGGAAGACAATATGATCTAAGGTACTTAACTAATTAACCTAATTAATCATTCGATTAACTCATAATTTAATTCCAAGCTAAAAAATTATCAATAACTATTTTTGTTCTTTTTAAAGAAAAGCTGTATACTAGTAATAATTCATTTTGATGCTTACAATTTACTGCTAAAATGTTGATAAATTATATTTTGTGAGAATTACGTATCAAAGCTTGATAACCATTTCAGTGTCATTAATAGCTCATCTTTTTGTTTTAGGGACCGTGAAGGTGACAATTACCCGTCGAAACCAACTGGCACAATATTAAATAACGAGAAGAATAATATTAAGAATGATCGAAATTTTGAAAAAAATATCCACAATAAGAAATTACATTTTGGTACAAAAACAGAATGAAGAGTTGAAAAAAGATATAATTATAAAAAACAATCTTATGGACCGAGGAATAAATAATTTAAAAAATGGCAAAGTAAATTTAATATAAAATAATAAATAATATAATAAATCGATTTTACTCAGAAAAATAATAAATGATTAAAAAGAAAGTTTAAAATAAATAAAGAATAGCTAAATAAAACAATTGTAAGTGAAGAAGAAAGCATCGAAGAGAATAAGAAGAGAGAGAAAGAGAGAGAAAGAGAAAAGAGTGAGAGCGATTAATCGTGTAATATAAAATGATATTTTTATTTTATTGTTTCTGTTCTGTTGTTAATATTAATTTTTGTTCAATAATTAAATAAATTAACAAAATAGACAGATACATTTATAAACAATATTTAAAAACAAATTATGGAATTGCACTCTCTTTAATTACTACAGTGTAAAAATCACAAATTATACCAATGTAACGGTTATGAATAGTTATAATCGTTATTTAATGAAACACATAAATACAGATATTTACAAAAAAAAAAAATAATATATTAATAATACAAACTCAAATTTGAATAATAAATATTATATTTGAAATTTATTTTCAACTGAAAAACTTTACAGATATATATATAAGAAAATTTAATTTTATGAGAGACATTTAAATCAGAAGATATAATTATTACCTGATGATTTCATGAAAAAATAAGAAAAAATGCTGATACCATGGCCACTAAAATAAATATGATAAAAATATTTACTGAATACATTTATAAATAAAAAAAAGTAGGAAATAATATAAAACAAAACAGAATTACAAGGATGATTTGAGATACGATAAAATTGAACGATAAAATAATGGGAATAAAATAAACTAAAGTATTAATCTATTTTTATTAATTTGGTTACATTAGATTTAATCAAAGTACTTATTTATCTCGTGACCATCATAAAATCCGTATCAAAATAGCCGAAGAACTCAATAAACGTATTCAGTATCTAGTCTTATGAGTATCTACAGTTTACATAATACAAAATTAAAACAGCACTACCACTATATTTGGTCTATTTTTCAATTTGAATGTTGAATCATTCGTTTTGATATTTATTTCTGCTATATTTTCATTTCTAAAATAAAATAACTCTTTCCCATTATTTTTGGGAAGCATAAAAAAGGCAAAATTTAATTAATGCTAAGATATTGGGTGGTAGTATACAACATGAAAACAAAGACAATGCTCCGTCTGTACTCTCACAGCTTTGTGGAAACATTGAGGCTCGAGAAAAACTTTCGTAATTATTTATATTCAATAAATGATAATCAATTATTTTTCAATTATTGTAAACTATGAGCTTTAATGTTTTTGGTCTTAGTCTGTGATGCAAAAAAATATATAAAGAAATAAAATAAAATAAACGTAATTAAGGAAAAAAAAAATAAAACAAACTAAGAGGAATGATTCCATCCAGCTTTGCTTAAAAAACATGGTGATTGTACTTAAGGTAAACGTGTGCCTATCTAGATTTTTCGGAAATCCCCGTAGTCTATGATAGCCTCAGATAATCCTTCTATCAATCCTGGGATTAAGAAAAAGGACTAAATAATTGAAATAAAGTAACAATAAAATATAAATAAATTTTCATAAGATAATTTGTCATTTTTTCAATTAATTTACTCAAGTTACACTTGATAATTGATAATAAACATGCACTGTAGTTATTATTAAGCTCCATACCCGAGTCATAGTTTTATCATGAAAAACGTTAGAGTAAGAGTTTTAATTGTTCCTTGAAAAATCGAAAAAGTATAGTCACAGAACGTTACCATTTTCGAAAGTCATTCGTAGTCATTTTTAAAAAAAGGTTCGATGTAGGAAACATTTCTTTTATTCTCAGGAATGGAAGTCTAGTCTCTTGATTATTATCCATAGTTATTATTATTAGTAATTGTTAAAATACCAAAATGTTTATTCCGTTAATTACTAACTTCATTATTTTCTTTACTATTTTAATTCATGAAAATGTACATATAATAACCTGACTCACAAATAATTGCGCAATTAATAAAAATGAGAACAGCTTTTTTCGTAGAAGATTTATGATATATAGTAGAGTGATGCCAACGGTTGTATTGATTAATTAATGAATACATTATATAATCGTTAAACATAATTTTTTCATCAACAAAATATCATTACGTATGCAATAAAAAGATATTAAAATTCAAACGGTGAATATGTTTATTATTTTCATTTGTTTACTGTATAAATAAAATATAAAATATATAAATAATAGCAAAGAATACATAAGGGAATATCTGTTTATATATTAAATATATTCACCGATCAACTATTTTTCATTATCATTCAAATGTGAGCGCGATGAGTGTAAGGAACAATGAAAAGTAGATGACAGAAATAATAAAAGTAAATTTTAAAAGATGAAAAACATTCTAAAATGCGGGAGTTAATACAACAAAGTACATCAAACTAATTATTATATCTTGTTATATTATCTTATTATTAATGATTAAAATACTTATTATTACTATGATTATGATCATTAGATTAATTATTATTATATACATTAATATTATTGATATTTTACAACAAACGAATTATGCACAGCACAATAACGCTTTAAAAGCGTATATTTTTTATCATTACTCTTAATCATTTATAAATAATGTATTTATTTTATACTTAATTCTATAAACTCCTAAAAAGGATAAAAAATGATGGTTATTCGAAATTAATTAGAAGAGATATTACTTATTAAGTATTTTTTATTTGATCATAATTATGTTATTTACAAAAATAATGTAAAATACTACATTCTGTCATTGGTGACAAAGGTCCAGAGTGTCATTGTGAGATATTTTTTTTATCCATTAAATTAATTAATTATAAACGATATTGAAAAAAAATTCATTATTATTATTATTTTAAAAAATTTTTTTTTCTTCAATGTAACTGTGAACCAATGCCACGGAGATCTTAGCTAGAAATTACATTTTCCCCGCTTCTTAAATATAATTGAGTGACCTAAATAATTGTTTGCCGTTCCTTAGGATATTTTCAAAAATCCTATATTGCACTTTTCTAAATCTATACAATGAAAAATGAGAGAACAGAAGAGAAAGATTGCCACAAGATTTACTTTTTACACTTTCTTTCTTTTTAAATCTTGTTTCAGCAATGGTTTCTCAATAATTTCTCTTTCATTGTAATTCATGCAGAATTCTTTTATCTTCCTTAAGAAGTTAAGAAAATTAGTTACGATTTGTTTAATTGTCTGTAAATTATCTCGTACCCATCACCATTTACCCATGACTTTAGTTCTTTCTTTTACGTTTTGTGCTGAACTTAATGACAATACTTTTGCATTCAAAATTTTAAAATAAAAAAAAACGAATGAAAAATAAATAAATACCGGCAGTAAAGCCATTAGACCAGCAATTTAAATATTTTTAACACAAAGAAATTTCATTTCTTTTTTAAATATTTAACTATCCTAAGAACTAGTTTTTTTTCATTGAAGTGTATAATTTTTTAGTTTTATATTAACTGATAATTAAAAATAATAATAAAAATAAAAATAAGCGTCACAGTTTAGTGCGGCAGTCGTTCATAAATGACTGAGTAGTTTTCGATGACTTATCAAAAATTTAAGTTTCAAACTTTCATATAATAAAAGTCTATGAAACTTTTTTGAACACTTGAGCAAAAATTTATCGAGTTTAATCGCATACTTTGCTTCAACTGCTGTGACTATAGGCAGTATTAGTATATGGTCCACTATAAATTGATGAACCAGTAGTTGAAATATTTTTATGACGTCTTTTAGCAAGTAGAACCAAAATAGCTGCCACTACCGCAAGCATTAAAATCAAACCAGCAATAGCAATTCCTATTGCAAAACTTCTTTGAGATATACATATGCTATCTGCATCATCAATCGTCTAAAGAATTTAAAAACTTTGGTCAGTAATCGTAATCATCATCAATTATTCTGTCTCTTAAAATTTTAAAAAGACTTACTCGTTCTCGAAAGACGTCATCAGAAAGATCAGACTTTCCACCAAGATCTGAGGCTTCATTCACGTAGAGTCCACTGTAGACTTCAATAGTAGCAGGAGTACCATCAAGAGTCGACGAGTCTTTATCCTCAAGAGCTCGGACAGGCGTTTCTCTTCGTTTTCGATTTATTTCATTACACAATGGTGGCTATAATTAATGAATTATCCAATTATTTCTTTTCTTGTTTTCTATAATATCTATCATTATCCTAATCGACTTCCTCGATTAATGAAACTAATTATATCAAACTATAATTTACCGTATCTGAACATCCTCCACCTTGTTTTGTACACAATCGAACATTACATTGGTAATAAACACTGGCAGTGTAAGGAAACTTGTGTGCTTGAAAGTTGACTCTAGCTTCAGTCTTATCTTCACTGTACGTGAATTGGCCCATGATTTCACCATCAACTGGACATCTAAAAGAAACAATAACATCAATAAAGATTGAAGATGCAACATGCTTTAAATGACATGTGAAAAAAAAATAATCTAGTACCCTTCATCGTTGATAAGTCTTTGTTCACCCCACCCCAAACCATCTCTTACGATACAATCAGATATCTTAAGCCCAAACATCTCTTGCTTGTCAATACTGATGACTAGGGTCAGCGGGTCACCGATCTTGACATTCTCAGCAACATGGTGACGAGTGGGATCACCACTAAAGATCTTCATTGTGCATCCAGGCATTGGAGCAGTGGCCTATATTGAATAAACTAATGTTAACATCTTTTCCCACACTTGAAAATTGAGAATGTTATTATAAAGTCATCGACTTAGTCTTCTACCTGTAACGGAAGAGATTGGAGCATAGCCACACGTGTTTGGTCATTCGTAACAACTTTATCTCGAGTCTGATAGCGGCATCTTACATGGAAGGCTCTTCCTTGATTTGTAACTAGCTTTAAATGCGGCTGAACGACAATTGTATTGAAATATTCGATTCCACCATCATCCTAAACAAAAAAAAAATTATTCATTTTATTGTTTAAATCAAAATGCATTCTTCTGTGATGTAACAAAAACTAATATAATTCATATTTAATTTCAGTGATTAAAAAACTATGAAAATTATATAAAAGAGTGGTAGTAGTATTTATATTGATGAATTTAATTAAAAGAAATGCATTGAATGATTTTTTTATTAACAAAGATTCAATTAAAATTTTAAAAAAATTTAATTATTGAGTTTACTATAAAAGAAATTGAGATTAAATTGAATGTAAAATCATGACAGTCTATAAAATCGTTTTCAAACTTAAATGGAGTAAAAAAGAAATGGATTGAATTCTTGATCTCATCATGATGTATAAGTGTAAGATGTAAGTCAAAAAACATTAATCATCATTATCTGAATGATTAAAACGGTAGGTAAGAATAGAAAATGCATTGTCATTATCAATTAGAGCTTTAGAGTTGGTTGAAACTTCTATATAAATGGTCTCAAGCCTCAAGTAGGAAGTAACCTCTCTAAGAGTATACGGGAACGTAATTAGAAGCTAGAAAATAAATGCAGCGTCAGAAAACATGATAAAGTCTTTGAAGTACAGGTATCCTTGCTGAGGTCATTTGGAATTGCTGCAAGTTAAGGTCATTGGCTTCTAACGTTTTTTACTTTTTATTTTATTTCTCTTCTTCCTTCGCATTCTCCTTCTTCTCTGTCTTTTTCAGAGTCTTGTTCTTATATCCTTGCCTTTCTTCACTTCGCTCCTGGAATCCTAAGGCGGATCTCCCTCAATGCCCACGAACAAACGTCCATTCCTTGGGTTCGACGTCCGGTCAGTCCAGTCACACTAGGCTTTGGTGCTTTTTATTTTTGTTATCATGAAAATAATATATATTACTTCCATTAGAGATCATTATTTAGATCATTAGACCATTAATTGCATGAAAATAATTGCATGTATCATTTAAACACCACTCAGAGCCTTGTAATGAGTTAAAAAGATTTAATTTTCTCGGAACTTCTGTCTGTGCATTTCTTCTTCTACTTCAAACTTGTAGATTTCGATATAAAATAACATATTTTATCAGTAGAAACAAGTTTAATATTTCTCTGTCATATAGAAATGATTTCTAAAAAAACTCTTAATAAAAATAAGATTGAAAAAATGAGAAAGTGTTTTTATAAGATATAAATAGTTTGAAGTAATGTCAAAATTAATGGCAACTGAATTGGAAAGGTTGATGGTAGATGAGTGAATCAGAAATATGTAGGAAGATAATGGGCGGACAATTTGGCGAGAAAAGAGAATCTATACATGAGTCCTTGAAGATTGGAAAGGACGATAGAGGTGAAACCTTAAGGTTATAAACGTCTGATGAACATCACAGGAATTATAGACTCTCAGAGACTAGTCAAGGTCTTCAGCACAGAATATACACCTTCTTTGTCTTTGTCAGCTATAGTTTAAACTTTGCAGCATACACTACACTAGGGCTTTTGACCTTGAGTATTTTCTGCAACACTGCACATGTGACCGGTTTTAGTCTTCCTTGGGTGGTCAAAACAAAATAAAAAGTTTCAAAGAATTATCATGAAAGATTCCGCTCTACGGAAGAATTCTTAAAAGATTCAGAGTCTTTCGTGAACATCATTAGCCGGATATTGCATCAAATGATTGCATAGTACAGTAGCTAATTTTCCTTGTGGGTGAATCATTAAGAGAAAAAATCAATAAAGAAGCCAGGAAAACGTTTGTCTATTGGCATAATAGCACTTTTATCTAAAAAATAAAAAGATATACGTATATTTTAAAAGACTTTAATAGTTGATCAACGATTAAAGAAATCTCAAAGAGATGGTTCGTGTGATAAAATAAACAAGATGATTTGTTGGATAAAAACACTTTCTTCAAATATAAATGACTTGTTTTACGTTAGAAAAAAATTGATGGATGTAATCTATCATGCTCTTGAAATTTTGGTACTTTCTAAATCTCATCGAAAGTAATTTCTTTAAATGTAAATTCATTTTTCAAATCCTTCCAAATGAAAGTCCATAATTAAATTAATATCAAGTTCCATACAAGAGATCAATCCAACATTATATTTTTGGCAATTTTTCATGGCTCATAAAATTTCCTTATGCTAGTTAGTTTGTTCATGATGAAGCAATTTTTCTAGCAAAAGAATCATTAGGAGGAAACTTCAACAAAGAAGCCATCAAGCAAGCGTTTATACCAATTAAACCTCGTTGAATCTAGAATCCTCATGCATTTCGGTAGCTAATGGTATCTCTTGCAGTTCAGGAATTCGCTCGGTCACATAACGGTCTTGGTATTGTGGCAAGGAAACGATCTATGTGAGCGCGCTCGTAACGTGCAAACGCAATATCACGTAACGGAATAAATGCGACGAGACCTGGTGCTGTCAGTTGCTTATACTTATATTTAACTTATGACTTTTTATCAGTTAAGACTGGTTTGATTGGAACCTGAAGTTTAAATTTACTTATACCGTTAAGTCAAGCAAGAAAAAAAAAGACCGGAAGTCTTACCAATTCCGTTGGCATAGTGTTGCAGGATCGTAGAGGTAAACGATAGGTGATTGGTACAGGTTGACTTTTATACTCCTGTAAACAGGAACTATTTTTTGATAATCCTCTAGGATAAACCAGTCCATGAAAGTCAGTATTTTTTTCAGTTGATATATGGACTCTTATCGATTCGCTTGCACACTCAATCCTAACAGTGCTGGCAACTGCTACTGTGGCTGAAACAAGAACAAATTAATTAATAAAACATAGAAACTTGATTAATTTTTTTGAATATATAAGCATAATTAATTCCTTATCATTAAAAAAAAACTAAACTAAATAAACATTGAAAAGCTGTTTAATTTGATTCAATAAGTTTTTTTTTAATTGGATCAATCATCACCATAGTCTCGCTATGTTAATGTAATTAATTTTTTTCAGTGGTCCGGAATGATGTAACTTCTAACATTACTCATTTTAACTGTAACGAATGAATTGCTACTGGCATGATTATGCATCCTTCTTTTTTAATATACAAAGAAATCACTTGTTACTCTATAATTAAAATGTTTCTTAAAACTATTATCTAATATCAAATAATGAAAAACCATTCCCAAAACTATTTAAATTAGTTGAAATGATATATTTCTCATATACAATAATTAATGACAATGTAATTAATTAAATAATTATAATTGAGATATTCACATGTCATATTTACATTCCCATGTGTGTAAATTATAGTTGAAGATGTTCAGGCGAAGAACAAAGAATCATAAAAAATTGTCATTGAACGTCTTGGAACAATGATGAGAGTCAAGTGAACTTGACTTACAATTTATAATTAATAAGAAGAAGTAAAAAAAATAATTCAACTACTGAACACTTTAATTTTCCATGTTCTAAGCAACAACGTATTATTTCAGAAACTATTAAATTAATTTTAAAATCCTAACGGAGTGGTCGTTTTTAATGCTTCGGTAGGATCCTACTGGTCTACCCGTTCGTTGGTTTTAACCTTAAACCAATTAACGCCACGCGAAATACCGCAAAACAACCTCCCTCTAGACTTGCATTTCTAGTGTTTCTGACTACTATCTTCCTGTTTATACTACATAGATAACCAGTTAACGTGACTAGGTTTCTTTCGTGGGATTCTTGGATGAAGCATCGACTACAAGAACAACGTCCGGTCGTCCCAACTCGAGAACGTGACGCCACGACAGAAATATCGAGTTCAATGACCCTTTACCTCCCTAGGATCTGCGCACTTTACTGATATAACTGCAAATATTGGTCAACAGTCAACAGAGCCAATCATAAAATTTTTTTAGCTAAACTACACCGTCAATTATCTTATACGACTTGGCAACTCATAAATTGCTGGTATTGTTAGATAAAATAGCTAGTAGAAAGATGTGTTAAAAACAAAAGATGGTTTTAAAATTATTCAAACGTTTAGAGTAAAATATTATGTAATTTTTTTTAATAGAAAAGCATTTGAATAAATCTTAGGAAAAAGATGAGCTACTAAAAAGAATTTTTAAGTCTATTTTTATAGGTAACAACTTGGAAGAAAAGTCATATCATGATGATAAAAAACAAATTGAGGAGAATCGTTGGAACTTTTTATATTGTTTTTATGTTGGTTTAACATATTTAGCAAATAATGATTGCCTGCAAATATGGAGGAAAAACTTAATGACAAGAAAAATGACTTGACGAGAGATGGTGATGATTCAATGAAAATAATGCACGTGCTTCAGTGGTTGGATAATATGCTGACGTACGATGTACAACTGAAATATACAAGACGCTTGATGAATAATAAATCAAGTGAAATAACTGGGAGTTCCCATAAACAGATGCATCCTCCGGACATACGTGACCGATTGTGCATTTCCCTGTAATTTTCATTGCGGATTTAGTTCTGCATACTGTGTCTTTTCTCCAAGCTGACCAACAGTTCTTCCATAAGCCGTTATAAGTGCCTACATCAAGACAATTGATCAATCATTTTCAGATTCTATTTCTAACTAGTATCATCTTCTTAACGGATATTCTAACCATTGAAGACTTATTTTAGCCACAGAATTTTCTAATGTAAAATTATTTGGCTTAACTTTTCACGGCCTTGAGCTCAGTTCCGGTTGATTTCCTCCAGCTCAGTTCCCTTTCTTCATTATAATTCCTACCCTAGCTTAGAAAAAGGAAATCAAAAGCGTGAAGTTTACTTTTTATCAGCTACCGAAGAATGTATCATTATTTTTTTTATACTTATTTACAATTCGATACGTCTTGAATACTTAAATTATATTGCTGAATAATAAGAGATGTAAGATATAAGAAACACTTGAAAAATTTTTCACAAATCCAGTAAAGGCATAGCCTAGTTTATTATTAACAATAAAATGAATGTATTCATTTGAACAGATTAAAGCCTTGAGCTGTGTTCCAGCTGGTTTCCCTCAGCTAATTCCAATTCCAAACTCCTTTGTTAGAATGAAACAAACAACAAATGATGACTTAAATTGGTAAAGATGAAAATATGTAAAACTTTCGCTAGAAGTTTCATGGCAAATAGTGGGCGTTAAAAATTAGCTTGATCAAATTATCATGAATCTTTGGTGCTCAAGCTCAGTGGAGAGTCAAGTGAAATTCTCCTTGGCATACTCTTATCTTTCCCAATGGAGGATGAGTAAACAAAAGTCTGGTAAACACAACAGCCTAAGAGAGGAAAGTGTCTGTCTTTTCTCTTTGTCAGGTATGCTGTGATTCCATGCATTGGTGACGGTGACTTTCGCGTAGGAATTTGATGATGATACGAGCAAGGAGATCATCTTTTACTTTTACCCTTTCCCACTCACTTTATGGAGTTGACTTCACATTTACTTCATATATGAAATGATTTTTGTCCTTCTTCCACCATACATTTCACCATCTTTATCTTCTCTAGTTTCGCGGAAGAATCTAGGTCGCACGACTGCGCTCACCTTCGCAACTTGGCAATGTCTGACAGAAGGTCATCAACAAATTTATTAAGAGGAAGCCAATCATAATTTTAAATTGCTTATCTGAAACTTCTAATTAACGTTAACACCTTTCTGATTACTTACAGGTGGGCAAGATGCCGTATCCTGCTGGTATTTGTGCTCCCAATGCAACACCTTCCAGTTGTACCATCAAAATCTGTAAAAAAAAATTTCTTTGGTAATTATATCGTGAAATTTAATTAAATTAAATTAACTTTAATAATTTATACTACTTAGTGAAGAAAAATTGGATGGCTTTAAAAAAAGCATTGCAAAATTTGCTGTAGCTAATTAAAATAAAATTTCCATTTGCTGAAGGTTTAGGTGAAAAAAAACTTTCAGAATTAGTATTATTCATGAATTTTGTAATAAAAAAAAAATTTCTTAACCAAATATTGACTCTTTTAAGACATGTTTGAAATCCTTTAAAACTTCTCAAGATGATTTTGCTCGATGATCTATGAGGATTGTAAAGAGAAAGCTAACGAAGAGTTGAATTGAAAATTTTGGGGTTGGTAAATAATGAAGTTTGAACTCAGTTAAAATGAATACATAATTAGAGAGGTGGAAAGGAAACACGTTTTACAATTCTGATGATGATCTTACTCTGGCGATCATGTTACTTAAGGTTATTTATGTGTGTAGGTGAGATTCAAGGACATTTTCAAGAGTTGCGGTCTACCTACACTTCAACTATCTCTTACCATATCCGTATCCTTCAAGTCATGCATTTTTAATATTTATAAGCATTTTTATACACCTAACAAAACATTTATTTTCAATAATAATTCCTTAACACCACGTGAAGAAACCAAAACTCATTGGAAATATCATGGTTTGTTAAATTCACACTAAATACTCTAGATATGAGAGTGTGAAAGCGTTTGAAATTTAATATAAAAAGTACAAGTAATTGCATTTTTTTATCCACATATATATAAATAAATGTGTGAGAATAAAGTGAAAATGATCGTAAGGAAACAATTGAGAGAAAGTAAAGAAAAAAATTATTTATAATACTTATAAAAAACGTCACGACAGTTTAATTTGCTTGATAGTTAATGACATTGCGATCATTGAAATGGAGAATGGAAGAAATTTACTTGTCAATAAACATGAAACATAGTTAAGAGAATCACATCGAGTCTGCAAGTCGTGGCTTGCTTCATATTTTAAATAATAAAAATAGTTAGTTTATGAACACTTCATCGTATTTTTATTCCTGATATAAAATTCAATGACAAGTATTCCTTTTTTCATATAAGGTAATGAGAAAATATACAATTTATGAATACTTCATCACTTGGAATTTTTGTTAAATATAGCATTGAAAACTCAGTAGAATTAATGAATGAAGGATCAAATAGTTTATACTTGTCACCAAGATCTAACATAAAAAAATGGTAAGTCATCAATAAAATTTTTTCTACTCCAAAATTGAATTCAACTTTTCAAAGTAAAATTAATTCTTCCTCAATACAAAAGCCATGGTACAGTTATAGTTCATTTCAGATCATACATAGCTGGTCACCTTACTATATATATACAATATCCATTTTCTACAAGAGGTTGAAAGAACGGTCTGGGCACCTGAAAGATCCGGCTGATAGAAGAATAAAGCAAGAGTAGTAGGTGTGGTTTAGATATCCAAGCTTCAATTGTTCCTTACTCGACTTGTAGTTGATACATTTATCCTTATATATCACTTCATTTTCTTTATGACGTTTCAATATTAGCTACCAATTACCTATTTATTGATAATCAATAGTTCAATAGCTATCAATTATGTTCAATAAATACTTATAAAATAGGATTTTCGAACATTTTGTCTAAATGGATTCACATCACGACGCAATAGCGCGCCGAATTGTTAGGCTGGTGTTTAACCACGACAGATTATTAAGCTATTACACAATTGAAAATTACCACTGTGGTATTAGCTAACATCGTTAAGCTGCACCGGCTCAACCAGGTTAGTCTATTATTATTTTCTTCACCTCTAGTAAGTGATTGTCAAGGAGAGAAGACATCGAATATATTTTCACTTAGAGATCATTCCTATTCATTGTTGAAGAGGAATGTCTTTTATTTAGACAAGTTTTATAGAAGCACGCGCAGTTATGTCAGCTTGGTGACTCGTTGTGTAATGAGAACTCTACATTCTTACTACATGCGTTAGCTGATAGAGAAACAAAGCGTGGTAGTCAAAAAACGTGACTTTGAATTGGAATGATCACACAAATTTACCTTTTGAAAAAATTATTTAGATTTTATTTAGTGACAATGATTAAATTTTTACATTTATGCTAATGGGGGTTCTTTTTCTTCAACGATTAGGTCACTTCTAACGAAAACGAAAGTTCCGATTCGTTCCGATTTATTATTAATGCAATTTTTCTTTTATAGAAAATAGAACACTATAAAGAAAAAAAATATGCTTCATTTTTGTATGGATCTGACACAGCATAAATCATCTATTGAATATTTCATTAACCAATTATTACATAATTAAATTTAAATATTCATCAATTCTTAGAAAAGTTCCATCATTGTTTTGAATAAACAGTTGGTATTTTTTAAGTATATAATTAGAATTGATTAATTTTTATTAAATTGCTAATTATTTTAAGATTTCACTGATTCTTCAATTAATCTAAAAAATAATTACTGTAAAATTGGCGAAATTATGAGAGTCAATATTGAGTTATTAATTAAGTTGAAATTATATCAAGTTACCAACTCCTTACACTACAATTTTCAATTGACATATTCTCTTTTCAAGATATAATTTTTTGTGCAAGATATTGATTTCTCTAGCACGTTATTAACAATCCACTTATGTTTACGGTAAAAGTGTATGATATTGAAAGTGAAATAAAATTACTTACAGATGCATAAATAAGTGCGACACTCCACCGGTTCATAGCTGAAATAAAAGAGAAAGTATCTGTTAATAACTGGGTCGAACATGCATCTTAACAATATGTATTCTAGCAATTATTTATTTAATAGTTCCTTTAATTAACTAATTAATTGACTAATTAATTCATGAATTAATTGATAGTATGTATATACAAACACTCAACAGATATGCTGTTGATGATTTCAAACCAGTTCCAAAGGTGTTTCAAGTTCTTTTTCTGCTAGATGACGTAGGAATTAAGGAATGGAATTTTTGAGAATTTTTTTTAATCCAGATATTTTTTGATATCAAAGCGACGTTTTTAGGCGCGGCAGTATACATATATAAATAATACAGCAACAGAGAACTTCAAGCCCCAAGTCGGGAGAAAGTTAATACACACACGCGAGAGCAAACTTTTGCGTTCACTTTTTACGAGTATTCTGAATGTACATACATAATAACAGTACATGGGTATTATATCCAAGTGACGGTTGGTCCCACGGCGTTTTCATCATAATACTTTTTTTGCAATTCAATCTATAACATATTTTCTTCTTAATAATCCCTTTGACTTAACGAGATTTCAGATTCATTTGATAATTGAAAAAGCTTCTGTCTTACAATGAAATAATTTATCTTACTATAAATAAAAAGGAGAAAAGATAATTTGGTTAAATTATAACATTTCAGTTCCCTTAATGCAACGAACTCCGGTTGCAGGACGTGGGTGATTCGAATGCGCGGTCAAGCGATACAAAAGCGGTAGTGCATACTGCACTAGTGGAAAAAAATTACTAGTTATTCTTATTGGTTTATAAGTGATAATTCTCAACTAACAGCTGTTCTTTTATAAACAAATGCTTTTTTTTCTTTAATGTCATTTAAAAATAGGCTACAGTTCTTATTTATTTTCTTTCTAATTACAAACAAAGAAATATTTTGAAAATGCAACAGAATCAATTAGAAGATTCTGAAAAAACCATTAAAATAAAATTTATTGGTTTCATAAGAATTTAAAGAATCTTGAAGATGGAAATGTTGATGCATCAACTGCTATATGGGAAAAAAGTGAAACCGAAGATTACCTCATGAACATTTTAATTTTAATAATAAATAAAAATTTATCTTGTATAATTATATTGAAACAATAAATGATATATACATATAATCGAATAATTATTCTTAATAATTATATAACACCGTTTAATTATTATTAATTTAATGCTTCTTCATTCTACGAATGCAAAATTTTAAATAAAAAAACAATAAAAAAATTCGGAAAAAAAGTTAATGATAGAATTGTGGAACTTTTTCTTACGAGAAAAAAATTTGTGAAAGACGTGAGTGAAGAAAGAAAAAGCTAAATGTGCAAGGACAATGTCTTTAAAGGGGAATTGAATCATATAATCGAGAGGAAGCCTTGGAATGGACTTATTTGGCGACGTCTGAATAACGTCAAGATTACGCGAACGTCTGCGCGTGTACTATTGAGAAGAGAGAGTTAAATGACTAAAGAAGAAGAAGAAATGGACAAGGCTCAAGGTAATTTAGACGAGGTGTAGCTCGAAATCTTGGACAAATGAGGTAGAGCAAACCTTGAGCTTATTTTGAATTGCATAATACATTTATATCAAAGCTACTAGTTGTTTTAAATTGAAGAGTATGTGATGAATAAATAAATCAGCCAATCACATATCTAAGCCAAGCACGAGATCACCCACATAAGTTTTCATGTCCATGAATAACGCCTAGGCTTACGTGATTATGTAGATTTTATTGCTCGATGGATTCATGATTGATTTCCAGCTCTTCCATTCGATTATGACATTACTTTTTTCTTTTTATAAATTATTAATTATGTTAATTATTCAAGTATGTAAGTATCTTCAATTAACCTTGGAAATGATATAATGTTTATAAAATATCTTGTTAACTATCGATAAATTATTTTTTCATTTTTTCTTGGTTTAAATCCTAGACAATAATAAAAAATTTACAAATTATTATTGATAAATAATAAATAATTGCTATAAGTTAGTAATATAACACTGAAAAATAATGTAGATGAAATGAATAGATATTTACCTCCAAGTGATATTTTCCTCATGATTACGATTATTAAATTTTTCAAAAAATATAAATCAATTTGATCATCAATAAATTTTGACAGTATTATAGATAAAAATATATATAAGACAAAGTTTAATTATTCGTCCAGAAATAGCCAAGTGATACCAAAATGGCGGCGCGTTCAAAAGTATTAAAAAATTAACCTTTTAATTAATTTGAATTAAAAATAATCCAATAAAAATCAACAAAACTGTATTCACTTCATTCACATGATCATTTTTATGAACTATGACTTTTATAACCTATCTATAATTTTTTCCTATTAATTGCAACACTGTCATCTCATCGAAATGAATTTTTTGTCTCTTGGAGTAGATTACTTGCAATCCATGCATGGCAGCTTGTCCCACAGGTTCTTCTCGATTTGGATATTGGCTCGTCTCGACTTATCCAACATTTTGTAACACTCAAGTATTTAAACTAATTAATTATTCCACGTAAAAATTTTTCCACAATTTGTTACAACAGTTTAATCAGAATCTTGCTCCAATTTATTCTTATATCCTACAACTATTTATCATTTGGTTTTTTCCGGAAATGCATAGTTTATATTTTTAACAAGATTTCGACACTTTTTGTACCAACTTCACCTGTTTTATCTATTATTTAAACAACCGGCGTCCGTTTAAGCCGACGCAAGACTCGAGACTGGTAACCGCAAACATCTTTTCAATCCCACACACTCACCAACACTGTCCCATTCTAACCGGTCACGTGGTAGGCCCAAGGGAATTGATAGTGGGGGAAAAGCTGTTGGTGAAGAGAAAAAAAAACAAACCAACTTTGCATACCTGTGTAAGAGAGATAAACTGAAGAGAACAGTGAAATAAACGGAAGGAAAGAGAGAGTAAGATATGTTTCCGTTGTTGATTTTTAACTCTTGGAACTAAGACTCTAAACCCTTAGCGAATTCCCATTGGTTGATTTAATTTATCTCCTCGATCATGGTGAGAAAAAACGAACAAAAGTGATGCTAATGTGCTGAACGTAAAAGGAAAATGATCACGTCATTGCTAAAAGAAGAAATTCTGTCAGCTGTTAGATATTTATTTAAAAAATAATTTAATTTTTTTTTTTAATTAATTAATTTACAAAGAGAATCTATCAACTATTACAATTCAAATAGTTATGTATAAATTAAAATTCTTTACTTCAAACTGATGTAATAAGTTGAATAATAAAAAAAAAAATTGAAAAGGATTTATAAATGAATAAGAATAATATTTACCTTTTTTAAAATTTTATTTTATTATATTTAACTTATTGAACAATAATCACGTTGAACTATAAAGCTATAATAAGCACTTCTAGTATAATTTATTATTTAATCTGGAGAAGAGTAAAGTTCATCATCATCTTTTTCAATTTGAGCTGATTTTCTAACATATTTTGCATTAGTGTATGGTAGGTAGTACTGATGTTGATAATCAACTCGGTTTTGAATTAACTCATTCACTTGGGTTTCTAACATACGTAATTTGCGTCTCTCTTGTTCAGCCCACAAGAAGTGAAGATTTTTTTCATATTCTTGTTGTTCTGATGTGAGTAGATAACGGGCGAAAAATCTTGTGATTGGATGCTAAGGGTAAAAAAGCATAAATTATTATGAAAATGATTTATAATTAACAGCAGAGAGTTTTAAAATTCTTAAATTATTAAAAATATTTTACCCTTTCGTATTCCCAATGCTTTGGCACATAACCTTCTGGTATAGGTGCTAATTGTGCCGGACCAATAAAAATGTTAATTAAGAAAATGCTAATCGCAATTGGAATACCAGTTAGACAGACATACATGTGGAAATAATCCTTAAATTTGTGCCAGTTCCATCGAGATGGGCCCAATGGAAACAGTCGGTGTTCAGACATAAATCTTTTAAATGGCTCTAAAACGAAATATTTAAACAATTAAAAGATGTTTGCTATCGAATCGAAATAACAAAAATGCAAACTATTTACTACTTTTTTCAGCTTAGTCTTTTGTTATGACCGTAAAATGTTTGTTGCTGACAATCATTGTTGCGTAATGAGACAGTTAAATTTTAGATTAAAATTATTAAATTAGATATCAAAAATTTTGGATGAATTACACCTTCTACGAATTAATAAGTACATGTATTTACCATTTTTGGCTGCTTGACAGGCTGAAATTGTTCCGTTTCGGAGTAAAATTTGTCCAGCACCACAACAAAGTCTACTCCACGCTGCCATGTTGGTGAGCCATAATCATATCAAGTTGATAAAAAAGCTTCCTTAGTTGATCGTTGAGCATTATCATTACTGATAAGTTAGATGTTCTTACTTATTTACAAAATTTGAAAAATCTTAGAACAAATAATGGTGTAAAAATATGCAATTCATACAAATCTTTCATTCAGTTACCACGTGTAATGATGTGCTTAAAGGAACAATGGGTGATAAAACTCGACCACTTGTATTCAAAATATTTACAAAATGTCCAACTACAAAAGCAAGAACTGCACATATGACATTACTTCACGGTAATGTTGACACACCAGTATTTATGCCAGTTGGAACACAGGTTAGAACTAACTGTTCAATAAATAATAAATTTCTAATGATATGAGGTTAAGAACGACATATGTTTAAATAAGGTTTTAATTTGTATATTTTTTTAAGTTATTAGACTGGACTCCTTAATATGAGGCATATTTTGTTTTCTAGGGCACACTTAAAGGATTAATGCCTCAACAATTAGAAGAATTAAATTGTCAAATTATATTAGGTAATACGTATCACCTAGGAATGCGTCCGGTATATAAATTATATTGTTATTCATATTATTTATTATTTAATGAAAAAAACGCTGTTGATACATGGTTGTGATTAATTTTTAACTAGGGAATAGAAATCTTAGACGAAGCAGGTGGTCTTCATAAATTTATGAATTGGAAGAGACCTTTATTAACAGATTCAGGTGGATTTCAAATGGTATCGTTATTAAAATTATCTAAAGTTACTGAAGAAGGCGTAGAATTTCAATCTCCATTTGATGGGTCTCAATCTTCATTAACTCCAGAGCGTTCTATTGAAATACAAAATGCTATAGGTGCCGATATAATTATGCAACTTGATGATGTTGTGAAAACTACCACCATTGGTCCAAGAGTTGAAGAAGCAATGCATCGGTATTATACATATTATAAATTAATTTTATTATTTTAAAAAATTAAAAAAATGTTAACAATATTGCAGTACAACTCGATGGTTAGATCGATGCCTAGCTGCCCATAAGAGACCGCATGAGCAGAGTATTTTTCCTATAGTTCAAGGTGGAATAGATATTAAATTGAGAACTCAAAGTGCTAGAGAATTATCTAAAAGGGATGTAAATGGATTTGCGATCGGTGGATTAAGTGGAGGCGAACGTAAAGAAGATTTTTGGAGAATGGTTACTGCTTCTACTGACATTTTACCAAAAGATAAACCTCGATATTTAATGGGTGTAGGTTTTGCAGTGGACATTGTTGTATGTTGTGCCCTTGGAGTTGATATGTTCGATTGTGTATTTCCAACACGAACAGCTGTAAGTATAATCTTAGAAAAAGGTTTAATTAAATATGACAAAATCATTAACTCTATGTAACATTAATATATTTTTTCAGAGGTTTGGTTGTGCATTAACTAGAACAGGGCAGTTGAATTTAAAACAAAAAATTTATCAGTTTGATTACAAACCGCTTGATGAATCCTGTAAGTGTAGTACCTGCCAAACACATACTCGTTCATATTTACATCATATTGTAACAGAGGAAACGATAGCATGTCATTTGTTAACTGTTCATAATATTTATTTTCAAATGAAGCTAATGAGTGATATTAGAGATAGTATTAATGATCAGAAATTTCCAGAATTCGTAAAAAATTACATGCTCAATCTTTACCCTGAACGAAATTATCCACAATGGATTGTGGATGCCTTACAGTCAGTTAATATTAACTTAAAATAATGAAAACAAGTATTTTACAATAATAAAAGAGTTTAACATATATTATGTTGTGTTTACATAATACTTGTCTGATTTTTTCAATGACTTATTCAGGCACATTTCTCTTTCTAAAACCTAATTTTTTTAGAATATCGTCATCACATAAAATCATCAGAATCATATCCTGTTTCTGTGTTTGCTGTCATTTTACTTTCTTTAAATAATGATGAGTAACTTCTGAAAAATTAAATGAAAAAAGTGTAAAAATGATTTAAAATTCTTCTCTGAATGTATTTTCAAACTTATCATCATGATAAACAAACCTTATCTCAGCTTCCTCTTGTCTTTTTAATTCCTCAGCTTTTTCTTTCTCTTTTAATTCTTTCAAAAGTCTTTTTTTATCCTCTCTTTCATTTCTGTCTCTTTTTTCACGTTCCTGCCGTAAATTCGGAGAGGCTGATTTTTTTGTTTTGTTTAAACGGTTAATAATTGCATTAATTCTTTTGGTAACATGAATTTTTTTGACCTCTTTGTCTTTGTGAAAACCAACTTGACCAACTTCCATTCCCTGAGTCTTTCTTAAATTGGTCCACATAGTATAAACAATGTCTACATCATTAACTTTGTTTCCCTCGATGCTATTAGCTTTTACTAACTGCGCAGCATCCTCTAAAACTGCACTTGGAATATCATCAATAGTTTCCCCCTGTAGAAAAAATTATTTTGAGATATTCAGAAATTTTTACGATCAAAAAATATTTCAATAAATATAATTACTGGTCGAAGTCGAATATAAACATGAGCTGATGAAAATTTGTCAACATGAAACCAGACATCTTCAGGCCAACCCCATTTTATAAGATCATCATCTGTAAAAATTTTTTTTTTCTGTAGACATGTGTATTTAAAAACAAAATCATCTTACTCACTTTCACGTTCATCAGCACCCATAAATAAAGTAACTGGCGGTTGAACCACTAAAAATAAAAGAATTGTATTAATTGAATATAAACAATGTCTTCTTGTCAAGCTCTATATTGTTGTAAATTCCACCTTACCATCACTTTCAAAGAAATAAACCATATTTGTAATAATAAATTAAACTAATACTTTGGTTTTATAATTATTTTTCATATCAAGTTCATCGAGAACTTGAAAAAAAGTTATTATTTATGTAGAAAATCAGCTGTTGAAATGCGTGATTCCAATATTCGACGCGTGCATACGGATACTGCAGTAAGATTCATATAGAGACACCTGTCGGAATTGTTAGTGGTGACATCAAACTAATTAGCTCTAACCTCTAAAAAATTTTATAATTTTCAACAAAGGGCGTTAGAATTAAATTCTTTATCAATTTAAAGTAATTACCTAAGTCAGCATGAATTATTGATACTACGAATTGAATAATAAAATTTCTAAGTAAGTAACATATAATAATACTCATTGAAATAATAAATAAGATATCGATTTAACAAGCTTTTTTTTTATTTTCACGACGCAAAATTTACAAGAAGTAACATGAATTTATCATAAAATAAGTTATGATTTTTTAACTATTTTTTGTTTATAAAAACTATGTGAAATTAGTTGATTAATTTTAAGATAAACCTCATTAGCTATCTGCTATACTTTCATAACGACTCATATGAATGGCATGTTTCTCTGAATGATAAGTCTTAAATATTTGACTTAAGACTGGTGATACCTCTGGATCATTGATCCAAATACTTGTTGATGATGGTGTCTCTAAGATTGACAAATAAGCAAGTAACATTTTTGGATTTGTTAGACTCAAACGAATATGAGAATTATTCATTATCGCTTCATAAATCGGACTATCAACATTTAATCCACTATCAAAATCATGAAGATTTTCATTACGAGTTCCTAATAGCCATTCACACGCGTTTAATTGATTGTTTCCAGTTACTTTAAGTGCTTCGATAACTTTTTTTTCTTCGAAACCCATTTCTATTAGAGATTCCTTGATTTTGGAGTTAGGTCTGAATTCTAATCTCTTGTATTGATGAAAACTTTGAAGTAAAAGGCTAATAATATGCATTAAGTTGTTTTCCTTTGTTACGTCTTGACCTCCAGTACCTTTAATGATGTCTATACAAGCTTCTTTGATACTCCTTCTTCGAGGTTGACTTGCCGAAGGGCCTCCTGATGATGAACTAGGACCGGGAAATTGTTCTATCGAATCTAAATCAAGATTTAAAAACATAGAATCCTCATTATCATGTTCTGAGTCATCTTCACGTTCAATCAACCACTCTAAAGCCTCAGAAACATTCATTTTGCAAATTCGAAGAGCTATTAATACTTTTTTTTCTGAAAAGCCTATATCTGTTAAATACTTAACAGCTTTTGGATCATAAAGAGGTTTATAACGTAATTCTAATTTTTCTCTGATTATTTCGTATAACTTAGCTGATTCAGGACTATGCATTAGTATTTTTGCTGAAGCCTGAACAAGTGTAATCAATATTTTTCGTATTTCAGCTTCAAAATTAGCTGGACAGTCAGTTGTAGGCTTCGGTTTTGGTGCTCTGGGTTCTTGTAAATGACTAGTAGCTTTAATAATTGCATCTATATTAGGTCCTTTGACAGAATCTTCAGGAAAATTGTCTTTTATTTGAGCTGGCCTCACTTGTACCATAAGTAATTCATCAAATGCATTTATTTCTTGATCTCGTAAATTACTTTCATCAGATAGCTGTTTGACTTTTTCTGCATGAATTAGATGAAAGCTTGAAGGAGTATGTCCTTCTGAACCATAAAAATGCTTCGTTGCCATTATTTTTAATTTTTCTACTGTACAATCTGGTTTCACTGCCACGTCTATCATTTCCCCTTCTAAACTGTAGTAAGATATTGCTTGTAAATTACATAGACTTTAAGTTGTGTGCTTATAAAGATAATAATTTACTGAATAAAAATAAATTACCTAACGACATTTACGCTGAAATTTCCTGACGAGGTAGAAGCATTACTTAGTGACATAATTTTGTTGTCACTTTTCTTCTCAGAAATCTTAGAATCATTTGTTGACAGAGCCAAGGAGCCCTTCTTGGCTGTCCTCGTACTCTTTCTGTTATGCCAGGCATCAGATATTTGTTCTTTTATCCATGGGATCATCAAACTACTATAGAAAAAATTGAAAAACAAACATTGGAATATTTATTTTTTATAAAAAATATAATATTAATATTATAGGTTATAAGGTTTATCATATTTACAATAAATATAGTGTAAATGTCAAATTAAAAAAGTTATACATACTTTTTTATTTTACACGACTCTGAAGTTTAAAAAATCCGACAACACCCACCTTATTGAGTACATAATTAATTTTCTAGCACAATACTAACATTTTTTATATGTGTATACTACATACAATTTAATTTTTAATAAGTTATATTATTTGCGCCGGCGCTCCAAATGTTTTTTGGATATACATATATCCATATAAATATATATATATAGGTTACTGTGTTTCGAAACAGTGTTTGTCTATGCACAAACATAAATATGGATGCACTCTTGTCAAAGTGATACAAAACATTTTTAAATTTTAGTTTTTTTAATTATTTAATGCAATATATTGCAGTAAAAAGTTCCAAAAAGACGATTAAAAAAATACTGTGTTTGTCTTCGTGTAAATAATTTATACATATTTACTATTATAAAACAATTATCAGTTTATAATAACAATATAACCTTATAGTTAGATAAAATATAGCCGTGAATTGCAGAAAAAGTATTACAAAATGAATGAGGAATTACGTTGTGGAGAACTTCAACAACTTGTTCAGGAAGAAGAAGGTGAAGAATCATTAAGTCGAGGTGGAGAAGCTACTCCACCATCAACTCCTGCCAGGTCAAAAAGAACTACTAAAACAAACAATTATACTCCTCATACTTCAGTAAGTTTTATTGAATCATCTGGTTTTTGTTTACAAAATAATAGACTATTTATAATGATGTATTTCTAAATAGCAAGTGTTATGGGAAAGTAATAACACGCAAACATCTCCTATAATAAGTAAAACAAGTTCCGGCCAAGCAACAACTAGCCAAGGATCCATGATATCAGGAAAGACCTTCAATCTATCATCAAGTCATGGAATTAACCAATCACGTCTAGTTTATGTCAATGAAAAAGATAAGCAAAGGATAAATAAATCAGATCATTCAAGAATCAACAAACACCGAGGTAAATAAATATAATTTCATATATATTTTTTTGATATTTTAATAATATAATTTATTATTTTCATAAAATTAATATATTTATTAAAGAATAATATCATTTATAATTGCACTTTATTTTTTAACATAATTCTTTTATTTTTTATATTTTTTTTTCATCAGTATGATTATTTGATTTTATTTTAATTGCACATTTTATTTTATTTTTGACATTAAAAAACAAAGCCCCATCAGTCTCTGTACCATGCAAGCATCATTACTTTTTGTCAGAGGTACCTGATGTGCGTAGAATGGAGCAAGCCCTTTTACAGCTTCTAGAAGACTTTCATAGTGGAAATTTACGAGCTTTTGGTAATAATTATTTTATTTAAATATTTTTCTAATAATTTATAGAATTAATTAACAAAATACTAAATTGAATCATAGGGAAAGATTGTAGTATGGAGCAAATGACCGAAATAAGAGAACAACAAGAGCGACTAGCAAGGCTACATTTTGAACTCGGTCAACGTCAGGATGGTGTTGATGGAGATGGAGTAGGATTAGGGCAATCTAACATGCGCCATCTTCTTCACAGACTTCAACAGTTGAGTTTATGTATTGAAAAACTTCATAATAAATAATTTTATAACTTTTTAGATAAATTTTTTCAAATGTTTTAGAGCTCGTCAATTATTTAATGTAAAATCAAGAACTTATAATAAAATTTTAGACCGTAAAACCTAGAGCAAGAGCTTTAGCTGCCCGTAGCTTAACAATACTTTCCTTATCACGCAGTAACTGAAGCATCCTTTGAATTTCTTCTGGTCCTGGTAGTCCAAAAAATCCTAAAATAAAGACAGAAGTTGAACGGATTGAACTATTTTCTGATCTTGAGTATCCTCGAACAATGTTATTTTTCAATTCTTCAGCTCTTGAAGGTAATTCTTGCACTAAACAATTAACCAGGTCTTTATAGAAATTCTCTACGTTGAATTCATGCGTTGGAGCCAGATGATTCCGAAGAGTTAATGTAAGAGGCTCACATTGTAAAAGGTTCGCAGCATCATAAAGTGAATCTCTCGCTGCTTTAGCTACAGTTTCATGTGAATCTTCTACTTTTATCGTTAAACAAGGAATACATCCTAAAAGATGATCAGTTACATCATCATCATTGTTTTTTACTGACTTCATCCAACCTCGTGAAAGGGATCCGATAGCTTTAATAGCTGCGTGTCTTATTTTCCAATTGTCTTTTTCAACAAATGGTTTAAGTAATAAAATAACATTCGGACTAACTGGCTGATCAATTTTTAATGATAGCAACTGTTCAAGACCTCGAAGAGATTCAAGAACAACTTGACTCCCTTCATTATTATTTGAAGGTTCTTCTAGACCATCTAATAAGGCTGTAATGCAATTTTCTAAATACTCATTTCGTTGTTTAGGTTCAAGAGTGTGAATCTTGCCAAGGCCTATAATAGAAAATTTTCTTACAAGATACGAAGAATCTGTTTTTGCTTCTAATAAAATATTCATTACGACATCTAGCCAAACTGTTCCACAATCAACTTTGCCAATTAATTCAGAATAAAATACTATAACTGCAGCTCGTTGTGTATAAATTTGACTAGTAACTAATTTGCCTAGAGATTGAGCAATATTAGTTAGTAATTCTTTATACTGTTCTAATAAACAACGAATTACCAATCGAATTGTAGAGATTAAACTTTCACAAGGTTGAAGGTCTGAATCAGCTACATCATTTGGAATGCTAGATGCTTCAGTCATGTTAATAGCAGTCAACAAGTTGGCTAAAACTGCATAAACTTCCCGATACGGATTTATTTTACAGGCTTGCCGATTAGGAACAAAACCAAATTTTGTACTGAGTACTGAAATTGGAGCATCAGCATGGACCCATCCAGATAGAAATTTAATCAAAATAGTAATTAATTCAACTAATCTCTTTTTTATCAACACTTCTGCCTGTGAAGCTTGAAGAAGATGACGGAGAGCAATGATTCCCGAAAGTGAAGCTAGAGAAGCTGTAGAATTTTTATCATTTATTCCACGAGTTGTTGGAGATACTTGAGAAAAGAGATGATTATTTTCAAGTCGATTAATAATGAAATCAATAGCCATAATTCCAAATTCTTCACTATTACCAATTTGTCTCCAACATTCTTCTGTTTCTCTATCTGGAGGTAAAGGCTGATGAAGAAGATGTTCCATTACTTCTTCTGGATGATGAATTATTAAAGATTTTACCGCAGATGCTGCTAAAAGTCTAGAACTGGAATTTTCCATCTGTCTCATTTGTCCAACTATATTGTCAATTAAATAAAGATCAGAACGAGGTATTTCAGCTCCACGAATTTTAAAAAGTTGTTTTAAAGCTATTGCTCCAGCCAAACTACTTTCTTCCCGGAACAAAAGACCTTCAACTAGTCCTTCAGCAAGACTAATTATCTCATCACTTGCAATTTGTTGACAAACGATACGAGAAAGTATTTTTACTCCATTATAAATATCTTGAGGCGGTTCTTCAGTTAATAAAATTGATTTTGCTTTATTTAGATCTTTGCTCAATTTATTATCTGGAGTTGTTGAGCGATGTTTTGTAACAATTTCTAATGTTAAGATCACAGCATCAACGATAATCGACCTGAGAGGTCGTTCGTTATCAGCTGACCAACAAATTATTCTACCAAGAAGTTTACCAGGTTCCAACTTTCCGCCTGGGAATGTATATTTTAATGCATTGTGATACGACTTAAGCGTTGTACATAGAACCATTAATGTTATTTTTCTTTCAATCAGTAATTTAGATTGCATCCAAGGTATTAAACTATCTACAAGTTCAGCTAAAGCATTTGATGAATCACTTATAATTTCACTACAAATTTCTCCAAGTTCGCAGATAACTTTGTGTTCATTTTCATTCTTAAGAATAATATTCATTTCGGAACTAGCTCCCAAAATTTTATCTACAATTGTGCGTAATAAAACTTGATTCTCTTCATCAGTTAATTCCGGTGGAATTTTTAAAAGAGAACTAATTGTTTTAAGTAATTGCGGATATAATTGGATTGGTCGATATCCTGCATGGGTTTGTAGAAGAGTAAGTAGTTTAGCTAAACAATGTCCTTTGCTTTTTAATCCTAGTGAATTATCCAGTTTTTCAGGATGTACAGCTTCTGCCAATTGTTCCAAAGCAGATAAACCAGCTTCTTTACTAGTTATTTCTTTACAATCAATTACTTGTTTCATGATCCATGTCAAAATATTCTTTTCGATCGAAGGATAAATCTCACTGATATTACTTTTATTAAAAATCTCACCATAACATCGTAGTAAGCTTGCTTTTGATGCTTCAGCAGTTGCAGCAGCTTTTGAATCTTTCATTAGTCCTAGAAGTTTTGTAGGATTTTTTCTACTATCTTCGGCTTCACATGCAGCTTCCATAAGATTGATTACAGGTTGCAGATGACGTTTAGAAACAATTCCAACTGCACGAGAATATTCTCCATTAAATGGGTAACTTCTAGATAAATGAATCAGAAGTGTTAAATGCTCTTCATTATCTGTTACAGCTCCTAGATAAATAGGAACTCCTGGAGATGATATTACTCCAGCTAATTCTTTGGATAATTTAGCTGCCCAATCACTTCCTTCTAATTGCACACTCTTCTCTAAAAAGTCTACCATTTCTTGTTCCCATATTAACTCATTCTCTAATGGTTCATTATTATTTGTGGAATTATCCAGAATTTTGGACAGATCTAAAAGACGTTTGTTCCACTCAGGTTTTAGTTGATGTCCAAAAAGAGATGCTGATGAACGTAAAAAATTAATAACAGCTAATCGATTCTTTTCTATACCTGATAATTCTAAACATCGTGCTAATATTTTTGTTCCTGAAAATTCTTTAAAAGTATTAGATGAACTTTCAGAGCCTTCACTATGCATTATCTTTATTGCAAGAACAGTAAGAGCTCGAAGAACTGGAACTGATGAGGAAATATAGGTAGAATCAAGTAAAACTTTTAATAGTGATGCCCACAACCAGTTTTCAGCTCCATCAACTGTTGTAGCAAGCAAAAAAAGAGCTTCTTCATAAGCTTGGGTCTCTTCATTCATTGTTCCACATCTTAAAACAATGAATTTAACAAGAGCGATTCTTTGAGATGGTAATAAAGAGAGAGTTGGATGGGCAACAAGTGAAATAACCGGTCCAACCATTTGTTTAAGATTTGAATCTCCTAAAATATTTTGAATACTCAAAGCAATTCGCTGAAGAGAAACGTCATCTTCGGATGGTAGAGTGTTGATTAGATGCCGTACAACGACTAAAGCACGAGATCGTTGTAAATTAGCTGGAGATCTAAGATGTTGAAGAATTTTATCAAGGCCTTCCTCAGGAAATAAAATTACTAGAGCTCGATAGCATTGAAGAACTTCGTAGTGAGTTAAAAGAGCATCTCTGAAAGCTTCGAATGGTGTAACATTTACTAATTCAAAGAGTACTTGCTGAATAGGATCAATAAACGGACGTAAAACTTCTTTGTCTTCAGTATTTTTGGTACAATTTACCAGCATTAATGCTATAAGTCTTGTCGATGATAAACGAGTCATAGGATTTTTACAAAAATTTAATAGAAGTGGAATTAGTCTTCCCATTCGTAACCCAGCATCTTCTTCAGGTAAAAGAGGTAAAATTGGACATAATGCTGATAAAATACTTTTAACCATGATTATGCTTTTTTGTAGTTTTAACCAGCTATTTATAAAATATTCAGAAGCAGCTAACATTTCATCATAAAATGTTTCTTTTCCTATTCTAGAATCAGGCGCTTCGTCTAAATTGACAATGTAGTCGTTGATAGCTTCAGCAAATTTTCCAAAAAGAAAACAAAACGTTATTTTTTGTTCTTCCTCTTGTACTTGAGGTAACATCGGAAGAATGAAACTTAACGTAAGCTTCATGAAAGGCACCATTCCAAAAGGATTACATGAAGCAACGAGTCCCATGGCACGTAAAGTTGAACATGGTGGAATGACTCCAGGTTCTAATTTATTCAACAGACTTCCCATCGCTTGATTACAATATAATCTACTCAGTGCTACTAATAATTCTGATGCTTCTTTTTCGTAGTCTGGGATCAATTTCTTGATAGCTAATTCTGCCACGGAATCTGCTAAATCATCTGATAATTCTGCTGTTTGATCTCGAAGAGTTTCAATCATTATTGTTAGAATAGAAATTGTGTGAGTCGTTGATATTTTTCGATGGAGTTCAAAGTAATAAATACAAGCATGAATCACAGTCTCTGGATTACGATGAGATATTTGTTTAATTGCTTCGTGCACGGCTCCATTAACTTGTTCATTTTTGTCATTTAATGTATCTAACAATGCGCCAACCACAGCTAACAAAAATTATTCAATTAAGTAACAAATAAATTAGCATAAATAACATTATCATATCAATTGTGAGACTTCCATTACCTGATAATTCAGAGTTGTCGTTTTTGACAGATGTTTCCAAATCACTCTTCATGATTTTATTATCACTAATTATAATTTTTTGTGCCAATTTAATAATATTTAATATTTCAATACTATTTAAATAAAATTTATTTTAAAAAGCTCTTTAACAAGTAGGTGCAAATATACGTCATTTTTACAAATATAGGTTATATCGATAGTCTAACATAATAAATATATCTATATATATATATTGTTATGTGACAGTATGCGCATCCATTGAAAAATGTTTCTACGCATTAAATACCACCAATGAAATAATTTTTGAATTTTATTTACAATATTTTAATGAAAAATATTTACATGAAACTATATAAAAGATATAAACAATAATTTTAAATCATTTTTATATTATAAATCTCTTTATAAACTTCTTATAGCATTGAATCGTTTCAGTTTTTCTGGAAATACATCTTTAAATAACACAGGATCTGCTCGAAACTCGACTGATTTTAATGGCATTGTTTTGTAAATATTTGTAAAGCGATTGATGCATTGAGTCCTCTCAGCCATGTGGGCTAAATCTGCAGAAAGCATTTCTGTATTAGTACACTCCGGACATCGGAACTTCTTTTTTGGAGTAACTTTTATTGGTGCTTTTCCAGTGACATTAGCAACTAAAAAGTTCATGGCTATATCTTCACAATTCATATGTTGATCAACCCACATCTTTATGTCCCCAGGCATAGCTGTTGTATAAAGATAATTCCAGAATTTATGATGAAATGCTGCTCCAGTTAATACCATTGATATACGATTAGTCCATTCACTTTCATATTTCCAACAATTCGTTTCATTATCCCAAGTGTGTGTCCTTGATGGAAATCCAACAATCCTATCAGGAAATTCTCGCCAAACTTCGTAAGCAAATTCTAATTCATCAGCAGTCAACATTATAATATCGTCATCGATTGAAAGAACACCTTCAGTTTCGATTTCATCATAAGGATAAAATCTGTTGGATAATTTATTTTCTTTAGTTCGAATTACTTGAATTGGTTTATTAATCTTTGGCCATCTTAAAGAAGCTGGAGGATCTTTTTTAACGTTGTTCCAGATAACAAGAATTTTAGATAAGCTTGGAACTTGGGTTAATTTATTAACAAGAGAGAATAAAAGCTCTACTCGATCGTAAGTCAAGACAACAGCTGTAAATCCATGGGTTTTGGGTGCAGTCACCGGTAGAAAAAGCGGTGGAAAGTTTTTGGAGCCCGGAGCAATATTCCAATCATTGTAATTTCTTGCTAAATGAGGGAAAATTCGATCAGTTAATATCTCCAATGTTGTTTGAGTTATAGCTTCCATAGATTTGAAATATTGTTTCCAAAGCCACCGGCCATGATTTCTTAATTCATTCACTCTTGTTGTTGATATATTTTTTAAAGTTTTAATCGTAGTAAGTATATCTACTTCTCTTATAAATACTGCTGCACTCTTCCAGTCAATTATATCATGAAATGGCATGATAGATGAGTCGGAGACAATAACTGGGATACAACCAGCTGCTAGTGACTCCAAAAGTATACTTTGACCTAATCTGGCCCCTCGAATTACCAAACAAAAAATTGAAGATCTTAGTACTTCTGGATATTTGTAAATTTTTCCATCAAAACATCGAATGGCGTTACTCATAGGATTGTGGTGTAGACAAGGTCGTAGAATTAAAATATCATTTGGTGATGTCATTGAAATTTCTGTCAAATCTTGTTCAAAAGCTGCATTAATATTAATCTGTGCAGAAATCAAAAAATGAGTTTTTTTGTGAGACACTTTTAGCTTGGATATTGATGAAAAGACCGGTAGACTAATATCAAAACCACTTCTAAAAGTTAAAGTTGAAAATCCAGCTCCGGCAATAATTGCTTTACCAAGTTTAACATCTAAAGTAGTGTTGTAGTCTGGGAAACTTCCAGGAATCATGTTAAAAATTATGTGGTTTTCTCCTCCATTCCAAAATTCTAAACTTGCTAAAGCTCGAGACACTTCTTTAGTATTCAATTTATTTTGATTTAAAGTATCAATTGATGGAACAAAAATACATGCTTTATGTGGATTTGGCGTATATTGTTTACTATTAACTATAGCTTGCAAAATTTGTAAAAATTCTTTAGATAATTGGCCAGATACAGGCTTTCCTGATGCATCAATGTAATTTTTTAATGGATAAACATAAACTAACAATTTATTTCCTTGAACTCCACACCGATAAACATTGAAACATTTAAAATGAGTGCATGAAGTGTTTGTTTCAACAACTCCAGGTAAATTATCTTCTAATATCACGTCCGGAATGTTTGAAATATCTTCCAAGTTTAATGGTTTGTAAACAATAGTATTTGAAGTAGTCCGATAACAAAAAACAAAGTATGTAACTGATAACACGATGCAAAATATCACAGTGATAATTATAAAAAATAATATATTCCGACAATTAGGGTACAGTCCATGATTATCATATTTTCTTGAAAAATAAATCGGCACAGTCATTGTTATTTTTTTTTTTTTTACATAATTCACAAAAATTAATATAAAAAATTTAATTGTTGTATAATGTGCTTTGGCTCTTATCAAACATTATTATAACTCTCTACATTTTTTTCTATTTTTCTGCTATCAGATTCATTTATCTTTTCACTCAAAACTTGTCTATAATAAGGTTAGGTTTTGTTGAAAAGGTTATGTAGAAACAGTTGGTGCTCCTTTTATTTGTTGAGTGGATAAAGTAGTGTTGTTTCATTATTAAAAATTAAAGAATACAATTTTTTTATAGTCATAATTTTGATTTAATAATTCACTGATTAACAATTAAAATAATGAAATTATACATTAATTATTAAATCTATTACAAAAATTATAAGTATTGTGAAATAAAGATGTATCTATACAGGTAAAGTAAATTCATGGTAATGTATGGTTATTCCATTCTTGAATAAATCAATGAAATGTTGTTCGTAATATTTATACAGTTATGGGAGGCATTAGATCCATTCCTCGACATTCTAACGCAATTGATACTCCAATTGCGAATAACCCTATACTTTTTATTACAGACCTACAAAAATAACATTTATACATACGTTTTGAGCAGAAATTAATAACAAGTATGTTTTAAAAACTGACATTATTACTTACCATTTAAAAGGATCATTGTAAATTCCTTGTATTTTTCTTTTAATACTTGTCATTGTTGATATAAACAATTTTTCTCGATTTTAAATGTTTAAAGTCACGCAGTCTCCACGTTTAATTATGAATTTAACCCCCACTATATTGAATTTTCGTTAGTTCTATGCCACATACAAAGATGGCATTAATAATAGCGGGAGAATATTGATATTTAAAAATGTATAAAATCTTTATTACATTGTAACGATTATGTATCAACTTACAAAGAAATATTCTATCATTATTTACATAATATTTTATCTATAATTCTGTATGATGAGATGGGAATTTTTTGAGTACTGCATGATAAAGATTATAAAAAGCCCATAGACTAGCACTTACAACAACAATAAATACACCACCAAATATTATTGAAAGTAAATTTCCATCAAGCACATCAGTTCCACTTCTTTTTCTTTTACTTCCAGTGATATCGTTCAATGTATGAGCACTTTGTTCTTTCATCATTCGTTTTGCGTTCGATAATCTTTCACGAAGTTCATCCACAGATTCTGAAATATCTTCTATTTCTTCAGGATTCAATTCAGTAAAATCTAAAAAAATAAGAATTAGTTTTAGTATTTAATATGTATTTTTTGTTATAATTTAAAAACATTTTCTAATGTTTTGAAGAATAAAAATATATTTTTAACTATTTATTTACTTTTATGTTTGCGAGAACACACGTGATTTGGCGAAACCATGATGCTTTGTGTCTTTTTAGTTGACAAAGTGATTCAACCTACTGAAAATCCAGTCTTTTCTTTGGTGGAAGGGAGAGAAGAGTATTGATCATCATACACACAGCATCCTTTTAGCTCCACGCGCAGTCTCTGTTTACACCCTTATGGCATGCATTCTCACTCTGTGCATTAACGGTATACCACATTAATCAACTAAATTGACAAGTTAATGTTTTTTTTTTCTCTATATTCATTGAGAATTTCTATCTCAGTTCATTTTTCTTCCAAAATCAATTGTTCATTTTTACATTAATTTTGTTTCCCAAAAAGTACCACATTCCTAAAATGGTAATATTTCTATAATAAAAATGAATAAAATAAAATTAGTAAAATTGAACATTATTTAATCAATAATTTTTATCGAATAATATTTTATATAAAAAATATCAAAGTTTCTTTTTTTAAGTAAACAATCTAGTAAATAGGGATGAATAAATGCTAAATATTTGGCGCCTAAATTAAGTTTTTCATTCGACATTACTCGGAAGTATTCGACAATTGTCGATCATCTTCGACAAAGCTCGGTTTTTCACCCCTTACGTCATAATATGCAAGATGGCTGTCGGTATTGGAAATGGAGTAGTGTAGAAGCTGGGCGGTAGTAATACCTGTAGGTGTGTCAGTTCCGCGGTTTTCCGCGGTTTTTACCGTGATAACGTGACTGGAGGACTCAATTTTTTCTTTATATCATTTAGATTTCACATATTCTATTATCCTACGTTATTTTTTATCATTTCTAACGCAGTCTATGGCTTATTTGTAGCAACCCCTTTACAACAGTAAATTCATTGTGCAACTTTTAAAATTTCTATCAATGTGTCTACTTTATTAGATGCATCGTATACTTTTCTACATCGAATAATTGTGTTGATTGAAAGGTAGTGAATATTTTTATATAAGTGAAAGTTATGATGTATTTTTATTTCTACTAATAATGGATTCTTTTTTTTACAGATTTATAATTTTTTGTGAGTTTCTCAATCATAGTGTTGAGAAGAAACGAAAGATAGTGAATTTAAGGGTGCGATTGTTGTAAGAATATTACAAAAATTAACTCCTTCATTTTTTTAAGTAAAAAAAAATCTTAGAAATTGATAAACAAATTTATTTATTGTAAAGTGACTTAAACTCTAACATGGACGAGTGGTTGCAAGACTCGATAAACTCTGATGAAAAAAAATCATCAATTATCACTGTGGATTCAATTATCAAGGAGACACGAAAAGTCATGATACTTCAAGAGCCGTCAAGAAAAGAATGAGATTATATAGATGGTGAAATCACTTAAAAGCTGAGCTGAAAAAATTATGAATGAAATTTAGATAATTTGCAAGGTAGTGAAAATAATTGAAAGGTGATTTTTTGTGGTTATTAGTTTTATGTGCACAAAAGAGTGCCTGTCAACATGTGGAATATGATGTGTGATGTGATGCCAACCATATCAGAGGATAGTATAAGTCAGCGAAGTTCTCAATTTTCTGGAGAAGATGCTAATTTCGAGCAGCTTATGGTGTCCATGCTCGATGAGCGAGACAAACTCGTGGACTCTTTACGCGAGAGTCAAGATCGGCTTCAAGTGGCTGAAACCAGACTTCAAGAAGTTGAGAAAGAAAGAGATGCATTAAATCGTCAACTAAATGCCAATTTTCCTCAGGTAAATTTTAGCTTTTTCCATTATTTTTTTTTTATCTTTATTCCGTTTATTTTTAGTGAAAAAACTTTAACGATGTTTCCTGATAATCTTTAATGTTCTTAATTAATACAGTGATAAAATCAATAATAATTAAAGTATGTAGCCGTTGGCTGTTGAAGATTGAGACATAGAGTGATGACATAGTCGAAAATGCATTAATGAGCACGTGGAGGTAGTGATGATTATCATGTGAGCATGATTAAATTCGAAAGAAATATACCTCACAGTAATAAATAATCTATGATAAAATTATGTAATTACTGTACGAATAAATTTGTGCATAAATAATTGAACGGCGGGAATTGGAGTGCTAGTAGAAGGACAACAGAGAGACATATGAGAGGCGTATGTTTCGTTTCATGATTAAAGTTGTATGCAACAACAAAAATGCGATATTTTCCATAGACATTTTATTTGTTTACTTAATAAATAGACGAATGAAAAATATTGAAAATAAAGAAAACGATAAAATTTAAATAAATAAACATATTGAAATGAAAGCCACGCGTGTTAACACTACCGTTATACGAGTCACTGTAAATAAGATGATTGGTTGTACGCAAGAGAAACTGACCGATCAATAGCCCACCTACTCATCGGCCCCCGGCGCATGAATGAACCTCACCTTATACACGCTACTCTCTACTCTCTCTCTATACCACTAACATGCCTCGCTCTATGCCAATCCTCAAATTGTATTCCGGTTTACTTATGATAAATAATTGCAATCTCAATATCCAAACAATCTAATCTATTCTTTCATTATTTAATAATTATAAATATTTAAAAACTATCACTTTTAAATATTCACTCATTTACATATCCTCTCGAATAATTATCTATTTTGTACTTAAAAACAACAATTATTTTTCAGGAGCTTTCTCAACTGACTAAAGAATTGGCAGCTGCTCGTGAAAATATTTTAGAAAAAGAAGAGGAAATTTCAGAATTGAAAGCAGAGCGAAATAATACTCGAGTAGGTTTGATTTCTATTTCAAAATCATTCTTTAAAAAATTATTGTCAATGAAAGAGTCGATCAAATATTGTAACAAATGTTAAAGTTATCAAGGCCTTTGTTACAATTTAGAAAAGTCGATAAACTTCAGTAAAGTAGTGTACCATTGATAAATAGATATAAATAATCTTTTTGTCATTGAATAGCTACTACTTGAACACCTAGAATGTCTGGTATCACGACATGAAAGATCCCTGAGGATGACGGTAGTGAAGCGACAGGCAGTTGCACAATCCGGAGTATCGTCCGAGGTCGAAGTGCTCAAAGCTCTAAAAAGTCTTTTTGAACATCATAAAGCTCTCGATGAAAAGGTTTGATATATTTTTATATTAAATGAAAGTATTCATTTTTTTATATTGTCTTCATCTACTTATGTATTCATCGTTATTATTAACTTTCTTCTTAGGTTCGAGAACGTTTGAGAGTGTCTTTAGAAAAAAATACAAATTTAGAAGAAGAACTTAACCGAACCAAAGAAGAGGTATATATTTAAAAGATTATTAATTCAATTAATTATTAAAATATTGGTCCAGGTGTGACCCGTGAGGTCCACACAACTAACTTCCCAGTAGGAAGAATAAAATTACAATATATTCTATTTAGTATAAAAATAATTAGTATAAATTATGACTTGCAAATTCAGCTAGTTTGCCGTTTTTCGATTCTGCACAAAAAATAAATTGACCGATTTTGAACGAATAATAATTCGAAATGCATAAACGCACACACACGTCCACTTAAAAGTTGTTGCATTCGACTCTAGAGGCCTTGAAACATGGAGATATGTCAAAATTTGAGATTTACTAAATTGAATCTGTTACAAAATCTTCCCACTGGAAAGTTAATAACTTCATAGAATGTTTTTTAAATGGTTATCAATTATTCACTACAGTTACAGCAGTATAAATTAGGCGGATACCCATTAAAATCATTAGAAGATAGACCCAAAGAAAATGGCCAAGTTGAAGATCAACAAAATAAGGTAACAAGAGCATGAAAATAACGAATTACAAACATCATCAATACACGCAAATACATAAGCACATGATTAGTACTAAAAGTTTATTGAATTATATTTTCACTCATTGAAAATCATGACAATACTTTGATAAATGCGTTCAATTATTTGGTAATGTGGTGTGCTTATCTGCATTGAATGATCTCTTTTTCTCTCATTCTGCATGCTTCCATAACCTTTGTTCATAGTGTATTCGTATCTATTAGTGTCACTTGACATATATTTTTGAAATTTTTATTTGAAAATTAAGTCTTTGCATTTCATATTTTCATTTTGATTTTTAATCATTATCGTAAATGCACGAAATAAGCATAATCAACTCAATTACGAATTAAGATAATAATTTTAAAAAATTGAGCATTGAACATGTAAAAAATCTTTAAAAAATGTTAAAAATATTGGACAATGGGGAAAAGATTGTGGGAAAAAATAATTAAGGGGAAAAAAGAGGTATTCTGAATGTAGTATTATGATCGGGCAGAGTGAGACTGATCAGGAGACTTGCCAGGAGCTGCAAGAGCCAAATAAACTTGTTTCTGAAGAGATAACCGAGGACTCAGGGAGTAGACTGACCAATGGTGGTTACAATTCCGCTGACCAGGATTCTTCCCGCGTTAAAGACTTGCAGGCTACTGTTGAAAAACAGGTATGACATACGAATTGGCCAATAACCATCAGGTTTGGAGTATTCGAATTCCAACGAATTCCTAAATTTGAATAGAAATCAATAACAATGTTCATTAGTAAATAGTCAAGATAAATATAATCATGTCCTTTTATGTGCAGTGCTCAACAAATAATAGCTCAAAACAATTTAACTATCAAAAAATATATTTTATAATATTTATTATTATTTATAATAATTTTTACAAGATTTATATGATGTGAAAAATGTGCATGCTTTTTTATAGAGTAAATTTTTTTGCATACTAGAACCTTCAAATCCTGATTCTCGTTGGCAATATTGTAATTATAATTACATTATACAAATTATTTAATTATCCATCTCTAAAGAGTGATAAATTATAATTAAACTTTACAATTGCAGTGAACTCTTATTTTTATACTTGATATTATTTTAAAGAATTATTTAATAATAGTCAATATTTAATCCCCTCTCTAGCATGTCGTGGAATGATTTTCATTATTGTTTAAGTGTAACATATCCTGGCATGACTGCCATAGCAAATAATACGAGTATAAAAATACACTGGCGTTTTTTACGTCAATCAATTCCAATCTGCACAATTAATACTTAAAACACAATATTAATATTTGCGTAGAAATAATTTATTATTTTCATTGAGGTCTTAAATCACTATAAAAAAAACAAATGTCATTTTTTCAGTCCTCCGAATTAGCTACGTGGCAACGTAGAGTTAGTGAACTTGGTGGACGAGTTGCGGAATTAGAAGAGACTCTTTCGAAGACACAAAAAGATCTCTTAAAGAGTCAAGAAACGAATGTAAAATTGCAAAGAGATTTAAGAGAAAATGTAGCTCAGAAAGAAGATCAAGAAGAGAGGATAGCCACACTTGAAAAAAGATATCTGAATGCTCAACGTGAATCTACAAGTCTTCACGATTTGAATGAAAAACTCGAGCAAGAATTACAACATAAAGAGGCTCAACTTAAGGTATAAACTTTAATCTCATTATTTCATAAGATGTTTGTTGTACTTTTCGTAGATGGTAAGTAAATTTGAAATTATTATAATTAATATTATCTTTTATTTTTAGCTTCAAGAAGAAAAAATAGCCGCAATCCAAGAGAAATTAGAACTTGCAGAACAAAAATTAGCACAATATTCTAAACTTCCAGAAATGGAGGAGCAACTAAAGCAGAGGATGGAGGCTCTGACGCAGGTGAGGAGGCCCAACCAGGTACGCAGGGAAGAATATCACCACATTAACCGATTTTATCTCTCTATATATTCTTTTCAATTATTAAATTAATTTTAGTAATTTTCATTTATCCTACCTTATCATTGACGTCAATGTGGTGTAAGCCTGCTGTTGTGATATGTTTTATTATTTTATTACTGAATTTTGACTGTTAGAAAAAAATTTTCATCAATTTTTCATAATTATTAATGATAAATTGATCGAAAAATAACATTTATTTACTGAGCAATATTTAATAGAAAGTGGTATTAAATAAGCAGGCACAAGAACGACACGGGAGTGCAGAAGACAGAATTTCAAGACTGGAAACTCAACTAGATGAGAAAAATGCAGAATTAATGCGTCTTAATCAACGACTTAAGATGAATGAAGAACATAACACTCGTCTGAGTGGTACTGTCGATAAACTTCTATCTGGTAAGTCATTTTTACACTTGATAAAAATTCATTTTCATTATAATAATTATGACAAATTAATAATAATAAATATTATCTGTAGAATCTAATGAGAGACTGCAAGTTCATCTAAAAGAAAGAATGCATGCGTTAGAAGAGAAGAATGCTTTAACTCAAGAGCTTGAGAAAACGCGAAAAATTGCGGAGGATTTGCAGAATGAAAAAAGCGAAATTATGAAAGAGCTGGGCAAGGCGCGTTTAGAAATTGATAGTGTCAAGAGACAAATGTTGCAACAAGAGATTGCTTTCAATATTCAACAGACTGATGCATTAACAAGAAGTCTTTCTCCAAATGCTATTGAACCGGCATCTTCATCAAGAAGTGCCAGTCACAGTAGTTTTGACACTCATTCATTGCCTAGAAGAGCAGGCAAAAGAGTTATCGATGATGACTCAGCGAAGGTAAGATTTATTAATGTTCATGTCTAAATAAACTATTAAAATAATTTTTTTCCGTTAATCGTAAACCGTAGTTAGGGCTTTGTGTGACGACGTAACTAATAACTAGCCGGGTAGTTTAATGGAGGAAACGTCCATTATCATATAGGATAAATATAAAATTTTTTCAGAGTTATGTTGCTCGTACATTAGCAGAACAAGAGTGGGAAAAACTCCAACAAGCTCATGTACTTGCAAACGTTCAACAAGCTTTTGATGTATCGAGTGATGCTGAAGCTGACGGTGATAACGAAAGTATCTTCAGTTCTGCTGCGGATGTTATCAGTCCAGCTGGACATACAGATGCTCAAACACTTGCAATGATGCTGCAAGAACAGCTGGATGCTATTAATATTGAAATACGGCTTATTCAAAAAGAAAAAGAAAATACTGAAGCTCGTGCTGAGGAATTGGAGTCACGAGTAGGCAGTTTAGAGCATGTGAATTTATTGACGAGAGGTCGTAGCCTTGAACGAGCGTCACCACCGTTAAGTGGTCGATCAACACCCAAATCTCATCACAGCCCTAACAGAGATTATCTTCATAAATATCATACCGTAAGACATGATTATTTACATTATCCCTTATATTTTATTCAGTCCTATCAAATAATTATCATCTTCTCTCGATAAATCCTTCATTAAAACCTTATTAGCTTCCTACGTGAATTCAATAAATTAGAATCGAAGCAATAATAGAACCTGGAAGTCGGACATTCTTCAAAAAAAATCGTGAATGTCGAAAACTGTAGTTATTCGGTATTACAGGCCCCAGCCTCAATGTCACCTGCGCATCTTCATCAATATGCATCTTCATTGGCTAGTCCAGGACAACTGTCTGAATCTTTACCGGCCAGCCAGGTTCGTTTCCGTCTGGCAATTTAGATCCACACATTAATTATCAAACGTCTGCATCAATTTTCAAACGTCTTTATCCAAAATCACAGAAAAACATGCTTTTCATTATTATTTTCTCAAACCAATATCAACTCAAACTCATTTTACTCATTTATTAGCACTCCTATTTTGCTAATCAACATCTAATCCAAAAGTTATTTATCACGACAGACTCTAAATAATATTATTTTGCGGAATGTGACACTTAAGCTTTATTATGTATTATAAGAAATACATATACAAAGAAAAAGATTTAAAATATAAAAATAACTCATCCTTTTTACAGTTGCAGTTGTCGGGTGAGGAATTACATTCAGTTAGCGAACGAGATGGTAGTGGTGGCGGAAGCAGTGCACTGAGTATGAATGAGGCTGTTTCTCCATTAACTGCAAGGTCTTTAAAATTAGAGCGAGTCGTCCAGGCTTTAGCTCATAGTCAGGAAGAATTACGGAGGTATTACTACTATCATTCATCTTTACATTTGTTTTTATCCTATCCATTATTAATATAAATATTTGTCATTTATTTTAGGCGCACAGTACATTCAGGGTTTCCATCTGCAGCTTACTCTGTTCAAAGGTTAATGATTTTTTAATAATAATGCATGCATTCTCTTTTATTTTACAATATCCTTAGTTATTTAATATTGCTAAAAAAAATTACTCAAGAGCTATTTAGAATTTTTTATTTTATACGGTTAAAAGAGTTAAAAAAAAGTTCACTCTCAGTTATCTTGATGAGTAATTTTCAAAGTAGAGTCATTATCTTAGTTATGCAAAAAGACAAATAGATGTAGAACTAGAAACTAGATTAGCGCTCCATGCAAGCAGGCATGGGCATCATAACAACGGCACACTGAATTGTGGGACTCCACCTTCACCATTATCTTCACGCCACAGTAGCCAGGACAGTTTGCACAAAAACAACATGAGCGGTATGGGATTACCAATTGGTCAATTATCAAGCTCACATTTGCCAATGCAATCCACTATGAGTCCAGCTACTGCTGCTGCTGTTGCTGCTGCTCAAAAGAAAAAGGGAATAAAAAGCAGTTTAGGAAGATTCTTCAGTAAAAAAGAAAAGGTAAATTTTTGGCTTAAAAATAGTTCTGTTAATTTAACGATAAAAAAATTACATTTTAATTATATAAATATTTATTTTTTTGTAATTTTCAGATCAAGACAAAAGATAGTTCGATGTCAGGCGATTTATCAGGATTTGGAGGAGCAAGTACTCCAGCAGATCCTGATTATGGAGACAATGTCTCTGTGATAGGAACAATGGGAAAGACTGAATTCGATCGTAGGAAAAAGAAGAGGTATTAAAACGACTGATTTATATTTTTTTCTTTTATTAAATTTTTAATTAGTGTTATAATGGAGTATCTTGATTATGAAATTTATTTTAGTATGCTTGATTCATCGAGACATGAACTATTGGCTGAAGCAATGAAAGCTGGAACACCTTTTGCACTTTGGAATGGACCAACGATCGTAGCGTGGCTAGAGCTTTGGGTAGGAATGCCGGCTTGGTATGTGGCTGCTTGTCGAGCAAATGTTAAGAGTGGTGCTATTATGAGTGCTCTTAGTGATACTGAAATCCAGCGTGAAATTGGAATTAGGTGAGAGTACTTACCTTCTAGAATTAAAGTCATAGAAAGAAAATAGGAGTGTAAAGTTACTTATGTTTAGTGTCAATAACAAATCTATTCATGTGTTTATCAGCAATCCTTTACATCGATTGAAGTTACGCCTAGCTATTCAAGAAATGGTTTCTTTAACAAGTCCATCTGCGCCAAAAACATCTCGTACGACTTTAGCATTTGGTGATATGAATCATGAGTGGATTGGAAATGTTTGGTTACCAAGTCTTGGATTGCCTCAATACCGATCAACCTTCATGGAGTGCCTTGTTGATGCACGAATGCTTGATCATCTGACGAAAAAAGACTTACGTGGACAGCTAAGAATGGTTGATAGCTTCCACAGGTTAGCTGTTATATTTATAATTTTTTAATTATAATTGATTTAAAAAAAAATTTTAATATTTGATAATTTTTGTCTTCAGAACAAGTCTTCAATATGGAATTTCATGTTTGAAACGATTAAATTATGATAGACAACAACTTGAAGAAAGAAGAAGAATGGCAGAGAGTGCAAATGTAGATGTTATAGTTTGGAGTAATGATCGTGTCATAAGATGGGTACAATCAATTGGTCTCAAGGTAAATAATTATTAATTTTATAATTGTTAATGTTATCAACTTTATTGGAATTAATTTTTCAATTCATACATTTTTTCCAGGAATATGGGAACAATCTTTTAGAATCTGGGGTTCATGGTGCGCTGATTGCTCTGGATGATAGTTTTGATGCAAATTCTTTTGCATTAGCTCTTCAAATACCAACACAAAACACTCAGGTAAGAAAATGATTTTACAGTGACTGATTGAACGTAGCTTATTTAACATTAAAGTAGAAGTAATTATTTTATTTTTATTCTATTCAAAATAAAATTAATATTGATTAATTAACAATTATTTATGAATAGGCAAGACAATTACTGGAAATGGAATTTTCCAATTTATTAACTGTTGGGACGGAGAGACATCCAGAAGAATCGAATAATATAAAATCTTGATCAAATTTGCCCAATAAAACTTTACCATTTCGTCAACCCCATCATGTCTAGTCTGATACCCCAGATAATAAACAAAAAATAAAGAATAAAAGACAAAAAAATATACTATTTGTGCGCAACAATGTTGTAACAGTTAAGAGCTTTAAGTATCACATGTAAGGATTTTTCGATTAATCATTTCACCGTTTTATATCAATTTATTTAAAGCCTCGTTAAGGCTTTAAACTAAATAAACATCTCCATTATTGAATAATGTATAAGTAAATAATTAATTAACTAAATAAAAAATTAGGTAGCTTTGAAAAAAACTCGGTGAAATGAAAATTCGAATTAAAAATATGAAAACGCCGCCGAATAGATACTGAAATGTACACAAGTCATTCCTTGAAGACAGAAGTAATAGATTATTGTATAGATTTTTGAGAGATAAAGATTGATAAATGAAAAAATAGCAGAAATGAATGAAAAAAAAAAAGAAAAGACAGATTCCAAGTGACAATAATTCCATTTGGCTGAATTTTTTCCCTGCTTATTTTCATCTAATCATTAAAATTCACTTTTAATATAAGTGATAAACCATTTATCATTGTATTATAATCGTGTACTTATATTATGTATCGTAAATGAAGAAAACAAATAGAAAAAATGTAAAATGCATAAAAATATGCATCGCACAAACGTAATGAATCTGGTAACGGCTTGATAATAATGAACTAACGCAAGATAATTTTTACTTTTTATTAATCTTATTAAAAAAATAATAATGAGAATTTGTAAGCCTCTTTTACTTTAATCTATATTTCTGTATCTATACGAGGGTGATTTAAGGTAAAATTAATAAATTGTAGGCATAAATCTATAAATATTATATATGAAAATAAATATGAAAAAATGATGAATTTAATTGAAGAAAAACCAATTGAGTATTCATATAAGAAACGTTATAAAGATTATACATGCAACTGTACTTTATACGCTAGATAGAGGGGATTCCAAGTGACAGAAAAGGATAAATCAGAAAAACAATGCGATGCACAACTATAACTAGTTTTCTCACTTTAGTTTCCCCAAAAAAATAATTATAAGTTTATTATTATTCTTATAATTATAACAATAATTATTAACTATTATTTTATGAATTTTTGAATATGTAAACGGTTTTATAATTGATTGAAGGTGACCTTTGCCGATAATTATTTGTAATAATAGTAACTATAACAATTTTGTCAAGTACATTACTTCGGGAATTGACAAATAACTTGATATAAACAATCAAATGTATAATTGATAAAAGAAAACCATTCATTAATTAAAAATTACAAATAAAAATAATATAATCGGCTAAATTGTCACCTTACAAAATAAATTGTAAGGAAAACGTAATAACTTTTACTACAGTAAAATTCAAAATTACAAAATTAGACTATCGCCGGCATTTTATACCGAAAATAAAAAAAAAATCTAATTAATACGCACCATAAATTTTGGGACTTTACTATTATTATAATTAACGTGATAATTTTGATGGGACGCATTTAATATATTTAACGAAAAAATGAAAAGTTCATGTGTGTAAAAATAAATTAAATGATGAGTGTACTGTCGATCGGTCAAAAATCATCATGAAGTCAAGATAATTTGCTAGGAAAGTTTAATCGATAGGCTCATAAAATTAATAGAGGCTTATAAATTAATGCATAATCATATTTCGCTTTTAGTTAATGGTAGAGTTTTTTTTAATTAATATATATCATCAATTAATTATTTAATTGTTCATTTATTGTAAATTGATAGGTATTACAGTATTATTTAAATACTTTCTCTTGCTTTTTAAATAGTAAATTTTGTTTTTGTTTTTTTTTTAAGTAGATATTATTTTATGGCATAATTAATATAAAAATTGAATCAAGAGGTGCCATTGTTGTAAGAAAATTATTTTAAATACCAATTTCTAATCAAAAGTTAATTGTTAGTAATATTAAGTAATTTTTATTAACTAATGATCGATTAATTAGTTATGCATATTACTACTAAACTACGTGTTACCTATTAATATTAAATATGATTATTTAAATCACTGTAATATTTTTCATTTATCCAATTTATTATCTATGTAGTTGTATTTTATTTCGTAATTTTATTTAATTTTCATGATCGTTTGTTAAATTGAATATAAAACTATAAAAAAGTAATATAAGCATTTACAAATAAACGCACAACTATCTTTGGCTTCGATCGATCGATAGTGACGGTAAAAAAAATTATAAAATAAATTTTAATTAATTCATTATATCCTAAATGGACTATTATTAAATATGTTACAAAGTCATAACGAATGATGGTTAACGCATAGATGAAAAAATGATTAAAAATTAATGATAAGGAATGAAAAATAACAATAATGTTGAATTTGTCACAACGATGGGATTATAAACTTTAACACCGATGTTATTAATGTTGTTGATACTTGAAAAGTCATTATTGTTAATGTTTTTTTCCCCAAGAAAAATATTTCTTCAATAACGTATCATCACACGACTTAGTAGTTCTGTAGTTATCATTATTATCAATTATTATTATAATTATAATTATTTTTATAATTATTACTGCTGTCATGATTAATATAATTTTTTTTGCTTAAAAGACCTTCCGAATGGACGTAAATTTACCAAATAACTTTTATACCAAAGATTTGATCCTTGTTACTCCATCTAAAAAATTTAATTTTCTTCTATTTATTTCATTTTTTAGAAGTATTTAAAATTGTAAATTAATCAACGGACATATCATTTTTTGCATTATAAATTAATTATTAAAGTATAATTAAATAGAAAAAAAACTTAATAATAATCATGAGCTAAAATAGACAAATAATTATAATTATTAATTGAAAAATATAAAAGAAATGTATTTTGAAGAAAAGAAAAAATCCATAAATACCTTTCGGAAGTGTCTGAGCAATTGTAAATGACTCAAATGATTTTTAATCATAACTACTAGTTAATGTAGTGCTTATTTAGAAACATTCCATATGGACAGTAAAGTGAGAATGAGAAAGAACTAAATACATGGAGAAAAAAAATTAATATAAAGGAAAAAACATTACATTTAATCAGTTATATTTTTTAAAATAAACATGTATCTCTATATTGTTAGTTTTTTAAGCTAATAAAGTTTATTAATTTGTAATTAATACAAAACAGAGAATTGAAACTAAATGAATTATTTTTATTATAAAAATGTACACTTCTTTTTAAAATTATTTTTTTTCTCAATGTATAAAAATGGAATGAAGAGTAGAATAGATAGAAAACTTTCTTTGATGATGAATAAGATGCAGAAAGAGTACGGAAAATAATTGAAAAAAAAAAATAAGAAAAGAATTGTAAACGTATCAATGAAGAGTAGAGGGGAAGGTTAACGTGAACATACTTTGTAAATCACGTGTATGCAATTAATATGATGAGCAAACAAAAAAGTTAACGTTAATAATAATAATAATATTAAAAAAAAATTAATAACAATAAAAAAAAATAACAAATAACATTGTAGCAAGCTTAAAATGCCTTCAATGTATCTATTTGTAAATATATATCATTGAACGCGATTAAAAAATTAAATGTTTTTTTTGTTTGCGCAATTGTGTGATTGTATGAGAAAATTTGAGTGATTATGGAACCTTTAATCAATTGAAATTTGATTGAAAGATGAATGAAAACAAAAACATTATTGAGTCGGGTGAATAAATGTTGAGTGAATTAACGGGGAAAAAATGGGTATTAAAATTTATATGTGACTGAATAAAAAAAAGTGTGTGAAACTGTGAATAATAGATGGAGAAAATGAAGAGAAAACTGTACTGATTAACAAATAGAAATGGAAAATAATAGAAATGTAAACGTTATACGAAAAAGCAGTAGAGAAAGTAACTCAAAAGAGTGTAGCAACATATCTCATTTACAAATTTGTCTTGCTCATTTGAATAATATCTAATAGATAGCCTACTCTGCCTAATTATTAGGCTCTAATAAGTAAAAAAAAAAACACTATTATCGAGACATTCAATTCTATTCATTATTTGCAGGTAAATTTACATCACCAGTTCTCATAAGTAATCTTTTAAATTGCGAGCTTTTTCTTTTCTTTTGTTGTATTTCTTCTTCTGTTAATTTATTCATTCTATTCACTTCATTCAGCCTATCTTGCACTATTTTAGATAATTTCTTATGTAATTGAGAAGTGGGTAATATTAAACGATTGAAATGTCGACGATCTAATTGAAGAAGTTCACAGGTTTCTGATGCAATTGCAGAAACTTCTCTACGATGCTCTGGAATTATTAGACTGGTTTCTCCAAAATGATCACCGTCTTCCAAATGTCCTAACTAATGGTATTCATTGATTTATTAATTATTTAATAAACTGATTGAGTATTTAATATTTTATCTTATCAATTTTTATTATTAAACTATACCTCTTTGCCCATTGGTGTAATTATAGCAACAGTACCACTCATTATAAAGTACATACAGTTTCCTTTACTTCCAGATTTAAAAATAACATCATTTTTCAAATGGATTACAGGCTTCACTACAGCTAGAACAATCGGACAAATTAATTTTTTATTCGGTTCATAATTGTAAGTTTAAAAATATAACTTAATAAATATTAGATTCAGATTTGTAGTTATTCAGTTAATATTTTTACCCATTATGTTAGCTACGAGACTCTTTGGTAAATTATAAAATATTTTCGCAGTTTCCAATAATCCATGATGAGAATAAATATTTATTTCTTGTTTTAAATGTTCTGAAATATTCAATAAAATATTTATTAAAAAGTTTATTTTGTAAATTGTATTAAATTTATATGTTAATAGTTACTGGGAAGTGCAGCAACTATAGTATTTTCTTTAAAATAACTTTCTTGGAAACGGTATTGGTAATAAGAAATAAGCTTATTTCCAAGATCTTCAGGAAGATCGTTTTCATCAATATATTCTCTTACTCGTCGTATTATTTCTTGATATTTCAACTTAGACTCTGCTGAAGACTCAATCAACTGTAGAACAACAACTAACAATTAAATATTTTATCAGTTTATATGTACATCAAAAAAAGATATCTTTTAAAATAATTTTCAGTACCAATCAGATAAATAGTATAGCCAGAACCCAATAAGAGCAGTAAACATCGAATGAATTTATCAGAAAATGAAATTTCTCGAAACTCTATAAAGTTTGAACCAATCAAGTTACTGATACCCATATGTAAACTGATAATATATATTTGCAAAGAATTATCTTTGTACAATTGACTATGTACTGCATACACATCCGAATATTCAATTTTTGTTCGTGTTGCATGAAGAACAATAAAAGGAAAAGCCCAACTCAAACATGCACTCCAGTGAAAAATTAATATTGTTAATAGTGAAAGCCAAATAGTTATATCTGTTACACTAGTAAATTCATAATCCTAAAAATAACAAACAGATTTTTATCAAACAATGATATTCTACATATTTGTAAAAAAAAAGAATAATTTTTTAAACACCAAAGTATTTTAAAATTAAAAAATGTTATTAATATTTATGATTTAAATGAAAATTTTCAATTACTGATAAATGGTCATTAAGTCAAAGAGAAATTAAGTAATTAAAAAAAAAGTATTAAGAAATATTTTATTAGAATATCATTTTGAATTCCTTACAAGATTTATTTGTTTGATGTAACGTCTTAAAGTAGGTAGTCTGGAAATCTTTAGGAGTGGAACAAGCTCGGCAATCAGAGCAAAAAAATTTCCAGTGGAATTAGGTGAAATTAAATCACCAGTTATAAACCATGTGTAGGGTAACGAAGTAATTAAATCAATGAGAAAGAAACCCTGTGTATAGTGTCTATAATTAATTATTTAATATTAATGATGATGAATCAATTGAAAGTTTCTTATGAATTATTTATGAAAAATATCGCTGATGAATAAAATAGTTAATTTATCTGTAAATTAGTTGAGATTAAATAACGTAATTTATGTATATATATATGTATATATGTATATTTAAACTTGCATTATTAAAAATCTATGACGAAATATTAAATACCTTGCTATTGAATTAGGGTCAATAAAAATTACATTGCCATCAGCAGACGTATAACCAGTAATAAAACTCATAAAAATGTCAATCGTACAAACAGCATATGCAGGATAAATAAAATTAAATTGACCATAAAGTTGTCTACCACAGATACAAAAAAAAGCTTTGATATATGGAACAGCAAAAAAAAAGTAAAGAAGGATAATAGTCATCAACTTATCCCACAGAAACCTTAGAAAAGATTAATAAATACTTAAAATCATTTTTTTAATCTTGCCATAAAATATTTTTGATTAATTTTTTCATTATTGTTGTGAACATGAATTATATTCTACATACAAGGGCACTTATTGGAGAAATTAATTAGCAGTAAATACCTCAATTTACTATATGGGTGAATAACCCACCAGTGTGAGCAACTACTGTGTCGTTTTTTTTCAAGTGCGATAGCTGCTTTACTTCTGAGATAATATTCAGTATAAGGATGATCCTCTGAGACAATAATAAGCTTTTGGAAAGCTCGTTTCAAGCGAGCATGTATTTTTGCATTAGGTGGTAATTTTAGTAAAGTACTTCCTGATGTCTGTCTTAATTCACAAATATGCTTTCCAAGTTTTTCTTTTTTTCTTACATGCACTTCCATTTATTACAAAATTTTAATTATACTTTACTATTATAACCATCTTTTGACTCTAAAAAAATTCTTGTCATTTACTGAAAAATTGAGATTTAAAAAAAATACTCACAATATTACGTCATTTAAAATATTTTTATTAATTTCCCTATGAATAAATAACAGTAAATACTAAATAGCTTTAAAAATTTCATCGTTTCGTATACAAGGCACATAATATTATGCTTAAACTGAAGTTATGAATATATTATTTTGTGTTAATTTATTAATTTATCACTGTATGATGTTTATAAATACGTCCATTGATAGTCTTCTATTTTTAATATAAATTAGAAATGCAAGAAAATGTCGCGAGGTTCAGAGTATTCTAAAAATAGTAAGACAATAAACAATAAATTTATATCTTTAATTAGTAATATTCATAATTTATTAACGATTACGATAGTAATTTAGTAATTATTCTCTTGTTATCATTTTCCTTAATTTTTATTCTTCACCAACATCAGAGAGAACTTGTTTCCTCTTCCTTCTCACTCATTTTTGCATTATTATCTTTGGACAATTGCGTATTATGATAATTATTATTACTACTATTGTCATTATTACAATTTAATTGAAGTGCACTATGTCTTCTTGGCTTGGGAATAGGATTAAAGTTTAACTCCGGGTTAAATTCTGCTTTCTGTTTGATTGGCTCTGAAATATGTCTTTCAATTACTTTAACTGGTTCTTGCTCTCCCAGTCTATCTTTTTCTTCATGTGCCATTGTTATAGAATAATCATTTAATCTCACAATTTTTATTTCTTTTTGTTCACGGGGTAATTCTTTTATTTCAATTCTTACTCCATCGCTACTGTTATGTGTTAAATCTTTGAAAAAATTTCTACGATGCTCTTGAAGACTTCTTCGTGAAAAATGACCTCGCTGTAAACCAGGTCTTACTATCACATCATCATCGTCAGTTAATGAATAAGTCCTACATCTGTGCTTCATTTCCATAGCACCTTTAGCCTCTAGAAGTTTTATTTGTCTTTCTATTTTTTCTATTTCCTCTTTTACAGAAAAACTGTCATTACTTGAATGATTTTCTGGAATTTTTTTTCTTACTGTTACTTCATCTATGTCATCAACGACTTCAGCTTCTTTTACTATTTCCCGAATACTTTCTTCTTCTTTTACTAACTCAACTTTTACTGGTATCATTTCTACTTTCTCAGTTTCTTCATTTTCGTTCACTTCTTCACTTTTATTATCTTTATTATTCTCTTTATCAATTGACTTATCAGGCAAATTATCTTCTGATGAATGAATATTTTTATCTTTAATATCGATATCTTTTGATTCTAAAGGCTGTACGTTTTCTGTTTTTATTTCATCATCATTTAATTCCAAATTTTTTCTAGTCATTTCATTAATATTTTCAGCTACTTTGGTAATTGCTTCAACAGTTTCTTTATCAATTTCCGAGTTTTGAATACCATTAATTTCCTAAAAAAAAAGAAAAAATTGAAAATTAAAAAATTATTCTTCTTCAATAATGTAGATAATAAATTTTAATTTTTTTTTCTTCAAGTTAAAAATAGAATAAATACTTTGGGAGGCTGCAGAGAGTCAGGTTTCTTTTCAGGCGGCGGCGGAGCTCTTCTTTTTTTCCTTCCTGAATGATAGACACTCGTCATAGACACGCAACTGTTGATTGATAAATTAGACTTTCGTACTGTGTCATGATTACATCTTTTGAAGACGTAATCCTCTGGCATATTTTCATTCTCGTCCGTCATTGTAGACGTAGATTTCGGACTGTTTTCACTACGATTTAACGTTGAATTATACCTATTGGACGATCGAAGTTCACCTCGTCTAAATAAAAAAAAATTATCAATAAAAAATCAAATACATTAAATAACATATATTTTCCGTAATTAATCTTTTCTGACTAAACAATAAAATTTTGCATTATCTTACTTTGGTGGGATAGGTGTTTTTTCACTATCGTCCTTGTAATTTTTTGGATCCTTATAATCTAGAGGTGGAATTTGATCAGTCGGTTTCAATGTTACTTGACCAAATCTATAAAATAATATTATTAATAAAAATCAAGAATACTAATTTTTTTTTTTATAAATTCAATATTTTTTGTATGAAATATAAATTACCGTCGAGCGGGTGGTTTAGGAGTGAGATCGCCCATGATAGATGTAGTAGTATCTTGAGGACACCCATCATACAATCTTCCAGCTTCTCCATTAACTGTTAGACTGGAACTGTATCTAGATGAAGAATCGAGAGTATTTTTTCTTCTTCTTGCAAGTGTTCCAAAAGCTTCATCAAATTCTTGTTGGTCTCTAGACACTCCAGATCTTGTATCAGGATAATTATTATAGGTAGCTCTATTATAACTTGATGAAACTGTTGAAATAGTTGGTTTTCTTTCTGATTCGACATTTTTTTTCTTGCCAAAAATTCCATTCCTACATAAAAATATTCAAAATATACACAATCTATGTATCAAAAATAAATTTTAAAATAAGAATATAAATATTTACCATGTGGATTTAATAGAAAAACTGTTAGATCTTTTTTTTCTACTACGTCCAAAGGTCCAAAATTTATTTTTAGGTTCCTTTTCGACTTTCGATTGGTTGTTGATAGTATTATTAGGTCTTCTTAGTACTGGTTCTTCATTTTCCTCCTCATTTTCGTCATCTCTAAAGGGATTTAGCTCCTCTGGATAATCGTAAATGGAGACACTTGGGCGTCTTAATGGATGCGACGTAGTCGTCATACCGGTCACTGATCGAAGAGATCCGTGTCACGTTCACCCGCGATTACGTCTCATTCTGTTTCTGGGCTCTCTTGAGCCTTGTGTTATGTGCCAGCAATAGCGACCAATTCTCAGTTCCTCTTTAATATTTTCCTGTTGAATTAAATTTATTTTTACTCTTTTCTCATCATTCATTGGTTTATTGTGATTATAAATATTTAATATTTTAAAACTATGCTTGAATAATAATTATATTATAAAAACAATGAAAAAATTTTCTTTTATTGTTTATTATTATTATTTCCATGATATATACTCTTTGGTATCCAAGCGAACTCGTTGGTCATTATTATTATATACAATATCTACTTATAACACCGCCCAGAAGGAATGGAGTGAATTTAAATTGCTAATGAACATACATAAGCATGACAAAATTGACGATTCACTTCTTAAATAAACGTTGAAAGAATTGTAAACTTGTACTTCTGCACATTAATCTATAAATTGTTTATATATTAGACTTGGTAAAGTTTTTTATTGCCTACATGTTGAAGGTACTGTTGAGCAATAAAAAAATTCATTTTGCCTTTGAAATCATTTAACATAATTGCAAAGTAAATACATTTTTTCATGAAATTTAATAAATAAGAAATATCAAAAAAATATTGAAAAAAACTATAAATGAATTTGACATTAAAAACAGTTTTAAATTATTAAATTAATTGATGACTAATTGTTGAAGATTCAAGAGTTGTTAGGAAAATTTTAGTTATTATTATCCATGAAAAATAAATTCAAACCACGTGTTTCATCAAGTCGGTCAACAAAACGCAATTACTTGGATTAATTGAGTTGGTAAAGCTTTCTGTACTACTTCATTTATTGGTAAATTGTTCTACATATTATACTCCTGCAATTTAATTGAACAATCAATGTATTATTTGTTTAATAATTCCCAATCTCATGCAATCCTTGAATTGTAATAGAGATATTGATCTTAATTCTTCTAAATAATGTAAAATATCCTTTTCTAGAAACTGAAAATTGTTTTTTTATAATGATATTTATTTATTTTTTCTGATCAATATTGTATCAAAATAAAGTTTAAATAAGCCTGAACCTGACTGAGTCCATGACATTCTGTCTAGACTTTAAATAGACTAATTTATTTTGTCGATTTAAAAATAGATGAAGAAGAGCGCAATAAGAAAAAATCATTTTTGAGCTTAAAAAAAGTTTCTCGTGCTCTAAAGCCGTTTTTTTATAGCTGGTATTGAACTGATGGCGTGAAAATAACGTGGTCATGAATCCACAAATTTATTTCGTGATAAATAGCAGTAAAATAATTGATAAGAACTATTTAGTTCTTCAAACCAGGCGAATAAGTTTAAGTATATGAGCCATTTTTATTTTTAGTTTTTTTTTTATTATTCTGGCAGTAAAAAGTATAATATAGATTACTATAGTGCTTAGCAACAGTAATAGAGAAGTTCAAACAAATAGAAAGAAAAAAAAAATTACTTTAATATTTGTTTGTAATTGTTCATAGAAAACAAATTAATTTATTCATAAATATGCTATTTTTAATCATGAAAAATAAATTTCAATGAATGTATTGAATGCTTTCGCTTATTCAAATGATTAAATTGACGTACATGAAAGATAATTAAATAAGTTAACTATCATAATATAGTAAAAAATAATCGAGGCCAGTAATTTTAAATCGATCTTATCTTTTTATACTCAAAGAGAGTTCAAATTAAAGATAAGTAATGTTTAGGATAAATACTGTAATTACTAATTATATTCTACTACTGAGAAGAAGCATCTTTAAAAATTCTTAAGTATGATTATTTCATGACAATTAAATGTATATAATTTTTAATTTTTACAAAATGAACATCATAAAGATATCTAGCAAATGAAAATGATTAATTTCACAAGAAGTAATCTTGAAAGTTTTTTAATTTTAATTTAGTTAGAAAAAATATTCAATATAAACATTTAATCTAATCTCAAGTTCAATACAAGAAATAAAAATCAAGATAAAAAATGTATTAAATGCATCATATTTTATGATTTTTTTTTTGTTAAATTAAAAAATATGTGTATTAAATATCAAATTGCGTTCGAGATTGTTATCTTTGTTCAATATTTGTTTATACAATAGTCTATAGTCATGAACAAAGCATCAAGATATTATTACTCATCACTGAAAATAGAAGCGAAAAAATAAAATTTGATTATTGTTGACGAATAAACACGTTTACGTTTATCTTCATTTCTATCAATAATTTCTCTCATTTACTGTAATTTAATATCTCTAAGGTGTAAAGTAACAATCATTTAATAAAGCTAAAATCCGAGAACAGTGATAAATGAATAATACCGCATGTTTCCATGCGAATAATCGCACTTTGTGCGACATGATTGTCGCTCGCATATCGCTTAACCCACTCGACTTGGCCTACTCTTATGTAAGCGCCTTTGGATATACTATAACTATACTATCCTAAGTGTCACAAGTTACCGCAAGTATGTGAAAATCCGCAACAACTGGCCGTCAATTAAATTTTAATTATTATGCTACTTGAATCTCAGAAGAAAAGAAATAATGCAAAAAATTTGCCTTTGACATTTAGCCTTACACCAATCATTTTTATTTTGCTTTTTTTGTTTCATTCAATAAATTTTATAAATCACAATCAACTCATCGATATTATTACCAATCAGTATAATCCCTTATGAATAAATTAAGATGACAACTATATTAAAAAAAACTTATTACGTCAGTTTCAGGTAAAATATAACTATTTTTCATAATAATTTACAAAATCACCTTATTCACTTTTTATAAATTTTAGTTTTTAACATAGAACGTCACTAATATGAAGGTATGAAATTGGTAAAAATACATCCAAACTTCTTAACAAATATATCGTGAGATTATTTTTTCAAGAAATTCCGATAAACACACGTCATTACACGATGAACCACGCCGGTGAACTGATGTCGACGGTCTAAAGCTGGTGCTAGCTAGTTGGTTACCAAGAAAGAAACAGATAATAAAGAAAGAGAGAGCTATAGAAGTTGGAAGTTGTACTGTGAAACTCTCTCAACAAATAGAGAGAGCTCGACCACCTACTTTGTCACGACTTACAATTTTTATTCTTCAATTAAAAGTATAATTTTTTCGTTTATTTCATTCAAAAAAAAAATCAAAAAAATACTCTGATAAAAACTAATTATCTATAGTTCAATGTTACAATTGAATACAAGTGACATGGATTATGTATAACGACTAATTTGCATGCTCATGTTTTGCACAGAACGTTTCTGTGTAATTCTGTGCTAACAGTTGTAATTTGCGCATATTTAGAACGATAAAAGAATAGAATGCCATGTGATGAGATGAAAATAAAAAGCTCGTTGTATTTTTTTTCTTTGCAAAATTATTTCTCTTATATTATGCAGTTTCATAAATATTGACTAAATAGTTTTGTTTTTAATTGAAGAAGAAAAAAGGTGAACTTCTTTTTATATTAAGCCTTGAATAATTGTAATTAAAGTTTTTGTCATTTTATTTAACATATAATTAATCATTCAATTGTCAAAAATGATGGATAAAATAGAATATAATAAATAATCGTTTGAAACGATTTGTAGATTCCTTATATATTATTACACAGGATAACAAACAATGTTTAATTGAGAAAAATTGAATTATTATGTCATTTATCTGAATGAACTTGAAAGAAATTGGAGGATGTGTGAAATATAGATATGTATGTCACATGAACGTGCTTTATAATGATTCAGTATGTAAATTTAAATTTAAGTGCAGGAAGATCAATTCATGTGGATTTGTACACGAGTTGACGCACATATTAAAAGGTTTCTAAATTTTCAAAATGAACTATATAAAGAAATATAAAGAGAAAATTCCTATTAATTACTGATTAAAAATAAATGTTTATAACCTCTTTTATAACTTAATTATTGATTAATTAAAGTTAATTTTTTCACCTTTGATTAGCAATCGTTTTCTTGATATTTATGGATAGAAAAGGTTAATTTTCATTTTAAAAAACTTACAGATCCCAAAAGTAATTACTAACTATTTATTGCATCATGTGAAGCTATTAATTTTGACTGTTATTGATTTAAAATTATCCAAGTTTCAAAATCATTCGATTATGATCTATTTTGAATTTAAATATGTTACCGACGGTTGTTATAAAAGAAATCTGATTGTGTTTACAATTGACTTGTACCAACTGTTGAAAATGAGATTTTATGAATAAAGTTTGAATAATCGTCCACATGTTGCGCGTTTTCCAAATAGACCTGATTGGTCCATTTTTTATCATAAAAACTCGCCATGTTGCACGTAACAAAAAAAGCTTGCTCTGATCAATCGAAATTGTAAATTTCAACTAAAATAACTCATGAAACGAACAACGTAAATTCATTAAACAAAAATTTTTACAAAAAAAAATAAAACGCAAATAATGGTAAAATTAAATTTGAAATACTTTATAAATTTATATTTTTTTGTTTAATAAATTTAAATAACCAAGTTTTTTACTACGTTCTATATTTCAATATTATTAATAATAATCATACATATATATATTAATTTTCTAGAAATGTTCCGAGCTCCAAAAACTGTGATACCAGCGACTACAATGACATCAACATCCGCAACAACAGTAGCATCTACAACAACGGCTACATCACCTATTCAATCAACATTAAATAATTTACAAACATCACAGAAACAAAAATGTGCCTATGAATCATATAATTGTACGCAACAATGTTTAGAAGGTTATTCATATTGTATGAAACATATTTTGGAAGATCCAAAGGCTCCTTATAAGCAGTGTGCATTTATTTACAATACTAATGGGCGTAAATGTTACAATCCCGCTGCCAAATTGGATAGAAGAGATACGGCTTATTGTACTGAGCATACCAGGAAAGCTCAATTAGCAAGAATCAAATCAACATCGAGACATTCATTACCTCCGACACCTGAAGGTTTACTCTTAAATCTCACACATTATGCTCATAAACCTATTCGTTTACCTAATTCTCTCAATGATGTTGGAAATGATAAAAAACTATTTAAAGCTTTAGATCCTTTCAGTATGTTGGAATTTATTCAGTATCAATTTTCTATTGCTTTCAGTTTATATATTCCAAGAAATAACTATTGTTAATTTTTAAGGTGAAGTTGACGCTTTTAAAGTAAATGCCAAGAGTTGTGAAATATTAGACTATGCTAGTTCATCTGATAGTGATATCGAACCAACAGTGACAAATGAAGCTTTTAAAGGTACATTTCTTGATGATAGTGATAATGAAAGTCTTCATAGTCCTCAAGAAGATCCACTAAAGTAAGTCAATGATATCTATTTAATCATTTCACCAGTAATAAAGACATTATTTCTTTACTAATTTTCTAATCAATGCTTCAACGAAAGATACATTTTTAATTTAACTCTATTATTTAGTAAAATAGCTAGTACGCTTCAGCTTGAGCAATAACAATTCTTGATTTTACTAATATTTCTAATGATCAGTGTCTTTTATTTACGTAATTGCTTCTAAGCAATCTGTACAGAAATTTTTTTTTCTATCAATAAAATTTAGTATTAATTTTTTAAGACATGCTGGTATTTTCACTGCTGAAGAAGTAATTTACATTGCAAGAGAGAAGTTAATTAAACTCCAATCTCTTTATATAGAGCAGTTTCGAAGACTACAATATACATTGAGAGAAAAGCGTCGTAAATATTTACATTTGTTAAAGAAAGAAAAAGAAGCATTATGTAAGTATTATTATTATATTATTTTCAATGATGATACAAAAATGGATATTCAATTAGAATTTATACTTTTATAACAGGTAGTATACATGATCAACCAAAGGAAACCGCAAAAGAAAAAAAAATTTATGAGAAACTAAAAGCATTAAATCGATACCATCGCAAAAGTGGTGTAGAAGCAATATTATATAGAAAGTCACTGGAAAAACGTGCCAAAGTAAGTGAAGGTATATCTCAGAAACCACCAAACATCCCAAAATGTATTTTCACTGAAGGTGGTGTAAAATGTGGAGAAAGAACATTACCATCAGCTAAACATTGTCAAAAGCATATACTTAAGGTAAGATGTGCCCTTTTCATTATAAATATAATTATTCATTGACGATAGTGAACGCTAATTGAAAATAATATTTTTAGGATCAAAATCAAGTTTTATTTAAAGCCTGTGGTGCTATAAGAGCAGATATTGAATGCCATGAGCCTATTCCAGTTATTTTTGATTCAAAGTGTGTGTACCACATGGATTTACCACCACCTTGTAAATTAGAACCAATGATATTTAAAGAAAGTAGAGAAAAGCCAGAAAAACCACAAAATTCATCAGACATGCAATTTTTAGAAATTGATGTCGTTGGAGATCAACATCAAGAAATTGACCCCGACGATGATATGGCAGGTTTAATGCGGGAAATGAATGATACTACTTCTAAAAAACATATCCAGGTGCTTAATGAGAGCATAAATAGTGAAAACAGTACAGACACAGCGTTTAGTTTAACAGCACAAAGTGATAAAGATGAAGTAGCATCTTTTTCATGACAGTCAATTATTGACTAACGTTTTCTTACTTTTATCATAGCTTGTTTATCCATATGAAAAGTCTTCTATTATAGAACATATTTTAATCATTTTATAAGATTGAAAATATGAGAAATAAAAATAGAAATTTTTATATCAGTATCTTTTATTATTCATTTTCATATGAAACATCGTTTATGTCGTCATTAATACCTAATTGTAAGTATAAATTGTATTTATTGCAAATACATTCATATTATTCGTGCTTAATTATTCAACAGATTATGAAAAAAATTCTTTCCAATTTATGTTTTATATTGTAAATACTAGAAATCAAATATAATTATAGGCAAATATTCACGTCTTTAAACTTGCATTAATAGAATAAAAAAAATAAAAAATACTTTTATGGTCTATCATTATTTATTGTATAACACTATTGAACTTCATTTCTATCAAATCGACATTTAAGCACCAAAAATTTAAATACAATTATTAGAGTAAACTTTCTTCATGTTTAGATTTATTTTCTATCCTATTTAATCTATTGATAATAAGATTAAATCATTTGTAATCTAATTGCAAACTGTTTTCCATTATCTTAAAGATTATGAAACAATTACTATTATGCATTTTATAAAGTATCATAATTTTTTAGAGTTCGTTAATTGATGAAATATCGACATGACGAAGTACAAAATTTAATGAACCGAAAACTCTTTACAATGATTGAAACAGTTTTTATCGTTATTCATCTTAATCTAAAAGGAATTACCTGCCAGTTACTTAATGCTACTTATAAATTTGTAATTTTTGACGTTATAAATTTCTGTACACTTTAAAAATAATATTTTTTGTTTAATTGATCTGTATTAACTATTACTAAGCCATGCAATTCCTTTTTTTAATTATAATATGTATTATAACTATTATCATTATTACTAATAGTTTAAACATGGTTGTTATGTTTCAGTATTTTATATCAAATAATCAAAAATTAAATTTTAAATAATATCTTAATTAGTAAAAATATGCTTTAAGTCATGCTCGTATAGAGCAATAATTAACATAATGCCTAAACCAGTAATGAGGCCGAGGGCTTGGAGAACACATTGCCAATGCGAACCGCTCTCTTCTGCATGCCCAGATGATAATTCTGGTATCTAAAATTTTAGTGTAATTAAAAGGAAATGTATATCAAGAATATAATAAATTAATAATATAATAATTACCATGTCAACAAGTGCAATATAAATAAACATTCCAGCAGCGGCGGCAAATACCCAACTTGTAGTTGCTGGAGTAGTACCCAATAACACACCAAAAATCATTCCAAATAAACAGAGCACCGATGATAATAAATTATAAAATACTGCCTGCTTAGCACTCATTCCTGCTTTAAGTAATACCGCAAAATCTCCTAATTCATGAGGTAATTCATGACAAAATACAGCTATTGCTGTAGAAAATCCTCCGGCAATGTTAGCAGCAAATGCAGCACCAATAGCCATACCGTCTGTAAAATTATGTAAGCCGTCACCCATAATCACCATCCATGCAACACTTGACATTGTTTCAGGGGCAGCATGTACGTGACCTGGAATTAAATGAAATTGAAATTATCTATTAATATTGATATAAATGAAAAAAAAAATCGATAAATCGAAATTATACCATGAGAATGGGTGTGTCCATGATGTTTATTTTCATGTTCACGGATAATAACAGTATAGCTTTCACGATCATCTTGAGTAATATCGAGATTGTCATTATTTTTCCTATTGCTATGAACATTATCATCAATAGTCCAACTGTCATGGTTATTTACATTTAAATCCAAATCATTTTTAATCAATTTAGTAACTGGATTACAACAATTTGAATTTGTTAGTGGTTTAGATTCTTCAATAGTTGGTAAATGTTCTTTATCATTATAATTCAGTTCAGAATTATCTTGATTATCTTGTGGATCTGATGAATTCACTATTTTATTATCTGCCCCTACTTCTGTTTCAGCACCGGTTGTTCCTTTCATTGCTGTTGTAGTGGTTATTTCTCCATAGCAATAAGGATAAGATGAATATTTATGTTTACAAAGTTTTTCACCCACACTGTTACTTTTTAGGCCTTCTATTTCTCGCATTACTCTTACTCTTGATGGTAACTGAAATTCAATATATCAATTAATAATTGAACTAAAAAGAAAGAACAATATTATTAGTGTCTTACCTTATTTTTTCTTTGACGATATTTTCTCCACTCAGAAATCATGGACAATGCTTTTTCGGTAAAGAAGAATAATATTAAACCCATCATTGCTACTACACCTTTCCACATATTTAAGTTATGAAGATCTTCTTCACTAGCAGCTTCAACATGGTCCAAATGATCATGATCGAAATCATGACTATGTGGACTCATCATTGCCTACAAATAATATTAATTGTTTAATTAAGCATTTTTCATTATTGATGAAAAATATTATAGCATATGATCATAATAATATGATAATAAAGTTACGTACATGAGGTAATAAATGAATAAGTGCATCGCCACATAATGTACCAATAGCAAGAGCAACAAGAAATTGTAATAATTGATAATAATAACTTTTTCCCATTACTGGAATCACAGCAACACCGAGCAGACCACATAAACTTATAATGACTATACTTATAGTTGAATAAATCCATACTGGAAAATTAAATTACATATTTAATTATTTAATCAATGATTAAAATCACTAAAAGCTGAATCTATAAGTTATACCTTGAACCATATTTCGAGTATTTTCTGAATATGAATATTCATCATTCATTTTTGTGATATCTTCATAACTATCAGGTGATAGAATGCAACCATTCCGTTCTAAACTGGAATTACTTGATAGATGATAAATTAAAACTGGACATAGTCTTTCGAATAACCATTCAGGTAATATTGTATCATTTTTAGTCGACGTTGATAAATTTATGTTCGGAGAGATGTTCGTTAACAATTCTTTTTTAGTCATACACTGAAAATTATTTATAATTAACGAAACAATTATTGAAATAAATCTTGTACCATCTATTGAAATACTTACTTTTTGTTTGTAATTGCTATTTGAAGTAGAAATAGTTTTAGCAGTATTTGGATTTTGTATTACGCCATCCGGTGAACCTGTAAAACGAAAAGCAAAACATCATTATATTGTTATTAAAAAGATAAAATTTATGAATGAAAAAATTTTAGTCAAATTACAATGAAATATGTTCAAATAATTTTTTATTATCTTAAAAATGATACAGAAGTTAAATAAATTTACGAATAGAAAAAAAATTGAATTATAAGTCAGTGATATTTGAACGGAAATAAATGATAAAAGAATTTACATTGCAACTGGCTTATGAAGAAGCTTGAAAAATAATGTTAAATATAATTTAATAATAATAGTAATTATTAGGAATAAAAACTTACCATTTTCATGTGTTTCATGAATGTCCTTATCTATTTCAATATTTGTAATTAATTCAACAAGACCTAATTTTTTCAACATAGTTTCAAAACCTTCCATCGTTAAACTCTTGCCATCACCAAAATGATCAAATATTTTTTGTAAAAAGTACTTTTCCTCGTAATCAATATGTCTTTTCCTTCTATGAGTTTCAATTTTGTTATTATCGTATTTTTTATCATGATTGTGATGATGATGATTACTTAAATTATTATTGTTGTCATTGTTATTATTTCCAGGAAATTTTATTTGGGCTTGATCAAATCTCTTTAATTGGTTATTCTCCTTAGGATGTCTGTTAGAAAAATTGATTTCGTCATTTACTATATCACTTTCAAAAACATTAATGTTATCATCTTTAAATTTAATTTTATTAAAATGAGCAAATCTTTTCCATAAAATTTTTTTCTTATCATTCATACGGTGATAATTATCATCAGTATTTATGTGATTATTGTAAAAATAATTAATTGTATACATTTCATCAGGATGTGCTGGATCAACAGATTTTTGTCGATTATTCATCATCGTCGATGATTTTCGTATGAACGTATCCGATTTAATATTATTATCATCATTATCTGAAGCTGTCAATGTTAACAGTTGGTGCTTAGTTGATGTTGTTGTTGTAGAAGAGGATTTAGATATATGAGCTGAACATGGTGTATGAGCTGCACATAAAACACAGACAACACAGACAGTCATAAAATGTTTTGACATGATTTTGGAGTCGTACTACATGTATATATGTATATGTATCAATATATCCTCTCTAGATATTAGTCTAGATCCACTCCACCGTTGACGATTTCTCTATTTCTGAAATAGAAAAAAATATTTTAAAATTAGAATCATATACTTATAAGGGTGTAATAACATATGAAAATGATCCATTTAAAATATCCATGTACTAAGTGTAAGTATGTGTGAAATAGAGAGATGTATTTTTAGATTCGAAATAACTTGGTAATGACGAACATAAGAATACTATGCTGCTACTCCCACATATGATCGGCTAATGATTAAATTATAGAAAATAGATAATAATTGAATAAATTAAAGATAAATAGTGCAATATATAAAATATAAATAGATTAAATAATGAACTGACCACATAAATCATATCAAAAATGGAAATGAATAACTGAATAATATGCAATACAAACGATTCAATAATGAACAAATATAATGTGGATTTCCGAGTGATTACACCAACTTTTGTAGTTGACTCGGTGACTTGGTTAAGTGAGCACATAAAGAGAAAAAAATCCAAGGATAATTCATTGTAATATTCTAATGTTTTTACTAAACTCAACAATACAATAGCAATTTTTATTTAGTTGTCATCGTTATTGATGGCTATTTGTATTAACAATGTTGTCAAATAGATAAATGAAAATATTCAAGATATAGGCATTAGAGGGACGCGTGATACTTTTTAGCGGTTAGCCTTGTATCCAAAAACAAAATGCAAATCAACTAAATAGTCCAATAACAAGCTCATTTTTTAAATAATATAAACATTTAAACGTGTTCGATTATCGATACATTTATAAACAACAACTTATAACAATAAGCGGCAACAAGTATGTAAACCCATGAATTCATCCTAAAAAATTTTAATACACGTTACACAGTTGTATAAGATTCAGTAGTATTTTAGGTACTCACCTGTTGCTTGTAACTTATTTACTTGATTATCATTGTTTTTATTTATCCCTGATTGTCATTAAAAACTATTTGAAAAACCGCTGAATTCAGCCTTCGTCAACAACCGTACCTACAGCACCCCAACCGCCTTTAACTTGCACACCGTTGAACTGTGCTAGCCGACTCTACACACTCTCAATCTCTTCTTCATGTCGCTGATTGTCGCGCAATGCGTATACGCCATATGTGTTCTGAGATCTTTAACTATACGTACATGAATTTAAAAGCATATGTCTACATTTATGTATGGATATATAATAATTCAGTGTTTCACAGTATTTTAATTTGCCGTTTAATTGAAGTCAATGATAAATTTCAAGTTATCAAAAAACAAGATTTTTAATTGTTCTATCAGCAATAGCGATTAAAAAACCCCGGAGATTATTGTTACCGAGAAATAAAAAATGATTTAAAAATTAATGAGTAGAGCATGGTCAATAATCAGATTACTTATTATTAATTTAATAAAGTTAAAGGATATTTCAATTTAAAAACAACAGCTTGAATTCATGTCTATATTTAATAACAATTTAGCTATGCTATCTTAATACTTTTATAAATCACCATTATTTGATATTAATATAATAGATTATTATTCGCAATATATTTTACATATTTTTATATCACTTATTTTCTACCATAAAAATAAAATATTTATATTTAATATTCATTTTATGGATACTTGTTATTACTTATCATAGAGAAAAATCTTTGGATAAAGTAACATTTAGCGCCAATAAATACAAAAAAGTAATTTAAGTTGTTTATGCAACTGGCATTTAGCAAAAAAATTAGTTAAATTACAAAACATGCGGCTGTTCAGGAATAAGAGAAGCAAAAAACGAGCTGAAAAAGGTCCACGTAAATGCTAAAGCACCGGGCCTTTCATTATCTTCATTTTGATTAGTCGTCGTTCTTGCTTCCTGAGTATTTGCTTCACTATTATTATTTGTTTGACCATTCTGGTTTTGCTGTTGTTGACCTACTGGTCCATTTGTTTGATCATTTCCTGTGTTATTGTTATTAACATTATGATTGTTGTTATTCTCTACACGGCCATTATTATTATCGAAATATATCTGATGACCCCGGAAAAATCCTCCTTGGATCCTGTTGAAAAAAATTGTTTTATGTTATAATTTACTCAGATTTAGAAACCTATCAATTGACTAAGTCTTATTATCATACTTACAAGTAAATGGCAAATCCAAGAAACGTAACGATGAGAAATCTTGATGGAGATGAATAAAAATAAACAATGCTGGTCAAAACAACAATTCGTGCAAAAACATCAAATACATCTAACCAATCTCGGTTCAATACTACATCATTGTCTTCAGCATTGTTATTATTGTTGTTGTTGTTATTGTTGTTAATGTCATTGTGCTCATTCGTGTCTGGATTATTTGGTCCTGTTTGTACCTGCTCTCCATCAACATCTCTTGCATTATTACTATTATTATTAAATATATTTGTGTAGAGATTTGATTGTGAAAAAGGCATTGTTGTTGCAGTTGATGTTCCTGTTGGCTGTAACTGCATTCCATGAGCATTCATTCTGAAATACCAACATTATAAGTCAAGTATAAATTTACTCGCAGTAATAACAATAAAATTAATAACTAAATATACTTACAATTGTAAATATTGAGTAAGATATTGAGTATAAGCTTGTTGCATCCATACTATTTGCTGATTATTTAGTCGATTATAATATTCTTGTACTGTTGATGATGATGACGATAACGATGAAGTAGCTGATGATGAGCTACTACTACTTGGTGGTAGCTCATTAACTGTTGATTTTGCCTTCATCATGTATGGTTTTGTGGGACACACTAAATGAATAGTGTATACTTCTTCATTTGTATTATAATTTTGTTGTAATACATCTTTGAGTATCATTGAATCATTCAAAATTTGACCCGAAAAGATAACCTTTTGTTCCTCTTTTTTCTAAAATTACATAAATTATCAATGTAACCATTAAAATCGCACACATAAACATGCGAAAAAGAAATAAACTTACTGGTTTAGTTGGATAAACTTCATGAAGATGATTTTTAAGTTTTTCAACAGTCCAATTGAGTTGGCATTCAACTGTTAAATCATCAGTTTGTTGATCAGGTGCTTTTACTATTAATCTAATTAAATCTCCACAAGTATTTAATTTTTCCATTATGTCGATATATTATCAGAATTTTAACAATCTCGTCACTTTTAAAATCTGAATATGCCTATTTTAACAATTCTGTAGTCCGAGACGGCTAATTTATTCAATGATAATTTTTTTATTATGCGAGCTATCAATGGTTAGACAACGTCACGTCATGATACAACGGGAATACAATTATACAACACAATGACTGATCAGTGCATAAATTATATTAACAATTATATTTATGTGTATATGTATTACACTAAACACGGCATATGGCGTCGTATTTGACTATACAACAGATAAAATTTTTGATAATGTAAATATTTTAATGATTGTCTTGCTTATTGGCATGAAAAAAAGCACTGGAAATTTTCAGAACCTGTGCTAGGTTATGCGATTCACCACATATTTGGCGACAGATTATTGGTCCAAATAATTATTTATTTAAGCCGCGGTGGCCTCTGATTGGTTTAACAGATTTCTATTTCTCACATAAATACGCCCGCATGCGCACTGTTCGATTTACTATTATGATTATTTTTCATGTCATACACATATACACAAGCCATTTAAACAAATGTGGATTGGTGTCTATGGTTGATTGTGTAGTTTAGTGGATTTAAAGCTGCTGCGTACTTTTCAGCATTTATTTATCGTAGAAGATTATGCTCACCAACATTATACTCATGTATGTTGAAATACATTTATAATTTAGAATATTATTTGTTAAATTAAAATTAACATAACTAATTAATTTTTACAAATTTATTAATTAGAAGAGAAATAATATTTAACTTTGTAGAATCAATATGCTTAATATTTTTATTGTTATTTTATTTTTGTATTTACAATAATATACAATGTACATTAACGTACATTGTTTACAAGCGTATTCATTAAAAATGAAATGTAAATAATGAAAGAAAGAATATAATTTCAATTTCATAATATTTATATATAATATATACATTCTTTTTAATATTATTATTAAAATATGATTTAAAAAAGTAAACACAAAATAATTCATTTAGCATAGAATCAAAAGAATACTTCTTCATTGAACAGTTATGAAAAGAAGAGGTAATAACTAGAAAAAAAATTTATTCGAAGAAAAAAAAGTAACAAAGAAAAGAATAATTTTGTCCATTTAGAATAAAATTTTTCAGTATTATTTCATCTAAAATGTATTTCGTTTTACTTTGAATTATTTTTTTTTACACATCACCGTGAACCTACCACAATAACATTCAATTACATTCATTTAATTTTTAATAATTGCCTAACATTAAGAGATATAATAAGCGTAATTATTTTTATATTTACAAAGATTGTTATTCAATTACTTTTCTTTTTTTTTAATGTTAATTTTTCGAATGAGAGTTTTGTTCAATTTGCTTTATCTTCAATATATGACAATAATAATAATTAATATTATTATTATAATAAGATTAATTATATTAATAATAGGAATAATAATAATAATGAATAAAAAAAATATTTTCATAATTCTTTACTTCAAAATGTGTACTAATGTCTGAATTAATCAATAAATTATTTAATGAACTGTTTAATTTTCGGTATTTTCAGATTTTCATTTATTCACGTTTAATTGAGCTTATGAGCTCAATAGTCCAGTTAATGCAACAATTATTATCTGTCTACTATACAAAAGACTATGTTTATTTCTACTTTGTTCTATTTGTTTTTACTTATGTTCGTTAATTTTTTTACTATACAAATAGAAGAACGGTTAAATGTCATTTGAAAAAAAATATTTTAACAATTTACAATAATACAATAAATAATATAAATACAGGACAATTTAAATTGTTGATAAAAAAGAAAAAAAGAAGTTAAAAAAATTTTTAATTTGTTATATCTCTCACCCAATTTAATTAATTTTCATCTTTCGATTAATTATTATTATCAATTGTATTGTAATAATTGATATTTTTGAAAGCCAAAATTTTTTATTGTTTATTAATTTTCATGAAATATTTCCCTTTTTACAATTACTGATTTTAAATATATTTATATTTTGAAAATTTCTTTTTCTCTCCTTTTCTTCTTCTTTTTTTCGGGTTTTTTCAATTTTTTCATTTTTTTATATTTTTATTTTTTTTATTTTTATTCATTTTATTTTCCCCAACACTTTTAGTAAAATCCCCGATAGTGTAATGCTAGTAACAGTAATCGGGGCGAGAGTAGTAAGCATCATGTCACTTCCATTGCAAGTGAATTGTTTTTATTAGTTCGTACGATTTGTTGTTGTTGCTGTTGTTTATTTTCACATGATGATCCTTCGACTCCATCTACTTCCATGCCCATCCCTTCACTGCGAAATTCATATATAAATAATTTCAATTATTTCATGCTGTAATTGTTTAATTAAAATTATATTATCGAAAAGAAATATTTTACGTAATTTACCTATTACTATTAAGCGTAATTTCCCCGGACGTAGGTATTTCTAATTGTGATTGTTGCGATTGATCTTGTTGTTGTTGTTGTCGTGCTAAATTAGCAAGTTTTGTTTGGGCTATAAACCCAGGTAGTAAACTGGACGGTGAAGAATGTATTTGCGGCGTAACAACTGCTGACTGAATATTAGCATTGATATTATGTGTTCCACCAATATTATTCGAAACAATAGCTCCACTAACAACACTATTATTATGTATATTTGATGTGGGACCGTTTTGTTGATGACCATTACCAAAACCCAGCAGACTACCGATTCTCGTATTTCTCGTTGGACTAGTCAATGATTTTGATAATATTGATGATGATAATTGATTACTGTTCACTAATGATCGTTGATAATTGTAATTTTGTTGATTAAGATGATAATTGTGTAAATTATTCTGCTGGTTTAACTGTCTCATTTGATTACTTATTCCACTACTTCCTGTACACTGAGTTATTGGTTGAGTAGTAATTATACTATTTGATGGATGAGATGTCGATGTAGGTAGACTGGATGAAATGATTGTTATTGAGGAAGGTGCCCGATGATCCATAGACGAGGTAGAAGAACCAGATGATAACGATAATAGTGACGTGGGCATAGAACCACCTGTCATTAATGGTAATGTGGAAGTATTACTGTGTGTGGTACTGGTTGGAGAATTAGTTGACACTGCTAATGTTGACAATGATGATAACGATGACGTTGTAGGATTAATCATCGATGTTGTTGTCATTACAGTTGTTGATGTTGACGAAGTAGTTGAAGCTACAGTTGCTGTAGTCATTGTAGCTGTTGTTACTACTGTTGTTGATAGAGATGTCAATGATAATGATGTTGTAGAATTCATTGTAGTTATAGCTGTTGAAGACATCATTGATGTTGCAGTCGTTGTGAATGCTGTTGATGTCGTAGACGTTATTGTCGTTGCCGTAGTAAATGATGATAATGACGACAATGATGATGCAGAAGACAATGATGACAATGATGACGATGATGATAGCGAAGGTAATGAATATGGCTGAGATGATGATGTTGATGAAAGAGAATTTGTTACATTAACTGAAGTTGATGGTGAGTTTTGGATTTTTTTTATCGTTCCCGATGAATTATTTACACTTTTACTAACACTGCACTGATTATTACGATAATTGAAGGTATTATTTACAGGAGTCACTTGGAAGCGCGAACTGCCTAGAGTCTCCTCACTTGTATTTTGCACACCAAGTTCAAAGTCCGTTAATTCATCCACAGAGAAATAATCAGCAATATTAAATTCTGTAGTGAAAGGCGTTTCGTCACAATTATTAAAACGTTCTGGTTCAATATCAACGCACAATGACGTTGCCTCTGGAGGAAATGGATACAGAGTGGATGAAGATGATGTACGTATTCCATAACCATCTATTTCACCCTCTGAATCTTCACTGCAGCTGTTGCTATTACTGCTGTTGCGGCTTGCTCTACTGCTATTACTTGTAGACCAACTACTTTCCTCGTCACTTGGATTAGGATCTAAACCAGCTACCGGTGAAGTAGTCTTTGGATGAAAATGCAACCTGTAAATATTAATCCACGTATAAATAGGTATTACTATGAATGATATGAAATAATGAAATTATTATTAACCATTCTTGTTTAAGGTTGGTGGCATTATTATTAATTGGATCTGTTTGCTGTAGATCTTGTGGTTCATGTATCGTGAAATCTAGTGAAGACCAAATATCATCGATATCAGTTGGATAGCGATCCAATATTACTCTAAAATAAATAAAATAGAATTAAAAACATTCATAAAATAATTTTTTATTAAATTTAATAATGATCAATTATTACCTGCCACCCCGACCAATTCTCCTTCTCGCATATCCAATACATCTTGGAGTAGGCTTACTTATACTTGTTAAAGCAAACCTATATTTTTTATCAGCTGTTCCACCTTCATCTTTACTATACCAAGGCCAATTACCTAATCCCCCTGATACAGGCTTTAAACAAAATTTAATTATTGAAGTATTTGTAGATCAATGGAATGGTAAACGATTTAATGAAACTGTTATGTACCGGTAAGTAATTGCAATAACGATTACGTCTAAATGTAAATGGGCTCTCATCAGCGACGTCATCATCATCGTCATGATCATTAGTAAGCATTGATGATGTAGACAATTGAGTGTGTGGGAAAGGATTGTCTTCATCTGAGCTGGCAAGCGGGTCCAGCCCACTACTCCCGAGAACTCCGGTGCGTAAATGACGATGACTACTACTACTAGTGCGCATCAATACTCCTTCATCTAAGCCACTACTTGGTCTACCATCAAGTTTATGTTTTCGTTTCTTATACTGTCTTTTTTCTTTCCTTGGTAAACCATCTTCTTTTTTACAAACTTTATTTGACCAATTCTGATGCACACCGAATTGATTCGTAAATAGTGGAGCAAATGCCGGCCTTACTGTCTTCAATGCTGAAACTTCTGCGAGTATTTGTCCATTGAAATCTTCTGCTTGATATCTAATGAATAATAAATAAAATATTGTTAAAATTTTGATATATAAATAAACTATTTTTTAAACTTTTCAATTCTATTCACCTCTTTTCGAATACTTCAATAGTAAGATGCAGATGTTCTCTTTTAGTTTTTTCACGTCTTTTTACTAATTCAAGAAGTGTTACAGCTTTACTGAGTTCTCTACGTAACTTAAGCATTTTTTCATAACTACTTTCATCGTTTTTACGATTTTTACGAGTTTGCATTTTTTCTGTGATTCTTCGGAAAGCTAAGTAAGGATTGTTTGCAGCTGAACCAGGCCGATGATCTGTTTTTACCGTCAATAAAAGTGGATGTTGCTAAAAAATTCAAACATTTTTATTAATTATTTCTTCACCAAAAAAACTATAGTATAAACTTACAGTTTTAAGTCTTTTATTTAGCCAGTAATCAAATACAGCAATAATAAGATCATCATCCTCTTTTAATAACGCTTTAGCTTCATTTAATGTAACGACTGTTTGTCCAGAACTTTTTTCCAGTCGATCCATCATTTCTTCGAACTGCAATGGTGTTAAGTCCATTTTTCTACTTTGCATCCCAACCCATTTTTCATCCTCGGAATCCATATCGTAGTCTGGAATATCTTGTTCCATTGCAAAGGCTATGTCAACAAAAACCAATACAATGTCACACGTTAAGAAGTATTTTTTTAAATGATCAATTTTAAGTAAGGGAATATGTTTAATTTTTTATTATTATTTATTTAATGTAAAAACTTACGTTGCATATGTATTAGTTGTCGAGGTAATTTGTAATCGGCCGGATAAATTTTATCATAAGCTTCTACGTCTGTTAAATCTGTTACCTCAGGTGTAGGAATAATTAAGCCAGCACATATTGCCCTTTGAAGATGATGCTCCTGTTCAACAATTAATCATTCAGTTAATAGAATGTCAGGATGCTTTTTCTAACCATGTGTCATCTTACATCAAATAAGTCAATCATGACTTGAAAAATGAAATGAAACAACAATACTTTGATAAATTATTCGATCATTATACTCAAAAAAAAATGATTTTAATTAATTTACATGTTCAACCTAGTGTCAAGTTTACAAAAATAATATTAATTAACATTATAAACAATATTAAATGTGTATACAAATATAATATTTGAAATAAACAGATAAAAAAGGCGCGTATACGCCATCTGTCGGTTGTTTACATAATAATAATGGATTATATTCAAAATGGCGGTCAATGGAAAACATGCTGGTGAATAAAACGTGTATAATAAATGATTTACGTACACATTCTTCTTCTTTAGTCATTCCACTTGGCATTTGAGGTACCGCACGGTTTATTGCTGAATAATCCGGTAAATTTGGCAGTTCCTCTGCCATATAAATAGGCATTGGTTTTGAAGCGTCCAAGGGCTTCGCCCTGAACGACAGTTTGCTCATCATGAATGTATGTTTTTGTTACACGATAAAGCAATGAACAAAAAATGAAATGAAGAATAAGAAAAAAAAGAATAAATAAGTAAACACACACGCACTGTTATGCTTTCTTTTATGCACTTCACTCGTCACGATATACAATTAATAAAAATGTTATGATCCGAATTTATTACACCAATAACACTATTCGGCCTTTCGTTCTTTTCTTTATCTTTATATATTATAAAGCTTATTTAGTATATCTATGGTCGTCGAGTTATATTATATGGATGTATGCGAATGTCTGAGGGGGTGCCCGGGGCGTGCTTGGCCCTCTTATTCCTCTTCCGGGGCCAACTTTGAGGCACCCACCAAGGCCTCAACACCCTCGCAATCAATCCTCAGGGTCTCATCGTTTATTTGCCATTGCAGTTAAACACCCTCACTCATTCACTAAACTAAATATATCACTGTGAATACATGTTTGCAACACACGGTCCCTGTGAAAAGCCATCATGGCCGACCAACAGCCATTTAATTCTACACACGGTGTGACCACTAGTCAAAGCAGGGATGCAGTTATAGCGAATTATTCTAAGGCACTTTATGCCCCCTACTAATGTTATTTGGCTTTCCCTCAAGAGAACTCTATGTCCTGGGCGCTCAAATTTCTAGCTAACCACACAGCCTGCTCTGGTTTACTCTGTCACACACATTCAATGTATTGTATATATACAAAATACATACACACGTGCATACATTCAGTCTTTGCTCTTTTGCACTGCATGGATTTGCAATTTTATGAAAAATTTACTGTACACATCTAACACACACTATTAAAGTGAGGTTACAAGTTGAAATTACATTCGCTAGGTGGAACAGCTGTACAGGTTCTGTTATTTTAGATGTCGCTGAATTACACTTTTATATCAGTATAAACGAAGGTTGCGTTCAGTTTGTCGTTGAATAACAATTGAATAGCCAATAAAAATTCACTATTTCTATTGTAAAAAATTTGGCAGCGATGTAGTCTTGCTCCAATGCTTGTGTCAAAGTTCTAACCTCAATTATTTGACAGTTATCACCGCTATGAGTAAGCAAATGATAATGTATTAGCCATAAAAAAATATGACAAATTTTTGATAATTTTGCAAATATATATATATATATATATGCATTTGTTTTGAATGTAATGTATAGTATCATTATTATAAGTAAATTTAAATCAGTTCTAAAACGTTTGAAAATATATTTATTTTATTTATGTAAATTCAATGATTTTTATAGCTCACATACAAATGTTACACTTAATGAAGGAAATTTATTAAATGAAAATTGAATGATTGAATAAATTAATGTTTATCTTATCCATTTAATTTTTAAGACATTTTTGTTCTACAAACTATAGTCACATTAATATTTTTATGCTACTTTTTCATATTGGGCCATATGCAAAAATTCTTTGTCAATCAATTTCGGAATTTTACTCACCATAAACACTGATATTTCTGTGAAAACATTATTCTTTACTCGCGCATTTGTTAATTTTAATTCAACACGTAAAGGATTTAATTGTTTTTCCAATAAACATGTAAACTTGAATAATGTAATATCATTATTATGTTGTAAAGTTTCTAAAATTTTATCTGAAATCACAGACTCTTTATCAATAGGGCTTAAAGTAACATCTAAATTAGATAACATGCCTTTCCTTCCTCGATTAAGACAATGCTTTCCTTTACATAATAATATAATTTTATCATTTTTTTTTGAATAAACATCAAACTGTTCATCTGTTTTCATTTGCTTCAAATTTGTTACATCATTCACCACTCGAACGTCAAATTTTAATACCCTTTCAAAAACTGCTCTTATCAATTTAGTAGTCATGTGAAACCAGTGATCTTCAATGTACTTTTTCTTATCCTTAATATTTTCATCCTCTTCAAAGTTTTTAGGAAGACCAAGTTTTTCAAATCTGCCAGCAGGAATGGTCATGTAATATGTTTTGCATTTTTTTAGTTGTTTTTTAACATTTGAATCATATAAAGATGATAATAAATTATTGTACTGATTTTTTGCTGATTCCTCACAAATTTGAACAGATTCAGTGCAATATGCCTGAAAATCTCGGAGAAGTCGATCCGACCATCCACTTGCTATATTATGATCAAATTTAATAGGATCTAAAATACAAGCAGGTTTATGTAATTGTAAAGATTCGATGTTAATTCCTAATGATGTAATTTTTGCGGTGTCTGTTCTTTGATACATTAAACCATCTAATGGATTTATGATCATATCATAAAACATAAAATCAGCGTAAAATTTAAAAAATCCATAAATTAGTTCTGGTATTGTACTGTTGTTGGTAACATTTTTCTTATATTTTTTATTGAAGTTAATTTGCCAGCCATTAAAGAAAATTGGCTGACAGGTAGATTGAATTTCATAAACTGTAGGAAGTATTTGCAAATTTGGTTGTTGAAGATAAAAAATAATAGCTATAATCAAAGAATAGTTGGTGATTTTCCCAGTTCCAGTAATGTCAAGTTTTTTAGCCCAATATTTGATAATCATCATCAATGGTTTAACTCTAGGATCCAAAGTAAGTAAATGTTTTATCAACTGACTATTATGTACTCCAAAACTGTGTTTGAATGATATATCACAATCTGTGTTTGTAGGTATATGATTGAATTTGATAACTGGTATTTTAGCCATAGGAATTGGAATAACTCGAGTAAAGATGTACTTATTTTTATATAAAACATTTTTAACTTCTCTAAATATTAACTTTGGTGTCCAGCCAAGTTTAGAATTTACAGTTTCCGAGTTAGAATCATCATCATCTTTAACAGGTTCTCCTAAAAATATTTATTGTTATTTAAAGTAAAATTAACTACTTGATAAGTTTTTTTACAAAATATAGAATAATTTTTTACCTATGTCTAGAAATACATCCATATCACTAGTTTTTAAGTGAAGTCCAGTGACAGTAGACCCGAATCTGATCGCTTTACATTTAGGAAAAATTTTACTCAAAACACGATCTAAACTAGCACAAACATTATCACATCGAGCTCTGACTTCAGAATCATCTGATTGTATCAGACTTAATAATCTATCTAGTTGTCCATCAAAAGTAGTCTCTTCGTCTAATGCATATGTAATTAAGTCTACATCTTCAATTTCTTCTTTTTCTTCTGTATTATCTTCAGATGATGTTGATTGATTACTTTTATTTTGAACTCGTTTATCTTAAATTATATAAAAAAAAATTTTTATTTAATAAATCTCTTTATTTAATAGACATGAATTAATATTAAATTCAATACTCACTAGAGTTATGTATTATTCTTCTTTGAATTTTCATTAACCATTTATCCATCCAAATTTGTTTACTTAACAAGTATTCCACAGGTTCTCTGTAATACAAATATTGTTATTTTATATATTCTATTTTGTTAAATTAATAAATAGTTAAAAATGAAATATTACTTTGATGTGAATTCTATGATAAAAAATCGAGGCCCAAATTGATGATTTTGTATCTGTCCAAATTGAGTAAAAAATTTAAGAATATCATCAGGACGTACCCATTGTGGTACGGGGGATACAAAAATAGAGTTTTGTTCTTTTTTCTTCCTTTCTTTTTCTAGGTCAGCTTTTTTGGAATGTTTTTTCCCCATTAAATGACCATGAAAAGCATATTCGTCAAGAAAATTTAAATTACATATTTCACAGTATTTCGACATTTTCGGGAAATTTACACAGAAAATTTTGAATAACACTTAGTACAGTAAATCTTGTACGTTTTTCTAAAAATTTCAATTTTTTCAGATTATATTCGAAGAATGACAATTTTAGAAGAGCTCATTCCCATTCTTTGCTATAACTTTTGAAAAATATTTTGGCTCAATAATCCCATCTGCATTACCTGAGCTAAGAATAATGCCATTCTCTGATTCAAAAAATTTTATTCCATCTTCTGTAGCTTTCTTATAATTTATGAAAATGAATACTTGTGCATTTTGTCTCAATCCACACTTAGTATTCAAATCTTTTGCAAAATGAATATGGTTTCTTTTCATACGAGACAATCCTTGTTTTTTAATTGATTGCCAATTTTCGAAATAAGTACCATGAATTATTGAAAAATTCGGATTATCAATTGGTTTCAAATTCAACTGGTTAACAGTATCAATAGAATGTCCTTGATTTGCTTTTATTTTTAAAATTCCTTCTTCGATTTTCAAAGAATATCTTTTTTTACTATCCTTTTTGACGATTCTTTCAATATTTTCTTCTGAAAATTCTTTAAATATTGAAATTATTTCTGCAATAGGCACGTAACCATCTGCGTTTATAGAAAGATTGAAATTTTTTGCCCCATGTCTGAGTAAATAAGCGAGTTTTTTGCTGAGCTTAATGTCTGTTAAATTTTTCTAAAATAAACATTTAAGTGTTATTGAATGATTATAAGATTTTTCGAGTATATCAAAGAAAAAAGACATATATAGAAGAACTACGTAAATGAAAGAATTTGGAAATTGTATACCTGTTCTCCAGTGTTATTCATAAGGATTCATATATATGTATCGTAAAAAATTTTCCTCTGTCTAAAAACGTGATAGTTCTTCTATAGTGTCTTTGTTCTTTGAAGATATTAATTAATTTAATTCCATAAACATAGTCACCATACGCAGTAAAATTTATACGTAATAATTTAAATTGAGATTACACAGATATTTGATAATTATTGAAGATAAAAATATAAGTATTTAAAGTTCACTCATTAAACACCTATCCACTGATATAATTGAAAACAATAAACAATTTAATACTAATTAAATTAATTCATTTCTATGTTTGTCGATACATAAAACAATATGCGTTAGTGTATACACTGATAATGTATAAATCGCTAATAATAAATCGTGAAGTTAGCTTCTTACGAATGAAACTACGCTTCATGTGATACACAAAGTTCATATACGTAAATCAAAATTTGAGTTTACTTTAAAAATATATTATGTCACGTGTTTCTAAAACAGTTTTAATTGGTTCAATTATTACTTCTATTGGTATTATATCTTATGTGCACATCAAACAATTTTATGATCGGTAAATACAAAAAATTTGTTTTCAGAGGTTAGAAATGAAATAATCTGGAAATCATTTTTATAGAGAGCAAGTTCACCTTGGTGTCATTCGAGATATCGAAAGACAGGAACGAAGAAAAGCAGAAAATATTTATATTTTACAACAACAACAAGAATTGACAAAACATTTAAAAAAAGAATATGAAGAACAAAGCAATAAACTATAGATTAAATTGTAAATAATATTAATAAATTTCTTTTGTATGAAATTAATTATGTAAATTATTTACTAAGCTACACAGATAAATAATCGAGTGAGTGAATTTTTCAATTTCTGAATTGCGACATCTAGGGTGTGAATTATTTTTCAGTTGAAATTTTTAAAAATTTCCTTTTTTCGAAGGTTGAAAATGTCAAAAGAACGATCAGGGAACGATTCTTCAGGTAGTTATTAATTATAAATTATTTGAAAAATTTTATTTTTTAATATTACATATATTTTAGCATAAAATTTGAAAATTTATCTGTGACACACAAGATGTTTTCATTCTAACGTTTTATTAAGGTTATGTTACCTTGCTTGTTTTTTTTAGACCGAACTTGTATGGAAGAAAGCCTAATGAGTTTAGAGAAACTCGATCGATCTTCACCGGATTTATGGCCAGAACAAAGTGAGTTGATGGAATGTTTGATAAAATTTTATTTTTCATACAAATATTGTATCTTGAATTTATGAAGTTCCAGGTGTAGGTGAATTTATCCACCAAAACTTGGAAGCAAATCAATCATTTTCATGGTTGAACAATCTGAATCAAGAGGACATGAATAACTTACATCGTTCGTAGCAATTTACTTTTTTCTCACTTAATAATTAAATAAAACTTCACTTTATAAAAATAATTAATTTTATTTGTTGTAGAACTTGGAAATCTAACTATGACTGGACTTATAGCGGAAGTTAAAAAATTACATGACACGGCTTATCAACTCGGACTAGAAGAAGCTAAAGAAATGACTAGGGGAAAATATTTAAATATATTTAAACATAAGTAAAAATACAATTTATTTATCTAATTTGTTTATAAAATAATTTTCATAACTAAAAATTAAAATAGTAAATTTCTACATCAATAAATTTTTATATAAAATGAATGCATGAAAATTTTTCTATTATGAATTTTCTGTAATCCATTGTGCATATTTTCGAATACTGACAAATGCAGACGGTGTATTTCTATTGGAATCACAACTTGTACCGTGTGATAATAATCCAATCTAGAGAGATGAAAGAAAAATTATTTTCTATACATATATCTAAGAATTAAATTGCATCGAAAAGATTAATTATTACCAAAGTATAACATTCTCTTTCACGATAAAGTAAAGGACTTCCACTATAACCAGAACATGGCTCCTGTGGACCCATTGCACACAGTTCTACTGTTAATCCTTGCATGAGATAATCTTCACAGTCTTGTAAAGGAAGAATTTTCATCGGAACGATTCCTTGTTCTGTTATGTCTTTGGTATTTAATAACTTTCCCCAGCCAACTAGAACTGTATTTACCCCTGTAGAAACGTATGGTCGCTCAGAATAACAGACAGGCATTGCAGTTACTAAAATAATAGAAAAATAATAATGGAGGTAGTAAAGGAGAAATACAATATTGACTAGAACATCAAATACTTACAGCTAAAATCAATAGACTCATTTAAACGGATAAGAGCTATATTTTTATCAAATGTTTCCGCTCGATAACCTGGATGTTTAATAATGTATGATATGTTATGAGAAGTTGTTCTATGAGCGCAAAACAAAGAATTGCAATCAGGATCTGTTTTTGTATCATACTCTCCGATAAGAACAGAGTGTCTAGATGTTGAATTGAAAATTTTTTTTTAATTAGAAAAGCTGTGATTTTGATTAATTGTAAATAGACTTACATTTTATAATCATCAGAAGTTGCTAAAGCACAGCTTGCAGTAGTCACAACAGTTCTTTCATTGATTATAGCTCCAGAACAAGAATATTTTATTTCTCCATCATCTAAATCTGATGAAATAAACTACATGTTAATATCTTTCACTAAAATTGTCTATATATGAAAGAAGTTCTTTGACTTACTAATAAATCCAATTCTTGCAAGAAATGGATAAGATCCTATTCCAGCATAATCACTTTTTACTAAACTGTATCCACACTGTCTTTGCCTAATATTTTCAGATTTATGTTCATTCGGAATAGCGCCAAAATTTACTATGTCTGTAGGATTGTTACAGCAAACTTTAGGATTTATTCCAGAATATCCACAGACAGCTTGTCTAAATCTATTAATAACTGAATTTAATATAGTTCATAAGGAAATAAATAAAAATTATAAACAGTACCTATGAACTGGGAGAGTATCGTCCATTAAAAGATTAGCAATTTCAGGACAACAATCTAATGGGACACAAACTTTATCTTTAGCACATGCTAAGACATTATTTAATTGGCCATTTGGAAAATAGTCTTCATAATCACAAATAGTTAAAGTGATAAGTGAAAAAAGATATAAGTATTTGAGAACCATAATTTGATTGTGAATTGAAAATGATTATTGGCAGTATGTGACAACTGATTGTCTCAATCGTTTTTATTAAACTAATCCGCATTAACTTCCAGAGTAAGCAGATCTGTCTCATGATTTAAAAACTTGATAAACTTAGAATCACTCGTTACCTTGGTATTCTACACTATTATATTCATTTCCGGCGGAAGACATGAGGATGCAGTTAAAAATCGATACATCTCTGAATAAGTGTAATTGAAATCATGATTTTTAATCTCAAATCAACTATCATAATCTTTTGAACTTGTTATTATGAGTTATTATTATTAGAATCTATTTATAAAAATATTTTTATCTCTATGAGAAATATTTTTTTCCATTCAATATAGAATAATTAATTTTTTTACATGGTTGAATTTACAAATTTAACACTCTAATTTTTAACAAATATCTATGAATAATCTAAATTGGTATAGCAACCAGAAATACGTTTATCATTCCACTTGATTGCAGTTTCGATAATTCCGGTAGCCTTGATAAAATCAACTGCCACGACATTGGCAGTATGTTGCCATACTTCACTGTACCATTCAGTTATGTGCATGTCAACATTTTCTGCCATTAATCTGAGTCCTCCTAATCGGTTAAAAATAACATCAAACGTTGTTGGAGTTAATTGAGCCATTGCTGCTCTAGGTTTTCCTAATCGGCTTCTGCAATGACAATATATTTTTAAAAACTGATATTAAATACAATAAAAATAATAACTAAATCCTCACGTGTAAGAATTTTCTTCTCCAGCTTTAGTTTCTATTCCATTTAAGTGAGTATAAAGATCATCTAAAGTTCTAACATTTCCCCATTGTTGTTCAACTTGCGGCCAAACACTTAAACTAGAAGAAACGATACTTGCATAATCGTAGCTGATAATCAGTCTTTTACCCGTTGACCAAATATCCTCTAAAGTTGTTCTCCATACATTGATTGGTCTCTCTAAATAGTATCCATGAAATTCACGTTCAAGGTAATTTAATAACTCATTATGTGCAGCTATAGATTTGAATCCTAACTCAGGATGAAAATGAATCAAATGTTTACATTTTATCAAAATATTTTTCATCTTTTGTAACAGACTCATTTCTACTTACCGACAGGAAATTCTTGTACATCAAAGATTACAATTTCATCTGTATTGCCAAGAAATAATTTCACATCATCAATTACATTTTGAAGTGGAACTATCCGGATCAGACCGTGATTACCCCAGAAAATCATTTTATTGTTAGGGTAACGACCTACACGAATATCCAAGTAACGTGTTCCATAAATCAGTTGGGCCAAGATATCTTCATCCTATTGATAAATTAAAAATGCTATCAATCGATTAAATAAAAGATAAATGTACAAATAATGATTTTTGTAAACATTGACAATACTTGTGTAATTGTATATTTATCTACGAGCATTTCGCTTTTGAAGTTTAAAAGTTTGGAATAAGCTGCAGAATCATGTGTACCAGGGATAAAAATGTCTTTCATCTTCAACTGACCAAGATTTGTCTTTCTCTGACCCATCCAATTTGGATGCGTCGACAAACAAGTTGTCTTCTTAATAGCATCATTAGTTATCCACGACACGTAGTATTCTAAATCAAATTAATTCATCAAGTAAAACAACATTATGCATTTTTCACTTACTATTGATTGAATAATTAAATACTTTAAACTAAATATTATAAATAAAAATATTTTCTCCTAACTTTCCGATTAGAACTTGTTGATTTTGTTACGTATTTATACTTACGTAAACATTGCTCGTGATAGGTCAAATTAGATGTTGGAACGAAGTCAGCACTAATTCCAGTTTTTTGAAAGCCACGTGCCTTTACAGGCATGAATTGAAATATTTCTTGTTTATTTTTAGTACTTGGATCTCCTTTGAAAAGTTTAATAACATCGCCAGTTTGAATATTAATATTTTTCCAATAAATACCAATTTCTCGAATCATTTCAGTCGACATAAGAGGAGAAATAACAATGCCCATTTCAATTTTATCAATTTCTACATAAAAAATAAGATGAATAGTTTTTTTATTTTATAAAGTATATCTAAAACTATGAATATTTAATAAAACTCACCACTTTCATTATGACAGCTTTCTATAGTCCTGCCACTACTAAAATAAACATGAATGAAAAGCCAAATTATAAAACTTTTCATAATTCTTAAGCACATTTTGTATTAAAGAACTTATCAATATAATTAACAATGTTTGAATTTCAATCAACACTGTGAAAAATGAGAAACAAATAAATATTTCACATTTGCGTCAAAGTTTTATGTTGAAAATTAACAAAGAAACAAAGAATGAAATTTAACGCATTGAATTAGCGTCACCAATCATTCTGAAGCTCTTCCTGTAAATGTCCAGTGAACGCAAATGACCTCGATTGTGACTTTTCAACCAACTTCTTGATGCAGAACTAAATGTCAATGTTCGACACATTCATAATCTAAACACGTGGCGTTAAAATACTAGTATAGATTGAATTACTTTTTTAGTTAGAAATGTTTCTTAAAGCGAGTGTTGGCTGATCCACGGATAATTCTGTACTTCTGAACATTGAACGAGTGGAGGCGAGTATTGTTAGTCATCACTTAAATCTTAAAGTTTTATCAGTTTCAGCAGGTGCATTGACATTTGTTGATGCAGTTGGTCAACAATTATATCAATTTTTATGATATTTATAAACTTCCATTAATAATGTAGGCAATTATTTAATTAGGAAAGTGGGTTAACGAAGTTTTTCTTGGTTAAAAATTTATTAATTAATGATGGTTGGGGAATATTATTTCATTGGTGTCTATTGCTTTGTGAATGGTCTCACTTCAATGTTATTTACGCTCACTTGTTGCACTCCATCCAAGGATACTCCAAGTATTATGTTAAAATCACTCCATAATTATCCATAATCGTTTTATATCGTCATTTGCGATAAAGAAAGAATTATGCAATAGTCCAAGAGTTACAATAATATTTTCAGATTCTGCAGCATTTATTCGCCGATTCTAAAACAAGATAAATAGTTTGCTTGACTTTTTCTACTCATATAAGTATAGTCTTACTTTCTGTTTCAATATAAATATAATTATTAACAGAAAATATGTCTGATGAATAATTTAATTTGTTTGTTTAACATGAATGATAAAAATAGAAATTAATTTTATTTTTTATCTGATTCATGAATCAGAGTAATTATTGTTTACGGAAAATAATTACTTCAGATATTCTTCCTGTATTATTAAAATCATTGATTTTAGAAACTAAGATGTTTTTTTAATTTTTTATTGATATTGCTACTATGATTTAGTCAAACTTTCCGGTCGGCAATTTGACAAGAACAACAAATAGATTATGTAGGCGTAGTACTCACGACCCACAGTCATTTAGAATTGGGAACAAGCAATATAAAAGCCTTGAAGATCGTGTGAGTGCGAAGATGAAGTTGTAGTTTGATTGGAACATTTGATGAATTTGTATTCAAGAGCTTTTACTATTTTAATACTTTTTACGTTTTCAATTAATTTTTCGAATGTCTATTGCCTTTTTTTTTCGTATGATCCTACAATCTGGTAAAATAGAAATCAAATGACGATAATGTTGTGATAGAATCTTCCAAGAAAACTTCATAAATATGTATGAAAATTGAAGTAGGTCTACTATGCCAGAAAAATTTGGTAACATCAGAGAATTCTTTTAATGAGTCATCGTTTCTTCCATTCGTTCACACTGTTTCATAAGAAAAAGAAATAACTTATTTTAAAATTTTAATGAAAAAAAATTTTTATTAATTCTTATGATATAATTTTTGTATTTGCACATATATATTTTATAAATGTTTATAGTAACTTAATAATATTATATAATTAATTAATCTAGTAATTATTAGGGTAAAATAAATAAAACAAGTTTTGATTAGGGTTTAAATATTTCCCTTTATTAAAAAACTGAAAAAAAAACGAAAAAACTTCTGTGAGAGTAACAAACTTTTGGCTTATGTGACTAGTTGTAATACTCAGCGGCAATACTAAATTAGTGTAATGTATGCGGTGTGTGGGATTAACAATGGGATAAGGGACAAACAGTAAGATACAATCAGTCTATTCAGAGAATTTATAGTAAAAATCTTGAAAATAAAAATGTAATCAACGGGCTATTAATTTTGAGACGGTTTAAGATAAAAGTAACAAAATGTATAAATCAATGCGTTTGTAATATTCAATGATTGAGGAATAAGAGAACGCGGGAATTGAATAATTTAACTTACGGGTTAGAGTTACATAAATATTTTAACTAATTTACAATTAATTTTTTATAGTCTTTGTCTTGGAAGACACGGTATGGCAGGATTTTTGATTAGGAATTAAACATCGTGTTTATTTTCAGTTAAACGCAATGTTTATAGTTACGGTTTCGTAGTCTATTTATTATAATTTTTGAGAGCTCTGTTATAATTTGATGAAAAAAATATAACGCTCGCACGCACGTCCACACCATCTATACAGTACACTAATAAATTTTTTATCAATTTTACAGAGCATAATATAACAGTAAAATATTCTCTTATTTAATGAATGAGATGAAATGCTAATTCCTTTGATGAATTGGTATTTTTGTTTTCTTTAAATATTAGCCAATAGTTAATTTTATATACATGTTTCTCTTGAACAATGATTAATAATTCTTTTAAGTATGCAGTCTATTTTTCATGGTACTGATAAAATATTTTAATCAGCGGAAAAAAATTCGCGAGGGCAATCGATGATATGTAATGACAGGTAATCGAAATGAGAACGATAATAATAAGATAATTTTAATTTAAATCTTAATTAAGGTGAGAATTTTTAATCATAATTCTTATTAATTTATTTTTAATATCGGTGCCGAAATTTTGAATAATTTTTTCGATCATTCTTACGAAAGATTTATAAAAAATTCGATTTCCTGTCTTAAGGCACCAAATGGCCACATATTTAACATGAGACCTTAATTTTAACTAACATTAAAATATAATATATATATATTTATATTAGCGCCTTATTAATTAATAATATATAATATAAATCATATAATATAATATATATATATATATATATATAATATATAATAGTATATACTATGTGCATATATAAATCTGCTTTCTTTATACATTTTACAAGTGGTTGCAAAATTTATTGTTGAACTATCGATTCGACTTGCTCTATTGATTTAATTATCTTACTTTATTTAAATATTTAAATAAAAATTGTGCTATGTGGCAAATCTATTCGCATACTCTTAACTGACTGAACACTCCGGTTTTTATGTAAATCTAGTGTTACTGTAATCATTTATTTGACTATTGCTTTTTTTGTAAAACTTTTTGATCAAAAATGCATGATTTTGAATATCATCTTTATATTCATTTTTTTCTTATCGTGTAACCAACAATGATATAATTAAATTTAATCGATTCTTTACGCGTGCACCATTTACAATAGCAGTCAAATTTTATAAAAATTTATTCTTTTTTTTTTTTGTATATTTTTCTTTTTTTCCTATAAAATTTTCAACGAAGCGTTTTTATCTCTTTGTCTCTCTCTTTCTCTTTTTCTATACAAATACAAAGAATCTTAAATTATTATTTTGTTTCGTTTTCTGTACAAATATCTATCCAAATAACTGATTAATGATTAACACAAGATGCAATTGATTGTTTAAACAGAAATAACATTTATCTGGATTTATGTACAAAATAGGATAGCTATGATAAAAAATTAAAAAAATGAAAAACAAACGATAACAAGTGAGCGACATATAAAACATTAACATCATTCAGGAAAATTAAAACTGAAGGAACACAAGTGACTGTATCGTAAACCTATGTATTGCATTGTCGAGTTTAAATTAGCCAGTCTAATGGCAATTAAATTCTACGGAGGTTCAAAGTTTACTGAGTTGTATTATCTTGCACCACATGTAAAAAATTACATATAAAGCACGTAACAGAGGAACTTTGGTGCACGAGCAATGTAAATATAATAACATAGTTCAATTGAGACTTGAATTTATAATTAGAGCCTCCACATTTCGTTTGTAACAAAAAAGAACAAGAATTTGAAAACTGACAAATAATATTGGCTCGGTTGAGGAATGACAAGTTTATACATTTTGATAGAGGAGTGATAGAAAGTCCTCTTTCATAATCTGCTGTCAGAAAAAAAAATGATACGTGCAACAAAAAATTAAAAAGCAATTAATAATCCCTGATAACTAATAACTTAAAAAAAAGAAAATAACATCTGATCGTTGGATGGTTCAGTTTTTTTGTTTTTTTCTTTTCGTAACTAATATAATAATCGTATACATGAACATTATTATTTTTTCGTTATAACAGAGCATAAAAATATTTACGAAAGACGCGAGTTTTTCTTTTTTTTTTTTGTGAAAAGTATCAAAATTTGTTGAAAAATAACTATTATTACTCTATTTATAAACTTTATCTATGTACTTTGGTCATAGAAATTGAACGATTTAAATTTATCTTTTAACCGTTTCTTATTTTTTTATATAAATATATACAAATTCTCGCGTTTTTGTATTTTTTTGCTCCTATAAGTCGACTACAGTTGCCCTGAGAATATCGTTTGTACACACTGAAGTTATATAAACATATAATATTAAAGTTTGCCAAATTTCTAAACACTTGACAATATTTAAATTTAAATTTTAAAAAAATTTTGTCTGCCTATGACGTAATAATTTTTATAAATTACTGATCCAAAGGTACGTCTTCCAAGGCAAGTACATTACCAAAATGTTGGAATCCATTTTTGAAAATTCGATTTCTGCTGGCACCAGTTCTTGTTTGATCCAGTAGTGTCACATTATCCTCAAATTCACGTACCCAACGAGCTGTTTCATTCCCCCAGTGGAAGCGAATTGGGGCAGCATGATGATACACTTTTTTAATACCTAAATTTCGTGTTTCTATACCTTCTTCCGAATGATAGAAAGATTTTTCACAAAAGTCTTGGGCTAAAAACGGCTCAAGTTCAGCAATAATTTCCATAAAGGTTGGTCTTTCACTTGGACGCCATTTAAAACACTTTTCCATCAATTTCAAAATAATTTCTGGACAATTTCTTGGAATATTCACAATTCCTTTACGTAACACATGATTTAGTACGTCATCATTTGAAAAACCTTGATAAGGAAGCTCGCCCATAGTAAGAATTTCATAGAGAACAACACCAAAGGACCATACATCAGAATCTGATGTGAATACACCATCGGAAAGGTTTTCCGGTGCCATCCAACGAATAGGAAGCAGGCCTTTTTGGCCAATCTTATAATAATCAGTCTCATAAATGTCCCTGGCCATTCCGAAGTCTCCTATTTTGCATACAAGATTCTTCGAGACCATACAATTTCTTGCTGCCAAGTCTCTGTGAACAAATTTTTTAGACTCGAGGTATGCCATACCGTCGGCAATTTCTCCAGCCATCCTGACGATCCTTGACACTTCTAGAGATGATTCTGTGTCTCGAATCCTCCTCAGGTACGACTTTAAGTCACCATTCTCCATGAGCTCCATTATTACATATGGCGGATTGCCTTCAGAAATCACGCCTAACAATTTAATTATATGATAGGTTGAAAAATTCTTCATTACTGAAGCTTCATTAAGGAATTCATTTTTATCGTCTTCAGTATAATTTTCTGGAATAGTTTTAATAGCAACATGTTCAGTGCCATTGAGAACTCCTCGGTAAACCATACCGAAATGACCTAGCCCAAGCTCTTCACAAATTTTAATACTCTCTCTAGGCACTTCCCAATTGTCTCTTACATATTTACTTTCAATATAATCCGGATTAACACTAGCAATTAGTCGTGCTTGTTGCCTCTTCTTCTTGGCAGTTATATAAGATAGATAACCTGCGATAATTGCAATCACTAAAATAGACAAAGCTACCAATACTGAAATTAACGGTATGTTATCGTCTTTTACATCAATACTAAAATAAAATGCTTGCGACCAATTGCCGTCTCCCGCAAGCGATGTAGACCGCATTCTTAAACTATACTTTCCGGGACTGAGATTCGAGATAGAATAAGTTCCTCGTTTCCGACGATGTACTCCTTCTGGAATGCAGATGGTGTTCTTTTTTGCATTTGGTACATTGAGATTCGTATACTCGATAGTGTATGCTACTGTCAGACCATTTGGATCCGGTACTGGCTCCCAGGTGATGATAACAATCGTGTCATTTGACACATACGCCTTTAAATTATTAACGTTATCAGCACTGAGTTTTTCTTTAGTTCTTGAATTAGTATACTGAATCGTAGAACATAATTGACTGCCATTATTGAGTTTCTCACCACACGCTGCCACAGAAATTGTATAGAGAGAGTAATGTCGAAGTTTCTTGAGAAGATATGAACTACTATTGGCACTTGAATTAAATATAAACGAGTAATACGTATTATTGTATATTCGAGTCTCTGAGTCATCGAGGCTTTTTTTCTTTATATCTGAATTCTGTGTTGATATTCGTAATGACAGACTGTCACTAAAATTTGACTTCTCTTCTACTATATAACGATGAAAGTCACAATAATTCTTTTTACCATGTGAAAGGTAACTTATTGTCATATTATCATTACAAAATATTTCGAATTTTTTTGACGTAGGCTCTTGAGGTTCTTTCATACAACAGGATTCACTTTTAGGAACTATAACAGGTGTTTTTACAGTAACTTCTGGCACTTCTGGAACCTCTGGCGCTACTAAACCATTTTTGCAGTAATCTCGAGTAAGAAGGAAGTCGTCGTCTTCTGATCTGAGATATCCAAAGATAATATACTTGGCTATTGGTCCGTTTGGTTGATCTGGTGGATTCCACTTGACTACTATCTCAGAATCGCTTGCAGGAAATGAGATAACGTCTGTTGGAACCGATGGAACGTCTGCTTCTGTTCTAAAGTAAATTATCTCTGATTGCCCTGTTGGACTGCGGAATGAATTTTTATTTCTTACCGCTAATGTTTTAACATAAACTGCATATTTTGTATAAGGCTTAAGATCAGTTATTGACTTGGATACAACTGAAGTTGAAGAATTTGTTGATGGAATTTCTACGTCAACAATTTGCCAGTTGTTATTACCACAAGAATTTGCCTCAAAAGTAATATTTTCGTTCTCAGTTTCTATATAATTTAGGAGATAACTCAAAAGTCTTTGACCGTCTCTTGGATTATAAACTTCCCACTCAAAAGTTGCGTCACTTGATCCTTTTTGTTTTACAGTAATGTTTATGTTCACAATATCACAAGCAACTTTTTCTCCATTTGAGTCTGGCTGAATCTCTAATTCTGTGAAGTTAGTTATTCCTACCATGTTAGCTAAAGCGGTAATTTTTGACATACATAGCTTTGGATTGTAATGAAAAAACATTCGACCGTTGGTGATTTGAATTTTTTGATTTTCGCCAAATAAATTCGAGAGATTCGGATTATCTAAAATTATGAGACTTGCGTTATTCATCTCTAATTTTTCACCCTTGATGACTCGTAGCTTCTTCAAGAAACTTAATGTTGATATAGCAAAAGAGTGAGTGACTTTCAAATATCCAGTTATTTCTTCGATATTTCCAAAAGCATTTGTGAGTTCGTTTATTATATTAGGATTACCATTTCGTATTCGAAATTCAAGCCCACCGTCGATTACTGTCACCCCACGAAATGTTTGAGCGTCTGATATATGACGAATTATACCGCCTTTGGCTACTTTTCTACAAGTTCCATTGCAGGATTTACAAGTTGTAATCTGTAAATTATTTCCAATTTAAATTTCACTTTAAAACTAAATTTAAATTTAAATTGTCCTTTGGATTTATCTATTTTTACTTACATTATTTTGATCAAGTGTTTCTTCATAACCATCTGGACACTGACTAATGCATAGACCATTAAATGTTCGCCATTTTCTCTTATCTTCCTTATTTTGCCGAAGATTATTCATCTTCAAGCACATTTCCTCAGTAATGCATCGCCGAGAAACGTAAGCGTACCTGAGATATGAAAAACTTATTTATTGTCGCATTTGTTATGTTTATAAAAAGTTCTTTTTACACTAAAATAAATGTTATAGATAAAAAAAAAGTACTTACAAATGCGGCGGACATTTCTCTACACATCTATCGTCCACACGGAAATTTTTGCAAACATAACAGTCTTTATCAGTTGGTCCAAAACAATCAGCAAGACATTGAGGATGGCATACCGGTTTAGACACTTTTTGACAGTCTTTTGCAGTCCAACAGTGACCATCTGGGCAAGAAGGACAGCCTGGAAAATTTTTAAATTGTAATGAAAATGATAATTTACATAAAAGTATCATAACATGAAACTTAAATGAATAAAAATAATTTCAAGTAAAGATATAAAGTTTAATAGAAAATGAGTAAAAACCGAATCAAAATGAAATTAATTTTACATTTTTATAATGTAAATAACTGCACATATTTTTGTGGTATCAGAAATGCTTATTTACAATTTAATATTGGAATTTAGATGATAAAATGATCAATTTTCTCGATTATATTCTCGCACTTTCATAAAATAAATTTAGAAAATAGATAAGTGGTAGTGAAACGTTGCACAGTTATTTATTTTTATCGGTAACTGTAATTACCAATTTGAAAACTTATTACTCTACATGTATCTTTATAAACAGTACAATATTTGCTCATGTAACTAGACCTTAAAGTTCATCTAATACAAGTATGTAAAACAGGTTTCAAACATGAATATTTTATCAACACATTCAAATTCTTCTTATTATCTTATTAATACCGAATGTAAAATATATACCATGAATTTACTAACAAAAAATGCATTTATCGATTTTTTCTACTACGTTTATATAGCCACACATTACACAATTTTAATAAACTTTAGATAATTTTTGGTTAAATGCAATAATTTACAATTTTTATAAAACATTTCAATATCGGATTAAAAATAATAAATATTACTATTGTATTTTATCTCTTACCCGGACAAGAACTAGGATTTCCATTATCCTTGATGAAGTTTTCTCCTGCAACGACAATTTCATTCCAATCTATTGTATTTGTATAGCAGAGTGATGGATTTTTTTCGATTCTCACAGCACCACGTAGAATCTTAGTTAGCTTTGTTAATCCAATCTGTAAATTTAAAGAATATTGTTTGTTTTAGCTTCAAGATGCAACCCTGAGACTGATTGTGTGAAGGGAGTTGAGATAGTTATTTAATTTAGTTAAATGGTTAACGGTATTTGACCTACCAATTAACCGGTCGAGACCGATGAATTAACTAGAAGACACAAAATGCGAAGATTTTGCGTGGGAATAACGATTGATGGAAGGAGAGAAAGAAACCGCATAAAGTAAGAGCAAAGTTGGGTTGAGATTGATTGTACGTGATGTGAGTCAAAATCGATCAATCTACAGACTTGTGTACTGTATGTGCAGTAAAAGTATCACTTAATCAATATTTTTATCATTTAATATGACGTACAAAAACCAATATTTGTCTAACTTATAAGAAATTTTTGATTTTTTAAAGATTTATCTTATTTAGCATAGTATTGACACAAAACATACAGATAATTGATTATTAATAGAGTTATTTGGAAAAGTATTTTAGAATTAAAGTATATTTTGTTGTTTTGATAGCTGAGTTTTTAATGTATTGTTTAAATAAAATTTACCTCTTGTAAATTTTGTAGCTCGTAAATCATGAAGGAATAGTCAGTTAGAAGAAGATCCCCTCTTATAACTTCTAAATTTGGAAATAATGTATTTAAAGTGCGAAGATTTGTCACACGAAATAATAATAAATATCCTGTAATCTCCCTTAATTTTGGAAAACTAATATTCTGAAAATCTGTCTCTGTATTATTATCCATCAAAACTATTTGAAGAAAACCTTCAATAATCCGACAATCTTTTAACATCTCAAAGTTATCAACTCGATTTCGTATATCGACATTTTGACAAATTCCATCGGCTATTGTAACATTTTTTATTTTTTTCCCTTTGATTGTAATCTTTTGGTCTGGCTTCAGTTTTTTAGCCGGCAGGGTCGATTGGATCGTTTGGTGTACGATCACTTCCGAATCTTCAGAACTGCAATAAAAAAATACAACAATATATTTTGTAGCAAAATCATCATTATTTTAGAATGACATCAACTAATTATACAGAACTTTTTTAAAATTTTTATTAAATATAAAAATAATTTTTTAATATAATATAAAAATGCATGGAGAAAATTAAAAGAAAATACCTTGGGACATTTATAGCTCGATTGTTCTTGTATCCAGAGCTATTATCTTCTAATACTTGAGGAACATCCTCATTCTCTTCGGGATTAATTTTCTCCATGAAATCCGGATCATATTTTCCCTTTGACGTTTTATCTCGATATTTACTGAATACTTTAGGATATCGCCGGTCCTTGGAATTAACTTCCAGCTGATGGTCATCCGCAGTCGTTGAAAATGCTAAACAAGATACGATGCCGAGAGTAAGTAACACCGGCAAAAGTAGTTTCCGTGTCTTCATCTTGTCGCTTCATGGACACGATTTTCACTGATTTATTCTCACGTCCGTCGGTTTCGTCGAAGATGTCGCGACGTTGTCCCTACCACCCAAACGCACTTGCTCTGTCTTTTCTTCTTCGTCTCTCTCCACGAAATTAAATCTTGGGTTGCAACGTTTTACGGTCTAGATGTGTCACGTCTTCGTCATCGATACAATCACGACAATTACACGATGTCTTCCTTCCTTTTCTTAAATATTTAAAAGCTTTTCTTCTCCTCTTTTGTTCTTCTCGTTTTTCTGCGCTGTTTCTTTCTTATATTCTATTAACACACTCTTTATTATCACGATCAAAACGTCCCTGTGTCATCTAATTCACGATGAAGAATCCACCAATCCTTGGGCACTATTTTTCGCGAAATCAAAGGCATCAGGACCACTGACACCCAAGTCCTTACGTCTGTTAACAAGTCCAAAACACACATAAGGACGACTTTTTATTATTATTGTTTATGAGAATATTTATTTATCAAATATTCAATAGTAATAGTAGTCTTTCGTAAATTCAATCGTCGTTGTCACAATTAGAACAACTTTTTATTAAATATAAAAAATTTCCTAGATTTCGTCATGATGCCACTGAGAAATCCTGGCTCTCTCTCTATCTGAAAAATAAAATAACTAATTTTAATCTTATTGAATAATATAATGGCAATTATTTTATCTTATTTTATTTAATATTAATCGCTTGCTTTGTATCAATAATTGATTTGTTTACTTTATCGGAAAGAATAGATGCATTGTTTGTACTAAAGTATAATTATTGATTTATTTTCTAGTCCGGTAAGGAATTTTTTCAACATTAATTGTTTTTATTGTGGTATCGATTTTGATTAAACGTGGACATATATTTAGTTATGGAGTAGAGTCTAGATAGCAAGAACTATTTCTAATGTATCTTTAGCATTATTATCACGGTACATGGATAATATTTTATCAGGCGCATGAAAGTGAAGGAAAAAACTGGAGTGAAAGGTGTATTTATTTTTATTTGCTTTGTATCTCTTTCAGTGCCAACTTGATTAAAGTGCGAATCAAGGTTGCATAAGCCTCATCAGTTAACGAAAAAGCGAAAAGATAGAAATGAAGATGAAGAAGAGAATGACAAGAAGTTTATAAGGGTTAAAAGAAAGATGACTTTTGGAGTTTGATTAATCAGATGCACTTCGTAATAATGAATAGAAAAAGAAATGATGTCAAAGAATTGTGAGAAACTTTACTACATTTGCTTCCGTTGAATTATCAGTCGCGAATCCGCCCATTCATAATTTCTCGCGATAACAAACCCACTACTACATCAATAGTTTTACAGAAAAATACAGTATGAGAAGTATAGATATAGATACACATGGAATAAAAAGAGTTTATGAACAGTTGCTATCTTCTTTTCATGTTCATTCCTCCTGCTTTGATATTTTTCTCTGTTTCGTTTATCTTTTCCATTCTCGAGGCTAACTTCCTTTTCAATTCTTTCACTTGGATGACGCACCACTTTGTGCCGAGGTAAACCTCTCTGGTATAATTTTTTATTTTTTTTTTCACGTCATTATAATTAATATTTTCATTTTTTTTGTTTTTTTATATACCTAATAAACTGGCATACTTAATTACTCTAATAATTTCTTTATCCAGAGACACATTGAAAATAATTATAATTCATTAAATCGATTAATTTATTGATTTAACAATTAATCTTATTATAAGTTTTTATTGTTTCAGGCATTAATTTTTAGGATAATTGAATAAAATATACATTATACATTTAATTTTGTAAAAAATACAATGTTTTTGTTTTGGAGAATATAATACTGAAATTGAAATTCAGAAAGAAAAAACTGATAATCGGAAGTGTGAAAAAAAATCAAGTAATTTTACAAGCAATAATTGAATCTTGAAAGAAATTTAAATATCACTGATAATTTTATTTTTCTCTGAATTTATTCAATAAAGTCGTATAATATTTCTCTCTTGTTCTCCCTTGTATTTCGAGAGTCCGCGTCATCAGCCAAGATAAATACGACTGTTCTCGGTGAAGAGAGAGACATACCCAAAGATGGGGATTGCGATGTGCATCGGGGCCATGGGAATCAGAGCGATTAGAATTAGAAGTGTCGCGTCGCGACGAGACTTCAAGGGGTAAATAGAAAGAGGGAAAGAGGAGGAAAAAGTAAAGAGTACAAGGAGGTGCTTATGCGTCTTGGATTGCGTCGAGTCACACTGAACAGCGCGTCGTGAGTGCGCTGTAGTGAAAAGCAGCAACTTATGATTATTAGAGCTGCTTACGTTGTTGCTCATACCCACAAGACAATTACAATCACATGTCCACGCGCCCGCGTGCTGCCGCGAGATCAAGAGAAACATAAAAAAAACTACATTACAGAGAGCAGTGGGGCAAGCCGACACAACTCCGACACTTCGACAAACAAAAGCCCCTCTCCTTATCTTACGTGACAGGAACGGGTAATCGACCGAATTGGATCGAAGCCTCTTCATCTGTCTTTCATCTCTGTCTTGCTCTTTTTAACTCTACTATAAACTTCTCTTACGATGATATTATGAGCAAGTAAACCGTCGACGTCGTCACGAGCATAGAATTGTTTTCCCGATCACGCCGACAGCACGACTCTTACGCAAGTTTATTTTCACGGTGTTAAATTGCCAAGAACTTTTTTTTTTTTATTCATATTAGGGAAATAATCACTTTAATGTCATTTCTTTGCTCATCCCGGATCTTTTGAATGATATTTTTGTTGGATTTTTTCGATTAAATAATAAATTAAGAAAATTCCTTGAAATAGTATTAAAATGACTTAACAACTCACTTTATTAATCACAGAAAAGTCATTGAGAAATTTATATACAGATAAATATTTGTAATTGAGTTGTAAAAAAATATTTTCACAAAAACAATCCATGAAATCTGATTACCAAAGCTTTGACGTCAAATTCTCAGAATTTATAAAAATATTTTTATTTATTCATTTTCAATATTAATAAAAAGTTATAATTGAAAAGCAAATTTTTTTTTTTTATAATTCGTTCTATTAATAGATAACAATGGAAATGTTTTTAATGTCCTTGCTAATTGGAATACCAAATATAATTTACTAAAAGTAACTATGAAAATTTATTCAATTATAAACATTTATTTTATTAATGTACTGGAGTATTTTATCAGAAAAAATTCCAATTTCAAAAAGTCAATGACTTTCTAGGTAAAAAAAAAAATATGCTATGAAATGAGAAAATAACAAAAAGTATGATTCAACAAATTTTTCATTTATAATTCGTTAATATACATTTGTTGATGAGGTGACGCAGAATGTCTTTAGATTGCGACAGACTGCGCAGTTCACGCACTTTTCCCTTCTCTTTCTTTCGTCTTCTTGTACGTAAACTTTCCCTCTCACTTCAAGCTGAACATAAACAACTATGGGGACGAAACATAGTGGAGAGAAGGCGATGAGAAGAGAAGAAGAAAGGGAAAACACGCATGCATGAAAGAGACAGAAATAAGAAAAAGGACAAGAGTGATCAATGTGATCATGCGCAGCACAACATATTTTTCACCGGCGCATTTGGACGCGAAGACGTGTAGGCTGCTGGAAACACGAAAAGTCCGTGTATTTTATTGCGGATGATAGTAGTGTCGGTAGTGCAGAGTGGCCTGGTATGCGCGCAGGAGCGAGACGGAAAGAGGATAAGTGAGACGACTAGAAAAGAGGGACGAGGAGAATGCCAAGGGAGCTGAGAAAAACATCGGACGCGTCCGACATTGTGGCGCATCTACGTTTCACGTCACGTTTTCAACGGCCATCCGTGATCGATTCATGCTAAAACTCAAAATAATCATCGTACTTGCATTATGATACTGCCTATGTAAGTTTAAACATGTTCCAATCATTTTTACTCCCGGTTTTTAGTGAAAAAGTTTAGCCGATTCGCAGAGCACCAACAATACACACCAACAGTCATATAATTACTTGAAAAGATGTTTGTTTGCCAATTGACACATTTTTAGTGATTCTTGAATGTAGATTATAACTACAATCCACATGAGTTAAAAAATATTCAAAGCTTCAATGAGATTAGTAATCAGGCTGAAGTGGATCATGATAAGCACACTCATGATTTTATTTTCCATTCACAATGGTAAGATTTACTAGAAAAAAGAATCACTGCTATGACACTTGACCGACAAATTTGACTGGAACGATTGACAAACGCGCGTGGACAGTCCCACGGATTGCTCGTAATTTTCTTTTGAGTCAACTGGTAGCACATAGGACGTGTGCTGGAGAGCAGGTTGTTGTACGAGAACACGTTGGAATTCGGATTATTTTGAACTAACGACTGCCGTCCACCTCGCGGGACTGGCTCGTGGCGCACATGCCAAGAAACTGACTGAAAGAGGGGGTTCCCCTCTCTTTTCCAAACAGTTAAGTCCGTCTTTTCCGTATCCAGTAAGAGCGAAAAGCAAGAAAAAAAAGGAAGTTAGAAAATGACGATGACGAACGTATGCGACGCGCAAGGGAATCACGTTATAGTGAGCTTTTAAATATATATAACATATACAGAATTATAGGTAAGGATAATTTTGAAGACGTGCTAGAGCGAGTTTCTTTTGTAAAATAAAAAAATTTCCATCCAATTCACGGCCAATGTAAGCGCACATGCCCGTGCAACACACTTATCCTATTCTTTTTTCTTTTACTTGTGTGTCGACACATGTGTATAGTCTATAGAAAAGAAAAGATACCACATATGTATGTATGTATATATATATATATATATATATATATTATATACATATATAAGCTAAGAAACACAAGGGGAGCGTCACCGGAAAGGACGCGTGGGCCCTCGTATATTCGACAATGCTTTCTACGCGAGTATACGATTTCCAACGGATCTGAAAGATGTAGTGCGATTTATTGTGTATTTACATGCCTGCAGCAATACGCATGAATAGACATGATACAAAGGAGGTAAAAAGGATCTTTCGAGGATTCAATCATTTCTTTAAGGAAAAATTTTCCGAAAATAGCTTCTTTGAAAAAATAGTTTTCGTACATGAATTCATATCCAAAGAAATTTTTGTTCGATTTAGAGATTAGGATCATAGAAAACTTCTCTTTTCTATTATATCTATAAAATTTTTAGAAAGTAGAAAAATTATAAGGAAATTTCACAAAATTGTATGCTTTCAAGAAATATCATAAAAGCAATTATTGTTGACTTATAATCTTGACAGATTATTTTAATAAATTCCAACTGAAAATCAATATGATGTTTAAGTTTATTTAATAATATTTACTAGCTGACATTTAATTATTCATGTCATTACAGTAGTTCATGATTGATGTTGAATAATTGTTTCAGTAAAACAATACAACAAAAGTATAATGAAGTTGGATAATTAACTTGGTAATCGTTTAACCAAATTTGATATCTCTAATCAAAGTGAATAACAATAGATATTGATAAATAGACTTGATTAACAAATAAAATATATAAGAAAGTTAAGGAAGATAATTGGTTATGTTTTTTGGAATGTATTTCTTGTCAGATTGACTTGATTAAAGTAAGTATAATGTTAGAAAGAGAGAGAGAGAGAGAAAGCGAGAGAGAGAGAGAGGGTGGATTGAAAATAGGTAAAGTATGATAATGACGATAATGATGACGATGACGACGAAGAACGACGATGCGCCACTGCGGTAAACATTCTCGTATTGCGTAGTGTGCGCTTGAATGGATTACGTCATGCAGCGGTCTCGCGTACTTGTTTACAAGGCGGCTTCCTCTAGTGTGCCTAAAGGATTTAAGTCGAGAGACGAACAGGAGATTTCGTAGAAGGTTTATTCACATATATACTTGTATAAGTTTTTTTTCACTCTCTCCCATTTGAAATATGAATTATGAGTACGAGACGTGCGAGAGCAAGGCTTAACGAAGTAAAGGAAAAACAGAGATGTAAAGTATATAGAGAAAAGAACAGTCGCGCCGATACGTCGCGACGCAAGCGTAGTTTCCTTTCTCATAGATAGAATTACGCTAGATATTTTTTAAAATTATTCCTGACAGAAGAAAACAAATTTTAGTGCACTTAACAGACCACATTCACCAAAACTTCACTAAATACTTCTTGAAGTAAATTTGATAAGAAAGCCAAAGATCAACAAGGTTAGATAGATGCTATTTTTACTTTTATTTTTTCCTCCTGCGTAAAAGAGAAGTGATCAATCGACACTATTCGCCACGTGTGTTCTACGATGAAACCAAGTGTACTGCTGGGTTGAATGCACGTTTTGTGGGCTCCAATAGACGCCCTTACTTTTTCCCAAATACACCTATAACGCACTCTCATACACATGCGCTTTTTTTTTTTTCTATATATTATTCTCCAACCCCGATTTCTTCACACTCTTTTCTATCTCTTTCTCGCATATCAAGCATGGATTGTGCGTTTATTCCCTCGGTACTACGACGTTACTGAGATCTCCCTGCGTGTCTCCGCCGTTTCTTCACGACGATTCCATCTATATTGCCGTCTCGCCAGGTAAAAGCGTCGTATTCGACCACCTTGTATTCTCCCACACGTTTATCCATTTAATGGATGATTATGTATTATCAAATAACTACCGTTAAACCCTTATCCTCGTTTAATCATCTACGTCTTATTGACACTACACTACCTTGTTTGTTTTTGTTTTTATTACTGTATCCTTGTTTTTTATTCGTACACGTATACTTTTAACGTACAAACAACACAAATTGCTTGAAACACGTCGCGCGCTACACAAGCAGACAATACTGACTACTCAGCGGCGACGAACGAGTCAGCTGGTACCGATGTTGACTAAAACATGAGCGTAGGATCAATGGGGCTCAAAAAAGTGGGAGAACACAAGCGCTAACTCTACTTCAATATTAATATCAATGGTAAAGAGAGTGGGGAAACTTGAGAGGGAAATGTCCGTTTCATTTTTCTCGAAAGCCAATGTAATAACTCACTGTGACGTCCTATATTCAATAAATTTCCTTCTTTAATTACTTTACCAATACTATTATACAGAAAACATTATAGTGATTGCATGAATTAAAAGTATACATTGGATTGAAAAGTTATCATCAATCACATTGTTTCTGGGTAAAAGTTGGCAATAAGAAACCCCTTTGACAACAGTCAAATATTTTTTTCTACCGATTGAGTAACTACAGTAGTTTAGAAGATCCCGATTGGTGGCGACAGTTGCTCTGATTACATCTCAAATTTGAATGCATTAGGTTATTTTATTGTTATGGATTTAAATAATTACTGTAATAAAATACTTTTCAATTGATAAAAAAAAATTTCTATTGTTTAATACAGAAATAACAATAAAAAATAGAATTGAGCAAATGAAATGGAAAGGAAAAGTAGATAGTTAATAAAGAAAACAGAATATAAAATTCTAACCTGTGCACAAATGATTCTTTGTCTTTTTATGTGAGATAGAATGCATCGTTTTGCAACCTGAAAACGGAACAATTTTTGAAAAACAACCTTTGTAAAATACATTAAGAGTGAATAAGTAGAATACGCTTAACTAACTTTCTAATAGTAACAACGATAATTACAAATATAGTAATATTAAAATATATGTAATTTTATCTGAGAAATTATTTATCAATAACACATACCGCAATGGAAGGTAGTTGATAATTTATGAGCTCAATTTTTTCATGATTGACGCATACTGATCATTTTAAATAAGAATAAATAATAAGATGTGAGCTTTCACAAAACTTGATACTCACTCATTATATTACATTCCCTCAAATCGAGTACGATTATCTTTATCTTACTATTCAAGTTACTTATTAAAGTGATTTTACATTAAACCTACACCTTCGAACTTCTTGCATTAGTTTGCAATGAATTAAGATTTTCTTCTGTACGGTCAATTATCCAGTCTAACCGGATTCTTAGATTTAAATCATTAAAAACAAATTCACGAAAACCGTTAACATTTAAAGAAGATAATTATAAATATTTATAATCAGGGAATCTGCTTCAATTCTTTTTATAAATGTTACTAAAAATCCGATGAACTCTTTATCCAGTAAATTTCTTCATATCCACATCATTCCTAGAAGCATGAAAATAAATAGTGGTAATAAACATAACTTATTGTGAAATAGGATACTATAAAACATGACTTTATCTTTTGCAATTTTTATTGATTCGTTACTAATTACTAATTTAAAGATGAAATTTCGAACATTACTTGTGTAAATCTTTTAATATTTTTCATTTAATATCTAAACATTTAATAGCTATTTATTGTGTATAAGATATTTCAAGGGGTTTACATTTTGCAGATTCATTTCCCCTTGTTGCTATGAGAGCCTTCAAGTAAAAAATGTCAAAAAAACGATTGGCGATGTGGGATGAAGTAGAAAGAAAAGTTGCTTGGCAAGCTGTATCAATTTATGCATAGCTGATAAATACAACTTCACAGTACAAGTTTGGTAAGTGTTTGCTATGTCCATGAGCATTATTTATATATAATGAATCTTGAGTGAAGCAGCTAACTTAATTGCAGCAACAATAAAATGATTATTTTTTCTTTTCGATTCTTATAATTTTACTCTTATTATTCAGGCTTCTTATTACTTCATTAAGAGATAATTAAAGGAAATATTATTATGATTATCATATTATTATATTAATATTATTACCATAAAATATAAATAGTTAAATTTCTATTGATTCGATTTTTCGATTTAAACAAGATAACTGTAAGTTATTATTAGTTCGTTTAGTATTGTGAATTATTTTATTAAATTAAGGAAAATTTTATTTTTTCCGTAAGAATACTTGTAGCTTATCTACTGATGAATATGTAATGACATGTTTTTGGAATATCCAATTAAAAAATATCATCTTTAGTATGTATATGTTGCATATTAACATATTTAATTTGATTAATAATTCAGTTTTCTCTATGACAGTACTCTCGAAGTTGTACTTTAATTGTATCTTCTGAACAGAAACACTGACTAGTACAAGAGATTATTCCAAAATTACCATTGACAATACCTACAAGCACATTTAGTAGCGCTGATTGATACATATCCAAGCGCATACCCATGGGACCCAAAGGTCTCTGCTGAATGTCAGTGACATAGGCATGATTCTCATGCTAGCAAAATTGAGGCATAAATTGATTGTCAAATAGCCACGTTTTCAATTTAAAGATTTTATTTTTTGATATATTCAGGTCACATTTGTAGTTGACAGCAGCATTAGTCAAGTCTTACATTCTAAACAATAGCGACTATTTCCATTTCTTATATTCTGCTGTCATTAAACTAAACATTACTAATTTTTTGAAAATAAAACAATATGAATAATTTATTCAAACATTTTATTTTTTTAATAAGAAATGGATTAATTTTTGACATATATTCCTCATAATATTTTGAATACTTTCTATTTAGTTCTTCTGTAATAAATCTTAAAAAATGGATAATTACTCAAATTTTTAAGTAAATAATTTTTACTTGTTAAATAAATATTTAAATTTTTAAAATAACTTCATGTTGATAGATTTTATTGCTACAACATGATATTTCACGATTTCATTCTGTAACAAAAACACACTAAATTGAATGATAATAGCTATTAGATGTAATATTGAACAAATGTTCCAACATACTAATTGAAATGTTCAATTATTGTCCATGTGAAATTCAAAATTATTGATAAAATTTAACAAATAACACCAATAACCGAATAATTGAATTTAGCAATATCTGAACTAAATGTGGCATCGTTTACTAGGTTACTTTTATTTATTAATTTTTCATACAGTTGCAACATCGTGATAAAACATGATTTTATTTTGGTTCTATTCTAGCACAGACTTACCTTCTAGCAGGCAAAAAATAGCTGAGCAATGGCTAACTTTTTCTGTAACTTGATTATATTCTAATATGACTTTGTATACAAAAATAGTAAGATAAGAAGTGAAAAATTTGCATATACCGAAATATGGAGGAGAATCTTTCTAACAAAGTTGAACTACTCCGCCTGTCATGACGATCCTTGAATAAACTATGAGGACAGTGACATGAGAAAAAGTGCAATGTAGTGTGTGAGCTGTACACAGTGTCCCTGTAGGTATATCTCAAAGTGAACGAGTGAAATTTGTCTGTTTTTGTCAGACATATGATATGTTTTCTTCCACTAGTAGGTACTACAGTGTAATAGACCCTGTGTATAAGTATCAAGTCTGAGAGATTTTTTTATCTCCTTATATCGTGATGCTGAGTTCATTGCTATCAACATGCCTGATATTTATTTTAGTGAAAATGTAGCTTGATAAAATTGCTCGTTTAAATGATCTGCGTGGCTGGACCAAGTAACGTGTGGCAATCGAATAGGAGAACCGTAAATTGTAGTTCATGTATCGTTTTCGATCGTACGGCTAATGAGTTTCGCGATGCTCTTCTATGTATTCTCTGAGTGGGATGCTTGTGCTATCGCACGTGCAGCTGTCGCAGTGGAATTCAAGCGCATGCTTGTTACCTTTATGCACATATTCCCTGTTTTATGTAGCTGAGTTACAATATTCATGCATCCAATCGTGATTCTCAATTACAGAAATGTGAGGTACAATTAATTCAGAGAAATTACCGTTAGTTATTTTCATGTTAAAATTCATTTATCGTGCAGTTTATATTGCCAATATATATTTATTACTTTTTCAACCTATTTTTTAGTTGAATTCATTCGGTAATAGTTTTTTCCGTCACCAGTTAGTTAACTTTTAAGTTTTATTTTGAAATTTTATTCTTTTTTATTTTCTGATGAAGTTGAAACTGACTCGAAATTGCCCTGAAGACTCTGTTTAATTAGCATAATAAGTTTTTAAGCGCGAAGTTGGCCTGAGTAGAGGACGGTCGGTTCGTTAATTTTCCGAGGGTCGAATGCACTGGATGATCCTTGAATTATTCATGTTCATATATAGTACAATAAAAATAAATACATTTTATTTTACCTTGATTTTATCTTTTATCTAATTTTTTTTTGATGATATACCATTTTTTGAAAAAAATATTTCATCATGAATAAAGAAATCACAACATCCCTTAGGGAGCCTCTGAAAATTCTGAAAATGATTACAATATTTATGACTTATAATTTTACATCAAATATTTTTTAAGATACATTTTCTTTTGGAAATGATTATTCCCATTTCCATTCCATGGGATAGTACAAAATTCAAATATTTATTCGAGTAATTTTATTTTTTAAAATAAGATTTGTTTGAAATTCAACAAAGTTGAAGTATAAGCTTGATGTATGTAATAAAACTGAGGTAGAAAAATTTATCTTTCAAAGGTTTCTATGATGTTCTTTAAAATAAAAGTCCCTTTCGTCAGTGATAAAAAATGCATTTTTTAATTATTATGCTGTAAAATAGTAATTATAAAAATTCAAACAAATTTGAAAAGAGTTTAAAAATTTGTTAATTTTCTTTTTATCCTTGATAATTACCTAAAAGCTTTAATCAGTATAAAAAAATTTAGAAACATTTAAAACCAAAATCTGTTATTCTAGAAATACAGCAAAAGTTAAATTGTTCTTCATGATAATAAATTCATTAAAGTATTATCAATGGTTAATAACCAATGACATAATTTGTAAAAGTGTCATCAAACATGTCCAACATCTTATCAGATGAGCATTTCATATGATTTTACTCTTGAACTACTTTACAATTTTTACTGTCCTCAGCATTTCTATGTATTAAACGCCAAATTCATTTCACAGTTTTCAAGTTTTCTATTACTTCTCTTTAAAGTGAATGAATTCCAGCTTATTCTGGAGCTTTTATAAATGGTAGAAAGAGGTGAGAGGTCACATGTACACAACACAAAATGCTCGTCGATCAAATCTGGTGCCAAGACGGCGAGACCAACAGACGCCTTTATACTGTTTGCTTCTCTCACTACTCTATGTCTTCCTTTTCTCCTTTTTATACCAAACTTTGTTCTACATCCAAGACAGCTCATTTTTTGGATTATTATGTCCTTGACTTGTTTGTCCTTGGACATATTATATATCAAACACCTAAAAAGAAATAAATAAAAACAACTACAAATCAGTAACAAAAATTTATTGGATAAGTAACAGACAAATTGATTGAATAAATTAAATGTTGAAGATTGATTAGATATATTTTCATCATAAAATCGATGATGGAATTTTCTTTCTGCTATATACTTCCTTTTCAATATTAACGTTAAAGTAAAGTGGATTTGATATGGATTAAGAGATAGGACTGCATTTAAGTGAATGACGGTTGGTGAATTGAATAAAATATTGCTTAAGAATTATAAAGTAAATCTAAAAGTACAGTATTTGAGGTAAAAGTTTTTATCTGTTTCTTCTTCATTCTTTTATGAAAGAGTAAAATTGTTTCTCTGTCATGTCACATCACTCAGAGATATTTAAAAATTTATTTTCTTTCTTCACATTTTCTAAAATAAAATTTCCCTGCGATAGTCCGTATAACTAAGCAATGATCTAATATTAAAATAAACGTTGACAATAGAGAATAAAGTAACTTTTTTCCATACAGCTAATGAAATAAAATGATTAAGATAAAAGATAAAAATTAAGTATTCTTTTGTGTACTCACTTTTTATTAATTAAAAAATAATTTTTAGTTGGATATTAATTGAGTAAAATATTCAAGTAAAAGTGTCGTTCAAGTACTTGAACGAAAAAAAAAACAATTACAGATAAAAAGACTCTAACTCTATTCATTTTTTTTTAGCAGTACGGCATTGACGATTCTCAGCTTTTACTTTGTGCAATTTTATCTTTTTATAATTTTTTTCTGTTATTATTATAGTGAAAAAGCTGGTCGAAAGGAAAGTCAGTTAATTTCTTGGCTATTTTCTAACGTCAATTTGCTCCAAGCGACTTCTGACTAGTCTCATTTTTTTTCTCTGTGATCAAGTCACCCTTTTGCTTGTTCGACATTTTTCGTCCTCAACAATTGGCTTTGTACTAAGTCTAATCTATCTGATTACGTTGTCCTCGACCATTGCGGAGAATAGAGCAAAAAGCTTGAATGGAAACTCAGTGTAGTAAAACTATAGGTCACGTTCCTTTGGATAAAAAAATGTATAATAAACGGTAATAGGTATAGAAGAAAAGAAAGCAGGAATATCTCTAAAAGCTCTGTCATCATATATTTTGTGAATAAGAATGAATAGGATGAGCATATAAAAATCGAAAAGTCAAATATATGAGAGTTCATATGGAAAATGATAAATGAATTGAGTCAATAACGACCAATACAATTGATATTTTTTATCAAACGTTCCTTGCATGTTGTGTTTTCCTATTTTTCGCTTCTTCAGATCAACCTTCTCTCTATTTTCCCTGCGGATTTTCCCGCGATATTCGACTCTGCTACCACTTTTATCTCACTCTGTCTTACGTCATTCTGACCTAAAAGCTCTTCTACATTCTCTATTTCTCTTTCACTCAAACGCTTCTTCTATATTTTCACAGATGTCGCTGTCCTTTTTCCACATTCACCGCGGTGGATGTCTGCTGGTACCGCGGTACGTTGCGCAGCAGGCCATGGCTACACCCTCAAGAGCAAGTCAAGCAGACTTTCAGTCGTCCGCGCACCCTCTGGCCGTGAGGGTGAATAAATCGAATTAGTTTCTGTTATCAATTGTCCAACACTCTCTCGTGCTTTTCATGCGAAACATCGTGCACCAATTTCGATAAGCAACTTTTGCAGCAGTTGAACTTGAATTGGAGGAAAAGAAAGGAGAACTGACCAGACTAGAAGCTAGCTATAATTAACACAGGTAAGAGGATAATTTTGTTTACTCTTAATATAACTATATTGCTGCAACTTTATGCTTAAGATATTCTCTGCAGCTGTCAGATAATATATTAAGGCTTTAAATAGATATTTGTATTTGTTATTAATTATTAATATAATTGTTTTCTCGATGAAATAATTTTTTTTAATAGTCTGCGATATCATTGTGATTAATTTGATGATTAATAAGTCGATAAAAAATAGAAAAGCTCAGAGATATGAACTTTTATTTAATATTGTAAATAGATAAATAGGTAAAATAATTCTATATGAATGGATATTTTTCTTTATACGAATACATACTCTTATTTTATAATACTCCCACGTGATACGTATTGGGATTATTTTCATTGTGTACTCGAGAATGAAGCTATAGTTAAATGAATATGAGAAAAGAGCCGGAAAACTCGAATGAGTTACTTTTTATATTTTTTCCAATACTAAAATTCAATATAATTCATTTAATAATCTAATTTTTTCAGACACTTTTAATAAAAAAAACCCCAAGTTTCATTCACCTCTTTTAAACTTTTTTGTTTATTTATTCTCTCAAGAACTCTTAAAACTCACCGGAGGTGAGTTAATTTGCTTTCTTTTTATTTATTAATTTTTTTATCTATAAATTTATGTATAAAATAGGATATATTTTACGAAAATTTCGAGAAACTTGATTCTATATAATGTTCAGCTTCATCTCGACGTTTTTATCCGGTTGCACCTACTAAACTTTTGAACGTAGCATTTCATCTTCGTTTTTTCCTTTTTCTATCCTATAAAAATATTACCGCTCGATTCTTATACTCTCGCCGCTTTATTGAGAAGGTAAACGCACTCACAGTACACTTCGATCGTTTCTTTTTCGATCTTACGTTCCGCCAACAATGAAATTTGCATCTCTCTTATTCGTTAAGCAGTGGACTTTAACAATGAAAAAGAAAAAAAATGAAAACATTCGACTTTTCGATTTCAATTTGTTATTTTATTTTCCATTATTCTCAATATAAACTTTACCAAACAGTCATTTTTGACAAATAATAATTCTGTTAATAAATTTGATTATTTTCTAATGTGTTGATAAGAAAATTAATTGTCAGTTAAAATATTCAATTAACCAAGGAAAATTTAGTTATTAAATAAATTGAAAATGTCTACTTGCTTTAGCCAAATGTCGCTGGTATTTGAATGTATTCTGAGCTTTCCTTTGAGTCTTCTTTTCTTAATTTAACTAACAAAATTTTGATTAAAGAGTTCCCTACGTAGATCTTTGAAATACTACTATTTAATGAATAATTATTTAATTATGTTTGATTGTGTTAATTGAATCGTAGAAGTAAGAAGTTTAGAAAAAAATAATCCCCTATAATTACTGGAACAACATGTGAATCAGTTCGTTAAAATACAATTTAGTGCTGCAAATAGTGCACAATATTTTTCTAAAACACTAATTAACTTTATTTATTACTAAAATGGATGAAAAGTTACCGTAAGTAAATGATTTATTGGTCATAATTGCTTGGGTAATTATCAATTATTTATTCTCAATATATTGCTATGAATATTTTATTTAAAAATAAATTTGTAAAAGAAATGATCCATTTACGATAATTAATTTAGCAATAATGATAAAAAAAAATAGAATTTAAAAATAGATGACTTATTTATAAGTATTGTTACCATTATACATAGATATTGATTGATTTTTTTTAATAATATGTAAACACTTGCTTTTCTGCACGTGTTACTACTGCACAACTAAAGTTTACAGAAAAACGATGAGAAAAGGAGAATTCCCAATAATACAATAAGACAATTCATCTTTTAATCAATTATGTGTAAAAATAAATCACGTATTTACATTTATTGCTATGATATTTATTTTAATTCCAATTTTATTGAAAATAAAAGGGTTTTATGTTTATTTATTACTTTTTGTTTAATTACATTGGATGTGATACGATTACTTTACTAATTTTTATTGGTGGAAATCAAAGTTTATAATTACATTACTAGATTTACTGAGGTGAAAATTAATTCATTATTGTGGTGTCACTTTCATTATTAAAGCTTGATATCAAATTTGCAAATATATCGGACATGAATTTGAATTTGTTCGGAAATGTTATTTGCTGTATTTTTTTTATTCCACTTTGTTTACTTATTTATGGATGGTTTTCCTCACTGTTAATGAACATTTTCAATTACGTTACTACATAATTTAATTATAGAAAGTCATTTAAATTTATGATTAAAATATTTTAAAAATACATGTTAAATTTTTGAATACAATTTCTGCACGAATTTCTTTCATTTTTCGTTTAACAGAAACAATTTCATCGAATCAATATTGCTCTGGAGATGATTTAGATAAATTTTAAAAACTAGAAAGAAGGACAACATTGAGCCAGTAGTTAAACAGTAAAAATGTAGATAACACGTTATCAAGATATTAAATAAGAAAACTCCTTTACTTTTGTTGTTGAAAAATAATCATTCAATTTTTCATTTTTCTCCGTTCATTAATCATAAACATTCATTTTTATATAAAATATATTGCTATTAATCTCTTGCTTTTGATAAATATATCTTTAATTTGATATGTTTTTCCGTAGAATATAATTAAAAATAATAAAAGAAACCCTCCGACTATTTTTATACTCATGATCATTTATAAATGTGTTAAACAGGATGTTTTTTACATACATTGTTTTATTATCAGTAATTGAAATATTCGTAAAATGCTTATTAATTTTTTGATGAAAAAAAGGAACTGGGTTGAATCGAAAAATAATAGAATGGAAATGAAAACAATTAATATTAAATTTAAAGACTGTGATTTTTTGCATTCCATATAAATAAAATAATAAAAGCAAAAAAAAATGGTCGAAATAAAGAGAGGAATCGTCAAGGGCTCAAGTTTTTAGCCAAGCAAAATACCGAGTGTCGTATATATTTTGCAAGCAAATCCTTCATGCAAATTGGCATCCTCGCTATTTGTACTCACACTACGTGAACGAATACATTTGTTGGAATTTAATTTTCCCATTTTTTGTCCATTTCCTCTATACCTCGTATTATATTCATAGCTATTCAACGGTCTAGTTCAACTAATAGAACACACAATAAAACATATGATGGTTTCTCATTTAACAAATCATCAGTAAGAATAAATTTCATTTTAATTTAAATTAAAGACTTTTAATAAAATTTGAAAAGATATCATTCGAAAATAAAACCAGCGATTTTAAGTAAATTATTAACTTTATCGTGATAAAGAGAGTACTTAGCATAAAAGCAAAGTAAAGTATCAATGACTTAGTGTATAATGTGTGAAGGAGTTGTTAAGAGAAGTCTAGTGAGACAGAGTTGCTGAAATTCTTAGTCTCATGAGACAACGCTCTAACGCAGAGAGCAAGTTTTCGTTCTTGTTTATCATATCATAAAATTAATTAAGATTTTCAATGTCTAAATGTTTATAAGAAACTTGTTGATCAAATTGTGATTTGAGTTGTTAAAATATTCTTGAAAATAGAATTTTTAAAAAACTTACTCTATCTCGAATATCGAAAGCTCGAATGATTTTTCCACATATTTTTGATGGTTTTAAATACAATTATTCATTTTACATCAAAGACATCTTAACATAATCAATAAAGTAGTAGATGTAAGTTATCTTCGTTCCTTTACATATGGTTTAGGAATAAATAAATATAAAGGGTATATAAAAAAAAAAGATATCTTTTTTCAATTAAAAAGTTTTTCGAGCAAATACTATTATTATTCATTACTTTTATATCACTTATCGAAACTATTCTTCAATTTTGTTGAATGTATGAGTCTATACAAAAAAATCGATTATCGCAATGAAAATAAGAATTATCAGGTATTGTGCACTTCTTGCTTTTCCTTTCATATTCTTTTGTCTCTATCAATATTTCATTCTTTATCAACTCCCGTAAATGAATAAAATAATTGGACAATTTTGTAAAAAAAATATGAGTAATTCTTATGACATTACTTGAATAGATCATTTTCATATAAATTCAAATTACAATTTTTCTGTTTTTTTTTCTTTTGATTTCTGTTTATTCATATATATATATATATTTGTGCAGGTCCGCAGAATAATTTGTTTAAATCATAAAATGATTGTCAATCAAAGAGTTAATTTGATGTACACAGACACAGTCATATGAGTTGAAATTTAGAGAGAGAGAGTTGAAGCATCTGCATTTATAGATCTCATAAATTGGTAAAACAATTAAATATTGATTTATTGCAAATTTTAGGTTTAATTTTTATTGGGAATTGATTGAATCGGAATTTTTTGAGACAATGAAATGTCAATGGGAATGATTTTTTAATAAATACTCAGCATTTTTAACTTGTCATGAAATATTCTTTCATTCAAATAACAAATGATAACAGTTTGTGATATTGGTAAAACATTTCTTACACTAAATGAATACAGTTATCAATAAATTTTCACTTAGCACCATTTAACGATTATGTCATCAATGATTTTATCGGTAATTTTATTCGTAGATTGTTTTTTTCAAAAGACATTAATATTAATCAATAATTCCATCAATTTAATCATCTATTTAAATAGAGAATACATGAAATATTCATAAACTCGATGAAATATTTATCCAATTTTTTTCTAAAATCTGTTTTGGTAAATAAATTTAAATTTTATACTTAAAATAAATCTTTCTTTTAAATTTAAAAATCATCTTATAAAGTAACTCGGGAATAAAAACACCATAAAACTATAAATAGTCGCTATTCATTGTTCACCTACTTTTTAGTACGTGCAAATATTTGTTGTTTGTATGCAGCATTCTAGCATTCAACACATATTTAGTTTATACAATATAAACATATTCTATTGTCAAAAATTTTAAGTAAATCTACTGAAAAAAAACCCAACAGTCTGGTAAGATTTTATTCAAACAAAATAAAAAAAAATTTCTCAATGCTCAC